CTCCGCTTTCGATGGCTTGGACCATACCAGATTAAGTCTGTCAAAGGAAATAGATCCTACTCTATCAGGGAACTTAACGGCACCATCCTATGCCACATCGGAGACAAGAATGCGGATGCAATCAACGGCGACAGACTCAAAAGATTCTACCCTCGTGGAATAGGAGATTCTGATAGGATACAGGATGTTGTACAGACTGGCCACCTTCGGAAGCGAAGACTAATTGGTCGACCAAGAGCAGCACAATAACTCTTTCATCCTGCCATTTAAACGATCATTCCACCGATACTGCGAGATGCTTTTTCGGCCGAAAAGATCCTTCGCCTGAGGCACCAAAACACCTCACACCTTACACTCATTTACATCGCCAAGGGACGGCTCTCCTATTATAACGAGGAGGGGAAGGATACTCATTACCACCAGTCATTACCGATTAAACGCTCATTACTACGATTTTCCTTTGTTTATTGCAATTTTATTGCTAGTTTAAAAAGACCATACAGCAAATCCCCTATGAAGCATTAGAATATGAAATGCTGAAAGCCCCAAACTTCACTTTGAAAACCTCACTTTGCAAAACCTCTCTTTCCAACCCCCCACCACACCCTCGCATACCTCCGCATACCTTCGCATACGAATTCTGATCGATATGGATAACGATAACCTCCTGAGAGATATCGAGGTGCATGGACAGCCCGTTGACAGTATCGAGAATGCCCTCCAGCTTCTTCGAAGCTGTGAGCAGCTTCAGGCGTACGAGCTCGCATCTTAACTGTTCGACAGGCTACTCATAAACTATGGTCATACGGAGCGTGCTATTGATTTACTGTACCAGTACGTTAATAAGGGAGAACTGTGGAGAGGCTCGGAAGAGTATAAGGAGTTCCAGAGAAGGTGGTCTGAAGGTCAGAGGATACAAGCACGACGCGCCTAGAATGAGCAGTATCTTGTTGCGAATAAGCTGAAAGCTATCGAAGCATAGGGAGAATAGCAAGCGAATGCCTTCTTCGGTTACTTGACTACTCGTTCGATAATAGAGCTAGCGAGTAGGTTTATCACTACCGGCCTTAGCTACGATCACGTCCGCCTCTCTATCAATAACGAAGTTCTCTCTCGCTTATTGTCGCCGGGCAGAGGTGTCCGAAACACTAAAGGAGTCATTCAAGGGGATCTTTCAAAGGCCCTCCTCCGGAAGTGTACCTCAGCCCTTAGACAAGAGGATCTTGTTCAGTGTGGACTGCAACTGGACCAGGATGGGTACTGCTGCGAAGTAGGCTTCGGCCAGGATCTACCCGCTATCGAACCGGGAGGCTGGACTGCTCTTTCAGGACAGTTTGTTTCTATTACTGCGGTTGAGACAGAGGATGAGGCCGATACCGATACTGAAGCGATAGACAACCGTGATCCTGAGAGTGTTACACCCGACGATGTGCAGGATACAGCGATGCAGCTTGAAGAGTCAGATAAGGAACATACGGCCGACCCGATGTCTATTAGCGACTCGTCTAGTGTGGTCTCTAATCTTTCTGTGGCCCAGTCACTTCCTGACGACTACCTGTTAGAAAGTGATAAGGAACAAAACCCCTCGCAGGAGAGAAAGGAGACTGCTGAATACGGTTGCACCGCCCAAAGAGCAGCTATGAACAAGACTCTGGCCCTTCCTGCGGACGCTACGAACAGACGAAAGTTGGTAGCACTCAGGCGCATTGGAAAGCTGTCCCTTCCGGAGCTGGATTCGACCTTTACTAAGGATATGATCTGTCTGTCTTATGCGAAGAGAGTGTTTAAATTGTTCGACATGCGCAGTGCTAGCAAGGACCACGCGGCACTAGCGGTGCGAATTGATTTCATTTACCGACACACTGAGGACTGGGACACTATGGTAAAGGAGAACCGGACGTGATTTCTATCAGATACCGATGAGTTGCAGTCAGATTTCTACCGCTTCAAGCATTAGGCTAATCCTCCTATTATCGCCGACTATCGCAGGGCAACCTGGTTATCCTTCGAAAGCCTCTACCGCAGGGTATCTCCTACTCCCGACCCCACGACGCCCATGCCTGTTACGTTGAAGTTACAAATGCAAGAGCGAGGGAGTGTGGTTATTCCGCAGTTATTCGGCTGGTTGAAGGAGGACTTCGATGGGCATCACTCAGGTGGCCTTCTTGCTCTCGCACATAAGGAGATGGACATATATAACTACCACTATCTACCTCGTGTGGGCAAGCCTCGCCTTAGGTGGTTGAGGAATATGTGGCACGGCATTATTTAATAGCTTGTCCGTCAGGATCCAGCGTACTATGCGTGCTATGTTTCTTCCGGCCAGACCACGCTTACCGACTGATCTCCTTCCCGTACTACGCAAAGAGTACTATTCCCAAGGAACAGACTTATTTTAGGCACATTGATGTGAATCTGAATGACCTGGTGCAGACTGGACGAGGCAGCGCAATCCTGCAGGGCAGTCTAGCATTGGATGATGAAGATGAACAGAACTGTACTGAGATTCTGCCTGGCATGCATCGCCACATTCAGAAGTGGTGGGCTCTCGTGCGGGATAGGACGAACACTACGGATGGCTTCGTGCAGAAGATTGACAATTAGCTTTGGACCCCAGAAGATGCTAAGCGATATAGCACTAACTAGGTGAAGGAGATCTGTATGGCTGGTGATGTCCGAGTTAGTTTGCCTAGCATCCCCTATGGGTCGACGGGCCCCGCAACCAAGAGGCGGAGAAGCATTTTGCTATGGTTTGTGCGTATCAGAGATGACCACTCAACTCTGGATACTCCAGAGTCCGGTACGTGGGAAGAAGTGTCTGCGGCACACCGAGACCTCACGCAAGCTCCAAGAACTCCATCAGGGCTTACGAGCAGTGTGCATGGCCGTCTGCAGTATGTATTCCCTGTGGCGCCACGATTCCGCGGGGAAGGTTTAATCTCTGAATGCTTGGTTGGTCGCAGCCGCTGGACAGACCCTGGTGTGTCGGCTGAGTTGGATATCCTCTTCGGACCGGATGAAGCCGTAGCAACCGCCTATATTGTCTCATGGAGGAAGAAGGCGCAGCAAATGTACGCCCAATTATTCAGAGACATGATCAAGGCGGAGAAGCTGGCATTCGGGAAAGATTCCTTCTTCCACCGCAAGGCATTAGGGCTGCATATTGGTCCCCCTGATCCAGAAGTTGCACCTCCGGAGGATGATGATGACGAGGAAGAGATGTGATATCCGCGGCGATAGGGAATAGGTATTCTGGTCCTGTCTTTCTTTGCTTTTGTTAAAGTGGCTTGGGCATTCTAAATTGACTGCGCTCAACCACGGGACGGTTGATTTAATGGGGAGGGGTGGTATGTAGTGGGAGAACTGGTGACATAATAAGCCTATGTGTGGCCTCAGGCATGATTTAATGTCTGCAGTGCATAGTGTTACCGACCAAGACGAAGAAGAATTCGTGTATCATTAACAGAAGCAACTAAACTGGAGAAGAAGAAGAAGAGAGAAAGAGGGAAACGAGCATCTACGAAACAAACCCACTTCTATCCCGAATCGGGTTAGACCCACGGCTCCTTCCAGATCACGTTCCCCCTCAGGCCTCCCTCAGGCCACAAGACATTCATGCGTCACACATAGTACATCTCCAGACACACTTGGAGAGAGACAAGTCATCTACCCAATTCATTCAGGATTCACCCAATTTCTTCTATTCATGATGCAGCATTAAGATTATCCAGCAAGGCCGCAACAGGGCATCAGCACGGCCTCGTCCAGCGTCCTCTACACCAGACAGGCAGTGTGTGTGTGTGTGTGTTGTCCAGTCTGCATCGCCAGACAGCCATCGAGCCGTTCCCATTTCAGTATTTAAGGGTCTGACGGACCCTCCGCGGGTGACCCTTAAGGGACCCTTAGAGGGTTAGGGTCAGGGTCAGGGTCGGTGAGGTTGAACCCTGACCCTCGGAGGTGCGGGTGGAGGTTCCTGATCTTGGACCCGCGGGGCGGGTGAGTGCCAGGTCTACTCGGAAAGTGGGCAGAGTGGGGTAAAGTGAGCGAATAACTGGCCAGAAGCTCAAGTAACCGTGGTAATAGTCCCGTGGTGTCGCGTACCCACACTGCTCCAGGTGTTGGTCCGCCTAACCCTAACGCAAAACCCTATGGAAGGTGGATGAATAGGGATGGATAGCTTCAAAACAAAAGAACGTCGCTAGTCACGAATTCTTCTCTATCCTGCTACTCGGAGGGGAGGGAGGAGGTGGCTTGTTAAGCCAGACGGCAGGCAACAACAGTTGAATGTGATTGGTAATATAGTAGCAGGGTCAGATACAATGTTTTCTTCATGGCCTCTGAGTGGGAGCGTTAGGCATGCAGGCGGCAGCTTGGTGGCTCAGAACTTGAACTTCACCAACATCTTCGCCAGACCGTCGAGAACCATGTTTCGAAAATCAGCGAAGAACTCTAAGTGATCTAACACTGTGACACACGTTTAAGCTAAGATAGTCGATACAATCCGAGACCTGCTTTATTATACTGAGCCCCGAGTGGGATGGTCACCAAGTGTCAGAGTCACATGATGATGTCCTCGGGGTATGCAATCATTGCATGTAGATGGTGATTCTTCCTTCCTTCGTATCCCGATAGCTCCATGTTCCGAGTTCCTGATTGCTTTCTCTAAATCCATTCGTTCCTCACAACTTTAATTGTATTGAATACGGAAAGGTGAGTTTACTTGACCCGAGGAGTCACCGCGGGCCGAATAGAACCGGCTATCATACACACGGATCGGTTAATCATTCTTGCTTCGTCACTGAGCTTTCACTATCTGGGCTCCATACGGAGATACTTAATTCCCTAGAAAAATCTTCAACCTTGATCCAAACCTGCGAATTGCCCACCTGCGTCATCAAGCTTCATAAAATCCAGAGCGACTGCCTGCTGTAAAATAGCAGAACGAAACGAGGTGAATCTCAAACAAGACCACGACAGCTGCAGAATAGTACAAGGCAAACATGAGATACGGCAAAGTCGCAGTATTTACTCGTCCAGGTGAACCTGTGAAAATTGTTGAGGAGAAAGTTCAAAAGCCAGCGCCTGATGAGTTATTGGTGCGAGTATCAATAGCCGGAGTCTGTGGCAGTGATGTGCATAGGTTGAAGGGTGACATCCCTGTCAATGCTGAGGCAGTGTGCTTTGGACATGAGGCCGTTGGCGTGATTGAAAGCCTTGGTGCTGAAGTCAAAACCGACCGTGCTGGCGCACCATTGTCCGAAGGAGATATGCTTTATTGGATGCCTTTGGCACCTTGTGGTGTTTGCTCGGAGTGTAGTGCGTCCAACCTCATACACTGTCGCAATCTTGACTGGCCACCACCTATCGGAAAGCCAAACGGAGCCTGCTTTAGGCAATTCGCGACTCTCAACAAAAAATGTGTCTATATCCGGGTATCTCCGAGTGTTGCGCCTGAAAATATCATTGTATTTGGGTGTGGAATGCCAACGGCTTTGAGAGGTTTGAAGCAGCTTGGCGGTATTAGACCTGATTCAGATGTTGTCATACAAGGCTCCGGTCCTGTTGGCCTAGCATGCATACTCTTGGCAAGCCTGGCCGGTGCCCGCTCTGTCATCGTGACTGGTGATCCGAACGGTCGTCTTGAAGCTGCATCGGCATTAGGTGCTACTTGTACAATGTCCGTTGCAAATACAACCACCGAGGAGAGATTGGAAAGGGTGAAACGTCTCACCGCAGGCCGTGGGGCAAGCATTGTCATTGAGGCGGCTGGAACTGCTGCTGCATTTCCCGAGGGTTTTAACCTTCTTGGCATGAATGGCAAATATCTGATTCTGGGGCTATATTCAGGCAGCGCCACAGCACCAGTTGACCCCGTGCGCATTAATAATCTCAATTTACACATTATTGGCAGCTTGGGCATCGATGCGGACGGTTTCAAGAAAACGGTGGAGATCGCATCTGAACATGGCAGTCGACTACATTTTGCCGACCTTATCACCCATCGATTTTCGCTGGATCGCCTCGAAGAAGCTCTTGGTTTAGTTGAGCAGGGAATCCCTATCAAAGCTGTGATTGTGCCGAACTGAGGATATGTTGCTTGCCATTCTAAGGGCACGGCATTTGTAGATAACCAACTTAGATTGGAATTTCTATGCTGGCGGAATATATTCACTGGAATAACTTAAGGAGCGGTGAAGAGGTCTTGAAATTGCAATTGGCGAAAAGGCTTTGCTATCTAACTCGTATACTATTCATCACCGAAGCATTTGTTCATAGTTTAGCTGCTCCTGCATTTGGCAGATGAAAGTATTGTTCGTATAACTTCAAGCTCTCCGGGTTTGCAACAGTTCCACTGACCTTGGTGTTCATGCCACTCACAATCTGTTTGACATTTATCTCGCACTTCTTCCCGTTGACCGTGTATGGAATCTCTTGAACTTGGAAAATTCGTGCGGGAACATGGCGAGGAGAGTACCTGTCCTTAATGGCAGCCTTGATTGAAGCAACAAGTCGTGCATCCAGTGTATGCGGCACCTTCATCATTACAAATAGCAGCACTCTCTCATCGCCATCGAAGGAGCGCCTCTGTCCGACGCATATGGAGTCTAAAATTTCGGGTATAGTTTCGACAACTTGATATATTTCCGCGGAACCAAATCTCACACCGGATGGATTTAGGACACCATCTCTGAAAGAATGTTAGAGAAAGAAGGAGAAAGAAAGACGTGGGCCATTCCGTGACTTCAATGAGAATCATTGGTACTTACGATCGTCCGATGATCAAGAGGCCCTTTGTATCTGGGAGAAGCCTTATGAAGTCCCCCTGAGACCATACATGATCTCCAAACCGCGAAAAATATGATGCCCGGTATTTTTCGTCTCCACCGGGGCCATAGAAAGCAAGCGGCTGGCTCGGGAATGGCTGTGTGCAAACGAGCTCCCCAGCTTCTTCGGAGAGCTCAATGGATACAGGCTCGGTCTTAGAAGCATCAAAGACGTTGATAGCCATACCCAAACACTTGGCTTGGATCTCACCAGGATACACAGGAAGAATCGGGCATCCCCGACAACTTCGGAGAGAATATGGATCAGTCATTCGAGGTCGGTTAGTCTCAGTTTGGGAAACGTACAGCTTCCAGCGATGTCTGTACCACCGCTCATAGATATGAGCTGCGTCTTCTGGGGAAAGGCATAGCGATAGAACCACTTGTACAAATCCTCTGAGAGAACAGAGCCAGTAGACGTTACTATTCGCAGCTTCTCAAGGCTGTATTGCTTGCCTATCAAAGTCACTTCCACGAATCATTAACTGCTGTATCAACATACTTACGCGGTACAATGTTCCTCGACCGTAGTTCGGAGAGATATCGGGGTGAAGTACCAAAGACGGTGACCCTGTGTAATGATATTAGCTTCGTCATAGTCCTTCATCTCATGGTTTAAGCGCTTCTTACCTTAGCCTAGCTGCAAGGTCCAGCAAGACGGCTGGTTCAGGGTAGAATGGTGAGCCATCGTAGAGGAACATTGTTGCCCCAGAAGAAAGATTGACGAAGTTAAGGATCCACATCACCCACGCCGTCTAACAGCAACGTCAGTCCTTTCTGTTCTCAAACAGTAATTGTATACATATCACAAACTGTGGTATATTGGAAGAACACATCTCCTGGCCTCATATCATGCTGTAGCCGTGTATCGGTGCTGACCTTGAGTGCCACACCCTGATGAACGCATTAGAACAACGTAATTTCGTCTTTTGCACGCGGACTTACACCGGCAGAATGTACGATGCATTTAGGCGTTCCAGTCTGAGCATATAAAAAGTTGTCAGCACGCGATATACTCATAATTGACGTGCGCGAAGGAGAAGTAGCGTACCGTGCCAGAAGAAAAAAGAACAAAGGCCGGGGAACTAAACTGTAGCTGGGAAAACGATAACGTCCTTCCACTGCTATTTGTTAAGAATGTCTTCCAGGATATCCCTCTGCGAATTTTGGACATATTTATCCATACTCCACAGTAAGGTACGACCACCACATTCCTTAGCTGCTTGTCGTTGTTGCATAGCGTCTGTGAGATGGTCGCAATCCGGTCTTCAAGGAGGATTCTTTTGCCGGCGTACATATATGCGTCATCGGCGAATATGACTTTAGGTTCGATCTGCCCATAGCGGTCAATTATTGCCTTAGACCCTATATCTGGCGATGCTGATGACCAAACAGCTCCGATTGCAAGTACAGCGAGACAGAGGACGATTGCGTTGACAGAGTTGGACATGACAACCGCCACTTTGTCACCTGCTTTGATCCCGTAGCCAACTAAGGCATCGTACGCTTCCCTTGTGCGTTCCTCCAGGGCTCCCCACTTAATCTCTTCAACACCTGGCACCCCTTCCCTGACGAAATGAATCGCGGTTTGCCCGTGGTCGTGATTAGCGAGGATGAATTGGGCAAGGTTGAAGGTGGCCGAAGGGAAGAATCTGGGTGGGGGGTATAGAGGCAGCTACATCGCCGTCAATTTCTGGTATTCTAAAGGCAGCCCCACCGTATGCTTGGGTGAGAAACACTACCTCACTTGAGCCACTGCTATCACGCGCCAGTATAAGATCCCCTATTCTCACTGAGTCTGGCAAAATCCGAAGGAATGCACACACTTCACTCCAAAACTCCGCTAGACTGTCTGAATGCACTGACCATCTCCATAGGTCGTCGTATGTCTTCAGATCCAAGCTGTGCTTCTTGTTGACATGCTTCAAAAATTTGACAATGTTGGTCGAGTCAATGTCACTTGGGACCCAAACGGGCTGCTTTGAAGTCATGTTTACGAGTCAGGGATGATCGAGTGGCCAGCAACTCACAGCGTATGAGGCAGCATCATCACAGGCAAAGTCACACTTTAATCAGAATGTATTATATGAGTGACTGGTGCAGAGTGCCGAGGTGGTTATTGCGTTACCTATATTAGCCGAGGCTACCCTTGTCCTTAACGTAGATGGCCCCGAAGGCCTCGAGGATGCCTAGTACCACATAAGTAGGGAGCTAAGAAGACTTACTATCACTCGCCGCTACATGTTACGGAAGATTCACTTGTATAAATTCTGACGAGTGGACAAAGGGATCGCGATTAGGGAAAATGATAGCCAGTCGTGGTCGTGTGCTTTTTGGGGCAAATTCCGACCGTGCGGAAGTACCATACCATGAAGGCCATGGTTGTGAACGGTCGGGATTTTCTGGTTGACCGCAACAGGCGACGCCCTGAGATGATGCCAGACTCTTTGCTTGTTCGACCTCACGCTATCGCACTTAACCCGACCGACTGGAAATCAGTCTCCTACGGGAGAGCCGCGGACGGCTGTATCGTTGGCTGCGACTACGCCGGCGTTGTCGAAGCGGTAGGCAAGGAGGTCAGCAAGTCCTGGAGCCCAGGTGATAGAGTCTTTGGTTGCGGGCACGGGGCAAATCTCGTCAATGCGGACGACGGTGTCTTTGCAGAATATGCCGTCGTCAGGGGTGATTTGCAGATGCGAATTCCCGATGGCTGGACCTTTGAGAAAGCAGCCACTGCACCTCTCGGGCTGATCACTGTCGGCCAAGGTCTATATCAGAAGTCATTGAAGTTGAAGTTGCCCACTGATCCTGAAAGGAACCAAAACGTCCCGGTCTTGATATACGGCGGAACAACGGCAACGGCAACGCTTGCGATTCAACTTGCGAAATTGTAATCACTACCATCTTTCCAGTTTCTTGAAACAGTAATCTTCGTTCCTTAGCAGAAATGACCTCTGACATTCAAAAATAGATCGGGATACACGGTTATCACTACATGCCTACCGGAGCATTTTGATCACACAAGACGCCTGGGGGCCGATTTCTCTTTCGATTACATGGACCCTGATGTAGGTTCAAAGATAAGGGATCTGACGCGGAACGAGCTCCGATATGCGTGGGATACTATTAGCATTACTGCTTCGGCACAGATTTGCGCCGACGCCCTATCAAGCCGTTCTGGCTTGGGGTTACGGTACGGAAATCTTTTGCCTGTCAAATCACCCCGCGAGGATGTCGAAACAGTCACCACTGTCATGTATACTGCTTTTGGCAGGTACTTCAAGTTCGGAAATCAAGACATGTACGCCAGCCGGGAAGATTATGAGTTCGGACGGATGTTCTACGCCATGGCAGAGCAATTAATGGCACAGGTATGGGTGATTTCATTGCTACACTCTCGTCCCTTCCCCCTCAGTGTCGATTTCCACTGCACGCTGACTTACCCTTGGGTTGTAGGGGAAACTCCAAACTCATCCAGAAATGGTGGGTGAAGGTGGCCTTAATGGTGCTGTAAAGGGGTTCGAGTTGATGAAGGCGGGCCAAATTACGGGGCAGAAGTTGGTTTTCCGGATTGATGACACAATATGAAGCTGCACATGCAAAGGCAACTTTCCCTTTAAAGATATACACATATATTTCTTTAAATAAAATAAGTCATATATGGAGGTTTCATGGATAGGCAACAGTTGCGGACATTCAGAGTTTTGTTTTGCTCCCTCGTATCTGTATCTGAGAAGAAGTAGCCTGCTAGCATGGAGCCGAAAATCAGAACTTTCCTTCTTCCGAGATAAAGTGATCATCCCAAATCTCGCGGGTAGCAAAGGACTCCCCTAAACGTGGATGGAGCCCGAGGTTACAAGTCCCTTTCCTCGGTCTCGGCGGTAAAGAAACACCGCTTATGTTGTCTGGTCATGGGTTCTCTGACCGTGCTATAAAACAATCGTCATGAAAGCAATCGACATGAAAGCAATCGACATGAAAGCAATCGACATGAAAGCAATCGACATGAACAGAGACGGAATCCACTCTGAAACAGTGCGCGACTATCCTCTCAACATGGTGACTACCCCCTCAAACCAGGCCTACGTGCTTGGTGTCGGCCTCACAAAGTTCATTAAACCTCGTGGCGAGCGAGAATATCCCGAAATGGGCTATGAAGCTGGCGTAAAAGCTATGCTCGATGCACAGATCAATTACGACGATGTCCAGCATGGAGTTGCTTGCTTCGCATATGGCGACTCTACATCCGGGCAACGTGTATTCTATCAGTTCGGCATGTCTACCATTCCAATCGTGAACACAAGCAACGCGTGTGCTACTGGATCCGTTGGCCTGTATCTGGCACGTACCCTGGTCAAGAGCGGCAATGCAGATTGTGTCCTTGTTGTCGGATTTGAAAAGATGAAGCCTGGAAGTCTTAAGTCTGTCTGGGATGACAGGCCAAGTTCGAGCGGGCGATTTGCAGCGAAGATGAAGGAACAATATGGACTTGACAAATCTCCACTGACGGCCCAGTATTTTGGAAACGCGGGCAGGGAGTACATGGAAAGGTACCACCAACTTTACTCTATTTTACCCTCTTGAGGACACCGTTGACGTGATCTAGATACGGCGCCGAGGCAGAAGACTTTGCGGAAATCGGGCGTATTTCCCACAAACATTCCCAGGCCAACCCATACGCGCAATTTCGTCAAGAATATTCGCTCCAGGAGATCCAGGATTCTGCAACAATTTATCCGCCTTTGACCAAGCTTCAGTGCAGTCCGACAAGCGACGGTGCAGCAGCAGCAGTTATCGTGTCCGAAACTTTTCTAAACGCACGACCGCACCTAAGGAAGCAAGCCATCCTCATGGCAGGGCAGCAGTTCTTGACCGATTCACCCAAAGCCTTCTCGGAGAGTGCGATCGAACTGGTTGGCTATGACATGACGCAGAGGGCTGCTCGGGCCGCGATGAAGGAAGCTAGGATCAGCGCTTCTGAAGTCAAGGTGTGCGAGCTGCACGATTGTTTTTCAACCAACCAGATGATCCTTCTCGATGCTCTGGGCTTCTGTGAGCCCGGAAGGGCACACGAAATGGTTCGGAGAGGAGATATCACATATGGCGGAAAGATGGTGATCAATCCATCCGGTGGCTTGATCTCCAAAGGGCATCCAATTGGCGCAACGGGCCTGGCACAGTGCGCTGAATTGACCTGGCAGCTACGTGGCTGGGCAAACAATCGGCTGGTTGACAACAGTACGGTGGCATTGCAGCATAATCTGGGACTTGGCGGTGCGGTTGTCGTCAACGTCTACAAGCGTGCTGATGGTAGACCTACTTCAAGAGTGAGCAGCGAAGATGTTGCAAAGGGAAGCTGGCTTGGTTATAACCCTGCTGTGGAGGCAAGGGGTATCTCCCCCGCCGATGGTGAAAAGGTTCGGAGTAAAAAGAACAGGAACGACTTTGCTTTGGGAGATACTCGAGAGAGGCTGGCTGCACTGTTGTAAATCGAAGATTGTTTTGTGGCGTGGGTACCCATTGGACACGCGGCGCAGATAGACAGATAGCTCTCATCTGTCAAGTCATGTCTCATAAATTCACATACATCACCCCTCCGTAAATATCTATTGCATTCAGACTCCTAGAATGGTAATTTTGTTTATTGAATGTTATTTGAATAGTTTGCCCATCCGTACCTGGGTACTCTAAGGTAGATGCAATATGCTGGTGTTGTTCTTGGCTGTATGAAAATTTAAATCACACCATGTTCATTGCGAAAGAGGTAAAGAGGCACTGATTTGCGCTCAAAAATGCCATAGTCATCCCCTGTTCCCAGAGGAATGACGACAGAGGGAGAGAGAGCAACTAAAGTGGTGGATTGGACTATTCTAGAGAAGGATCTAACCTCTTGAACACCTGGGGCATCAGGAAGGCCTGACATTCCAGGCTGGAAACTTCGCCAACACCATGAACGACAAACCCGAATGTCCTATTTCTCCCCTCGTGATTTGACCGAGGATACGTGTTTTCCATTTTCTGCTGGAGAAGTAAAGTTTAGATCCGTTTTGGGCTATTGCGCTGGATCAAGCCCTCGGCCCGAGGGCTCAGGCTCAACCTGACAGAGATGAGCTAGACATGGCCGCGAAGCTCAACAGTAAGATCGTGGTGCTAACCTAGAATGTTCAGATTGTCAACCAGTATATGAATTTCTCAGAGGCAACCGACAGACATTGTACAGCTTCTTGTCGGATCTACCAAACACAATGAGCACCACCAGATCCAGAATGCGGGGTATGTCGACACTAGTCACTCAAAGCCGTGGATCCTATCGATGTAGCGGTGTTTTGGCTTTGAAAGCCACGACGCGCTCGCTGTCAGCGACTAGCTGTAGAGAGAGTTCGGGTGTGCGCATCCTTGAAGTCGCTGCAAGAGATGGTCTACAAAATATCAAGACAACGGTTCCCACTGCAACCAAAATCGAGCTGATACGTCGGCTCGCCGATACTGGCCTTCAACATATTGAAGCTACATCTTTTGTGTCACCGAAATGGATCCCCCAGCTAGCGGACGGCGCCACGGTAATGGAGAAGGTCCTATTGTTGGCCTCGAAGGGGATCACACTGCCGGTGCTTGCCCCTAATATGAAGGGTTTCGAGAACGCTGTGAAGGCGGGAGCGCAAGAAGTGGAGGTATTTGCATCTGCCACCGAGGCCTTTAGCAAAGCGAACCAGAATTGCTCTATTGAGGAAGCCTTAATCAGTGCTCAAAAGGTTGTGACAGCAGCTAAACAAAGCGGCGTGCGCGTGCGCGGTGTTATCTCGTGCATCTTCTCAGACCCTTATTCCGGGCCTACAGACCCATACGCTGTTCTCCAAGTCGTCAAAAGGCTCTTAGATATGGGATGCTACGAGGTTGGTCTGGGTGATACGCTTGGGGTGGGGACACCAGCAAACACAAAGAAGCTGCTGGAGGTTCTACTCAAAGAAGTACCCGCGGACAAACTTGCTGGTCATTTCCACGATACATATGGACAGGGCGTTGCGAATGTCGTTGCTGCGTACTCAATGGGAATTCGCGCGTTCGACACATCCGTCGGTGGCTTGGGGGGTTGTCCGTATGCAAAAGGGGCTAAGGGCAATGTGGCAAGCGAGGATGTGATCTATACTCTCGAAAACTCCGGTATCTCCACTGGAGTCAACTTGAGCAAGCTCATTTCCGTCGGTGAATGGATCTCGCGAGAAATCGGCATGCCATACGCAAGCCGAGCCGGGGCAGCTTTACTTGCAAAGAAAAACATGGCCACAGGGACGGCAAAGTCGGCCACAAAAGACAAGCCGACTCGAGAATGGACCACGGTCACCGAACTGCCTGACTACAGGGTTTCGCGCTCTGGCGCTGTGGTCAGGATTACTATGACACGAGCACAGCATGGAAACACAATGACTGCATCGATGCTCGAAGGGTTGACCAAGCTATTCACCGATTTGGCTACTTGCCAATCCACTTTTCACATAGTCCTGGAAGGCGAAGGCCGGTTTTTTTGCACTGGCATGGACCTCAGTGGAGGCACAAAGACGACCAACACCGACAAAGAGCATGGGTACCACGCAAAGATCCAGGCTCTGTTTTCTGCCATCGACAACTGCCCCCAGACAACGATTGCTCTTATCAATGGGCCGTGTTATGGGGGTGGAGTGGGGCTCGGGTTCGTTTGCGATGTCCGCCTAGCCTCCACAAAGGCTCGCTGGACTCTGTCGGAGATCAAAATCGGCGTCGCCCCTGCCATCATATCGAGATACATGGCACGCGAGTGGGGAATTCCGTTTTTCCGCGAAGCCATGCTTTCAGGGCGAGAGGTGCATTACTCCGAGCTGCAACGAATCGGCGCAATTCATGGCGTGTCAGACGATACAGGTGAGTTGCTAGATGATTATTTAGACAAACTGGCACATTGCGCCCCTCGTTCTGCGTCCATTTGTAAGGACCTAGTACGCATCGCGTGGCATGATCCCGGGAGCCCGCGGCAAGATAAGTTCATCGAAGACACCTTTCATGGAATGATGGTAACGGGCTGCGAAGGGGAATATGGAATCCAACAATTTCAGAAAAAGAACAAAAACATCCAGTGGGCGGAATATTGGTCACAGAAGAGGTCCGCGTCGTGAAACGCGTCCCGAATGTTACTGTTATTATTGGCCTCAGGCCATTAAATCATACATCCCGATCTATATAGTGTAGTGGGGAACAGCTGTCTGCAAACTAGTGTCCGTGTCCTCTATATTGACCCGCTAGGGGCAGTTGGGGACCAATTAATGAGACCTAGGGGTGATATGTAGAAAAGAAGGTGGACTGATGATATAATTTCTCCATCATAACGCTTAAACGTAACGTATTTCACTAGCGAGTCGGACACCCGGTGGGCCCGGACACCCCAAAAAACATAGTAACTGCGAATCAAAACTTAAGTTGATATTTCGACTATAACGCATATGAATAGTATCAAATTCTACTCAATGCTGTCTCTTCAAGATAATTTGAGTTTACTTTTGGAGTTTGGTGGCAATTTCATGAGGACTTCATAACATTTTTGAACAATAAAACACACTTCTTACATTCAAGCTCGAAATATATATCTTTGACTTAAACAGCTATAGAAATTAATTAAACCCCGGGAATGTACTATAGGTAGTCTAAAGAGTACGTTTTATAAGGTGAATGAAAAACGAGTTTTAGTTATTGAGGATATTAAGTTATAATTTATCGCAATTACTATGTGTTTTGGGGTGTCCGGGCCCACCAGGTGTCCGACTCACTTGTGAAATACATTAGCTAAGTAAGATTAACGTAATTTACAAGCGACCCGCCCAACACAGTAATTGCAATAACTTACCGCTTGATATCTCAACAACGATGGTCTACACAAGTTTCTCCTAACAGCACAATATAACATCTTTTAGATGATTACTAGCGATTTACGACATCTAAAGAAAATAATAATTTCTGGGCCTCAGTGTGACGCATGAATGTCTTGTGGCCTGAGGGAGGCCTGAGGGGGAACGTGATCTGGAAGGAGCCGTGGGTCTAACCCGATTCGGGATAGAAGTGGGTTTGTTTCGTAGATGCTCGTTTCCCTCTTTCTCTCTTCTTCTTCTTCTCCAGTTTAGTTGCTTCTGTTAATGATACACGAATTCTTCTTCGTCTTGGTCGGTAACACTCAGAGATTTACATTGTTAGAGTGCTGCGATTGCATTTTCTATAACATAATAATATAGCCTTTGAATCATCTAAATCTTGAAATCGACACATATTACTTAACAATGCTTATCAATGACTATTGAATGGATAATGAGGCCAAACTGATTTGTGATGGTCAAATATGAAGCCGTGGTTTACTGCACTCACTACTGGCAATATGCTGAATGATAGTCGTTGACTATCCCGGTGATGGTTATCCATTGGCCTTGAGATTTGTGTAGCCCTTTCTGACTAAAATAAAACGTGTAGCCCACTGTTCTGAGGACTTCTTCATATGTATGTCAAGCGTTTCGCGCAGTATACAATTGGACCCGTCTTAATCGATAAGTGTTGAGGGGGCCAAAAGTAGCATTCAGCAACCCAACCGAGAACAAGAGAGCCCAAAAAAGAAGGTTGCGGTGTCTCCGAGGCCGAGGTAGGGCCAACGACTCACACTCCCGAGGCCCATGATAATTTGCTGAATAAACACCCAGGTCAAATCTTACTGACCGAGGTATGACTTTTAAGGTTTTAACCTACTTTGATCGGTGTCCCATCAATCGTCTACATATATTGTGAATGTATAGATACAATATTGTGGCACGGTAGCACCTCCTCGTATTGCCTCAATTCCCTTTCAAGGTTCTAGCCAATTCAAGCTACCCCAACACTATATATTGCGTATCATTGTCTTAGCAATATGAATTACTCCTGTGCGCCCTTGGGCAGAATAATGCCTATACTCAGCAGGAAATGCATGTCTTCTTCAGGCCGTCAAGGGCGGGTGGGCCCAACATTGATGAATGCGGTTCAAGGATTCGCAACCAATCCGGGAGCTGAGATAAAAGAGTTGAAAAAGCAGGGGATTTTGAACGGAATCAGGATTTTGGATCTGTCTCGCGTTCTCGCAGTGGGTTACCCTCGTCGCTGGGAAGTTCTGTGAGGCAGAGGGCTGACTGATGAGACTCAGATAGGCTCCCTTTTGCACTCAAATTCTAGCTGATTATGGCGCAGACATAATTAAGATTGAGGAACCTGGTAAAGGAGTATGTTGTTTTACGCTTCGCTCTGGTCCTTTGCTTCTTGAGGCATATCTTTAATTAATGGTACACCTTCCACAGGACGACACAAGACACTGGAGAATGAAAGGAGAGGACAAGGCATGGAAAAACGAGGCAGGCCCGATCTCAAACTACTTCTCCGCCGTCAATCGCAACAAAAGATCAGTGACTTTGAATTTGAAGGATGATAAGGGAAGGAGATCTTATTGAATCTGGCCCGAAGCGCCGACGTTCTGTAAGCAAAAGTCACAAACCACCCCTACAGCCACTCATAACATTATTAGGGTCGAAAACTTTCGGCCTGGAACAATGGAGCGACTCGGTTTCGGGTATGATCGCTTGAGGGAAGTGAACCCTAGGCTGATCTATGCGAGCATTTCAGGTACTTTTCCTCTGTTTATTTTTTTCTTCAAACAAGCACATCAAATCCTCAGCTGGCTGACCATATTCTCGGTACTGCCAGGATATGGACCGACAGGGCCTTATAGCAAGCGGGGCGGGTATGACCCCATTGCCGCCGCGGAAGGCGGGATGCTCCATATCACCGGGGAGCGAAACGGGCCCCCAGTGCGCGTGGGAATTGGGATGATCGATATGGCAACCGGACTATACATGCACGGGGCTATTCTGGCCGCATTGCAAGTCCGCAACCAAACGGGCCAGGGCAGCGCGTGGACGCATCTTTGTTCGAAACGCAGGTTAGTATGCTGACCAACGTTGGGCTCTCATGGCTCAATTTAGGCATTGAAGCCGAGCGCTGGGGCTGCCAGCATCCAAGTATAGCTCCTTACGATGCTTTCCAAACTAAGGATCTCTATCTTGTCTGCGGTGCGACTAATGACGGCCAGTTCTCTGCCCTCTGCAAGCTTCTTGATCTGGATTCACTGCCGCTGGATGAAAGGTTTGCGACAAATCCAAGCCGTGTAGAGAATCGGGATGCCTTGACTCCGATATTCAACGAAGTGTTTGCTACAAAGACCACGGCCGAGTGGATAGAGCTATTTGACGGAACAGGGCTTCCGTTTGCCCCCATCAACAACATGGAGGGCACCTTCTCGCATCGGCAGACAAGTGCGAGGCATATGGTTGCCCAAGTGCCAATAGAAGCCGCGACCGCGGGGGTCATCAATCTGATCGGTGAGTCAGCTTTAAAGAGACAGCATTCCTTCAACGCTGAACGCACTCATTAATATGAGGATGATGTTCAATTTTAGGGCCCGCAGTCAAATTCAGCGAGGCTGGAGCTACAATTAGACTAGAGCCGCCTCGGCTGGGACAGCATACGAACCAAGTACTTCAAGAGGCGGGAATCACGCCTGCAGCACTGGCAGATTTAAGAGCAAGTGGCGTTATTTAGTGACCAACGGGGTGCGACCCTTCTATGAAGACGGGGGCTTTGTTGGTGAAAGACGCCTCGGCTAGTTGCCGTAGTCGCCGAGGTCAGACTGCACAAAATTAGGTCCAATTGACCCGAAGCACATGAACAAGCACCATCGTTTGACTAGTATCATAATTTTTACCCCATTTCGTATCCGTGGAGTTATTACATACTATCTCGCTCATCATCAACGTGGAGATCTGGGGAGCCCAGCCTGATAAGCATAGTGGACTAATCATCCTAACCTGCATCTGGCATATTCCCGTGACCCTGTCATCCCAGGTGGTCTATCCTGCATGGTGTCGCTCTAAGAGTCAGCGCCAAAAAGAGGTGCAGTGTAGCCATGGACGATCGCGTCACGAAAAATCGTGCGCCCAGGGCATGCTTGCATTGTCGCAGCCGCAAGGTGCGCTGTGACGTGGTTACTGGTGGTTCTCCCTGCACAAACTGCCGACTAGACAGTTTGACATGCAAGGTCGTCGACGCAAATCGCCCCAGAAAAACAGCTTCACTGGTCATCGATTCATATCGCCCGCGAGATGGATCCCTTGAAGATTGCCGTGCTTCCAACACACCTACTGTCCTGGGTGATCAGTTCCCCCTCTCTTTGACCTTTGACGGTATGTTCAGCTGCTTGTGTCTTTGAAATACTGTGCATGGCTGTTGTGGCATGGGTTGATTTTAAACGCAGATCAGGTAGGCTCGTCCCAATCAGGTGACGGGCTACAAGAAGAGTGTCACAGTGCTTCAGCTCAGAGCGCTCCAATCGATTCTTCCCAAGCTTCAACGAATAAACGTTCGCAACACCTCCCAGTCTACATCAAACCACTAGCAACGCATATCCTTGCCGACGACATAGATTACCTTGCAAAGAAAGATGCGTTGAGCATTCCCGACGACGACCTTCGCAACGAACTTTTAAGACAATATATCAAATTGGTACATCCGTCCATGCCTATTCTGGATGTGAGCCAGTTTGTCACCCCCATAATCAAGGCTGACGGCAGTAACCCGGTCAGTCTTCTTCTATTCCAGGCTGTCATGTTTGTTAGCAGTAGCTTTGTTGATATCGATATCCTCTGTTGCCGAGGCTACACTAGCAGGAAATCGGCACGAAAACGCTTTTTCAACCGAGTTCGCTTACTGTATGGCTTGGACTGCGAACCTGATCGCCTTGCATTGCTTCAATCCCTATTACTCATGACCTTCTGGTATGACGCGCCAGAGGATGAAAAAGACACTTGGCACTGGATGGGGGTTAGTCTCTCTCTGGCACAGGTGATGGGCATCCATCGCAATCCCGAGAATCTCAAGATCTCACCAACGGCCAAACGCCTTAGGATTCGGCTTTGGTGGTCGTGTTTCATGCGCGACAGGTTGCTTGCTCTGGGGATCAGACGGCCAGCGAGAATCCACCCGAATGAATTCAATGTCCCTATGCTCACCCTCGATGACTTCGATACGGGACCTATGTCAGATGAGGTCAGAACGTTGCTTGGCGGGCCCACATTACCGCAAAACACTGATCAGGAACGGAATCTGCCGCTCACTTGTATTGAACTGGCCAAGCTGTGTATCTGCATCGGCCACATTCTCCTCTCGCAGTACTCAGTAGTTGAGAATGACCCCGTCAGCTCGAAATACTCTACTTCGGTAATGGTGTTTCCCAGAAAGACTGAAGAGCAGGGTAATGAACTTGAAAGGTGCGATGAAGAGCTCAGTGAGTGGTACGGAGGCCTGAATCCGTGCAGTCGCTACACGCCTAATGTTTCAGGCTCTGTACAAAAGGAAGAAGAGGCAGATCAGATCATTCGGCTACATCAATCATCCCTGCATATGATTTACTTAACCGCACTGGGTATCTTGCACAGACCACAGATTGTGCGCGCTTCTTCGAATGCGGCCGCTGGTGATAACACCAGGAAATTATCAAGACAGAAGGTCACGGATGCAGCAATCCAAATCACGCAGCTGGCTTACGACATGCAGCTCCAAAATCAGCTCCGATATCTATCAACCAGCAGCATCCCCGCATTCGTCTCTGCAGCGCTGATTCACCTCTTTGAAATTCGGTCGACCCAGGAAGACGTGCGCAACGTGAGCATTGGCCGTTTCTTTCAATGCGCGCATGTACTGCACCAACTGCAGGACATGTACGCCTCAGCCGACTATGCCGTACATTTCCTCGAGTCCGTGGTTCAAAGAACAGGCATCCAAGTGCCCGTGCTCAGTCTCAAGTATTTACCAAGTAGCCGAGGGCCTGGAAAACCTAATACAAGCGCAACTTGCGCTTTGACCACGTTGCACGCCACTTCTTCGAGCCCTGCCGACCCGACACAGAAGCGTTATTCCACCCCTTCGAGTTTCGACAACCAATCAGCACTGCTGGGTTCGATGCCAATATCATCACACGGGTCTGGAACATCACTCCTTGCTAAGGATCCTGCCACTCAGGCAATGCAGCCACCAGCCCTTCTCCCCCTGCGTGAAATGGAGGATTTGAATCCAAGCAGCCAGGACCAGAATGGCATGGTCTTGCAGGAGGGTCATACTCAATCTAGCATACAACCGAATAATGGCGATGATCTTGACAGCTTACTTTGCAACTTCATCAATTTTGAAAGCGATCCAGGTTTTTGCATGTCGCCGATTTATAATTCGAATGATTAGGGTCAAGGCGCAAAAGCACAACGTAGAGAGAAAGGCGGGCGCAAAACAGATACTCAATGCCAAAATTGACCTCAGCTAGCAATGACACGGGAAAATATTCCAACAGAAAGGCCACTCATAGAGGTATTGGGATGCGCGAGGAAAGCAAAGGACCAGTGTCCGACAGTAATCAGAACCTGCTTTAGCCGACGGCCCGAGGCATGGCCGCATGAATATTGCATTATGCAATGCCAAGCGTCAGCATGGCTAGCGGAACGGGTTAGAGTGGGCGTGTCTGATGGATCCTCTTTACTTGTTTTTAAGGAGGAACCGGCTGGCTATGCTAGGTTATATTTACATCTACGTAAATGACATCTTGGCCAATCAACAACGCGCTTTCGTACACTTTCCACGCCCATGGACAACACTCTTGCCTTAACTCCTGTCTCCGGGAATGGAGAGGATATATACACCAACGTCAATCCACACTGGACACCGCCGTGGGGACGCGGTATCTTCGGTGGTGGTATTATAGCTCAATCACTTTGTGCAGCTCAACGCACTGTCCCCTTAGCCTTCTGTGCGCATAGCATGCATTGCTACTTTGTCCGCCCTGGGACCAGTTCCGATCCTGTATTCTACCATGTCGAACGAATCCGTGATGGTAATCAGTTCGCCTGCCGCATAATCCGCGCAATGCAGCTAGGTCGCTGCATATTCACCGCAGCCGTGAGCTTCGCGCAGGAACCACCACCACACCAAATTCATATGCTTAAGCACGCGGCTCCCATGCCTATTGACTTAAAACCCCCACCAAGTGTTGTGGACAGCGCCTGTCTCACGAAGACCGCCCCCACTGGCGAAAACAGCTCGTTTGAGTGTGTGCGACATCCAGTGGAGAGCAGTGGCCCTGAGGTCCCACCAGAGCAGCGCAAAGTGAGACAATGGATTCGGGCTAAAGGCCTTTTCGGAAATAACTATATTCAGAATCCTGGTGCCGAGCACCAGTCACATATGGCGGCATTGGCATACATGACTGACTGCTATTTCATTGGTACGACGGCGCGCGTGCATGGAGCGACGAGGTTCGCAGATAAAAAATACATCGACCGCATGGTGGAATCTCTAGGGGGCAGTTTGGAAGAAAAGGCTTGGAGGAGGGGGTACTTTGAAGACTTGGCGAGCGAAGAGGTTAGGCAGATTGAATCAAGCTTCTGGAAACCCGATGGACAGGCGCGCGTACGTGTTGGAATGATGGTGAGCTTAGACCATACTATCTTCTTCCACCAAACGCGCAGCATTGCGTCAGATCAATGGATGCTCGCGGAAATGGATAGTCCCTGGATAGGCAATGAGCGAGGCCTAGTGATGCAGCGCATCTGGACTCAGACAGGTGAGCTGATAGCAACTTGTGTACAAGAAGGAATTCTGCGTTTGGCATCGACTGGCCTCCAAGATGCTAAGCTGTGACCTATGCCCATGGCCCAAATACGATATTTCTAGATAGCATCGCGATCAATTGATACATGTTGCAGACGTACAAATGCGCTACGGTTCATGTGTTGCTTCAGCTTGTAGGGTTTGACAAGGGAGCAAAGAGAGAGAAGCCGGATAGATTCTCAGAAACAAACGTTAATTGACTAGTCAGCGACTTAAATAGCTAGATGGAAACGTAGTAGGCCTAGCATCTGTCCGATTTCCTGTATCTTCAGGCTTCAATCTCCATTGCCCAGTAGACTACGCGCTGACAACCCGGCATAAAGCACACCTGTCGGAATTCATGGTCGTGAATATATATCAGCTGCATTGGCTAGGCCGCATTCCGTGGAGTAAGGCGAATATGGAGTGGTGGTTTGTCCCAGAGGAACGACATAACATTTCTCTCCAACCATTTTTCACTGCGAGGGTCAAGCTCCATTTCAAAGTTCCAGACCATCTTCGCCAGAATAAGACGCATTTCCGCATACGCAAGACTGTAGAAGGTCAATGATGAACAGAGCTTTTGATGGTTATGCACTCACTTTTTACCAATACAATCTCGAGCTCCGACGGAGAATGGCTGGAGCGCCATCCGTTTGTCGTGCTCAAATTTTTGATCGCCGAGCCATCTTTCAGGAGCGAAAATTTCGGGTTCTGCAAAATGCTTCGGGTGGTGAAACATTGGCCAAGGCCAGATTCCCAGCACAGTCTGGGTAATGAATGTTGGCTTCCGTATGAAATTCATTGCATGGAACGACACTTACATTACCAGGTACGTATTCTCCTCGGATTGTCGTTCCTCGAGGGGGGGTTATGCGGGGGATAGCGGAGGGCACAGCCGGATAAATACGCATGACTTCCTTCAAGACTGCCATCATATAGTCCAGCGTCTGGACGCTGAGGAGGTCAATCTCATCCTGATTGGCGAATCTCGTTTTGATTTCTTGATGCAACCTCTCTCGTACTTCCTTGTGACATGCTAGCAGATAGGTGGCACCTGACAACACAGTCGCGGTGGTCTCAGAGCCACCCACGATCAATAGATGGGAGTTGGCGACAATCTCCTCCTGTGAGATGAGCTATGTTTTACCAAGATTAGTCATACTAGAATAATAACACGGCTGATTCTCAGAGACACACATTCTTCTCCCGGGCAGTTATCATTGACTGCATGAAATCAGGCCTCGGACCTTTGAGGCTGAGACGCTTCGCGACCTTTACCTGGTTGAACTCATGGTGGGCGCGGATATCTTTCGCCACCTCTTTAGGCATCATTAGCTTGAGGAGACTCTGAGCAAAGGGAAATTTAGCCACGCTGTTGTTGATTGCGAGCCCCTTGATGTGCTTGAAAATGAGTTTCACCCAGGGGTGGTAGGAAGATGTCTGCAAGCAGCCGAATGGGTCGGCATAGGCCAGATCGCCGATGATGTCGAATGTTGTCCAGTTGTACCAACTAGTCATTTCCTGTGATTCGTCTCCGGCCACAGCTATCTTCAGTTTCTCTATCAGCAACTCGACGTATTCCTTAATGAGAGGCTCTTGTTCTGCCATGGCCTTGGCTGAGAACGCATGGGAGAGAATTCGTCGAACGCGGCGATGGTTCTGGCCATTGGACCCGGTCAGCGTAATCGAGTCTTCCTTCCAGAAATCTTGATCTTTGCCGTTTTCTTCCTCGCCTTGCTTCCGGTGGCCCATTATATCGTTGAATGCTTCCGGGTAACAGAATATGAGCTCGTTCGGGGCAATTCGAACTGTATCTCCATACTTCTCATGTAGCTCCAATATTCTCTTGTGCGCCTTGCCAGACATATAGCAAATGGAATAGGGGATTCTAGAGATAGCCCAGAGTTTGGGGCCTGGATATCTCCGAAGTGGATGTAGAAAGAAATTGTACAAAGCATATCCGAGAAAATAGCATATCACCTGAATGCTCATAGCACTTCAGTCAGCCGACATCCTCGAGAGACTTGTATAATACACTCATTGGGAGTATGTGTGTCGAATGTGGTATTTCATTTTTGGGAAGGGGGGGGAGGAACTTGCCGACAATGGTATCAGAAACACAGAGGTCTTGTAGCTCTGAACTAACCACGACATGACGGCGTCAAAGCAAGTATCCTGGTTTGTCGCACATCCGCTGATATAGAGACAAAGGAGTTCAAGGATATACAAAGGGTTTCCTATGTCACCCTGTTTGATTTTAGTCCCTGGGCAGAGCTCAAGGGAAGATATGAATGTATACCTTCACGCGTTGCCATTCCTCCCTGATATATACCCGAACTCGCGTTACAATCCTCGGCTATTGCAATTTCCTGCGCCTGTCGTATTAAGACCTCTCAAAATCAACTTACATGTCGCTGGCCTGTCGGCTCGGCGACGGGAAGAAGTGTAGGCTCGGCAATGCAGACTATGCATAAATGTGGGGAAGGAAAGCGGGGAATCTTCCATCAATGCCTTCAATGTAGCCTATAGTGCTGTACATGGGATCTGGTTAGCCATATGCCCACCTGGGATATCAGACTTCCTCTTCGAGTCTCTTCGGGCGGTTTCGAATCTCTCCCTCTCTTCGATATTTCAATTCATCACCGCCTTGATTGCTTCCCTATTTTCTCTCTGCCTGACGTGACAAGTATCTTCCCTCGGGTTTCTAGTCACAACAATGGAATTTAAAGATACATTTTCTCTAATATCAGTGGCTGACTGACGTAATGAATGCTTAACTGTACAAACATTCTACGCTGCCTAACGGCCATTAAAGGGGTGAATGGGTTCCAGAGGATTATTATAGATCGGGATTAAAGTCGTTAGAAGTCATGCCCGAAAAACAACGGCTCTTTTAGAATTATCACCGAAGAAGTAGTCCTGGGACCCTGCGAACCAAGACTGAAAGTAGGTCATGTTACAGGTAAATTGAATAGCACCTGTGCAGTGGGAAAAGAGTTGAGTCGATCCATATTTCAAATTTATCAAATCCCATTACAAAACGAGTTTATTTGGATGATTCCCCTAAGGAGCAGGTGCAATTTCAAGGTCCTTGAAACCAGCTGCTCTCCAATCGGCAATAAGTCTCCCAAAATCATCAGGACCCCCGACCCACAGGCTCATCCTGGCTAGCCGTTTCAACTCTTCAGGAGAGGCACCGGCACCCAAAGTTCCTTGCCCGTTGTAGTAGTTAGGTGTACAGCCAGCGATGGTTGCGAAGGCTCCCGCCTGTGAGGCAACAAGCTGAGACCATTCTTCTTCGCCGTCGGCAGTAGGCTCGACGGTGCAGGGAATCTTGTACTTCCCGATATTCTCATTATTCCCTTCGGTGGACCCAGTGGTTTCAACTGCGTGAGATATGATGGAGGCGACGTGGGTTCCAAACATCTCCACGCAGGCAGTGAAATTGGGACCGGCTCCAGCTTGAACTAGACCGGGCCAGAACAGATTGGGAAATCCATTGCTCATCATTCCGTGTAGTGTCGTGACGCCTTCTTCCCATTTCTTGTCAAACAAGAGCCCATTGCGACCCTTGATCTCAATGCTGACTCGGCCAGCAGGGCTAGGGGCAAAAAGGCTCCTGTAGCCAGTGCTGACGATGAGCACGTCAAGTTTATATTCTTCATCTCCGACCACGACTCCCTCTGCCGTGATCTCCTTGATTTCAACGGCGCTGGTATCAACTAAGAGTAACGTGTGGTTCGTTGAATGACTGGAGGTATCCGTCGTGGAAACAAGGACGCTTGCACCACCCCGGATACCAGGGCTTGAGCTTCGACGCCACATCCGGATCAGTCACGACCTCATCAACCCGTTTACGAATACTCTCCTGTCGGGGCAGGTCAAGGGCATGGAGCGTCTCAAGGTGTTTCTGGATGGCCTCTGGTGTGGAACAGTCCAAACCATGTGTCCCAGTCATGGCGCTGTACGAAGGCATGCGCGTCCATCCATCACGAACCATATCGTTGCTTGGCTTGCACGGGGCGTTCGTGACGAAGTCATGAAAGTTCTTCTGCCGTGCTTTCTGCCAGCCCGGAGTGGAGAACGCATTACGAGCCCAGTCCGCGTCAGTAGGCTCGTTGTCGCGTCGATCCACCGCCGAGGGTGTGCGCTGGAACACGCACAAGTCTTTCGACCACATAGCTAGGTGTGGTACTACTTGAACTGCTGTGGCACCAGTGCCGATTATTCCGACCCGCTTGTCTTTGAGATTGACCAGATCGGGTTTCTCAGCCGTGCCCCCGGTAGTCTGGTAGTCCCAGCGCGCGGGATGGAAGCATGCACCCTTGAATTTTTCGATTCCAGGGATATCGGGGATATGGGGAACAAAAAGAAGACCTGTGGCTAGGACTGCGAACCGTGACCGAACTGTAATCGGGTCTCCTTCCTTTCCGTGCATTCCCTGAGGGACAAGGATAGTGGCCCATTCTTGGGAATTGTCGTCCCATACAAGAGAGGTCACGCGGTTCTGAAACCATGCAATGCGGTCGAGATTCCACTTTGTGGCAATCCTCTTGGCGTGCTCGCGCAGCTCGTTGCCGCTGACATATTTATGTGTCGGTACGTACCCAGTCTCCTCTAGCAGAGGCATATAGATGTAGCTTTCGACGTCGCAACATAATCCTGGGTAACGGTTCCAATCTGAAGAAGTAAGTATTCCTGTGCAAATACAGAAAATTGCGGGAAGAAAATGCGGGACCTTGTCCCTTCTCCATCAAGTGCACCGTGGTACGAGGTGAGACTTACACCAAGTACCACCAAAGCCAGCAGCGAAGTCTACGATGCGTATATCATCCAGTTTGAAACCAGCTTGGAGTAGTCTGACCGCCGTGACCAGGCCGCTCCATCCGCCACCAATGATCAGTATCTCACAGTGCGAGCCATCATCTGGTCTGAGAGGGCCATCGGGGTTGAGAGCTTCTTCTTCGGCCCACTTGTCATTTTTGAAATGGCGGAATCTTTCAAGGGAATGCAGATCCAAGTATTCGGACCGTGCACCAGGACGAAGACGCTTCTCGCGCTCTTGTGTGTACATCTCTTGCGTCACTTCAACATGTTTGTCAGCTATTTTGAGGCCGTCGGAATTGGGAGCATCTTCTGTGACAAGCTGAGTCTTCGTCATTTTGATAGGCTCTTAAGCAACCGCTTGATATCGTGAAGGATGGTATTCCTGTCAATTGAATTTGCTCGAATGGGGTCTTTTTAAAACAAAGCCAGCCAGACAGCGTAGCAGCACAAGGTGGCTAGGTCTGCTGGATAGCGACATCATTTTAAGAATATAACACATAGCTGCTTCAATTGCCGCGGCCTACATGCGAGCAGACCAGATCGAAAGTGGGCCCCAGCCAAGGGGGTACATAGCAACAAGGAGGCTACAGGTGCATATTAGGAAGTGCGTACTAGATGCTGTCTCTTCTTGATGTACTCGGTAAACTAACCGTTTTCCGATTCGTCAATAAATTGTGGAACCTATTATTACCTCGGCCTCCTTATCTTCCATAACAGAGAGTGAGAGATCAGCATACTCTTACTTCCCTAAGGCACGAACAGTACCACTACAGTCGAAACCTTGCTCACAATGCCTTCTCTGCAGTCCCAACTCATGGAGGATACTTACGTCAGGTTGAACAAGCATCTCCGCGGCGAGAACTTGACCACCGACCTCTACCGGATAGTAATGGAAGAAATGGCAACCGTGGCTGCCGAGCCAACAAATGTCACATACGAAGAGGTTCACTGTCCTGGCACCGTTCGACCAGCAATCTGGTGCTTGCCACAGTTGGCGTCAGCCGCACATGTCATATTATACATCCACGGTGGAGGCTTCATCTCTGGTTCACCTTCGAGTCACCGGAAAGTGGCAGCTCATCTCGCCAAAATAGCCCGATGTCGCGCTCTTGTCATTGACTATCGACGGGCACCAGAGCATCAATTCCCCAAGCAGATAGAGGATGTGGTTGCTGCATACACGTGGCTAATCAACGATTTGGGCTTCTCGAGCAAGAATATTGCCTTCGCAGGGGACTCTGCTGGAGGTAATTTGACGGTCTCAGCAGCACTGACAATTAAAACCATGGGCTTGAATATCCCGGCCGCCATTGTTGCGTTCTCTCCCTGGTTCGACATGAAGTTGACTGGACAGAGCTGGCAGCGGAATGCTAAAACCGATTCCCTTGTGCAATTAGAGGCTATGCAAGGTGTGATCGACGCTTATGTGGGTGAAAGCTCACTTGATAATCCGTGCTTAGATTTGCTACGTACGGACCTCAACGGGCTTCCGCCCATGTACTTGACGTCTGGAACGGCGGAAGTCCTAGAGGACGACGCAGCTCTTTTAGCAGAGACTGCTAAGTCAGCTGGAAATGAAGTGCATTTAGTTCGCGTGGATGGCATGCAGCATATATGGGTTTTGATGGCCGGACATGCGCCCGAGGCTGATGATAGTCTTTCACAGGCTGCAAACTTCATTTGCAGGAAGATGGAACGCTACTTTGACGTCTGAGATCCTGAATTGTATACCTATTCATCCGCTCCTTAACAGAGACTGTCGTCGTAGTACAGACTATTCGCAATCGCATGTACCGTATTGGCCTTTGTCAACAGCAGATATTGCAATGATTGCAAAGGCCTATGGATGCTTTATGCTGCCCTCATCTAGCTTTTGAATATCTTTTCATTAGTCATCTGTGGCTTGAAGTCGCTCGTTCTTGTCAAACGACCTACATTGTCAAGTCTTCTTGATGTTACACCTGGTTGCTCTATGTACTACAGTGATCAGTAAGCTTATTTTCTTCGTCTCAACCAAACATATCTAATTGAAAGTCACGTCTCAGATGTAAAGGGTGGTAATATATAATGAAGAGGGCTGTTCACACTCCACTCGCCCTCCATGGCCGAGAATTAGCACTGAATTAGTAAGGGCAACTAGAATTTTTTTTTCCTAAGACGCCTCCAAGGTTGATTTTGAGGGATGGATCATGCATAGAAAATATGATAGCCTTAGTACCATAGTTTCTACTGATCTTATTCCATTCATTGGCTAGAATCTCGTTACTTCACAAATTGCAGTTGCTGGTAGTCATGGTCGCATATAATCAATTATAGAAATGGAGATAGTTGGAGAAACCCATTGAGTTGAGGGCCGAGAACTTAATACTCCAGACTCGCTACATGGCTAGTCTCAACATCAGCCAATAGAAGAATTGTTGAGGTCTAATGTGAGCTTGGCCCGAGGGGAGGATCCTGCCACCTCGGACAGTGCGTTTCAAGCAGCTGTTCCGCGCCGAGGTGACTAGCCAACTTTGTTGAACCAACCACATTGCAAGGAACTCAATTGTAATTGTAAAAATACCGGTATCTAAGGTCTGCATCATTGTGGGTTAGCCCTCGAAAGACGACAAAGCATTGACCGCGGTCGAAAATGCTCCTCGGCTCTGGGGCTAAATATCCGACTATCATATAAAACCTTTACTTCTAATTCGCAGCCCTAATCCAAGTGAAGATCCAAATTACCTGCATTCCAGACTCGATTGAATCCAATCTAGATGATCATTCGGGACCATAGCAATGTCTCTCAAAAGCCAAGTATTCGCCATAACCGGCGCCGGACAGGGGATCGCACTGGCTACGGCGAGGTTACTTGCCAGCAGAGGTGCAAGCGTATCTCTTGCTGATATGAACCCGAATACACTCGCAGAAGTAGAGAAGGAATTCCAGGGGAATGACTGGCCAGTCCTTGTCACAGTCGTTGATGTCAGGAAACGCAAAGACGTGGACGACTGGATCATTGCCACCGTACAGAAATTCGGAAGACTTGACGGCGCGGCCAACATCGCTGGGATTATAGGCAAACAGATATTCAAAGCGCAGGTGACCGAGATAGAAGACGATGACTGGGAGATGGTGATGAGCGTTAATGTAACCGGTACGAGCGATGTCGCCCCTTCCCTCACCACCTCTGACCCCCTGGTAGGAGCTGACAATATCTCAGGGACCATGAATTCGATGCGAGCCGAATTGAAACACCTGGTGGACGGTGGAAGCATAGTCAATATCTCCTCGCAGGACGGCTCTCGCGGAGTCGCGTGTTGTAGCGCATATTGTACCTCGAAGCACGCTGTTCTTGCGCTCACTCGATGCGCCGCTAGAGAATATGGAAGTCGCGGGATTAGAATAAATACCGTTGGGCCAGGCGCAACTAAGACTCCTCTCTTCGACAGCGTGGTTCAAGGAGACCCTCCACCCCCAGCTGTCGCATTGCAACGGTATGGGGAGCCGGAGGAAATTGCGTACGCCATAGCGTGGCTTCTGGGTCCCGAGAGCGAATACGCTACCGGTGAGCTGTTCCGTATTGACGGTGGTGAATTTTGTTAGGCTGTTCAGAGGCGGTCGGCAGTGATGTACATATCAGCGCGGTGGATGTGTCATAGAATGGGTATTATCTACATAATGATATGTATACGACCTTGATCAAGTATCCTCAGCCTTCGAAACAGTTTATAGAACCCTCCACCTCGGGCTCTTGTCCCATAGTAAATTCTACAGGATATTTACAGGATATCAATCCTCCACAGAACAGGATAACGATAAATCGAGTACCACATACCCACGTAGCTCTGCCCGACAACTCGGTCCAACACGTACTGAGTTCAGCAGATTGACAGTAGTCCCAGAATCAGCAACTCGTCACAGGAATGCCCCGGCTCCAGACCTTCATCATAAGTCGGCTGCCGGCCTCCTTTCGGTTGTACCTGTGTATTTGCAAAGGAGGGGACATCTTGTCCAAAGGTCCGTGACCACGGAACGTCAATAACAGTGAATGCTCGTTTTGAAAGTGTCAGAAAGTAGGCATTCGCGGGCTCCACAACTAAGAGCTAGAGTATGTTGCTTCGAGCAGCTCGGATTTACTCGTATCGAGTGTGAAGGCGAGTATTGTACAAATGGGACGCTAGTATAGTGTGAAATAGCTCTCAAAGAGCGAATGGACGTATTCTCAGCTGCCTTGCAAGAAGTGTTTGGTTTGTCTGGTATAAGTATCAACTAGTATAACAGGTGCTGTATATCTTATTTATTGGAGAAACAATGTTCATTGATGGAAATTCATATTCATATCTAAAGATGCTTTATTATTTAAGAATACCTACTCTTGTTTTGGAAAAAACCAGCAATAGAGTGGTTAATATAGTATATTTTGATTCAAAATTTGCATTATCAAACTCTTCTTCTATGACTTTTTTAATATTAACATTAGTTATACTTTCTTCCTGTTTATTCCTCCGTTTCTATGCCATTTTTTAGTGGTTTTCTCTTAGAAGACGACCATATCGCCGACGCCAGCGGAGTACCATCTCTTCGAGGGCGACGACGGAGAAGGCCTCTCAGTATCAGTTACAACAGCAGGGAGATGAAAAGACTCATCACCTGACAGGGAAAGAGAGGACGGAAGTAACGAGGTTGGTGATGGATTGAGCTATCTGGCTTGAAAAGAGCAATACAAGAGTTTTGAGCTATTGACTGCAATAAGCGAAAAAACCACGGAAGAAAATAAAAGAGCGATAAGGAGTATCAATATACTCTGCAGTCCCTGAAAAAAGGCCTGGTGACCGCACCAATGATCCCAATATTCATGCGTTCGTATCAGGGAAGGAAGGAGAAGCTTATATGGTATAGACAAAAGCTTGTTCGCCGTCTTCATTGTCAGCACCGCCATCAAGCAAATTTTGTTGGTGGAGATGCGACGCCATTATGCCGCTGAGAATAATGATAGTACTCGCGCAACAAATCACCACAATTGACCCAGGAGTATAAGTTGGAGCGTCCTGAGAACGGAAGACGGTGGAGCCAATGATGCCTCCGATGGCACCAAAGCTCAATTGCAAGCCTGAGCTAACGCTGCGAGTCGTTCGTGTCTGCATATTATTCTGACCGAAGACGACGATCATGGGGCCGTTGACAAGCGACCCCCCGAGAGTGAGAAACAGGCCAAAATATTGAGAGCCTGTGTTAGGACCCCATCGGGTCAGGATCATTCCTACGATCACATTTAAAGCAAAAAAGGCTATAAATGGCGATCTCATACGATGTCGGTCGGATAGCCAGGAAAGGGCGACGGCGAGAATGACTGCATAAAAATACGGCGGAGTCGTTAGAAGCTGGCTGAGCGCCCCAGAAAATTCCATCTTCTCTTCAAGGATCAGAGGTATGAAATACGCCATGCCGTACGAGGTGACAACGCAGAGCATGTACATGATAGCGAATATCCAGATTTTCCAGTCGCCGAGGGTCCGAATTATCAACCGAACCGTCAACTTCTCCTCAAGTTTCTCGTCCCGATCCTGCGCGATCAAATTCACGATTATATCGCGGTGACTCTTTGATAGAAATCTCGACGTTTCCGGATATTCGTCAAGAATGAAGAAGGCCACGATACTCACGAGTACCGTGATTGTACCCTCGAGTATGAAGATCCACCGCCATCCCGCGTAATTTGGGACATTAATGCGCGAAAATGCATATGCGAGAACGCCAGAGAAGGCAGCGATGAGGGAAGCGCCGGTGTTGATGAGAGTTAATCGCTTCCCAACGTAATAGCGTGGGTACCAGGTGCAGACAACGGATATCACGGTAGCGAAACATCTATAGATGTCAACACTGTAAGTACGTAGGACCGGGGAACGCCGTTACCCTGCTTCAGAAATGCCCATAAAGACGCGCATGGCCAATAGACCGGCCTGATTGCGAATAAGGCCTGAGCCGAGAGTGAATAGGCCAAAATTTATACAGATGAAGGGAAGCCAGTACCGCACAGAAGTTTTGCTGAGGATGTAATTGCTGGGCAGAACGCAAAGAGCGTAGCCAGGGAAGAAAGCCAAGAGCATAATAGAATAATCATACCCCTTGAACTCTAGCTCGGTGGACATGCCTACCACGGCCGCGAGACCCATGTTGGAGCGGTCAATATAGGAGAATGAGAGCAGGACCATCATTATTGGGATGATCAAAACATCCACCCTTCTCACGGCATTTTGTACCTGTTCTTGGCTGGCAACAAGGCCAACACTCTCTGATTTAGGTTCTGCATATTCTTCGCGCAAAGTCTCTGCTGTGACTTCACCCAGGGCCGTCGCAGGCATGGTCTCTTTCGCAATCGAATGCTCATAATCAAGCTCAGTGGTAGGAACTGACATCGGTAAAAATGATGGAAAGAAAGCCACACTGGCTAGAAGGGAAAGGCGGGAGGTGCCAGAAAGAAAGCAGAGTTGACTTGGGGATCGCTCCATACTATGTAGCTGTGGAGCGCATCCTTAGAAAATCCCTGACCCAGAAAGCTAGCCCTTAGTCACCCTCTATCGTGCCACGGCACCGGCTACTAATCCTCTGGTGTAATTAACGGCCACTGGCAGTGGCTAGGCGCATCCTTGGCACTGGAATGAGTGCCGATACGCAAGCCGAGGGAAGGCGTACCTCATAGCCACGAGCCAACAGAATTTTCGGTCACCACAGACTCTCTTGGGTTTAGATGGCCTTTGCACAGTTTGCGGGGTCATTCCTCGTTGATTTTGAAGCAGTCGAATGACTCAGGACTGTGCCTCCCCTCGTCCACCGCCTCGGCTTGCCTAGTATAGCTTCAACTTTTGCGTTCAGCAGATTACCGCCAGAAAAAAGGGCTTAACTGACTTACTTGTACACATGCATACGATTATCTAAACTTGGCTTTTCGTATCCATCGCTTATCCAGTGAAAAGTGCAAGAGGTCATTTCTATTCTGCTTTCAACGCTGCTGATTATATCGTGACAAGAATAATACTACCCAAGCTCAAACCCATAGTATTCAAACTGCAGGTAACTCAGTTCGATTTATTAACTTGTGTTCAACAGTAACAAACCGCATATCAAAGTTTGGACAGGCCAGTCTTTTCTTCTTTGAAATTCTTCACGCGCTGAAAAGCTGCATCCAGAGACTTTTGTGTCTTTGAAAAGTATATATGGCCAAAGTCACTGCTTGCTTGGCCACTGATGGTCCGAGCCTGTATGCCGTGGCTGATCGTACCTGCGCGGAGATATTGGAAAATCGTAGCGGTCTCCCAATCCTTGCCTCCTCCGTCGTTGCGAAGGTCAAAGCCTACAATTTGGGCATAGTGCCCCAAGAGCTCATCCATTTCTGGTATACCGTTAGAGCCCTCGAGTTCTGGTTTGTAAGATGACTCCGATGAAGATGAATCGGGCTGCGCGACTCTAGCATAATCATGGAAGAAAGGGGATACAAGGAAGACGAGGTCCATGAGAGGATGGCCAATTGTCGATAATTCCCAATCGAGGATTGCAATGACCCTTGGCTCCGTAGGGTGCAGGATCTGAAGAAACGAAATGTTATAATCAATACTACTAGGAAAATTGTGTATGATCAAATACCAGATTGTCAAATTTGAAATCTCCATGCACAATAGCATATCGATCACCCGGCAAGTTGTTTCTGACGTGGTCAGATATTTCATCATATCTTGGATGAGCCCGGCCAAGAGTTGTCCCCGTCTTCCTATCTTTTACCGCAGCTTGTTGGGCTTCGATGCGGCTCCAGGTTTTGCAGTGACGGGCATAAAAGTTGGATTTACTTCCGTACTGCTCAAGGCCAATAGCGTCTGGATCGATCGAATGAAGCCATGACAGAGTCTCAATAGCGGAAAACCAGCTTTATCGTACTAGTCACTTATTGGTGCCATGTAACACGGAATGTATCAGGACTCACGCTTTGCGTCTATCAGCTGGGGAAAGCTCTTTCATTTCCATGTCCGTGATAATCCTTCCATTTACAAACTCCATGACCTAGATTAGACAGTGAGCTTTGAGAATTTCATTCTGTGGTTGGTTTGCTTTCCCGTTCATCAACTTACGTAGAAGGCGGTTCCAACGACCGAGGTGTCCAAGCATAAATCGAAGACCTTGGGTACCGGAAAGCCCTTGACCATGCCAAGTGCTTGGAGAACCTTGTATTCCCGATCGACTTGATGTGCTACAGGACTAATGATCGGCCCTTGTGGTTTCTTTCTGAGGATGAATCTTGTGCCACTAGACGTGTAACGTTAATCTTTCGTCATCTTGTGCCGGACGATTGATTGCCGCACTTACGCTGCATCATCGAGAAAATAAGTTGGATTGCTCTGACCATATCCGATTTTCTTTGTCACGATTGGTAGCTGTAGACCGGGAATCTTTCCAGACTGGAGTAGATATCTCCCTAGGGCCCTGTCATCAAGGTCATGACGTGAACCAGATCCAGGCGATATACTAGAACCCATTTTGGTAGGATCAAGCTCCTCCAAATCACAGTCAGCGATGCTCCTCTATGTGCAGGGACAGTGGTAGTTATCAAGGGGGGGTGCTATACAGCCAGTAATCGTGATGACCGGTCACTATAAAGAGGAAGTACTAGGGGTAACTGGATACCCGAGGCCCAGGCACAATTTCCTCTTTAATGTAAGACCCGGGTCAAATTAAGGCCAAGAATACACCTTGCGGTATGAGGAGCAGACAGATCCCGTGATGAGAAGGGTTGCCGAAGAGGCCGAGGGCCACAGCCCAGCACCCCGTCTGCAACCCACTTTGGACATGGCTCTGAATTTATTGAATTGCTATAAGGCGATATATTTCCACGGCCTTCATACTCTTGATACTTTCAAGACCATCTGCATATTTTCTACATCTAAACATGAACTTCGAGCTGCCTCCAGACGTGAGAGAGTACCTTTCGCGTATTGATACTTTCATCAACGACAAAATTCTACCGTTGCAGCACAAAGACGACAATAATCGCTTTTTTGACCACCGCCGTGAAGCCTCACGCACGCAATGGAACAACCAAGGTCTGCCGACTGAGGAATGGGAACAATTACTTCGCCAAGCCAAGGCCCTCGCGGACCAGGCGGGCTTCTACCGTTTTGCATGCCCCAAGGAGTACGGCGGATCGGGCAGTGATTCGCAAAATCTATACATGTGCGCGATTCGCTACCATCTGTCCTCGCATCCAGTGTATGGGGGCGGGTTGAGCCTGGCCAATGACCTTCAAAATGAACACAGCGTTGTGGGTAATAATCCCTTCGTCATCATGATATACCATTATGGTACCCCTAAGCAACAGAAGGAGCTTATCCCCGCCAGTATCAGTGGCGAGCTGCGAGCTACTTTTGGGTTAACGGAAAACGAACACGGCTCAGACGCGACTCATATGGCAACGACTGCAAGGGCCATCACGCTGCCCTCTGGTGAACCTGGATACGAGATTAATGGAAATAAAAAATGGCAGACCGGCATGCACAATGCAAAGTACTGCGTTATATTTGCTCGAACCTCAGGCAAACTTGGTGCCGCCAGAGGCATTACCGCGTTCCTTGTTCCTTCGGGGTCTCCCGGGCTGACCGTTGTGTCCTACGAATGGACGCTAAATATGCCTACCGACCACGCCACAGTGAGACTGGAGAACGTTCAGGTCCCCGCCTCTGCTGTTTTGGGCCCAGTGGACAATGGACTTGCCATAGCGCAAACATTCACCCATGAGAACAGAATTCGTCAGGCTGCCTCAAGCTGCGGGGCAGCTCAATACTGTATTGATCGGAGTGTGGAGTACGCCAACAAGCGCAAGGTGTTTGGAAAGGCTTTATCCTCAAACCAGGCCGTACAATGGCCCCTTGTGGAGCTCTCGACACAGGTGGAGATGCTGAGGCTCTTGATTCTCCGAACAGCAGTCGAGATGGACCAAGTCAGGGCCACTGCCATGGCTACCGGAAAGGCGCCATGGGAAGCAATTGAGAGACAGCTTGGGCACAAAATTGGAATGTGCAATTATTACGCCAATCGCCTCGTTGGAGAAGCCGCCGATCGAGCCATTCAAATACACGGTGGTGACGGATATTCAAGACATTACCCCTTTGAGCATATATGGCGGCATTTCAGACGGTACCGCATCACCGAAGGAAGTGACGAGGTGCAAATGCGAAAGGTGGCAGCATATCTATTCGGCTACAGAACAACAGGATTAGAAGAGACCAAGAAGAACGAAGCCAAATTGTAAATAACACCCTGTCATGAGTGGACTAGAAGAACGCGCCTGCAGCGACGAGACGCACGTTGGTATGGGCAGTCACTTTCGGGTAGTCACTTTCAACTAGTGAGAAAAACGTATTTCGTGCAAGCAAGGCAGACTATGGTCAACTGAATGAATAGCTCAGCTATCTAGTGAACCAAGATGAAAGCCCCTCGCACGGAGAATCATCGTCGACGCACAGCAACTGGACGCCACGAAGACCGCCATATATAGAATTTTAGGAAATACAAAGCTCTAACTTTTGCTGTATGGCTGCGCATTTGATTTCAACATATATTTGATCGATCATTGGCTGTACACTTTGACGGCCTTTCCATCGAGAGCCTCTTGTATAAATTTGCCAATAGTTCGACCCTTGAAACCTGGATACAGGTCGTCAAGAATCAGGTATCCTAGGTATCTAGCACACTCTGGAGTGTTATCACCACGTATACCCCACGAATTGTAGTACTCGTATTCGGCCAGCGCTTGGTTGATGCCAGCACCAGGCTTCCTTGCTTCAGCAACCTTGGCCTCAACCTCGGCTGCCGGAACCTATGGATTGAAATTGTTAGCCGCCGGTCACAAGGTAGCGCTATTTTGTATGGAATATGCTTCTCTACCTTGGTTATCTCCAGTTTTTCACCAGTCATGGACTCAACCAATCCAAAAAGTTGGTTTTGCGTTAGGGTTTCAGTGAAGGCGAAGACCTTCTTATTTAGGGTACGTGGGTCGCTAATGATCTTCGCAGCGTATGTTCCCACGTCACGGACGTCTGTCAAAGCGGATGGAACATCTCCAGCACCGAAAATCTTGTTCTGCGGTGCCAACAGACCGTAGTCGAAGCGGCCGGAAGGGATGCGTGGGAGTGCGATCTGGTACCACCACCCGACATCAATGACGGTGTAGGGAAGACGGAGACGATGGATGTGATCGAGTATCTGCTCTTTCTGTCGTCACTTTGTTAGGAAAATCAATTTTCGAGAGTTTCCTGGTTGGGCGCTCTCACTGTATCACGTAGCTGCATAATCCCTCGTGGTCCAACCGTGGCCCAGAAGCAGGGTACGTATCGTTTCACACCTGCGGCCTTGGCGGCATTTGATAGATAAATCTCATCATTAAGCGACTGGTAGTTGATGGTAGAGATAACTATGTCCACTCCTTTCAGGAGGTCGACGAGATCATCGTGGGGCCCTTGAAGATCTGCCCCGACGATCTTGACCCCGCGAGCCTTTAAACTCTGGACGGCGGGTTTCTCCAGGGAAGGGGGACGTATAAGAGCAGTAATATCCTGAAGGTCATTTCATCAGCAAGAAAGATTCAGGCGAACTGGGTTGTGGCATTACGCACGTAATTGACGTCTGAAGTGACCAGACCGTCCACGATGGATCGTCCGGTTTCGCCTGTGGCGCCGACAATTACAACTCTCATTTTCCGCTGCAGTCGTAGCTAATGATATTATTTGACTAGGAAGTCGGAGGCTTCACTTGATGCATAAATGAATTTTGAAGAAATTCGATACTGCAGCCTTTAGCGAGGTTGGTAGGATTTAGTTGACGACGCGATCGTCACCTCGGCTATCTAACCCGGGTTCTCCATGTCGGCAAAACATAAATTTTCGGATTTGTCGGAATGGAGGACGTATGTTGGTTCCCTTAGAGGAGTGAAGCATATGACGAAAACTGTTACCCACGAGAGATTCAATAGAAAAAAAGCCCTCATTGCAGCTGTTCCATTCAGCTTACATAGAGAGCTTACCAGTGACAAGACAGTCAATGTATACTTGTGAGAAGCATCGGAAGACAGATTAGTCGCTTGGGTGGCGAAACGCGCGTACCAGGGCTCATATGGAGGAGAAAGGTGAGAGCTGGGGATAGAAGTCTTTGGAAATAGCCGAGCTGGGTACACGAGAAGGGCTCTGTAAGGCATGCAGGAGACTTCAATCCACGTATTTATATTACGAACAGCATGGCAGGAGCAGCAAGGTCAGGCGGAAGATGATGATCGGTGAGCATCAACGCCGGGCCCAGAGCCTGCAGGAGTAGTAGGAACAAGCACGGAACAGATCATGATAATATGATAATACTAGCGAGCGACAAGGAAGAAGACCATAAGGGTGGTAGATATACGAGTAAAGTTTAAAGACGAGCTCCTGGGGCGCTGTCAATCCTGGCACCTCCACCTGAGATGCACAGCTTGCCGGTCTCTTTGATCCTTGTTTGAAATATCACCACGCTACCATCCTTCCACATCTCCGTTGAAAGAGTCTGGCCCGGAATGACCGTGCTGACAAACCGAACTTTGATGTTTTTGATTTGCCCAAAACGGGAGACGATGTGCTTGGTACTTATTCCAAACGTGCAAAGCCCGTGCAAGATTGGGGCTTCGAAGCCGCCAGCCTGGCTGACGGCGGGATCGACATGCAGAGGGTTTCGATCTCCATTCAAGCGATACAGGGTAGCTTGATCGACGGATGTCTTCTCTTCTAATGTAGCATCTGGCTTACGATCGGGCGCATAGTATGTAGCCGATGCGTCGTTGCGGGAAGACCGGACAGCGGGACCACCGAAGCCACCAGACCCGCGGATGACAAGTGAGAATTCATTGTAGAACAATTCTTCCCTGGTCATAGCATCAATTGTCAGCGTGCTGACGATGACAACGCTGTTTTTCCCCTTATCCAGAATATCCTGGAGCTTGGAAAAGGAAACAAGGGTTCCAGATGTTGCAATGGGGTATTTGCGAATCTCTAGAAAATGCTCTCCATGCAGAAGCATCTTGTGAGAGTAATTTGGAACCAGGGTCTCCAGATTGAAAGATCTAGAAGCCATTGTGCCTGGAATAACGCCAAAGGATGGGAGAATCTGGAAATCGCGATTTTTCTCGTACACGAGAGGCAGTTGGGACGACGTAGCGCCAAGAGAGATGTTGTAAAGGATGGCATCTTTATCCGAGAAAGTCATTCTTGACTCGTGGGCTTGACCATTTTTGGCTTGTTCAATCAAGTCCAAATACTGCGTGTGATTTGAGGTAGACCCCTGAGTACGAGCGGCGCGGTTTATATTCTCGAGGATGCGTTTCCGCAAGTCGGAAGCGGCCTCAGGGTTACTTGTCTTTCCAATGGTGAAGCTTGTGATGTCTTGCCAGCGGTTTGAGATTTCCTCGGGTGTGAGATGCTCATTGACAGGGAAGTCAACTCCATCGGATCGTTGAAATCTTGTCCTCGCTTGCCACCCGCATCCAGCTTCGAAGACCTGCCCAGAGGCTGCTGCTGGGGCCTTGTCAGAGCATAAGAGAATCACTATGGGCGCGACAAAATCTGGCTTTCTGCTCTTGACGACCTCCTCGCTCAGAACGGACTTTGTCAGCTGCGTCCCCGCCGAAGGCGAGATACAGTTGACCTGAATGTTATACTTGCGCCCCTCCAGGGCCAAGGCCCGCGAGAATCCTATGATTGCAGTTTTCTAGAGTGACCACAGTCAGTAGAGCACACTGTAAGATGGTCTCGGGGCAGGCTTACAGCAGCAGCGTAGTTGGTTTGACCATAGTTACCGTATATTCCACTCGTGCTTGTCGTGTTCACAATACGGCCGTATCCCTGCTTGACCATATATAGATATGCTGCCTTTGAGCATTTGTATGTGGCCCTCAGATGAATGTTAACCACTTCATCCCATATCTTGTCTGTCATGTTCTGAAATGACTTGTCTCTTAATATTCCTGCGTTGTTGATGAGAACATCAATCCTTCCGAAGTTGTCTATAGCTGTCTTGATAACAGCGTCGCCGTCTCGGCCGATGATGTACTGGGAACAGCCGTTCCTCCGAAAGCCCGAATCTCATCGACGACCGTGCCAGGGTCCATCAGATCGTTCACGACGACTGATGCGCCTAGCTTTGCAAGCTGTATACAGTATGCTCGGCCCAAACTGCAGCGGGAACATATGTTAGTATGCGTAGATGCATGACTATAGCTGTACTCACCCTGCCCCTCCACCCGTCACCACGGCTACCCTTCCTTTGAAAGCGACATCCACCCCAGGCTCATTTGGCGGAAGCTGTTGTGCCTGTTTTAGCTTTGCGACAAGGTCTATCGTGGTGGTCGGGTATTCGACGTTGTCGAAATTGTTGATAGTAGCCCAATTAGCCAAAACCGCTCCAGGGGTCATTGTCTCATCGCACTTGAGCAAAGCACCCTGGGATCTCTCCCACCGTATCTTGGAAACATGGCCCCCGCCAGCTTCAAAAATCGAGCCGTTCTCATATTGGTTTCTGGGGTGTACGAGAAAGGAAACGAGCGGGACCACCCACTCGGGTGTCAGGTGCTCCAGGAGCTCTGTCGGCATGACGGTGGCTGTCATTCGGCTGGTAGCAATGGGCGAGATGATGTTGGTTAAAATATTGTACTTGGCTCCCTCTTTTGCGAGCGTCTCGCCGAATCCTATCATGCCTGCTTTCGCGGCAGAGTAGTTGCATTGTCCAAAATTGCCATACAGGCCCGCTGCGGACGAGGTAAGGATGACCCGACCGTACTTCTGCTTGCGAAAGTGCGACCATGCTGCCTGAGTCGTTTTGTATGCTCCTCTGACATGCACTGCGATAACGGCATCCCACTGCGCATCCGTCATATTCTTGAAGGTGACATCGCGCAAAACTCCCGCGTTGTTGATGAGGATGTCAATCCGGCCAAATGTCTTTACTGCCGTATCGATGATGTTTTTTCCTTGCTCGACGCTGTCGTAGCTTGCTACCGCTTGTCCTCCAAGAGCGATGATCTCTTTGACAACTTCATCTGCGACCTAGACGCGCCATGTGAGCTATCGCAGTAGACCAAACAAGCATTCGGGTGTCCGTCAACCTACCTCAAGGCTGTTACCCTCCCCTGTCAGCGATGTTCCGACATCATTGACCACGACCCTAGCGCCTCGAGAAGAAAGAAATAGGGCGTAGGCTTTTCCCAAGCCTGAACCAGCGCCGGTTACCACTGCAACCTGGCCCTCAAAGTTGAGATTCATGTTAGGCGTTTCTTCCAGCAATGAGCACTTTTAACACAGCAGAACAATTGAAAGCGCCCTCGACTGTTTGAGATGAACAATTACAGGATTTTATCTACTCCGACGGAGAACGATATGGACTCAGTCTAAATCCCGGCTTACTGAGAAAGTGTTTCGAGAGGTAAGGGGATCAGCTCTAAACCGAGGATGCCGGTTGGCCCTTGAATGAAACCCAAGGTGATATGGCATGTCGGGCCGCGGTCGATTACTGTTCCTAGATATACAGATTCACATAGCGTGATGGGATTTCCAAGTATCTCACGTGGAATTATTGTTTAATTCCATTAAATATTGGGCACAACCACCACCATTAGCCGAATGTGCGTGATCTACATATACTGCGCTTTATGAACACCGAACGAAACCCAACCAACAAAAAGAATACGAACATCATGTCTGCACTATGTTACGATCCAGAATTCGCTCAATTGGCGGGCGAATCTCTGACTGACCACCGAGATGTGATTCCGGTCGGTGACATCAAGAGCCGAAGAGATCGCATCGCGCAATTCATTGAAAAGTCACAATCTCAAGAGTTGCCAAAGGACATCAAGCAGCAGGTGCACTATAGCCCCTCATCGGACGGTCATCCAGTCGCCATCTATCACTTCACCAAAACAGGGACTAGCTCTGGGCCCGGTCCCGCGATTGTTCACATACACGGAGGAGGCTACACCTGCCTCACTGCCGCTGCAATGACCCCGACTTTGACCAGCTATGTCTCGATAACGGGCGTCCCTATATTGTCTATCGACTATCGACTGTCGCCCGAGCATCCGTACCCTCGCCCCTCGAGGATTGCTGGGAATCTTTACTGTGGATTCAGAATCACGCTTGGCAACTCAGTATTGACCCGCATCGGATTGCCATCATGGGCGAAAGCGCCGGGGGCGGGTTGACGGCGGCGCTCGCCATCCTTGCCAGAGACAGAGAGTTATCACCCCCGCTAGCCAAGCAGATCTTAATGTACCCCATGATGGATGACCGGACAGAAACGGACCATACCGGCGGACTTGCCGTATTTGCTACAGAGGATGTTATAACCGGTTGGGCAGCCTACCTGGGAGATCTGTATAAGACAGATAAGATACCGCCGTATGCAGCAGCGGTAAAATTGGAAGACGTGAGAGGTCTCCCACCTCTATATTTTGACTGCGGTCAACTAGATATGTTCATACACGAGGGGTCCACGTATGCCCAAAAATTCATCATGGCAAATATCCCAGTTGAGATGCATGTTTACCAAGGAGTCCCGCATGCTTTTCAACGCTTTGCACCAACCTCCAAAGTTGCTCAACGGGCGCTGGCTAACAGAGTTGCGGCAATGCTCAGTTTTTGATCTTCCTCCTTATTCTCCAGCAATAATGAATACTTCGAAAATCTACTATACGTGAATACAACTGTATCCCGGAGGAATGAAAGAATGAAAAGAAAAAAGAGAGAAAATCACACTGGAAAAGCTCCCATTGCACTTGGATCTCGGTATTCTATGTCTAGTTCAAAATGAATGGGTCTTGCCCTCGTGCCTCGGCAACCTGGGTAACCTAATATTGTCAATTCGCAATCAGCCATATATGTTTCCATAATTTCAAAGTCATCCAGGAATATAGACCACTTAGTCTACATACCTCAGCCATTGGTTCACATTTGATCTCCGTCATGACTCCGTCCGACGATGCACCGGCACCATTTTCTGAACCGCCGTGGCTGATGGGCCACGGTTCTCCATACTATACAGCCACGCACATCAAATGGCAAAAGGCTTGTCGTGAATTCATTTCAACGCATCTGGCACCGTACGCACAAGAATGGGAGACAGAAGGCAATGTTCCAGAGCATGTTTTCGAAACCTTTTCGAAGCACAACATGCTCATTCCGAACTTGCCCGCTCCTCTACCAATTGATCTACTGAAGTTCATGGGCATCAACGAGCTTCTTGGCGGTTTGCGGATCGAAGATTTTGACTACTTCCATTTTTCAATCTATATAAGCGAAATGCGAAGACCAGGCGTTGGAGGTCCTACATCATCACTATCCACAGGTATGGCTTATGGAATGCCGCCTATCATCACGTATGGCAGCCAGGAATTGCAGCAACGACTTCTCCCGGATCTTATCCGTGGGAGGAAAAGGATTTGCATCGCTATTACGGAACCGGGTGCTGGGAGTGACGTCGCAAGTATTTCCACCGGCGCTGTGAAGAGCGAGTGTGGAAAATACTACATTGTCAACGGTCAGAAGAAGTGGTCAGTATTTTATCGCCTGCAGTGTTTAAATTATTTTCTGATGAGTTTAGGATTACCAATGGAATTTGGTCTCATTATGCTACGATGGCTGTCAGAACTGGAGGCCCGGGAGCCAAAGGACTCTCGCTCCTGGTTGTGCCCCTGCTCGATAATACTAGTATCTCGATGCGCCGAATGAAGACAACTGGAGGCACTACCAGTGGTACCACATTCATTGATCTTGAAGATGTCAGGGTTCCCACGGAAAATCTTATTGGAAAGGTGAGTCCTCATAACATAGCCTCTAGTCACCTACGCGCCTCATCTCCCATATTCTATCTGGCATCGCGTAACAGTCACTTAATCTCATATAGGAGGGAGACGGAATGAAGATGATAACTCGAAACTTCAATCATGAACGACTCGCAATTACGATTGGGGTTACGCAAACGGCTAGGGTCGCGCTCTCAGCGGCCTTTGCCTACGTCCTCAAGCGTGAGGCCTTCGACAAACCGCTCATGGAACAAGCAGTGGTCCGGAATCGTCTTGCCAGGTGTGGCTCGGAGCTTGAGAGTCTGTCTGCCTGGGTGGATCAGCTTGTGTACACTATGTGTAAAGCGAAAGATCATGGGGCACCGCCAGAGCTTGGAGGCCTTGTTGCTCTAGCGAAGGCCAGAGCCGGTATAGTGCTTGATGAGTGTGCTAGATGTGCAGTTCTTCTTTTCGGCGGCAATGGCTATACTCGCACTGGTCAGGGTGAGCTAGTAGAGAAGATTTATCGGGAGGTTCCAGCAGCACGGATTCCAGGCGGGAGTGAAGACGTCATGTTTGATCTCGCTATTCGCCAGCTCGTCAAAAGCTTTAGAAATAACGCACATGCTGTGGGAAAGGGAAAGCTATGAGGTCATTGCAGACGCGTTGACCTTCATGGATTTATGTTATATACACCTACTCCTGTTGTGACTATGCCGTGCCATATCTAGCCTTGTGCCTAGGAAGTACCTCGGCAGTCCTTTCAATCGCGAAAGAGCTTCCAATATAGCTTGCACTGTGCTTGTTCGTTCGTATATTTCTCTGACATTATCTTGTCCTCTCCCTGGTTTTTCTTTCGGTATAATCCAGGCGTGTAGCTCATCAGGTCATCAGGTCGACCCCTGACCTGATGACCTGATAACCCACATTTGGTTATATCTGGTAATTACTAGTAGGCTACATAGTAATTTTAAAAAAACTAAAATTCCTAATTTGGTCATATGATCACGAAAAGCTCATCAGGTCGAAATTGGACCCACTTTTTTGACCTGATGAGCTTTTTGTAGTCACTACTAGTAGTGACTAGATAAATGGATTTTTTTATAATTTATCAAAAAAGTGTGTGACCTGATGACCTGATAACCTATATTTAGTTATAACTAGTAGTTATAAGAAGAATCTAGAAAGACTAGAATTTAATTAGTCTTTTCCAGTAAAAATATATTTTAGTCTCTATATAAATTTTATTTAAAGACTATATATAGATATATATATATATATATATTTAAAGGTAATATCTATAAGAAAAAGATATTAATAGCTTAATTAGGCTACTGGTAATAACTAGAAATTATAAAAAGAATCTAGGAAAACTAGAATTCAATTAGTCTTTTCTAGTAAATATATATTTTAATCTCTATATATAAATTATATTTAAAGACTATATATAGATATATATATAGAGAGATATATAGAGAGATATATAGAGAGATATATAGAGAGATATATAGAGAGATATATAGAGAGATATATAGAGAGATATATAGAGAGATATATAGAGAGATATATAGAGAGATATATAGAGAGATATATAGAGAGATATATAGATATATAGAGAAATTTAAAGGTAATATCTGTAAGAAAAAGATATTAATACCTTAATTAAGCTACTAGTAGTAATTAAAAATATAGTTTTATTAGATAATTACTTATTAGTAGTTTATTTATATTATTTATCCTTACTAGAAAAGACTATTCCTTTCTAAAAATAGATAAATACCTTAGTCTTTTAAAGATTTATAGTCTTTATAGAATAGGAATTACTAGCCTATTTATATTACTTATTCTTACTAGAAGAGATTACTCCTTTCTAGAAATAGATAAATACCTTACTATAGTCCTTTAAACCTTTATAAATGCCTTAGTCCTTTAAAGGTTTATAGTCTTTATAGAATAGGAATTACTAGCCTATTTATATTACTTATCCTTTCTTATCCTTACTAGTAATTACTAGTTATAACTAAATATAGGTTATCAGGTCATCAGGTCACTCACTTTTTTGATAAATAATAAAAAAATCCATTTATCTAGTCACTACTAGTAGTGACTACAAAAAGCTCATCAGGTCAAAAAAGTGGGTCTAATTTCGACCTGATGAGCTTTTTGTGATCACATGACAAATATAGGAGTTTCAGAATTTTCATTTTAAGGTATAAACTACTAGTAATTACTAGTAATCACCGGGTATAACCAAATGTGGGTCATCAGGTCATCAGGTCACCTGGTGACCTGATGACCTGATGAGCTACATACCCGTATAATCCCCCATCAAAATCCAGCTTGCCGTTTGCCGCAGGCTAAAGTCCCTCGGCAAAGCCTTGTCTCAGAGACGGTTGGTGAGTGGTTTAAACGTGGCAGCGTATCAGGAAAAGGTGTCCTCCCCCCGACCCGGCCCCCGGCCCCCGCTCCAGTCGCCATCTAAGGCCGGATGGGGCGGGCAAAACAATTTAGAATGATCTTTGCCTTTCGGCTTCCTCGAACGCCATTTGGTAGCACTATTCCACGGGGCGGAAACAGGGTTCCTCACTAAAACCTCGGTAATATACCAGCCGCTGAGGCGTCAAGTGCAATATTCGTCTATCTTTTCATATAGAGCTCACAGTCTCCTGCATGAATAGACAACCGCTTCCATCATCTTTATAGCCGAGCTAAAATGCCTTTCCAATTCGACCCCGAGTACGCTACAGCTGTCGAGCCACTTATCCCTTTCATATCGAAACGAGCTAAGCTCGCCATAGAGGATATCAAGCTCAGCCGAGACGCAAGGGAAAATGGAATAGCTCAATTCTATGGAGTATTGCCAGACTCGCCTGATGTGGAGCAGACGGTATATTATTTTGAAGCCGATGATGGCCATCAAATTTCTATCCGCAAGTTCAGCAGAAAGGGGACACCCACAGAGCCGGGACCAGTCATTATGCATTACCACGGCGGTGGTATGATATTGGGGTCAGCAGAGCTACAAGCCAAACCAATGGCGGCTCTTGTGAGCGAAACAGGAATCTCCATTTTCAGCGTCAATTACCGGCTAGCCCCGGATTATAATGGAGCCACTCCTGTAGAGGACTGTTATTCTGCCCTTGTTTGGCTACACAAGAATGCGAATGCACATGGAGTTGACCCGGCAAGGATTGCTGTCTTTGGAGAAAGTGCAGGCGGTGGCCTGGCTGCTGGTGTTACGTTGATGGCTCGAGACAGAAATCTCAAGCCTCGCATCGCGAAGCAGATTCTCGTCTACCCAATGCTAGACGACCGGACAACCGCTGCAGATGAGGCAGTGGAGCCATTGGCATTCTGGAAAACGGAGGACAACATCACCGCCTGGACTGCCCTTTTGGGAAACGATGCGGGTATATCCGACGCCTCAGTCTCACCCTATGTAGCCCCTGCGAGGGCAAAGAGTTTGGCTGGCTTGCCACCTACCTATATTGATGTTGGTGAGCTTGACATTTTCCGGAATGAGAGCATTACATATGCGACCAGATTGTTAGATGAGAACGTCTCTACCGAGCTTCACGTATATCCCGGTTTACCACATGCATTCGAAATGGTCGCACCTTTCATATCTGCAACTGCCAGGGCGCAGGGGAACAGATGCAAGGCAATGCTTTCATTTTGAGGATTGTGTAACATATTTTTGCAAATGGATAGGCAGTGCCCGCGTCATATCGACGGGCACCCGCTCGCCTCCCTGTAGCCTAGACAATGAGACAAATAAATACTTGATTAGGAGGTTACTAAATAATCTCAGCATTGAGGCGGTCCCTTTACTGAGCTGAGAATCTTCTAGATCTATAGAAGGTAGTTGCAGTCTGCAAAATTAGCGAGTGAAATGAGTTGCGGGCAGCGGAGCTCTCAGCTCGTCCTTACAGGATGAATAAATAATGTGTCCAAATCTGATTAGAAGAACGACTGGTAGCCAGTTTGATTTGCATGCTATTTTCTAGCTATCAATAATCTGAAAATAATCTGAATAGCATTGGTCAGTTAACACGAGGCAGCAACTCAACAGGAACAAAAAAGACGCCATGATCAGTGAAAAGTCAGCAAAGTGAGTACCACGATGTCTTTTCCATCAGTATGTAGACCTCTTCTATCGGATCTCAAAGTCTTCAAAGTTTGGTTTTGACACCATACGATGGTAGACAGCAGTATGCCATGGCGCGTTAACGCTCTGGCGACCGAATTCATTCACGTAGTATCCATGTCCATCCATCTCCCAAATTAGGTCCTTGGCTGCCTCGTCGAGTCTAGTGTTATATTCATCAAAGGTATCTTTGCGACACTCCATCGAGCTCTTATCATTCTCCAGTAAGTGGATGAAGCAGAGCGCCGTATACCGTGCCCAGATTTCGCCCACGAGTAGAAGCCTCCAGAGCGCGGTTGATGATTGGGTCCGTAGAAAGTGAAGAAATTGGGAAAGCCGGGCAAACTAAGGCCCATGTACGACCGCGGGCCATCTTTACTCCACAGGGATTGCATCGATGCCTTGTTTCGACCGACATACTTGCATGGCCAGAAGTACTGGGAGACCTTAAACCCCGTACCAAGAACAACAATGTCAAACTCCCGCTCCACACCATCCTTCGTCTTGATGCCGTTCACGGTGAATTTATCAATCTCATCGGTGACAAGTTCCACGTTCTCGCGTTGTAACATGTCGTAAAAGCCATTGTCGACGACTAGCCGTCGCACGAGAGGGGCGTGTTTTGGCAGGATCTTCTCCAGAAGACCTGGAACCCCCTCTGCCTTAGACATGATGTACTCGGTCAAATTCTTCTGCACCAAGTCATTACGTTCGTTAATAATACCGCCCTTGGCCTGCCAGTCCTTGTCGATGTTCTGCATGTACTGAAGTTGCTGAGAGGTCACATGAGACGAATAGCAAAACCAATTCCAGTAATAGGGCATATTCGCGAACATCCAGCGCACATGGTCATCGACTCGTGACCGGTAGCCGTCCATTTTCATGATCCAGTTGGGCGTGCGTTGAAAAACGGTGAATTGTTCAGTCTCGCGGGCGACGGCGGGGGCGAGCTGCGTACCCGTTGATCCTGTGCCGAGGAGCGCTACACGCTTGTTTCTGTAGTCAACGCTGCTATCCCACTGAGACGTGTGGAAAATTGGGCCCTTGAAGTCCTTGATGCCTTTGATATTCGGCTGGTTGGCTGTGGCAAACAGCCCGCTGCCACTGACGATAGCATTGCAGATGATAGTCTCCTCAAGACCATCAGCATGCTTCACAGTGAGCTCCCACTCGCTCGTATCCTCATGCCAGACAGCTTCGATAACTTCGCGGTTGAATTGAAAGTGATCCCTAATCTGGTAATGTTCGACCACGTCATCAAGGTACTTCCGCGTCTCACCAGCAGATGCGAAATACTCAGACCATGGGTAGTTCTTGAAGAATTTAAATTGGAAGAGATAACTTGAGGTGTCGACCCGCGCATCAGGATACGAGTTGAGAAGCCAGGTGCCACCGATAGCTCTCTGGCGCTCCAGGACCTGGAAGTTTAATCCGAGTCGCTTGAATTGTACAGCAGCAGCGATGCCACTGATACCACCGCCAATAACCACCACCTTGAATTTGTCGATTTTATCGGCCGAAGGCTTCTTGTCTGTCCATTTAGCATCTCGAGGAAATTCCTCGTACGCCAGCTCCTCATAGTGATAGTCGTACTCGCACTCGGGGACGGGCTCATCACCGAAGAGGTCGGTTAGCTTTTTGGCCTCGGCCTTCGATGGCGGTGGTGGGATGCAATCACCCGGCGCCCGCGCCACTAAGTAGGCGAATACTTTCTCTTTCAGGGCCGGAACATCTTCTTCTGACAGGACGTGCGCAAACATAGCACCGCCCCGAATGGCGTGGCGCCGAGTGCGCATGTTGGCCAAGTCAGGATCCCCAGTAACTTGAAGTAACGCAAGTCGCAAGGCGTTTAGGTTTGACTTGTCAATTGCATCTTTGATAAAGGCATGGTCGACTGGCTTTGTGCCATTGACAGTACCATTTGCGTGTGGCGCCATATTTGGCCACTAGTGGACGTGCAGTGGATCTGTGGAGGGAGTTTAAATGTCTCAAAATTCGTGAGAAACACCACCCAGACTTAATATAGTGATGAGGGTGATTTGCGAGTGTCCAATCTTCTTTTCAGCAAGGGACAAGCACGTAAGTGAAGATATACCCGACTCCAAATGTTGCAAGGAACAGGCCGAGGACCGAGGGTATTCCTGGAACCGTAATAATTTTATGCATTGTGCAGAGTGGAGGCTTTAGAGATAGACCTTTGTTGGACAGCCCAAAGTGCTCAACCTCTCAGCCTATTTTTTGCCCTTCGGGCCAAGGGGCCCGGACCCCTCATCTGCCTCGGATACTCATATCCAAGCTAAACATTATGACACCCTCCAGCGAATGTCACCTATAGCTTTTCAACAGTAACTCAATTGTGAGAAATTAAGGGTAAATATTCTTTGCGTTCGGGTTGTTGTGACTTTCTCTGCAGCCACGCGGTGCGCTCCCCAGGATGCTTTTCACCTCCAAACACCCGGATATTGAATGTATTTTCACTATCCTGCATTGTGTGTTGCTTGACGAACCATTTCTTACACTATGAGCAGATCCAACCGACTTGACCGTATGGGAATGGGCTTTCGAAGATCCAAAGTACTCGCCTTTGTTCAACTATCCGCCGAATGAGATCGCTGGCTTCGTCAATGCTGAGACTCATGAGCGGCTTTCCTTCTCCGCGGTGAAGGAACATGCAACCCATTTGTGCACAGCGTTGGTCAGAAGGTATGGTTTGCAAGTGTCGGATACCGTGTCCTTGTTCAGTCAGAACACAATATGGTATCCGGTGGGTCTATTTGCCATTTTGAGAGCAGGTATTTCCACCCAGAGGTCCTGCCTTAAGAGCAAAAGCTAAACACGGAAAATCCAGGTGGAAGAGTGAATGGCGCATCTCCTGCATACACCGCAGGTGAGATGTCGCATGCTCTTAAGACTGCGAACTCCAAATACATCATGACAGTGCCCGACTCCATCGCTGTATCCCTTTTGGCTGCGAAGGGGGCAGGGATTCCCAAGGAGCATATATTTCTTCTAGAAGGGGAACATGAAGGTTTCACAACAATGAAGCAGCTCCTACAGATCGGCAAAGGCTATGGCGAACATGGACAGAGTCCCATCTACCGTATCCCTGCAGGACAGACAAACGACATCTGTGGTTATTTAAACTTCAGTAGTGGAACTACCGGCCTGCCAAAAGCAGTGAGACACCGCACCCCAATAATACTGAAATCGCCTCCTGACCGGTATCTACTCTAGGTGATGCTGTCTCATCGCAATGTGATCGCTCAATGTCTCCAGCTCAAAGCTGTAGCAGGGGCCGATAGAAAAAGATATCTAGCCAGCCTACCGTTGTTCCACAGTAAGGATCCCAAAGGCTACATATAGATAAAACAGCATTAACAGACAAACAGTTAGTGGACTCGTGCGTTTTCTTCACTGGCCTATTGCTAGTAACGATGAATGTGTCATGCTTTCACAATTCAGTATCGAAGGATTCCTCGACGCCATCGTCCGATATCAGATTACCGACCTTACACTCGTTCCGTCCATTATTATACGACTCGTACGTGACCCCCTTGTCGGCAGGTATGACTTGACTTGCGTTAAACGTATCGCGTGTGGCGCTGCACCCCTGGGGTCGGAGGTCATTCAGCAGCTCAGGGAAAAGATGCCATGGACAGGCTTCCGGCAAAGCTATGGCATGACAGAATCATGCTGCTGCCTTACAACCCATCCGCCGGAGTTCTACAGTTATGATTATGCCAATAATTCTGGCACACTGCTGGGCTCAACAGTAGTCAAGATCATTGATGTGAGCACTGGCAAAGAGCTAGGTCCCAACGAAGCTGGTGAAATTCTTGCCAAGGGCCCCCAGATTGCTCTGGGCTACCTCGGAAACCCGAAGGAAACGGCTGAAACCTTTGACACTGATGGTTTCCTCCGTACTGGAGACGTCGGTGTGATCGATGACCAAGGCTTTATCCGTATTGTTGATCGGACTAAAGAGATGATCAAGGTCAAGGGTCTACAGGTCGCACCGGCTGAACTAGAAAATATCTTACTAGGCCACCCAAGTGTTGGCGACTGCGCTGTCTTAGGGATACCTGACCCTTATAGCGCTGAGAGACCGAAGGCTTATGTTGTGTTGAACCCCAATATCGAGGCCAGTGACTTAGTCGGTAAGAGTCTGATCCAATATGTGAAAGAGAAGCTAGTACGTTACAAGTGGATCAAGGAGGTTGAGTTCATCGCGGAGATACCGAAGAGCCCAAGTAGTAAGATTCTGAGAAGAGTCCTACTCGATAAGGAGAAAGAGGGAAGCAGGGGATACGTCGTGAGGGATATCTCTGAGCGGCCGAGGTTGTAATTACAATGTTACTCATCAAATAGCTATTCATCTACAGTCCGTATATTGATCCTGACCCAGTATTACTTCCTTGAGCTTTATTTTCCTAGCTTCTCGATGATAGACCAATTATGACAGCCTTTGAAGGCCAGTAATCTAAACCAGTCAAGCACCTCTATGTCCTCCTGTATACTAAGACAGTAAAATACGTCGAGCAAGGTCGTAATGGGATCAAGTTACTGTCAGGGACCAGCATACTTCAGGGTTAGGGGAAATGAGACTTGCGAGACGAAGTCTTCATTTGTTACACTGGCCCTTGCAAACGGATGTAAACCAACCCTCGGCAGGACTAAGAAAACTTCGATACGCTAGATGGTCAACTTCTCCACCTTCACTAATCCAATCAAAGGAGGGGCGAGGCTATTGTAACATGAATCTGTCTTCCGAAGGTCAGAACGATCGACCCAGATCCCTCGGTAATCCTCACATTATTTTCAGCTCTCTTTCCAAATTTTGCCAAGGGTATACCGTAGTTTTAGCTGTCGCTATATACATTGAAGGCCCTCCCCAAGAATTTGCTGTTTATACAATCAACTTTTGATCATTCTCATACGCCCTGGAATTGATCGGACAATATGTCTTATGCAGGAGAGACTGCCTATATCACCGGTATTAAAGCACTTTTGCGAGAATGCTTCAACCGACCCATGCTAAGAAATATTCTGTAGGGGGTGCCAGCGGCATCGGCCGTTCCTTAGCTGCGAGGCTGTTGAGCAAGGGGTACGCAGTATCTAATTAATGGAAATAAGAGAAACCGCGCTAATACCTGATTTATAGGATGAAAGTTGTGATTGCCGACCGCAATATCGAAGGGGCAACAGAAGTCGCTCGCGAGGCTAATCAGAGAGGACAAGTCGCCTGGGCAGTTCAGGTTGACGTAGCCGACTGGGAGTCCCAGCGTAAAGGGTTTGAAGACGCTATCGACAAAGTCGGTAGGATCAATTACGTATTTGCCGTGGCTGGGATTCCAGAGTCATCCTGGCTTCCAAATAGGCCGAAAGCGACTGAATTCGAGAAGCCGAACCTGAAGGTGTTCGAGGTCAATGGGACTGGGCCCCTTTATACCGCCGCGCTGGGCATTCAACACTTTCGCTGCCAAAAGCCAGACAAGCACGGGTACCGTGGAAAGCGTAGGTTACTTAAGCTCGTTCACTACCCTACTGTTCTGTGTTTACAACTAATTTTTGTCTTGCAGTTGTGTTGGTGGCCTCTGGATGCAGCTTCTACTACATCCCGTCTCTACCTATTTATACTGCTTCAAAGCAGTAAGTCATCCCAGCTAACTGTTTACCGCCAAATACGCTCTAACGCATTCTTAGTGCTGTGATGGGCTTCGTCCGTTCGTTCGGCAAATACTTACCCGATGAAAAGATCACCCTGAACGCTATATGCCCGAACATAGTCAAGACCAACATCTCTACTGGAGCCTTTTATGACCAAGCAGAGGCCAAGGGTCTGCTGATCAGTGTAGATACTCTAGTGGAAGCTTTTGAGTCTCTGCTGGGTGACAGTGATACCTCCGGTGAGGCGGTAGAGATCTTGCCTGGCGATGAGGGGTATAGAATCAAGGAAATTCCCGAATATACTAACGACAAGTGCAAAGAAAGCGTGGAAATGACATCGAACCGATCGCACGGGTCATTCCAGTTCCACCAGCCCATTTTGGAGTAGCCTCAAGCCAAATGTTGGATGGATGTCCCAGGTTGACTGTTCTTGACCAAATCCCATATTACAAATACTACTTCAATGAATCGTCTCATTTTTGGAGCTCTGATCGGTCCTCAATGGTGACGCGAGTATTGGCGTAGTTGTATGTCCAGGTGGTTCCTCGATTCTTCATAATGGCAAAATAAGTAATTTCTCAATCATACATGTGATCTTCATAACCTTGAATCAGACCTTAGTTGTTGGCGTATAATTTTTAATGAAAGCGACAGTATAGACAAGCTGCATCGTGGATTCAATGCCACATGGCCATAGATATCTGGGTAGTCTCTGGAGCGCGTTGTCCTTCTGATCCACGTGGATTTTGACCAGTTGAGCAATCCACTCTGTTGAAATTAGAGTCTACCTCGGCAACGTATGTCAGCTGACTATTTGGTGGTGGATCACCTGAACTTTTAGTCATCAACGTTTGGTTAACCCTTACACCGCCTTATACCCCCTTTTTGCCAAGACGTCCGTCCAGACCATCCAGAGCAATTGATAAGCGCTTAAGAAGCACTTTCATATCCGTTATGCCTGCAACATCCAAGCCTCCTATCCAATCGGAAGATTACGGAGACTATAATGAGTAAATTTGACTGGTTAAGCTGGGCAAGACGCTACGAACAAATAACGTCATGTCACTACAAGCGGCGAGATTAGGTTATATTACTGTTCATTGTCAGGATGCCTGGTATTGCTATTTGCCTCCTCTTTAGGAGAAAGCCCAGCTGGTATGTATGGTATGGAAAAGGTCACGACATTGAGTCTCGCCGATGTCAAGCCTCGTCACCAAACCACAGATACCTAAAAAACAGCTGGAAAGTATTCTCGCTTGTCACAGGGGGTGGCCTTCAGGGCGACGCTGACGCCCAGCAGCAGTGCTGGGAGGTCCGATAGGTTTGTTGCCGTAGGGTGTGACATCGATGCCCAGCTCCTGTGCTTTAATGCGAAGAGCGAGACGAGCTGAGTGGAATCTGCTGAACGCGAACTGGTGGAACATTGCATACAGGCCTTTCTGGGGGAGAGGACAGTAGTTTACGATAGATTCACCCTCTGGGCCAATAAAGAAGGCATTTCCCTTTTCCCAACGCTCGTGACACTTCTTTGCCATTTCATCTCCCATAATTGCTTGAATGGCGCCCTTGGTCTCCATATAACCAGTTGCGAAGACGACGATATCTGCTTGTTGGCGAGTGCCGTCCTTGAAAATAACGCCATCATTGGTGAAGCGCTCAATCTCCGAGTGTAAAAGGTTGATCTTCTTATCCGCAATGAGCTTACAGCAACCGGTATCCCAGTAAAATCCCCCTTGGTCAAAGTGGAACATTGAATAGGCACCACCACCGTGATAACCATCATGGAGGCGATATCCTACTCTTCTGAGGGACTCCAAGAGGTCTTTGTCCAAGTCACGCGCAATGATCTGTCCACGAGGTAAGAGCTCATACTGAACGGGCAGCGATTGCCGTAAGAAAGTAGACTGGTCCAAAAGCTCGACTGGCAGGCCCCCTTTACGATTCGTCAATTCACGGTCCTTCATGAGACATCGCACGCTCTTATCAACCGACATGACATGTGTTGCACTGCGTTGGATCATGCTCACGTGGCAGCCCTTCTCATACAGTTCGTAGGCAATGTCATGTCCAGAGGTTGCGGCACCTACCACCAGACCTCGTTTCCCTTTCACATTAGGGTCTGATTTATACCGGGATGAATGAACAATGGTGCCACCGTGTTTTTCGAACTCCGACATTCCCGGAACCTCAGACACCGTTGGTAGTGTTCCAGAAATTCCCGTAGCAATGAACAAATGACGGGGTTGAAGGACTCGTTTGCTACCGTCCTCTCGCGTAACGGTGATGGTCCACTCCCCCAGTTTCTCATCGTAAAGCGCGTTCTTGCCGTCGATCACAGACTTCGTCCAGATATTGAGGTTCATTATACCAGCGTAATGCAGTAAGAAGTCGGCGAGCTGCCGCGCAGGGAGGAAGACTGGGAACCAACTTGGGAAGGGGACACATGGCATATGATTTGTGAAGGTCGGCCCATGCAAGGAAAGCGAAGCATAGCGGCTTGCCCAGCTATAGCCAGGTTTGTCTTCTTTCTCGATAATAAGGTGTGAAATTCCTAGGACTTTGAGCCGAGCAGCCATGGCCAGACCAGTTTGTCCGGCTCCGATGATCACGGCCGTGGGTTCAAAACCTTGCTGGCCTTCCACCTCATCTCGCCTGAGCTCTGGATAGGTTCTTCCTTGTCCCAGAGGATCTTGCAGCTTGGCGGGCTGGTAGCGCATTTTATCACCATGTTCAGCGTCCCACACCTGCAACTGTCTCCACAGCTGTACCGATCGAGTACAGCTTCCACGAATCGACCTCTGCCAATTCTGCCGCAGACCCTTCCTTGGCAGCCACGGGACTAATGCGTGCTGCACCAACACCGGTGCCATGTGCAAATTCGAACTCTATATGGAACAGAATAAACGACAGATCATCCCCAAGATTCTCCCTGGATGAGGGAATCTGGCTATGGAGTCGAATATTCTTGAGCTCTGTGACTAGGAGCCGCTCTTTAAGCATGGGTCGAATGGTCTCATGCCCATGAAAGGTCCTAACGTCCCATGTCAATAACATGACGTCCTTCCAATAACCATCTTCACAAATAAAGCCTAGAATGGTATCGACATCCTGCGATTCAACAGCTGCGGCAAAGCGCTTCACGAACGATGCAACGAGCTTGTCGACATTCACGGCGACATAGTCCGGAGTAAAGCCAAGCCGATCATTAGTAGGAAGCACCGGCCGTTTGATATGGCCATAATAAGCCAGGGTTTGCGACAATGGCACACCAGCCCATCCGATTGTGGAATCAGCGTCGGGTGTACGAATTGCCTCGTCACTCCAGTCAGGCGTAGGGCTCTTCGACATGATCGCTCGTAGATTTTGTTCGGGGTATATTGTTTGGTTTCGTGCACAAATATTTCCTATGCCTTATATTCAATACTTGCATCGATTGGTGTTGTGCCTACTTGCCTCGGGCCGGCCTCCAGACTCGGCCAGCTACATGCCACGCACTCAACCAAGGCTACCCCATTACCTCGTCTAGGAATCCATAGGGCGGCCCTCATAGCCAAAAAGGAAACAAGATTGACTGTTTTCATTTGGCTAGGGCGAGGAGAAATGTCTCGGGGAAATGTTCAGACGTATTTCGTAGTACCAAATCCGACCCGAATTTCCCGGAGGGAGGGGAATACACACCGCATTGTTCCCCGGCTAATTCAGCACATATTTATCAGGGTCAATAAGATCACCAATTACTTGATTCCTGTAGAGATCAGTGCCCACGACGAAACTGTTTCTTCCCTTCCATCCGGACGATATTACTATTTTTTTTGTTCCATGCTGCCAAGCCCATCTCTACGTACCTGCACCCCCTCTGAGTATAATGATTTTCGCCCGCTGATAATATATAGGTAAACACTTAATAACAAAGCAGTTTTGCTGAAGCCACAAACTTTTGTTGGAGTCACGAGCGACAAGCAGGCCACATTCTCCTTCCTCATTTCCGGGAAGTCCAGCAATGCCTCCCCCCCAGCGCCCTCCGGCACGACATAGTTCAGGCCATACGCGAAAAGTTCGACGAAGAACAATTGAACCCCCCCTGTCGCACGCAAATTTGGAGATATCCCGGTCTCCTACGATGCCATTACAGCCGAATGGCTGACTGCCACCCTAAACCCGGACTCCACAAGCACTGTCGTCAAGCATTACACGCTTGGCCCCAAAGATAATGGGACTGCCAATCGTCGTCGGATTAATCTGGAGTGGGATGGCTCTAACGCGGGCAAATTTCCAGCCTCAGTGTTCTGCAAGGCCACCCATGGGGTGGAGAATCGCATTGTGCTGAGTAGCGGAGGTACCCACAGCGAAATCTCATTCTACAACGATATCCGACCTCTTGCTGAAATCGAGGCTCCATCCGCGTACTTTGCCGCATATGACCCCCAGTCTTGGGCTTCTATGATCATGCTGAAGGATATTGGTGACGCTGCTACCTTCTGTACTCACAAGACAGTCTTGAGCAAGGCTCAGTTTGCCGAGCAGATCCAAATCCTCGCTAGGTTACACGGCAGATTCTATGATTCTAAGATGCCCTTTTTCGAGAACTTGGTGGGATACAAGGACCGGTTCAATAACCTCAGTTCATTCCTAGATATTGAAACGGTCTGCACCAATGGGTTTAGAGCCGCTAAAGAGGTCATACCATCCCGACTTTTTGCGCGGGAGTCGGAAGTTTGGCCTGCGACGATAAAGTCCGTATATCGCAATGGCTCTCTGCCGCCGACAGTGGTTCATGGCGATGTTCACCTTGGTACGTGATCTTTGGCAGGCTTAGCTTGCTTTAATAGACGCTGATTCTTCGGATTTCAATAGGAAATTGGTACATTACAGCAGAAGGTCGCATGGGCTTGACTGATTGGCAAGCGCTATCAAGGGGGCATTGGTCTCGCGATCTTGCTTACGTCCTAGGCACGGCTGTCCCTTCCGACAAGCGCCGGCTTTGGGAGAATGAAATGGTTGAGCTTTATGTTTTGGAATTGGAAAAAGAAGGCGGGCCCAAGATCGATCCGAAAGAGGCATGGTTGGAACTTCGAAGGCAATCATTTGGCGCATTGTGGTATTGGACAATGACTCTTACACCGTCCACGGCCATGCCCGATATGCAGAGCGAGGAGACGACCTTGGACTTTATTGGACGCATCGCTGCACTCATAGATGACCACGATGCACTTGATGCTTTCGAAATTTAGTTGAAATACTGCTAATAGATTCAGATAGCATTCTTTATATTTTGCCTTTCGCTTGTCTTTTATAATATTTGCCAGCGAATGGGGTCTTTGAGGGTTATGATAGGACTACGGCGTCTCCGTGAAGGAGCTGTCATTACAAGCTATCTAGGCCTCTGCAAACCAATGTTATTCAATTCTCCATGAATGCTCTCCTTCAAGTATAGATACATTCTTCACCTGGCACAGTATTCAAGCACAATGGAAACAGCCGCAGTTGCCATGAGACCAACTATAGGTAAATTTGGTGTTTATTTACAAAGATGATTCTCTCCCTGGGTTTAATTGTCAATTACATGTCTGCCAAGTTGGGGTACATGTCTACCAAGTGATACAGAATCCATAATTTCTTCTACATTCGTCCCATAATAAGTGAACTCATCCAGTCGGCCAGGAAAAGAGCGATAGTTCTAAGTGGCATCTTTATTAGCTACACTTACTGGGTATCCGGGTGAGGTGTGACTTACGAATGGGGAGCGATTCTCATGAAATATGGCCAAAAGTCCCGGTAAAATCGGAAAAGACCTTCCTTTCGCACAACCTTTGCAAAGCAGTCAAACGTACCAGTGTACATGGGAAGACCACTAGAGGGTCCAGACATTGACTGATTCTGGAGGCGCGTTTTGACAAAATCAAATGGCAGGCTTATGAATGCTCCAGCGAAGCCACCGATGAAAGCTGCCAGTGTAGTTCGCTTCTCTCGGGACATGGATGAATGTTTCTGAATCTGATTTTTCGACTCTGAGAAAAAGGCCAGTTGGCCGAGGTTGGTGGACATTGCTCGAACAATGGTTGGTTTGGCGCCTTTCCAAAGGCTAAAAATGCCCTCATTTTTTGCAATGCGCCCTAGTGCATTGAAAGCCGAAGAGTAGTTTCTCCGTTGTTGCATCGGTCGCATTCTGTCTGCCTGCATTTGAATTAGGGCGACCTCTGTTGGGTTCCCTATGAAGGCCGCCAGCGCCCCAGCGCCGAGTCCAGCGAGTGCCCGCTCATGGAATCCGAGGGATCTATTTTGTGCGTGAGCCCTGCGCTCGAGTTGTTGCTCAAAGGTTGAGAAAAGGCCTAGACGCAATGTTCCATAGACAAGTTGCCGGAGAAGGCCAGCGGAAAGGCCTTGATAGAGGCCGACAACCCCATCGCTTGCGACAATATTTCTCGCAACGTACCATGGGGATAGTTTGCCATTACTTCGATCCGTCAGCTGCATCCTAACCTTGATCGTATCTATGGGCTGGATGCAGGTAGTGGCGACCATGCCAGAGCCACATCCGACAATAAAGGGGAGACATCCTTTCACAAATTCGTTCGCTCTTGGCGGTGATGAGTGCTCAGGCTTTAGCTTTGGATGCTCCATTTCGCATTTAATATGGAATCGCGGGGTTTGAGAGACAAGACCTTCGAAATGGAAATCCTGCCGTCTCACCAGCAGGCCCACCTGGGCAACTGCATCAATTATTGCCCCATGCTATACAATAGCGGCCTCATCATTGATTCTGCGATGTGTCTACGGCTGTTCGGGGGGCAGTTGTGGACGAGGTTGAGTCACCTCGGCGTCCATGAACGATACCCTCGGCCCAGCATAACTCTGACTGTGGTCATCCCGGCAGACTAGTTGTGCCGCTAAGGCCAAACTTCATGCATTATAATCGGGCTCCACTTGTCAATCACTCCATTTAAAAAGAAGCCTAATACTCCGGGCGGGAGGAGGAGAAGAAGAGTGACTCCATCGACTCTGAACAACCACTACTCGGATACATCATCCTTCTGCTCTTCGATGATAACTCTTTGCTCTACCATCTCATCCAATATTACACATTATATATTCAGCCATGAAAAGGCCAACCTCCGTTAACACCCTTTCACTTTATTCGATAACATGCAGAGCCTCAACGCGGGGCACAATTGCCTCCTCCAATCACCGCAGTGCTATTTCTACGCTGAATATCAGAAACATTCACGCCCGCGCAACTGATTATCTACCATCCAATCTCCCTGAGTGGACTGAGTCACAGCGGTCCGTCCGCGAAGCAATCTCCGCAATATGTAGTCGATACAACGATGAGTATTGGTCGGAGAGGGACACGAAGCACAAATTTCCGTGGGAGTTTTACAAGGACCTGGCTTCGAATGGATGGTTAGGCATCTGTCTTCCGGAGAAGTTCGGCGGATCTGAACTCGGTATATCGGAGGCCGCTGTGATGCTACAGACTGTATCTGAGTCTGGTGCAGGAATGAATGGCGCTTCCTCGGTCCATATGAACATCTTCGGCCTGGAACCCGTTGCCAAGTTCGGGACTGATAAGCAAAAGGAGCAATGGCTTGTGCCTTTGATACAGGGCAAAGAGCGTGCCTGTTTTGCAGTTACAGAGCCCAACACCGGCCTAGATACCCTGCGGTTACAATCATCAGCACGCAAGCAAGGGGATCATTATATCCTCAGTGGCTCCAAAGTTTTTATCTCAACTGCTCAGGTGGCGGAAAAGGTCCTGATCCTTGTCAGAACTACACCGCTGAAGGATGTCAAGAAACCTAGCGAGGGGCTCTCCTTATTTTATACCAATCTTGACCGATCTGCCGTGGAGATTCACGAGATTCCTAAGATGGGACGCTCCGCAGTGGACACGAACAGCCTGTCCTTTGATGACTGGAAGGTGCCTGCAAGCGATTTAATTGGACAGGAAGGCGATGGATTTCGAATGATACTGCACGGGATGAATGCTGAGCGTATTCTTGTCGGGGCAGAGGCCTTAGGGATAGGGTATGCAGCCTTGCGCCGGGCGTGCAATTATGTTGGCGAGCGGGTTGTGTTTGGAAACCCTGTCGGCAAGTATCAAGGCATTCAACACCCTCTTGCCGAATGCTGGATGAACCTCGAGAGTGCCCGTCTAGTCATCTACCTGGCGGCGCGGCTCTATGATGAAGGGTACGAGGGTGGCGAATATGCCAATACTGGGAAGTACCTGGCCTCAGAAGCCGCCTTCAAGGCCGCAGAGCGAGCCATCATGTCTCACGGAGGTATGGGATACGCAAAGGAATATCACGTAGAGCGGTACTTCAGAGAAGCGATCTTGTCGAGAATAGCTCCTGTCAGCGGGGAGATGATCAAGAACTACGTAGGTCAGCGTGTTTTGGGTCTGCCTAAAAGTTACTAGATATTGTAGTGGGAGAACTGGTGACATAATGAGCCTATGTGTGGCCTCAGGCATGATTTAATGTCTGCAGTGCATAATACATCTCCAGACACACTTGGAGAGAGACAAGTCATCTACCCAATTCATTCAGGATTCACCCAGTTTCTTCTATTCATGATGCAGCATTAAGATTATCCAGTAAGGCCGCAACAGGGCATCAGCACGGCCTCATCCAGCGTCCTCTACACCAGACAGGCAGTGTGTGTGTGTGTTGTCCAGTCTGCATCGCCAGACAGCCATCGAGCCGTTCCCATTTCAATATATACATCCACTTGAGTCTCAATTCGTGCACGATGAGCATAATTAATTTTCATAACCGAGGTTATGACCCACTAGCGTACTTGGCTCCGCCCCCGCGCTTTTGGGCCATTGTCACTCACACTAAATAGTCTAATTGTACCAAATCATAGGCTTTTCATTGGCTAGAGGCTCGATGAAGCACAGACCCCAAGCTTCCCCACATCCCCGGTTTCACCGCTTCCGTTGTATGTATCCTCCTTTCCCCACCCCATGGTCAGTTCCACAGTCAGTGTCTCAAACCTTGGAGATAAATACATTTGTCTACAACCCATTCAGCATTCTCACTAGCACCTCAATGCTTCTATAAGTGCTCTCTACACCTCGGTATCTATCCTCTCTAGCCGAAACGGTCAATGCATACCTCAGGCCCCAACCCCACTTTCCCCCAGGAGCCCTGCACCACCTTGGGGCAAAATACAGGACAGAAACGCCCAGCTTCCGAGCACAACAAAGAGCAACTGTCCAAAAGGCGCGCCGCTAGAGCGTGTCTATCCTGCCGCAACCGCAAAGTCCGCTGTGATGTGGTCAACGGAGGACGGCCCTGCACCAACTGTCGCCTTGACAACCAAGCATGCGTGGTAAAAGAGTCTAATAGAGGCCGAAAACCCGGTGCCTTGCCCACAGTATCAAGTCAAGCGCCGCCGGAATCCCCTCCGCATTATGGATCGCACAATCGGCCATCTTCTCCAGTCCGGTCTTCTCGAAGTTTGCATACACCATCGCCACGTCAGCAGCAACCTAACAGGCCGAGTGACGATCTCGACGCGCTGGCATATGACGGTAAGTCAACTGAATTGACTAATTCCCGAAGAAGCGGTCGCTGCTTTTTTATTCAAGGATAAACCTAATGCTTCGGTAGACCAACCGAGCCTGAGCCCTTCTGAACAGGCGGCTGATGAAGTACCTGTTGTTATCGCGCCGCAAAACGATCTTGAGCATGTCAACAACCCCTCATCAATGGAGGGAAACCCCCCTTTGATCCAATCACCAGCGTCAGTTCCTTGTCAGGCACTTCCGAAGGTGAATGACTCAGCCATACATCTTCCCCCTTACATCAAGCCCATGCCACGCCATATCACCGATCGAGATATCAGCTATCTCGCGGACAAAGATGCCCTCACTATCCCCGACAATGTGTTACGGGATGAAATTTTGCGGGCTTATGTGACCATTGTATATCCTTTCATGCCTACTGTTGACCTTGAAGACTTCCTCATGCCCATAATACAGGGCGATGAACGCGGCTCTGTGAGTCTGATATTATTCCAGGCTGTCATGTTTGCCAGTGTTGGATTTGTCGACACCATGTTGCTACAGTCACGGGGCTATAGTAGCAAAAAGGCTGCTCGGAAAGTCTTTTTCGGCCGTGTTCGATTGCTCTACGCACTTGATTGTGAGCTAGAGCACTTGCCACTCCTACAGGCTGTACTACTGATGACATATTGGTACGATTGCCCTAGCGATGGGAAAGACTCCTGGTATTGGACTGGTATTGCATTTAGTCTTGCCCAGGTAGTTGGTATCCACCGCGAAACAGAACTCTGTAGGACAACAGTCAAAAAAAAGCGGCTCAGACGACGACTATGGTGGTCATGCATCATTCAAGACCGGCTGCTGGCGATGGGGATTCGCCGGCCCTCTAGAATTCGTGACAAAGGATACAACGTGCCGCAGCTTACGTTGAATGACTTTGACCTGAATGAGCCCTCAAATACCGTGATCAAGTTCCTTGGCAAATCAGGAATGCTCTTGTCTGATCCATCGGCACGCTCTACTATGGCAGTTATGTGCATCGAGCTAAGCAAGCTTGCAGTTTGTTTAGGTCACATTCTCCACTCACAGTACTCAGTTGTGAGCGATCAACCCATGATCGCCGAGTATATGCTCAGAATAATCGTCGTTCCGAAGCGGTCGAGGTCGTATACGGATGATGTGATCAAGTGTGACCTGGAGCTGAAAGAGCTTATCAACAACCAAGATTCCCGGTCCAAATACACACCTGGTCCTCAGCAGACAGGAGATAAGACTGAGACACACCGAATAATTCGCCTACATCAAGCCATACTACGCATGAACTATCTTGCGGCAGTCAATATCTTGCATAAGCCACAGGTGTTTTATGCAGAGTCCGAGACCACGGACAGTAACGTCCAAAAGAAATCATCAAGAGAGAAGGTCACTAATGCTGCTATCGCCATGACAAAGCTAGCCTTTGATATGCAGATGGACAGCCAGCTGCAGTATTTGTCAACTAGCAGCGTTCCAGCATTTTTGTCAGCCGCCTTATCCCACCTAGGGGATATGCGTTCTCATGAAGAGGAGATTCGCAACATCAGCGTTGGCCGCTTCTATCAGTGCATTCATGTCTTACATCAGCTAAAGAGCATATACAGCTCAGCCGACTTCGCTATTCATTTCCTTGAGGCGGTCTTGAGGAAAAGCGACATTGCTGTTCCCTCTTTGGTGCCTGGGTTACCTTCGACCAAGCCAAGTTGGAATAAGCCCCAATTATTGGGATGCCGGAGCTCAACTCCAGAAAGTGAAGCCTTTTCTCAGGTCGCCACCGCATATCCAAGTCCCTCGAGTCATCCAAATATCACCGAGCCGCCTGCAGGGGCTTGGAATGGAATAAACAACCGCAATTTGGAGGCCGGCAACGACGACCTGCGTCGTCATCAATTTTCTGGACTCGAACCTTGGTCGGACGGCGACAGTCAACTTGATGCTTCCAACGTCGTGGCAATCGACTTCCTACCTGACTCTTCATATATGGGAAATTGGTTCAACGTGGAGAGCCCCGTTCCAGCATTTATGAACTTCGATAGCTCTAACACTTGGACTGTACCAAATCATGTCACTTCGGGCGAGGACTTGGGTTTGCTCTAAGATTGAGTTCCTATAATATATCCTCTACCTCGCGGCCCTGAAACCCATTCTAGTCTTCAAACAGTGTAATAAATTACCAGTTTCTCATTATTTTAGGACGCAAGACGTTGAATTCAACAAAAGACAAAATTCTTACTTCTGCGTGTTTTCCCAAGATGCCAACTTTGAGACTCCAGTGGCGACGACCAAGATATCTGGCCAAAGACAGTACACCTGTATTTGCCGAGAAAAGTTTTCCCTGCTGGCATCAAATTAGTCTACGACTCCAATGACAGAGTGATCCGCTGTTGTGATGGCAAACTGATCGGCAGCCCCGGCGACGGCACAATCGAGTATGTACCATGCTAAATTGGACTTATGCTCTAATATTTCTCTTCCAGCACCGCATTGGACCACGGCTTAGAAGGCAATCCCCAGGCGACATGGACTGCCTAAGACGCCGCCGATCCCTGGCCTAAACCCCTCCTCCCGGAAATATTTCCGGCAGCTCGCATCCTTTCATTTGGAAATGATGCATATTTTCTTAACGGTCAAGGTTTCATATTGAAGAACCTTGAAGAGCTTTTCGCCCTACACGCATGTGATCTGCTGGGATCTTTTTCATCGTCTCGAGAGGAAGAACGTAGCCAATTAGTGAGAAGTCAAACTATACTGAGGAGCTGAGCCAGTGCTCAAAAACAAGGGATACCTCTTCTTATAGGTTACGTATCTTTTACGAAACGGTTGGTAGAATGCTAGTGGAAAATCATGCCACGCTTTTGCCTGGCCCGGGGTGTTCCAAGGGCCCTGATCGGATCAGACCGCGCAATTGGGAATGTTCGGTCCCAGCTCGCTGCCAGACCAATCTTTGCCGCACAGTCCATGAATGAACCAGCCAACCAATCTAAGTGACTGCCCCTGGGAGCCTGTTATTACACTACAGGAAAGCCCCTGTGCGACCTCGCAGCCCCAAGTCCCATAGAAACCAACCACCAGGGCCTGGGAGCCGCGTCGCCCATCCTAGGGCCCTGCGCTCTGCCATTGTGATGTGCTCACATATACATAGATGAATGGTCAATAATGACAAAACCTATAGTCAATTCTAGATACAAGGCCTCCAGTGTGGAAGCAAAAGAAAGAGGCGTCCTCGCGTTTAGCGGGACCCAGACATGTCATGTGGGCCCACCAATCGTTTATCCTCCACTTATTGATTAAGCCGTCGCGTGGGATATCTCGAATTATAGCATCACTCGAAAACCGCACGCTAACCGCACACTTAAAGGTCTTAGTAGTTCAGTGATTGGTAACTTGATAACAGCACTTGACTTCTCGCGCCTTGCTTTGCTTCTTAACCTTTCTTTACCTTTCAAAATTTACCTTTGCCTCTACTTTCTCCACCCAGAAAATGCTAATTTCCCATTCATGAATCTCCTTCTAAAAACTTTATAATTCTCTTTACTTGATTGGCACTCCTATCAACAAGCTGAACCTACACCTTAATTGCAGAATTGTCCGCCGTGGTGAATCACCATCGTCAGCAGAAACAGCATCACTGATGAACTTGTGCGTATGCTCGTTAAAACTCATCAAACCAAAAGAAAACGGCATCTTTGTGCGATGCGACGACAGTCTTCTTGATTAAGAGGAAGCAGAAGCCCTCACCACTCAGATGTATGGTCTGCTTCGCCTGATCCGCAACCTCAGTGTGCGGGATCACAATAGCCACCAGAAAACTCTGGAGCAGACTCTTGAGGTGGATCTCGAACGCATGAGAGCTTTGGAAGAGACAATTCACGGTTATCGAGAGTGACCGTATCGTTTCCACATGTGGCTGGAACACAGCACGCCGCCGAAGCATTATGGATATGGAGAGCTCAAATAGTGATTGAGTCGACTAGACTCTTCCGTGAGATGCCAGAGGACGGATATATAGAACTGGTAAAGGTCTCCAATTGGGCATTAAATCTGAAAGATTATTGCGAGTCCTTTTGGATGTGTCTGAGGGTCATCGGGCCTAGGAAATGTACGGGAGTCACCGCTATCACCACCAGTGTCTTTCATTCCAAGAGCAAACAGATGGCTTTACGCCCCAGCGCGTGGATCTCCATCAAATCATACTCGCTAGATGGCATGACGGCGAAATGCTTTCGTTTCCCAGTGGCAGGCTGACTTTGAAGTCGGTCTGACCAATCGGTGGATGGCGAATGTCTAAAATCGGAAAACCACAAATGATGTATTTATATTCTTAAAAAATCTACTGAGGACGATTATAGACTGTGAAATTCGATTGGACGAGGAAAGAGAGCATTCGTGTCGGTTCCTCAGTCTTTTCTACCAAGCCACGGATTATATATACTTAAATTGTCGCTGATTGGGTGTGAAGGATACTAATGTAAAGCTACACACAAATTCGTCGGTGAATATGAGCCATGATATCTCGGATCTACATTGACTTGGGCTCCGCTAATCTAACCTGAGGCTTTGAGACAAGCCTTCTTCCAAAAGCTGCGCACGTAGGTGGAACTTCCTTTCACTGAAGCCGATCAATACAGTGACGAAGGGAAATTCAAAGACACTTTCCAGGGATAAGCTCGGAATTTATAAACAGAATTAGCACGTAATATGTGCCTACTTTGGTGGGCAGCACTTGGAGGCTAGCAGCGCAAGATGGGTCTTGGTGAATGGATAATAAAGCATTTGTGTTCTGTTTTGCCAAATTATATACCGCCGGCATGGCTTGGCCTATCGGTCTAGTAAGAGGTCATTCGTTGGTACAAAAATTAGTCAAGTTTAAGGTAACTATAAACTTTTCTCACTAATCTGCGAAGCCTGCAGTTTTTGCAGAGGAGGGGAGCCGAAGAATGATCAACGGTGAACGCCACATCAACGGGTCGAACGGGACGTGTGGGTCAGAACTTCCCGCAAAGAACCCAATTGAAGCACCATTTACCACAGCAAAGAATCACAGTCCAATAGTCGGTTACTAGTAAGCTTACGCAGAGATTTCAAGGAATTTTGCCTATGTGGCCCATTGACTGGCATCTATAGGGAGGTGGAAAGCACTAACAGCCCGTGCAGACTTCAACAAAGAGATATCAAGCTGGTTGCAGTAACCTTCCGGTCCCCGAGCTTTGACTAGTTGGTCAAGTCTCTTTGATATGAAAGATTACTATATGGCGATTACTGCGTTGGTGAACGTCGTGTATTCGCACCCTATCCGCCTTGACCTTTAGTGTGACACCTCAGAATAGCCCATGTAAGTTTAAACAAAGGGGCGAATCAGCTCAGTGCCTCCTTATATCCGCGGACTTGAGCATGCATAAAATGGTCTACTTTACTGAGTAAAGAACAGGTGAACAGGTAGTATGATGTTGGAGCCTGTCGAAATTTGACGCAGAGGCATACTGTACCCAAAAATTGTCATACAAAAGCAGAACTAGATATAAAGACGGTGATATATCTACATCCTTTGGAATGTTTTCTAGTCAAGGAACCAGGATGTATAAGCCTATGATTCAAGCTGCACGGGCAAAGGGTGGCATCCGTAAAAATAGAGAGATGGTTCCGAGGGCATCATTAAGTCTTAAAGGTAGCGGCGCAGTACCCTGTGGCGCACTTCCTTCGGTTCTATCGAGGAATCATATCTTTTGAAGAAGATCGTGATGATAATGTCTGCAGAATTGCATAACAGGCTCACAAATTTCCGATTTCCCGTGTGTATGCATAACGCCTAGTGTGCGAGTTGCTAACGAGCAATCAGTCTCCAATTGTCACCAAATCAAGGCAGAAATAACTATTATTCAATTAGCTCGTGTTGACGAAACGTATGGATGCAGAAATTTGAGAGTTTAAATGAGCGACAACTATTTTGTGATGACCTCGGCTATGACGCAAAGGTCTTGGAGACCGCGATATTCCCAGTAAATATTCGTGGCAGAAAAAGACCCCACAACCAGTGCTTTGAAAGTTTGGAATAGTATAACCCCTACTTGTGGGATAATGATGGACGTCGGACGTAATGACAAATATTGGAACTCGCTGCCGCCTGATTTCGTTTGCCCGAGGTTAGCTACCATCTCGCCCGGCTGCCGAGGGGGGGCAAGCGGTGCGTGTTTTAACTGCACATTCACTTTTCTCCACGATCAAGCATTTTTTTTGACCACAGCAGGTTTCAAGAGGCTATAGCTCTCACTGCGTCTCGTCGTTGAAGAAAGGCGTGCCATGAACAGCATTGCCTCGTACAGCAGCAGTAGTAGTAGTTGAGTTCATTTAAACTGTCCCCTCGCCCATAGCGATATGCAATATACGACAACTATGAATTTTGAGTATGTAAATACAGAATGATCCACTTCCTGACCTGAAATTCGAGCTTCGTCACGGCCTATCGTGGCCCATTGCCGCCCTATTGTTAGGCTGTCCTTATGGCGTACGACTGCAGAACCGCTGTGATGCCCCGGCGCAGCCCAGCGCAGCTTGTACTGTCTTGGATCGCGAGACGACGTCTGGTTTACCTTTCTCACTTTCATTTGAGCCTCCTAGTAGATTCGACACACAGCTCTATGCATCCCCGACTTTTTTTTCTCAATCCCTCTCAGGGTTCTAGCAGCCTCCGGCACTCCACCAACACATAATGACCGTTTTCTGCGCGCCGGGCTCGCACTGGTCATCACCACCGTAGCCAATCGCCTTCCGGTAGCTGGATAGCGAGTTGTGGTCCGTACATAGGTGTGTGAGCAGATATACGCGGTTCTTGCGTTAGATTCCCGTATAGCTTCCCGGTGTACTGCGCTTGTAGGTCGTCGTCAATCTTTCGTAGGTAAGCAGCTTTAGTGCTTGTTTTCCACTCTTTCCCCCAAAGGATGTATAATTTGCCGCGGAAAAATACGACGTCCCTCGATAGTAGCGGTCGCGGAGCTTCCTTAGCTAGTCGATCCGCTACATCGTTCCCGGCATTTCACAATGTCCTGGCATCCTCTGGAGACGGAGTCTAATATTCTCTGCCTGAGCCTCGGATGCTGTCTGGAGGATTGCATGCACTATTCGTTGTCCAGTTTATTGTGTTCTGAATTGCTTGCAGGGCCGATCTGCTGTCACATGAAAATATTGCCGTTGATTGCACTCCACTTGACCCAGGGGCCTGGAATGGCGGATTGGGATGTACGCACTTGTCGGAGACGGGCAAGGAATCCGGCATTGATATTCCCTCGGTAAAGGCGCACTTTTGATAGCCGTTCCTAATGCCTCACCAATATACTTAGAAGTTTGACTAGATGGGAAATGGCAACAGGTGTAATCCTCACAAGAGTATAACAATGATGGTGGAATCTCTTCCTTCTGTGCAAAGTCATCTCCAGTGGTCTGCAAACTCGCTCGGTGCTTGATTCTATACATATATATGCATCGATGCAGCACTTTTGACTGGCCATGGTGGACCTAGCTGCTAATCGGCGAGAGTTGAACGTCCAACACAAGCGCCGTGCCCCACGGGCTTGCTTCTATTGTCGGTCAAGGAAGGTCCGTTGCGACGTCGTCTTCCGTGGCACGCCATGTACAAACTGCACGTTAGATCAGGAGACGTGTCTTATCCCCTCCAAGCGTTCCAAGAGGTATAACTCCTAAAGATCAAGCCAGGAGCTATGAACCCACTGACATCGGTAGTTCGCATTTGCAAAGTACAGCTCAGCATCAGCAAACACGTCCCGAAGCATCTTTGCATCAATGCAGACAGCGGAGATTCGAACTACAGCCGGTGGATTCAGCGGTGAGACATGCAAAGCGGTACCGGGGTGAAAAGCAAGCACTTGAAGCAAAGTTGTCGCAGCTTACTCAAGCCCAATATGATGAGTTTTTCGACTTCGACAAATTCTTTGCCACATTAGACAATGAAGAATCAACGAATCCAGCAAGCCTAATTCAAAACCAAGAAGGCCACATGAGCCCGTCAGATAAGGTTCAGATTCAGCAAGCCAGTGAAGCTGATAAACGCAATGCAGCACAAAATGATCTGCCAAATATCGCTTTATCTCCAACTATTTGCAATGCGCCATCGCCGATGTGTGGATTAATCACCTCGGCCAGACCCTCTCCCTTTCGCAGCCGAGAATCCACTGAGCTGTCGCTTGTAATTTTCAAATCGTACCACTTCATCTCTACAGATGAATTTTTACATTTGGATGAGCGCGATTCACAATCTCTTGAGCAGAGATTGTGCCTTCACTTACCGGGAAAGCCAGCGCTGGACGAATTCCTTCAGCACTATTTTTTACACGTTCATCCCATATTCCCAATCATCAATGAGCGAGCTTTTTGGGCCATATACAATGACTTATCTCCCCAAACATCTCACATTGAACGAATACCCCTTGTGGTGCTTCAAGGCATGATATTTTTAGCCTGCCCTGTAAGCTGGTTCTCGAAAGCTTTTGAAGACTACATTTGACCGGCTTTGTCTTTAGTTTGTTTCCCAGCGCACACTTGATGACCTTGGTTTTGGCTCCGTCAGACAGGCCAGGGTACGGCTTTACTTGATAACTAAGGTGAGAGAAAAGCTATTGACTTTTGTACTCTGGGAATACTGCTTAGAGATTGTACAGAGACTGTTCCATATAAATGATGACAAAGACGATGTCACTAGTGCGCAAGCGGCATTAATGTTGACTTTCCACGCCCCTGCAATAAATGATAAGGTTAACGACTACTGGCTAAACACTGCAATCTATTTCGCAAAAAAAGCTAGAGCAGATTGGTATCAAAATACAAAAGCTGGCCTGAGGTGCAAGATTACTCTCAAACGTCTCTGGTGGTGTTGCATCCTTCGAGACAGAATCATGGCTCTTTGTCTTCAGCGTCCTCTCCGAATCGAACCAGAAGACTTTGACTTTTCGCAATCGGGTCTACTGGCAGAGGATTTGAATGATGAGATATCATATTCAGAAGTTTATGACCCATCAACAAAGAAAGTCTTGGTACAGTTAGTGGCTTCTCTATGCGAGCTTGTGGTCACAATAAATGGTCTTCTCACGTTTTGCCATTCTTCAAGGTCAAAGCCGGATGGCAATGGCCTGGGCTCGCAAAAGCACCTTGACCTTTTGTCAGGACTGGACCAGTGGCATGAGAAGGCCAAAGTCAAGTTTCAACTACCTTCACTACAGCCCGGCCTCCATAGATCCTTCATCCTATTCGCCAGTGTTCTTGATATCTACTACCAGTGAGATGCTTTCCATTGCTGTTTCCCCAAGGACGGTGCAATCTAACGTTACAAATAGCACTGCTAGAGCTTCTCTGAGCTACCACATTTTTCATCGAGTTAGGTTTCACGGCGGTGTAGACTGTGACCTTCTCCAACTATGGCACGCTTCAGAAGAAGTTAAAAGATGTCTTCACAGCATCGCGCAGAACTTTGTCGAGTTGAAGGACAGGAATCTGGCAAGGTACCTACCCAATACATTGTAAGCCGCTTGAATCAAGAACTCAATGGTACTGAAGTACTTAACAGCATTGCAGTGTTGCTTTCTCGCTGCGGCCTTTCATTTGGCACGCATCAAAATTAGGCAAAAATGAAGATAGTGTCATGAGGGACAATGGGGAGAGCTATCTCTACGACACTCTCAGAGGATTTGGTCAGTCGTATGAGGTTACTGACAGTGTTCTTCAAGGCATTGGCATAAGCGAACCATTATGGCTATCAACAAATGTGTCTCCACCGAGATCCTGAAATGCGGGCCTCGGCACAGAAGCGGAATGAAAGGCTAAAATTTTACATGGAAGTTCGGACCATATCGCATTGGAGTGTCATGTCCCAGACTAGCGGATCCATAGACCCGAAGAGTGGGAGTTTGTCGATTTAGCCACTGTCATAATTATAAGGCACGAAATTACAAGAAGTATGGGGTATTAATTCCAGATATGGTTTGAACGAGGAAAGGAGCGGGTACCATGATTCAGGGCCGTTCCAAATGTCTGGAACCCATTCTCCTAAAAGGGTTCTGCTTGGCTCTCTCTTAGAGTATTTCGATCAATGTGCACAGAAGGATAACGAACCATGTATTTCTTTTGAAGAATCTGGAGATATATGGTTCAGCTACCACGATGCCTTTGTTCTGGTATGTATGAAAAGCACGTTCGATGAAATATTTCAGATTATCGGGGAATTTTGAATGCCACTTGGCCGAACAAGCCCAGGAGGCGTCTAATACCATCCCTTCAATGCAATATTCAAGCGGTTTTCTTTAATGTACCAAAGCAACGAAACGTGAAATTTCCTCAATACCTTTAGGTGCTTAGGATTTCTTCAATTTGGTCTCGGTCATGGGAACAATATTGGAAAAAAGTTATTGCGAACATTCCATGATGATACTAAAGACGTTATATGGCCACATCCCAATCCTGTGCAGCCCAGGGTCTCTCATATACGAAAGCATTCAATCATCAGCCGTGCGGAGCACTACGATCATGAAAAAGGATGGTATGGTAAAGTTCACCCTCAATTCAAGAGCATCATGAGGGACATGTGCCAGCGGGCAGCAAATCATTTGTTTTTGTCTCTTCATTGAGTAATCCCACAAAAAAACGTATAGCGTCGCTCTTTCAGGGCTCCTGTATCGCCGATTAAGTAAAAAGATAAGTTCCTCCAAGTGGTACTGTGAATTGTGCCTGCGCCTGCGCACGTAATGCAGTGCCAATCGAGTAGTCATCAATAATAAATTACAGCTGCAGAATACACCGAACATTCACCTCATTGGGTCTCTCTAGTGTTTATTGAAATGATATCGATGTATTTGATCGTTCACACAGATTCCTCGTCCAAAGTTGGTCTTCTCAGGTTGTTGCTCTCCGGAAAGGACAGACATCTCAATTTGTTATCAGATAAGCTATTATTAAAGCCTCGCAGATCTTGGTCAATAGTCTTTTATCCAGCGTCTATCCTTGTTAAATCGGTGGTCGAAGAAAATGCGCCTGTGAAGGCGTCTCGACGTGGTGCTTTAAATCTCATCTGCTACCTATGGCTAGTCTACGGAAGGAAGCTAATAGTCTCCCTGAAGACGTACCTTTCTCACTGCGTTCTTTCTTACAAACCTTGCGATTTGGTTTTTTTTTGGTGGCGATTCGTTCAACTTAGTACGGTATATTGGCTGCAATTTGACTCAAACAAAACCCGTATCTTGAGTGACACTAAGGGCTAGCAATCAAGGCGCCACTGGATATATGACGCCCCCAGATAGTTGCTACAACAGATTGGTCTTAATATAGACATCCTGGTTCTTCTCAGGGTCATGTGAAAATTCCAGCATTCGGTCTATAACGTATAATTGGATTAACCTGATCAGACTTATTCAAATAGCCTCGGCATTGCAAGCTGGGCTTTTACTGCCACATAAAGAAATAACTCATGAATAGGACGATCGTACTGTATCAGTGCATGGACATGGGAGAAGGAGAAGCTGAAAGCCACTTATAGGTAAAATAAAGATTGCTCCATTCAGCAGGTTAGGCGACGATGTATGCTTCTCGCTTTGGGTGTGCGTTGTCTGGGTTGCCCCCTATCTGACCATGTTGTAGGCCAGATCTTTGGACATGAGGTAATGAGTAGCCTGCAATGTTAAAGGCCCGTCTGTTCACTAGCTTGCCCAGGCATAGCGATGCAAATATACTAAGGTGGGCGATGATATCCAGGGAGATTGGACTGAAGGCTATCTCATATGCCTCCTGTGTCCCCGGAAATGGAAAATAGTGCGTCCTTCATTGATGTATCGTTCGAACTCCGACACCTGGCCAGGTAATTGTTTTTTTCTTTTCAAGGCCAATTGTGTCGCGAGAGACGTTTGATGGCATGTATAGCTTTTCGAAGAATTAGAACTGCGGTTTGTTCTGAACTAAACACGCCAAGAATTGAGTTCATCAACAATAAAAACATCAACCAGTATGATTGTTCGCTACTTACCTAGTTAGTAGGTATTGAGGTACCTAGAAAGTAGTATGGTATTGCTTACGTTTCGAGCCGAGCTGTTGACGGGAAATACAGCCATTACCACTGCCAATTACGAATCTACAAGTACGTTTTTGGGTTAAAGGCGAATCTGGAAGGCAAACACCAATTGACACTGCCGCCCTCCCATACCCAAACTGAGTTTCCATGAATTCATGTCAACCACTCTTCGGCCGTAGGTAGCCTGCTGAATGCAGGAGTCTATACAGAACTAGACCTGGTTAAAAGGCGGTTCAATAAAGAAGTATGTTTCATTTAAGAGATTGTACGCAATGTAGGATGAGACGAATATAAATTCACCGAGGATAGATTCGGTTAGAATCGAATTCGAACTACTCACACGTGGTAATGACTGTCGTTCAATCCCTAATGTCATTCGGTTATCCTCTGATACTAACCTTGCCACAGTTTTTGGGTAGCCAGGTAAACTGTCACACTCATTATAAGATTCACCTACCTGTACCACACTGAAGATCTTGTGCCAAACTAATTTTGTGCTTCCCTTGCATTTTCGATGTGATTCGAATCAACTTTTATCGCCTCACCGCTGTTCCCCATGTCCAGAAACTGTAAGGACTTGCCGGTATCGAGATCTGATTGGAAGACAGCGACCATGTCTTTATCCCCAAACAATGCGCCCACTTCTTCGAGAGGCTTTCCGCGTGTATCGGGATAGAACCAGACAACAACCATGGCAATAGCATCAAAAACAATGAAAATGATATAAAATTTCCAACCGATCGTGTCGAATGCTGTGGGCGACGACTGTAGCCAAATGATGCTCGTCACACAAAGAGTGCACATTCCAAGAGCGTATCCCTCTCCACGAGCGTACGTCGGCCATATTTCAGCGACATAAGTAAACCCTGCGCCCTCGACAAAGAGGCCAAAAAAGATGACATTCAGAAAGAGCATTGCGGCGCACGCGCCCAATCCTGCATGGTTAGTTGTTCCTAGATAGTACTTCTGCAGGACGGCTTCTATGATGACAGTGACCCCACAGGTGAAGTAGCCGAACGACATCAACTTATTTCTTGAAAATCTGTCTATAACAAACATGCAGAGGGTGTTCACGACCCATCCGCACAATTGGTAGCCTCCTTGTATTTGGAGAACAGCGGCGCTGTCGAATCCGAGGCTTTTATAAATGAGACCACCATAGTCTAAAAGAAAGCATCAGTCTAGGCTCAGTTGTAGACCTATAAGGAAAGCCACGCGGGATTCTGAAAATTTAGATCAAATCAAATAAAGACATGGACATAAAAGTAGGGTAAAGCTCACTGTTGACAACCAAAGCACCCGAACTCATTTGCGAAAAGGTTAGGAACATAGCGATGAAGGCACGCTTCCTCAAAGATTTCTTTTCAAAGATATTCAGGTAACCGGATTTGATGTCGACCGACTGTGCATTGTCCAATTGCACTTGTTGATGGATCTGATACAGCTCTTTCTTTGCAAAAAGATGTTCAGGGTCCTTAGGATTTGAATGTAGTCGACGAAGAATATCCCATGCTTCATCTGTTCGACCGTTGGATATAAGAAATCGAGGCGATTCCGGAATCCAATAAAGTCCGATTAAGAACAAGAAAGGGAACAGTCCGGCAAGTCCTATCGGACCGCGCCACTGGTCATCGCCGCCACCACTGTAGTGAAAAAATCCAATACCAGTGTAAGTGGCGGCGGTATAACCAAAATTGATCATCGCGGGGTGAATCTGCACTAACAGACCCCTTTTCTTGGGCGGAACCAGTTCGGCCATCCACAAGGGAATGGCTGATAGCATCTGAAATGAACCCCAACCCTGGAAGAACCTGAATGTGACGAACATGCCGATGTGTTGGGAAGCTGTGATAAGAGCACTAGCAATAAGAATGATAAGTGCTGCAAGGGCAGCGCATTTCTTCCGCCCATATTTGTGCACGATGAAACCGCTGAAGAGTGAACCAAAGGCGCCTCCGGTATAAAAAAGGCCGTTAGTAGCGCCGATAAGCGCCGTAGAATTTGATGCGGTGTATAGATGCAGGCTCTGGTACCACGACGGCTGAGAAAGAGTTGTCGCGATGATTGAACTAGCATATCCCATGCTGGTCGAGCCAAATCCGAGGAACACGAGTATGACTATCAAACGTGGATTTATGCCGGTAGCGATCACAGCATCATCTACTACTGGGGCTCTGGCTTCATGACCCTGATAGGGCTCGTCAGCTTCTTGGGTTTGGGCCATGTGAAGGGAGTTCAAAAGGGCCGGAGAAAACAGAGTGTCTAAGTGATTGTGAACTGGCTTGAACGGTCTGGGGTAGCGAACGAGGAAGGAAAAGATGAAATTACTATAGAATCCTCATATTGTTTTAATTTTCTCAATACTTGGATAGCATAAATTTAGATTAAGGTTCGAGTGGCCCGAGGTGGGCCATAACCTCAGGCCAGGATCTGGGGAAATGAAAAGCCTTGGGGATTTTCACCCCGAGTGTTAAAAGAGCCCGAGGGCAGTTAACCCGACTGATTTTGATTCCTATGGCTTGAATAATATAGGGATGCATGGGATTCCACGTAGACCTCTCCACGTAGGAAAATAGACTATGTAGGACTTGCTACGTAGGAAAGCGGTCTACGTAGGAGCTGCTACATAACAAGGGATCCTACGTAGGCACTTCTACGTAGAAAAGTGGACTATGTGGGAGTTGCTACGTAGGAAAACGGTCGATTTTGGAGTTTCTACATATCAATATAGCTAGATATTTTTAGGAAAGTTGAACTGCTCAATGCACCAAGGAACCTAGCCCAAAATTTACCATTTTCATAGCTGTGCAACGTGCCGGGCAAAAGGCGGTCAGCAGAGCCAAAACAAAACTCCCAATGGAGCCTTCTCAGATAGGCAGTTGATACCCGTTGCTAACCAGGTTAATTATTCGCTTTTTAGTTCTCAAAAATAATCAAGGGATAAATTAGATTATAAGATTAAGAAATCAAAGAAACAGTTATTTGAAGTAACATAATTCAAATGTCATCACGGTGCTGCAACCCCTGAAATACTGTTGCAAATCCGGTCAACATCGACGACGCTAATTGCGACACCGTTTGCTGACTGCCTCTCAGTATCAGTCGCCGCCATCACAATCCCTTGGCTCATTTGTTCTCACCTTGGGCTCACCTTCCAGCTCACGTATATCGAGAATATTTGAATTATTGCTCTGTGCAAATCCCGCCACGAGGCTTCCCGTCAGAGGGAGTTCGTGGCGATTCAAAAGCAGGCAGCATGCCTTATCGGTGGGGCTTTTAGGACCACCGCAGCAGAAGCTTGGTATAGAAAGCTTCACCTGCCGCCTATCTCGATCCAGATGAACCGATTAGTGAAGGAAGCGGCACTGAGGCTGCGAACGAGACCTGGTTTCGCGGTCCCACCAACGATGCTTCGACGTCGACCAGCAGGTGAGAGAGACTGGGCGGGATGGAGACACTGAAGGATTGTTGATAGAGAGGATCGCCCGCTAAGACTTAGCTGTTGATTCAAGATCAATGTGCTTTTTGATAGCCAAGCTAGCATCATCATAAGAACGTGGAGCATCTGTTGGATATCAATGTTCCTAATGACCAAATACCAATTGGCGATGTGACAGTTTAGGGCTTTCGCTGCAACACAGTAAGTACTGAAAGATATTTCTAACTGCTGAACATCATATTCTCATTACAATGTAAAAAGTCACTGTTCCCTTTGTCAGAATCTTACCTCAGATTCTACCTACAGCCGCACGACTCCTCCTGCCATATCATTCCTTCTCGGTGGTCCTGCTCACATCCATTCCATTGCCTTCGACGACGAAGTCAGCAACGTCTTCGAAATGAACCTCAAGCAATACATGCAGAGCTCTGGGGGAAGTAAAACAAATGAAATGGGCATACAGGTGCAATGTACGGTAGTGGCTCTCGGCTACCTGCTATATCACGTTCTGAAGGGCAGGCGTCGATCTTTTGTGAGTTACGTTCTGAAATTTAGCTCTGCTCAAGTGGCTGACGACCTTAACACGACAAAGCATTTGGTAATACGGCCTTGTATAATGCCATTCCTCTACCTGACTTTCTGTTCTGCTTATATCCGCATGCGTGCCTGTTTCGGGTTGACTAGGAGCCTCTGCCGCTTCGACACCTGCCCGTGGTGAAATGTTAGGTATGGTGCCCGGCACGGGTTTTTGCTGTACATGATGCGAAGGCGGCCGGAAGCAGGCGCACTTGGTGGGGGTAAATCAGAACACTTTGTAGCGTGGTGCACACTCACCCTCCCCGGGAAGGAGTGAGATGATTGACATGAAGGGACATATGATACCGCTACCGGCTGTATTCCAGCGATTAGACTCCTGTGGGACGGGCATTGCCAGCTGAGCGTCGGATCGAGCGGATCTCCGGTAACATGGAAGGGAGCAGTGCTTGGGGTTGAAAACTACAGTAATATTCGAAATCAGCTTTACCTTCAATCTCTCTCTCTTTATTTCCCAAAGCCCCACTCGGTAGCACACTAGTCTATTTTAGGAAATAGTTCCGCCGGCTTTGCATGATCAAGGAGTAGGCAGCAGTGCGGTTATCGTCGGAGTATGTGAAAGAACGGAGAGGTAGGATGAGATCGAACGGGCCGGTCGGCCTGAGCATTGGGGTGAGCGATCAGGCTGCTCAGGGAGCAACTCAGGGTCGCTCAGGGAGCGGCTTAGGGTTACTCAGGGAGCAGCTCAGGGCGGCGGGGTGACTAACTCACCCTGTGCTCCGGGAGCCGATCACTTCCCGAGGCGGCAGTTTTACCGTCACCATTATTACGACATAAAGCTCGACTATATTTCCAGTAGCGAACGGATAGGATCTAAAAAGCGGTCTCGGGTACACTCTGAAGTCCAAAGCGTTCTATACCGGGCAGTGTAATATTCACAATTTTCTAGAACGCCTATTCTCCCGAAACTACTCGATCACTTCATCAGATGATGATTCTGAGTTATGACACATCAAACGGAAAACCACTAGCACATGAGACTTTTTACACACTATGTACAAGTCCAAGACATGGGGCGATCTTCACAAAGTCTAACTTTCGCGTCCCAACAAACGCAGCCCAATACATTATAATTAATTCTTCCGTCACAGTATCTACGCCACAATGTTAAGCGGATGCTAGACAGAAAAAAAAAACAAAGAAACAAAACGTCAGTCAAGTTCGGAACAGCGATCAAGGTTTCGCGAGTTGTTCCTTGCGATAGAAAAAGATGCAGAGCACGTTGATGGATAGCATGAAGAGCAAGCAGACCCAGAAGTCTGCTTTCCCCAAGCCGGCCGCGACGCCAGCGGAGAAGTCAGGGAAAACATCACCAGGGCCTAACTTATCCGGTGCTGTTGCGCGGGCGAGGATAGTCGCAATAGAACCGACCACCTGCGCGGCTAATAGTGTGAAGGTGACATGGAATCGAGTCATTGTGTGGAGGAGAATCATTCCAAACCCTACATTGGCGAGAGTCAGCTTTCTTTAGCATTATGTTCGCTGCAAGATTAAACTTACCGACACCCTGAAGAGAATCCAAAACTCCTAGCCAGAGCCAAAGTGCTCTTCCAAGGATGGCTCCGGCTACAGGACCACCGGCCCAGGGAATGTATGCGCCTATGTTGGAGGTTGCCCATAGGATCTGGGCCCATCGAGGCGCACCAAGACCGACGGCAAATATCGGGATGAACCAGGCGTGTCTCTTAGAAAAGACGTGGAAGACCCAGAGAGCTGCCGCCCAAACAACGATGAAGAAGAAGAGGACAAGAAGCACGATTTGCCACACGTGTGCATGCTTGCTGGACCAGAGATAGAGCCAGTTTCGTCCATAAGGTGCCGACAGCCAGTAGTTTGATATAAACACCATGTAGAAAAACCACTGGAAGATACAGCGTCAGAATCAAAATTAGCTTGAGGACGAAGTAGAAGAGACATACAAGAATTATGCGACGGCGGAAGAGCGATAGATAGAATGTCGGCACTTGACCTGGTGCCTGTCTATAATATGAAGGAAGTCCGAAAAAGACCATGGCACCCAACAGCCACAGAAGAGAGGCAAGTCCGAGTCCGATTCCCAGCAAAGCACCCGGATCGGTCATGGCAAGGCTGAATTGCGTATTGCCCTTCCGATTGAGGGCTGCCATCCAGCTACCCCAGTACCAAAGAAAACTGATGAACAATTGCTGAGTGCCTTGGATGACAGTGGCTCTGTAAATCCAGGATTTCATAGGCGCTCCACCTGAACAAGAAAGTCAGATAATTTCCATAGATTCTTGAAATGATTGTTGCATACCTTCATCTCCGAAGTTGAGGGCGAAAAACAATGAACCACTCGAAGATGCAAACGAGTACAAGCCAGTTCCGACGTTCTGGAGCCAGGTTCGACTTGCGCTGCTGTGGATGGGACCGGCAAGACCAACAAACAAAAAGGCAAACCCATATATCTACGGGTAGTTAGCTTGCAGCCTCGAAAGACAGAATAAGAAACGTGAACTTACAATGAAAGGAGACGCCAACACATAGACCGAGGGAACTAGACGGAAGACCATCCACCAAATGATCGAAGAGGCAAGATAGATGGACGCCAAAATGTATAGCTTTTCGGCCGTCTCTCCAATCTCACCGTTCAGGAGTGTGATCTGGTACGAGTTCAAGGCGAGTATTTGTCCCTAGAAGAATGCTGTCAACCTCTGTAATAAAAGCTTCGAGTAGTGTTTAAACTCACAATAGCGAGAAAGATGGAATACACAGGCCAATCACCCAGCTTCATCAACATGAAACGCTTCAGACCCGTTGGGGGAACATAGTCATTCGGTAGAAGGAACTGTCCGGCACTTTGGTCTGCAAGTGGACCAATATTTGGCGGGCTCTCTCGACCCGTTTCACGAACCTTGATGTGAAAGACAGAAGGAGCAGGAGACGGCAAGGGGGACTTGCCCAATTTGACGTCGCGGTATCGATTGAACCAGTCTTTTTGGCTTTTCTCGAGAAACTCTTCAATGCAGAGCTGGTCTTCGGAGTTCTTACTATTCAGATCCGCAAGCTTCTTTTCAAACTTATCCGCATACTCGTTGTTCGCATCCGTGAAAAATGGATCAACCTTCTGGAGATTGAAGTCTTGTTTCTCGTTTATTATGCCATCGAAACTGACCAAACTCATCATGGACTCTCTTGCCTCTCCTCGGCCCAGTAGACCGTCTTCTGGTCGTGAACCCAGAACAGGTGTGCTAGCACCAGATCGAGCGAAATCAACTGTAGGTGTCCCGAGTGGTGATGGACGAACACTGCCGTCGCCCTGGATGGCGCCAGAAAAGGGCTCGAGATCTTGTCTATCGCTTACCGCAGAGTAAATGATTCGCGAGTCTGCGAGAGTGTCAGATGGCAGGGGTCTGCGTCTTGGGCCGTTGTCAGAATCGGGCTCTTTGTCTGACACATTTTGACTGAAAGACAGATTTGTCGGCGACGTAACGTGGTCAAAGCCTGGTCGAGGTGCAGACAGTCTCATATCGGACGTATTCGGCCTGCTCGGCGGGACAGACACGGTGGAGCTGGGTGACCGGCTATGTCTGCGGCTGTTGTTTGAGCTCGACGAGACTTTGCAAATGCCTTCTGGTATATGGTTGCTGCCATAGGACGTTCTCCACGAACTGCGATCGTGGCGTTTAGAGTACTTCGCGTGCTTTTCGATTGAGGTGGCTTGTAGGATTTCTAGATCCTCAACCCACTGTGCTACGGGAAAGCGCTGCTTACTCGATCGCGCACGCATGAGCGCTCGTGTCTCCTGAGACGATTTCAAAGCATCGTTGATGGCCATCTTGAACTGTTGGATAAGATGCTTGGTTGTCATAGACTCACTATGATGGGTTAGACTGAACATATCGTGGGAGAAGGACACTCACATTGTGAACCACCATCCTGGCATCTGCCCTAGGCCGCCAACACTGAAAAGACATAAATTAACACTGGTGGCAGACTCAAGTCGGGTCAGTCTTACCGTGATCCCACGCCCAAAGCTCCTTTCCGTCCGAATTCCACGGCCACCAGACCGAACGGTTCATCGCGCGAAGGAATCAAGGCAAATTCAGCGCCACTGAAAATGAAGGGCGGTAGTGCAGTGAACTCTGGTTTTGAATAGACTCGCCCAGGGTAGAGCTTTGTAAGTCGATTCAGTTTCATTGCGGCAAATCTTCCATGGAGATCAATGACTGGACCAATGCACATCAACTGGACCGTTGGGTGAGCATCTAGAATGGAGGGGAAGATGTCTGCAATCAGATCAATGCCCTTTTGCATGGACCAACGGCCGACAAACACAAACAGCTGGGCCTCTGGGTCAACTTTGAGCCCTGCCCATTCTTGCGCTTGTCTCTTGAGAGTAGCACGACTGGCTTCAAACTCTGCATCGATGATGACCTCTTCGAGATGGTTCTTTGCGTTGTGATCCCACGTGGCGATGTCAGATGGATCGGGGTTTGGTAGCGCTTGAATGTTCTTGAGACCCCAGAAAATTGGATATCTGGCGTACGATCTCTTGCCATATTTCTTGGAGACGCCGACAGCGCCGAAACCGTTTTGGTGAATTTTCAGATAATTGGCAGCTCCATGCAGAAGGTTAAACACTTCTCCGAATTGTACATACTTCTTCACCACTGCATGGTCAAGGTTGTAGACACTGCAAACTTCTTGAATCTGTTGTGGGGTCTTCATTGGCCAGAGCCCTTGAAATTCAGCATTATGCAGAGATAGGCAGCATGGAATCGTGCGAGGTAGAAGATAGAGAGGGGCAGCGGCGCCATGGTAATCATTGATGTGATAGAGGTCGATAGCGGGAAATCTCCTGATAGCTTCAGCTATACATTGATTCCAACTAGAATAGAAAATAGCCGAATTCAAGTCATCCATGCGGGCAGGGTACGGCTCCGATTTGGACTGAGCTCGGAAAACAGGCGCGTCCAACAAGACGTACGTGATGTTTTGTAGCCGATGATACTGGACATCCACTTGATAATTGTTGCCAAGAACTGTGATCACCATCGGCTCACGAGGATCGTCCTTGGGGTAGTCAACGCCCCCAACGCAAGGGACAACCCATATGATATTCTGCTGCGTCAGATGTTTCCCCAACAACTGGGCCATCACACCGAGCCCACCGATTTTTATCTTGATCCCCCAATCTTCAATATCGTATTCCATGGTCGCAATGAGCACGGTTCGTCGGCGAGTGTTTACCATGGCACCGACGACGCCTCCATTCTCAGATATGAACGGGCCCACATTGGTTAGAGCAAATCCGGGATTGGATTCACTGTCATTAGATCGGTGAGTCACCTTTTGAAAGGCGCTCATCAGTGGAGCGAGGCTTGATCTTTTCTCGGTGACACCGATTTGGTTGAATTTGACCTGGTAAAATGCCTTCAAGTAAATGCACACCGCACCCATAGCAGTGGTAACAGGCACAATCGCTAGCACAATGAAGATGGCCAACTGAACCCATCTGGATCCTGTAGGCGTAGCAAAGACCTTGAGATCGCCGTCACCTACCGACAGCTTGAAGGCAAGATAAGGCGAAGGAGGTGGGATGGTGACGTTGAACACATTGCTCAGCAGAGTGACTGGAGGAACCTGATCCAGAACGTTGTCTCCATCGATGTCCCCAAACACCTGCGTCTGGTCAGGCAGGCCGTCTTCATTTAATCCCCAGACGTTGAATGCAACCTGTACGGGCCACTCGCCCATGAAGTGGATTTCCCATAGGCCAGTGGTGTTGCTAAGAGCCATTTCGTTGGAATAGCCAGCGTCATATCCGAATTGGTTGAATTCGCCTTCGATGAAGAGGTTTGGGAAACGACGTGGGGGGCTTGGATGCCCATTGCGTGTCTCCATGCTGCCAGTGAGCACTACTTCCGGCCAACTTGCTCCAGTATTGGGCAAGAATGTGTTCTCCTTCCCAGGCCTGCTTCGCAGTGCCGCTCCAATTTTTGCCAGGGATCGACGTGTTGAAACCGGTGTATGTCATCCAGGCACTGAATGTAGCTCCAAAATCCAGCGAGTATCGCCACATGTCTGCGCCAGGAGCCTGTGGAACTACTGACAAGGCTCGGTCTCAGACGATGGGTTGTCGAACAGTAGCGTTCTGCTGTAATTGGCCAACTGTGGCCAGACAATCGGATTGTTCGTCTGTCCGATACGGAATAAAAAGTGGTCGATGGACTGCCCGACGCAATTAGTTTTGCGAGGTTCTTGCCTTCAATAGCGAGGAATCTACTTACACCTGTGGATCGGTTTCCATCTGCAGTAGTCACGTTGCTAACTGTGACTCTGTGAACCCCCGGAAAGACATTGTTCAAATCTACCTCATAGCTGAAAACGCTAGTGAGTGCCCCTGGCCATGTCACTACATCAGTTTCTTCAATGGATTTGCAAGAGACCGAGGTCGAGTCAAGCTGCGGGCTCTCGTTCTCAAGCGCTTTGGATGTGATCGTCAGCGAGTTGGTGATATCCTGGCAATCCATCTTCTGAGAAAATTCGAAACCAATCCGTATCGTCTCCCCACTTGTCCCCTGGGGCACAAGTCGGGCGTCATGCCCTGGGGAGAAGCGTGTTATATATGGAGAAGGCTGTACGAAATTATCTTTTGGGACGAAGGCTTTGAAACCCCAGGCCGGCAAAGTAAGGTTAGGATAACACCCGTTGGGAACGTCAGACCCTTCAAATCTACTCCCTGTCAGTAAGAGAAGTCAATTTTCAGAACAGTCATCATACCCAAGTGTAGTGGAGCTGTTGACCAGGGTCATTTCATCGAACGGTGGAAAAAGGTTTTTGACCCTTGTTCCCATGGGAAATGGCGAAATCAAAGCGTCCTTACTACTGCAGTTGAACTGGTAGTCGACTGTTTTGTTGTCATTAGAGTACAAAAGCCAGACACTCTGATTGCCCTGGCCTTGGCCATCGAAATTTTGTGTGTCCGCAAAGCGGGATCTCATGACACTCCACATCCCAGTCTCGGTCGGTGCCCCATTGCTGCCTCGAAGGTAGATGTCGAATGTCTGCTTTGACAGTTGCTGCAGATACCAGCCATCGTTCAGAACGGGATAGTTTTGACGCATTTCAAACATCATTTTGACGAGGCCTCGCACAGGGTGAGACGGATCGCGGTGATCGAGACTGACGGAATCATCTTCACATCCGGTCAGGGAGCGGTCAAGCGGGAAATCAACGTATTTTGATGATCCTAGCTTGTAGCATCCGTGCATCTGCCATGCCTGAGCGGATGACATGGGCCCACGACCAAAGACGTAGTTGTCGGCCTGGTTGTCCAGTACGTAGAAATCCTGTTCCTCGCCCCAAGAGACGATAGGGATTCCAGGCATGAGCAAAAAAGCGACGTACAGCCCCAAGTTCTGCTTGTGCGTTCCGTTTCTTATCCCTGGCCACCTGAAGACATCCTGGTTCGTGACACCAAATAGGTGGCGTGGATCGAACTTACCGGTGTTCACGTTGACCATATCGTTGGTCTCCACAAGGCCGTTCCAGGTATCCACAAAGTTGACTGGCGGATCGCCTTCGGCAGTGAAGGTACCGTCTAGACTGAACAGCATGATATCAGTTTGAGTGAAGTAGAAGTGCTGAGAAAGAGAGACTAACCCTAGAAACCGGCTCAAACCACGATATAAGGTGTAATGGAACGCCGCCCCGTCCAATGCAGACCTCTCCGCAGGTCTCAAGAATAAATCATCCTCTGACTTGGTGGTCTTGTTCGTCATCAGAAACGCTTCCGTCATATTGGATCTGGTTTGATTTGTCTGTTGACCGCGACCGATGTAAAGCGAGCCAAAAGAGTTTCCCGCCACAATCTCTCCGGGAATATAGAAGTTTTCCTTTCCAACCTGCTTGGCGCAATCCCGCATATACTCGGACCATTCTCCGAGAGAGTCAAGGGTAACTTGTAGAGCTTTGTCAACGCGGAACCCGTCGATATCAAGCATTGTGACAGTTAGACACGAAAAGTGTTTGATCTTGGCTAGCACGTCTGGCCGCCATACGCGTAAACGGTCCTGCACAAATGCGAATTTGGATATCTGCCCTTCCCATTCGGTGTAGTTTCCAAAGGCGGCAACTTCTCCGTACTGTAGAGGTCAGCCATGCTCAGTATAACAAGAACTGAATGTTTACCTGATCAAATTCACTATTCCGACAGGAAGGACCGAGGGTTGTAGTGATCAAACCGTTCCCGTCATCATCCCAAAATCGGGGATACTCCCAAGGACATTCACTCTCAACTTCATTTCCAGGCTGGAAGTCCCAGTATCGACGGTCGTACTTCCATACATAGTCGTACTCGTTGGGATTGATCGGCGCGGACTCGTTCAAGAAACCCTGGAATCCGATAAGATCGCCCATTCTATCCACAATTAGCAAACGACACCGGAGGTTGGGCAAATGTATCTTACGTACGTTGCAAAGGTATTATCGAGAAGGATGTAAAGCCCCCGTTGATGCGCCTCGGATATCATTGTGCGCCAGTCCACGATCGTGCCAAAGTGATGGTCCAGCAGAGTCAGGTCGAGCGGGGAGTATCCATCCGCAGCCCAGGGGAAATTGATGTATGGTGTTCCAGCGAGATAAATGCCCTGGATATGGTCAATATACTCTTCACATCCAGTCTTTCTGAAGCAGCTGACATACCTTGATTCCCATCCCCTGAAGATAATCAAAGGTATCAACCAGCCCAAGAACGTCGCCGCCATGGCGGAACTCGTTGGAGGTCAAGACATGTTCCCACTGTGTGCCGTTTGCATCATCGTTACTCGGATCACCATTGACGAACCTGTCGAGGAATATCGTGTAAAAGGGGAATCGCCAGTTTTCCGGCGAAGGGTTATATGTGTGGCCATCCCAGTGACCCGAGTAGTCGAGGGGATGTGTCGCTGTCTGATTTTGATTAAGATTCCAGCTTGCTTCCTCTGGAAGATATGGCAGGGATTGTGCAATGCGTATTGATATTGCAACAATGGCGATGTAGTGGGTGATGGAAGTGAGCAACTTCATTCCGCAGAGTAAAGCCACTATGGTGACATTCACGGAGCGCGCTGTTCGAGCCTCGACTGCAAAAAGACAACCACGGGGTGCATATCAGGAAGAAAGCGAAAACTCCTAGGGACACAGAGACTGAAAGATTCATCGGGCGCTCATACGCAAGAGAAGCATGTGGAAGACAATGAATGCTCCAGAGCTGTCCAGGCCAATGCAGGAATTGGTTCCGAGCTCGAATACCAATCACTGATTTGTAAATCAGCATAGACGCGGGAATTAGGCGAGCTGCTACCTGAGCCAGCCTTGCTGTACAGCCTCGATCCACAGCAAAGCATCTTCATGCTCATGCTGAGCCGTTGAGTGGTTCTAGATTTGGATGATGGATCTCAAGCTGACATACACCGTATTCGACGCGTGCATTGTTCGTGCATCTAGACCCGGTTTCAGACACAAGCCGGAATCATGTCTCATACGAATGGGGACGTTCTGACATGCATCGGTATAGGACCTTCGGATCTACAAGTGTGCCAAGACGAGTCATGCCGGTAGCAAATCATCGATCATAAGGTGTGGACTATGCCAGATCGAGTATCCCGCCTCGTAGAAGATAGAACACGTCATGCATGATACAGGACAGACCTCTGAAACCCGGTGAGAGGTGGATACGAAGATAAAGCAGTGGCTCGTTGCGAGTCGGTTCTTTCTCGTATTGCTCAGTGCTTTTGTTCACGGCCTCTCCGTCCCTGCTGCTGGGGCTGCGGCAAGGCGTCATTGATGGTCGGCAATTGATGCGACTTGTTGCTTGACATGGCTGAGCTGAATCTGCCAATAGTTTTGCTGTCAACTCCATTCGGAGGCCGAAAGAATCAAATAATCAGCGGAAAGGCCGAACATCTCCTTATCTGACCCCGCCGATGTATTTGAGACCCACATGGAACAGCGCCTAGCGGTCATCTTCGGATCTTCATGTGGACCCGAGCAAGACGATATCTAGTGGGAAAGAACTAATACGCAAGGATTGCTACAAATGTCGACAAAATCGGGCCGGATTGCAATCTACCGGGTTCAGCCAGGCATAACAAACCAATGTGACATGGAATGGACAATGTTCGGTCAACTCGGCGGAGCCCCAAGACATGTCACTCGCGAACCGAGGGCCCGCCCGTCTGCCGTTGGAAGCCTAAATGCCCTCGATCGGGATTCAGTGGTTCGAGGTGGGGCTGCCGATCGGGCCGACAAATTACATGACAGATCAAACTTAGTGATACAGGAATTACAAATACGGTATGATACAAATCTGTACCTCAACGGAAATCATTTGCATCCAGCATAGGCGACCTTGTCAATCGTTTCAAGAGGCCTTTCCATTGTCTCTAACTCTGTCAATTAGTTCTTCATCGACCGGTCATGCACACGGCATCGACTATGTGGTGGTGGAAGGTTTTGGTGTTTGCTGCCATTGGGACAGTCGAAGCGGCTTCCCGAGAGCAATGGCTCGGTCGGTCGGTCTACCAAGTGGTCACCGATCGCTTCGCTCGATCCGATAACTCAACCACCGCTTCTTGTGATGCAGGACTGGGAAAGTACTGTGGTGGGAGCTTTCGAGGCATCATAAACCAACTGGATTATATTCAGGAACTCGGATTCGATGCAGTATGGATCTCTCCGGTGCAAAGCCAGGAGTCAACGCGCACGGCGGATCTTTCAGGTATGGTCATCTTGATTGTCAACGGCCATGAGGAACTGACAATCGATGGATGATAGCATACCATGGATATTGGCCGAACGACCTTTACGCCGTCAACTCACATTTTGGCACTTCCGATGATCTCCGAGCGTTATCCACCGCGTTGCACGCGCGTGGCATGGTGAGTCGCCGGCTGCCGTGTCTACCCACGAAACTGAAATGAAAAAAACAGTACTTGATGCTTGACATCGTCGTTGGTGACATGGCTTGGGCTGGAAATGCCTCCACTATCGACTACAGCTCGTTCAATCCATTCAGTGATCAGAAGTATTTCCACGACTACAAGCTACTGTCTGAGGACCCCACAAATGAAACCTGTGTTCTGGATGTGAGTCTGTCATCGCGTGTTATGGGAGCGTCGCTAAGTCTTCATCAGTGCTGGATGGGAGACAACACCGTATCGCTTCCTGATTTGCGAAACGAGGATCAGGAGGTCCAGCAGATTCTGGGCAGCTGGGTTTCACAGTTGGTTTCAAACTATTCAAGTATGTCGATACGTTTCCTATCTCTCCAACGGCTTTGACAGTTATCTTCTGTAGTTGATGGCTTGCGAATCGACAGTGTCCTGAACATTCCCCCCGCTTTCTTTCCCAATTTCAGCAAGTCAGCGGGCGTTTTCACGATGGGCGAAGGAGCCACAAGAGATGCATCCGATTACTGTTCTTTGCAGCCCAGTCTAAGCGGACTTTTGAATTATCCGTTGTGAGTTGCTCGTGAAAATGGATGAAGGGCTTGTTGACCCCTTTCCAGGTATTATATCCTCTCGGAGGCCTTCAACACGACCAATGGAGACTTGAGCAAAATCGTACAGTCTATCGAGTACATAAGGACACGCTGCGAGGACATATTCACCTTGGGAACGTTCACATCAAATCAGGATGTCCCTCGCTTTGGCTCATATACCTCGGACATATCGGTAAGCTGAATGCATCGATCCTTCTGTTATCACGTACTGACTTTGGCACCTCTGATCAGCTGGCTCGCAACATTCTCACAATCAGCATGCTTGCCGACGGTATCCCTATCCGTACGTTGCCCCCTCACAGATGGAAATGAAGGCAAAAGACACTAATCAAAACAATACAGTCTACTACGGTGAAGAACAGCACTTGTCAGGTGGGTTCAACCCTGTCAATCGAGAGGCCCTATGGCTTACGAAATACTCGATGAACTCGACCTCCCTACCTTTGCTGGTCCAGTCGTTGAATCGCATTCGATCATATGCAAGCGGCGACGGAGAAAAGTCCATAGTGGCCTCGAAGTCTGGGAGCGGCTACCTATCGTTCCTTTCATTGCCAATCTACAACGCAACAAACATTTTAGCGATGCGCAAGGGAATTACCGGCAACCAGGTTGTGAGCGTGGTGTCCAACCTGGGAGCTAAGCCAGCCAGCAACGCCACCACCAAAATCACGCTTGGCTCCGATGGCACGGGATTTTCATCTGGTCAAAATGTGACCGAACTCCTTTCTTGCAAAACATTCGTGACTGATTCAAGCGGAAATATTCATGTGGACCTCAGCTCGGATGGTGGGCCTCGAGTGTACTATCCTACTGAAAGTTTGAACCGAAGCACCAATATTTGTGGGAATCACACCCAAACATCGACGGCCTCGTCAGCAAGTCCAAAAACTTCCATCGGCTCTCGGGTTTCTTTATTGGGTTTGTCGTGGGAAATGAGGGCATTGATAGTCACGGCTATATTGACCACGTCCTACATTTTCATCTAATCTCCGAATCGTCAATCTTTCTGTTTTGATCTTTTTTCTGTACTCAACGTTCTTTTCGATAGATTCTGCAATGGCTTACTATAGACGAGGCAATCCATATATTTATTTTCATTGCTTTCATATTACGGTCTCGTGAATTGGATCGGAAGATAAGAGATATGTTGAGTCGCTGCAAACTCCTTACTTGGAGCAGAATTTTCAGTCGCATTTGACTGTTGGGCACAACACAGTCAGACAGCATACAGATCTAGCTCATGTGGTGAATGTTACCCGTCATGACCAGTATTTGTTCACAATTGTATGTAACAATACGGACAATACAACATAACAATAATGGATTTCTAATTATGATAACCTCGATTTCCGAGCTCTGTGGGTCCATCAAATTAAGCATGGGACATTATCCTTCCAATCATGTCTCCTACAAACGCATTGTGACCTGTGGTTCTTGCTCATTCATAAAACAAACTTTCTAATTATTGGCTGCAATCATGTATGAGCTCGCTTGGCGGTGAGAAGTGCAGTAAATACGAGTTATACCCAACACAGCAGGGCTGGTCGCTAATGCAGAGGTGATCTCAGAAGTGTCCGTTTGTTGTTACTTGACGTGGACACCACAGTGACCCCTGAATCTTTTCAGGCTCTCCACAGGAGGCTCAGCCCATGTTAGAGATCATATGCTGCTTCTGTGCAAGGTTTGGACTATCTCGTATTCTCAATGCGCTCGGTTTCAGCTGATAGTTTGCTAGTTTCCGTATATGGATCTTTCGACAATCTAGTCCTCAGTCGATTGAACGGATATATATAGTCTTCTCTTGGGGATTCATGGCACACGTCTCCCAGCACACTCTTTAGTAATCTTAATTCCATTCAATCAAGATGCGTTACTCATTCACCATTACCGCCCTGAGCCTCCTTTCATCGGCTTTTGCAATCACTATCACGAGTCCGTCATCAAACACGGTGTGGGACTTCTCCACTGCCAAAACGATCAAATTCACTAGCGATTCTAGTGATCCTCCAGTAATCAGCATCATCCTTCGAAGTCAAGATGGCTCCTTCCAGACCAAATTGGCGGATAACGTCAAGACCTCTGACGGCGAATACACGACCCAGCCTAATCTGAGCATTTCCAACGGGTATGTAGAAGATAGATTCCGGCGACGAAGAAGAGTGATACTAATAGCATTCTGCCATGGCTTAGAGATGACTACGAGATCCAGATAATTGACTCTGCTGGCCAGCTCGCCGTCAGTGATGTTTTTACTGTCGAGAAGGGCGCTTCGAGTGATGGTACCGCATCCTCCTCTTCTTCCACTTCTTCTTCCACCACCACCGCCACCACCTCCCCTTCCACTTCTTCCGCTTCTTCTTCTTCTTCTTCTCCCACGACCTCCAGAGAGACCACTTCTACATCGGTCACCTCCGCCGTGACATCCTCGGCATCTTCAACACCGACCTCGTGGACTAGTACTTTGTCTTCTTCAGGCATGATGCAACTCCGCACAATGTATTGAGGTGATTATACTAATACGCCCTTTTCCATCACAGGCTCTACCACCACCTCGTTGTCCTCCTCTTCTACCTCGTCTTCCACTGCAACCGCCACCACTCTGCCTTCGACTGGTGCTGCGTCGTCTCAGTTGAGCGCTGCCAAGGGTGCCATTCTACTCAGTGCTGCTTTTGCGCTCTTCTACGTCTAAATCATGTCCATCGGAGTTAATGTTATGTCTAAAATGTGTATACATTCGTCTTCATTGGTAGACTCATGACAACTCTGGGACATTGTCCTGTTGAATTTCCTTAATCTTGAAAGCTTTTACTGTAGACTAGTTCGACATTTTCTAAATTTCAGAGAGTTATATACACTCGCGAGATGATCAATTCTGAAGCTGTTGGCGGAAATCAGCCAAGAACTTCCATTTCAAGCGTTCTTTAATATCGGCATCCGCCCAGCCTTCGAGTGATTTAGGGAAAAGCGGTATTTCGCCAAGTAAAGTCGAATCATGGGCAATTAGAGTCAGAATGTTGGGTTCACTATCCAGCTCCTGCACACCGGTGATAGTAGAATTGGCCACTTCGAGGTCGTCATTGAAAGCTTCCGTAATGGTGTAAAATGGGGCAACTCGACTTTGATGTGGATGAATCGAGCGAAACACATGACCCGGGCAGGCAGGATATGATATTTCCGGAATTGGGGACGGCTCAATCATCTCGGGCAACGGGACACTCTCCGTAGGTCGAATCTCGCCGGCATGATGACATACATCCCCTGTCAAGAGAACGAATGAAGGAGGGGAGGCATCTGTTCTCGCCAAAGCAGAGACGTGGCTAATTGTGTGACCCGGAGTGTCCAGAAGATAAAAGCTCCCATCTCCAAAATAATCAATAGCTGCAAAGCGCCCGATTTTCAAACACCCGGGTGGAAATACAAGCTCATGAATTTCGCGTTTCTCGAAATCGTGGTGATGAAGAGCTGAACTTAAATCAGCTGGGTAACCGGGAAGGAAGTGCCTTTTGAAGTTTTGTCCGACAACTAATCTTGTGTCACTTGGAAACTTTGATAGATCTCCAATATGATCAAAATGCGGATGACTCCAAATCACCGTGCTGATTTCACCGCCAGACACATCGATTCCATTCCTTTCAAGAGTCGTTGGCGTATCTTCCTGAGTTGAAAAAGAGAAATCATTGCTCTTGAATAAGTCCAAGGCCACAGGGGGTAGATCTTGCCAATTCTTCCTGATCCCTAAGTCAAAAAGAATCTTCTGACCAGATTCGTGCTCAATGAGGAAAGAGAAAGATGGGACGTTCAACCGCTCAGCGCCTTTGAAACCGGGCTCGTGAAAGCATGACGATGGCAGGTCTAAACGTCCGCCACTGGAATGATATAATTAGTACATAAAATTGTTTTAGGGTGAATGTAAAGAGTTTCGCACTTGTCAATCACAGAAACCCGAACGACATTATCAGAATAAGGGATGCCAATTGTCGGCTGCAAATCAAGACTTTCCTTGTGTTCCATCATGTGCGCATTCACGGGAAGCGTGAAGAAAGCCGTCTAATCAGACGACTCCATGAAGTATGATCGACTAGAAAAGCAAATGACGTAGTAAAGGTTCTTCGGCAAAATCGGCTTTAAGCGGGGGCATGACGTGGTTAGTAAACGCTGGTCGGGGTACCGGGTTCCAGAACATCGGAAGCAATCTCGGGTCCCAGCCAGCTCCCATGGCTGGCGAGAACCGAAAGGCTTTTGATTCAAGGTTGTATAATATATTCTGTCTGTTATTTTCTTGTCTTCAATTTCCACTTTCGCCCTTAAAAACACCTTTCACAAAAACTGGTTAGTATATTTTACCAAGGGCTTTCAGTATATGCAAATCTAGACTCATATCCACGCAAAGTCTTCCACTCGTTTTTCGCAAGTGCCCTTGAAATAAACATATTCAAAGGTGATGAAGTACACCACTCGACCTATATTTCTTATCAACGTGATGATATGGAGCTTTGCTTCTCAACCTAGTTGAGAGCGAAGAAGCCAGGGCCTTTAGATCCTTTCCCACCAAGACCAAAGACAAATAGACGCGAATGGACGATGATGGATGATGATGCTTTGCAAGTCATTAAATATTTATATTCCATGGGGCCCCAGAATCACGAGAGACAGGCGGCTAGTAGGACTTATACTGAGCCTCGTTGCCTCAAGTTGTGTGCCTTTCAGTGTCATTGCCCTAGCGCTATGTTTCCCTAAGAGTACAATAACGCCCAAGCAAACAGAACCTAGCCAAAGAGACAATTATCGAGTGGCATGCAGCCACGCAGGCTGAGTAATATTTGAGCCAAGCGGCGAGGGACTAGCTAAGATCAGGTGACAGAGAGATCGTCCTCGTTTTATGGATCGACGTTTTGTTGTTTACATCTTCCTGAGGCTGTTCCAGCTAGATTGGGAATGTTTAGGGGCACATCAGTCCGATCAACAGGGCCCGGGCGGAACAACCCTGCATCCGTTCGCGCCCAGTAAGAGGATCGCCCTCTCGGGAAGACGGTCAAAGCGCCGACTTGGGCCACTCCGCTGTCAAGCAATGATTGAGTTCCTTCTATTTTCCGTATATTTCTTTGGAAAGTCGCATCGAATAGGCGTGTTTCAATTCTTTAGATAGAAGAGATGCTGAACTCCTTGTACACCATTTTATCTCGCCGGTGCGTTCTTCTCCGAAAGCCAAAAGGCCAAAGCTGCGCTTTGTTGCATTGAGATTAGGCATGTGTCAAAGCCTGTGCACGATTTAAGCCTTTTCCAGAGGGGATGAGGCTCTTTTTGTGCCGCGAGATGCCCCGTCAAGCCACGAGTGCGTTCCACGTACGCACTGAAAGCTTGATCGCCAAATCAAGCAACGATCCATTGGCTAATGATCGCAGGCAACAGTAACCTTCCGTCTCCATCACAAGCAGGAGAAAAGAGGGGTAAAATTGTTGTGAGCAAATATTAGAAGGACTGTTTTCACAGGTATTCGAACAATACATGAGCCAACATGGACATCGTACATGGCAGAGAGCTACACTTTGAGGATCTTGAGCTCAAGCATCGCGGTAGCGGACTCGCCTTTAAACATCTCTTCCTCGGTGAGGAAAAATACCCCCGAGAACTATCTCTTCAGCCTCGTCCGCCAAACCGCGTTCTTTTCACCGATTCACCGGCATGCCTTCGATCAATTCCGGTACTCATTCCGCGGCGACGTTTCCATCGCACCAGATCTTCTTCTCCGTGAAGGAGAGTTGTGCTACCATCCGGAAGGTGTTTATTACGGGCCACAGCTCGATGAAGGTGGCGAACGCGATGTGTTGGTCTTGCAATTCGGTGGAGCCAGTGGCAAAGGATACCTCAGCTTTGCACAAATGGCGGAGGGTCAGGAAAAATTGAAAGAGGCTGGCCGATTTGAAAAGGGCAAATATTACCCTGCAGGTGGCGGTGAGCCAAAGGATAGCTATCAGGCTCTTTGGGAGAGCTATTCGGGTCTCCCGCTTGAATACCCCGCACCACGATATCACTCTGTGATTGTTTCAAAGCCAGAGAATTACTCATGGGTGCCGTTGAGTGAATCTAACAATGCATTTGCGCGGACACTTGGTATCTTTACGGAGAGGGAAACCAAGGCGGATATGATCAAGATCGGAGCCCGTGGGAAGGTTCAGATAGACGGGACAAACGCTATACAGTTAATCTTTGTGCTCAAGGGTCAAGGTACAGTTGAGGGAGACTCCTTGGAGGTAGAGTCTGCAGTGCGTTTATCTCCAGAAACTGGTATCTGGCTCTCTTCGGAGACTGGGATGGAATTGCTTCGTTTTGTTCTTCCTGTACTGCAGCGAGACATTAGCGCATAATAGCTTGTGGTCACTCGATTTGTGCTGGCGGTAGAGTGACATCAATTAACTATTCGAGTCTTCATCGAAGCTCTGCATGGCGATCTCCAAATCACACTTGGATACTCTACCTGAAGCCGTTTTCCCCTAGCGGTCACGAGCTCAGTGCTCGAGAGTGTTTTCTGCCGTACGTTCCTGACGCTGATATCTGCCCTTACCAAAGTATTAACTTTAATAATTAGCTATATCGGATTAATAATATCCAATTCGGTCGGAAAGTAGGTTCTAGGGCTTCCCTTGAATCCGCATTTACTTCTTCAGTCAACGTTAAATGAAAGACAGATTTCGGTTGTCCGGACCTTTGCGTTACTCACGGTCAAGGATGCACCATTAAAGGTCATCCTATCGCCCGAATTGGGTACAAAAGAAAGTTCCAGCTTGCTGCAGATCAGAGCTTGCGCGTGTGCACTCGCTATGTGATTGATTTCTCGGAAACGAACTCTTCGAAAATACGTCGATACATTGAAAAGCATGATTTATGCTTATACAATGACCCTAGGCGGAGTCCGTGTGGCAATGGAAGTAAGAAACAGACTCCCAGGCATGTATGAAGAAGATAGGTTCATGTAATGAGACCGATATGATGTACATAACTTCGGCGTCAGTCAAATAGGCAGTATAGAGGCACTCAGCAAAAGGTGGTCTAGGGGTGGTAATGGCGGCATTGGCAAGACATTACATACAGCAATTTCGGTCAAGAGGACACACCAGCCATTTTTTGGGCGTGCAGGGTGCTTGATTGAATGTTAGGGGACTTGAAGATGTTCCGGTGACAGGGCTTGAAAGGTTTAAAGCTGGAGTCTGAAGCGTCTCTAAGACATTTTGAGGATTAAAATGAAGACTGACAACGAGATATAAAAATTACTTCTAACGGCTTGATTCAAAAAGAATCAAAATAAAAAACATACAACAGCAGGGATTCGCTGGTGGTCACCCACCCAACTACTAACCTGCCGGCGTGTGGCTTAAGTACGGCTGAGCGGACGGGAAGCCCTGTTCTCCACACCCTATGGTCGTATGTGCTAGATATATAACAAAACAAAATTATATCCGCCAAAGGACTAGGACAAGAAAGTTATTCAAGTGACAAATTGATGAGAAGGGAGTGCGCAATATACAGGGTGAGAAGCCAATTGAGAGCGGTGATTCTCACCCTCCGTCGCGACGCTATCGTACTGCCTCTCTCTCACTTGGGCTCAGATATAGCGTTATTTGTTCACCTCGATTTAGCTGAAACAGTGGTCTCTTGGCACTTACATATACTATCGAGATTCCACCCTAGGATTGGATAAACCAACGGCGAGGCTAACTTCAACTCGTCCTTGGGCCAGAATAGTGTGCTTAATATCCAGGCGCTACTAACATAGAATGGATATTAAAATCGTGTACGGTGGAAACTAAAATCCATGGGGTGAAAAAAAACTCTATATCACATAGCAACTTATTGGTAGCTGAAAGCGGACTTAACAATTTTTCTCTCCATTTGCCCTCTTCTTCTCCTTGTGTCTTTCAGACAGAATCCCCTTCAGATACATCGCTAGGGGCCTTCAAACAAAGCAATAAAATACGATATATATACACAGCAACCAAAACATAGGTGTAGGAAGTATGCATAGCAAATCATGATAGAAGGAGAGTCGAAATTGACCCGGCACTCAACAGCCTATCCTGATTATATGCCAACTGACCACAAGTTTGCTCGCCGTCGATCTAAGCCCTAAGGACCACAATAGAGGAATTTGGGAGTCAAGAAATGTAGTGCTCAATTCAGTTAGTCAACAAGATTACAACATCAAATAAAGACTGTGACAGGCTGTTTCCGTTCATTATCTCGCAACCCTCCAACAATGGACGCGTTTACGAGTAAACACCTCGCTTCCACGGCCGGACGGAGACATGCCTTAGCTAATTCCCACGCTGTAAGCAGAAGATTTTTAAAGCCCCCTCCAGCAGCGACAGTGTGCTCGTACGCCTCTTGAAGTCCGTGGAACAACATCAAGTCGGTTCCTGAACCCTCATGTACGTGACCAAATACATGCAGCCTTGGTCGAACTCTCCATAGCGTCTGTAGTAGATAAGGACAGCCCAACTTAAGTAGATCAAGATGAGCAAGTGGTGGACCGTGAGTAATAAGCACATCAATTCCATCTGGTACGGAGCCAGCCCATACATCCTGATCTCGGGGATATTGAAAGGCCCAGTTGCCGTGCCGAGTGGAGTAAGGACTCCCGTAGACCCTGAGCTGACGACCATTCGGGCAGGAAATTGTTACTTCATCATTTTCTAGATAGGTGATATCGCCCCAATCGAGCTGAGCTCGCTCAGTGGCTGCTCGACCTGATGATTCATCCCATGCTGAATCGAGAAATAGCTCATGATTGCCAGCAATCACGATTTTTATGGGATGAGGCAGGGCGCGTAGCCAGTCGAGTCCGCCCTGGAGTTCCTGAAAAGACCCAGATTGTGTGAGATCGCCAGCATGTATAAGGATATCTCCATCCGGGACATCTGTTTGGGTGTTATGAGTATCGGAGATACAGACAATCGAAACAGGTCTTGTAAGAGGCATAGCTGGAATAGGCTTATGCCAATTGTAAAGCATTCGTGCGAGGAAGACGTAGGGCTGGGCCCGGAGTCTTTGCCATGGTCCTGGTCGCTGTCGATGAACGAGTTCGTGAAGACTAGACATGATATGAGAGTCGAGACCTAGGAATATATCAGTAGTAACAAGCGAGTACATGAAACACTGGTCTGTTCAGAATCAACGATGTCGGGATCTTGCCTCGATCTTGTAGATCTGAGACATGTGAAGACCACGAAGGTTGACGTCGCCGTCGGATTATATAATCATTCTTCTGCACCAAGTTACAAGATCGATTACTTCAGGCACCCAGCTCAGCGGGACCCAAAAAGAGTTCAACGGGACCCAAAAACTTCTGACTAATCCCAAGTCCGATTCAGGTAGCGGAGCTCACCAAGTGCATATGTGTACTGCGCTATAACCCACACTTAGGCCGAAGACCTATAACCTACATTTATGCCGAGGGTGATTCCGCCAAGACAGGGTTATTTAGGTGACGTTACAAGACATATTAGTCGTTCCCTCACGGCGAATCTAGTTCCTCCTCGTTTCGCTGCTTGAGAATTTTGTCCTCATTTTCAACAGGAAAGAGCTCTACCCTGCCAGAGCAGCATGGAATTGGCATTTTGCATTGAGAATCGCGAAGATGGACTTCAGCCACTCCCTTCACAATTAGACCTCGCGACAAATGAAGCTCAAAAATACCGGTACTCCCTCGCCGATGAAGCCAAGGCGCGTCTAGGTAACGATAACATTCTTAAAGCGACCTTGCCATAAGATATTCTATGCAAAGTCCCCGCCTTGCTAGCAAGCTAACTTGCGCTTTATGAAGTGCTTCTCTCAGAGTCCGGCACAAAAGCGAATTTGACTGCGGCGTTATCATTCACAATGCGTCCCACCGAGACGGAAAGATGCAATGCCCTTAACGCAACGAAAGAAGTCCACTCAGCTTTGTTGGTCGGGACCCAGTCTCCCATTGCCTGTCACTTAACCGGCGCCAGTTTTAAACAATTTGGAGTCAATGGTAGTGATGGTCGAAAGCTTCCAAACTTCACTGGCATCCTTTCGCTCGCCTGGGCTTGTATACTCTCTAGCCGCCTAGTTGAATTGCAGCAGCAACATAGCGCAGAGGTTCTTACACGCGTTCGTCTGCGAGTTGGCAGCGTCATGATCTGATGGATCGTAAGATGGAAGATGTGACTGCTATTAAAATCGAGATTGGCGAAGTAGATGAGAGTACCGCCCGGTGGTGGGCGGCTATTCTGGCTCCTGGATAAGGGGTGGAAAACATGTGTTTTCCAAAAAGAGGGTGAAGCTTACTTTTCCCTTGGTCACTTTCTCTGGACAAAGGTCCAGACTTTAGGGTTATTTGGCAGATTGTCGACTCCCATGCCTCAGTCTCTGCTATCTCGCCACCTTCATCACAGACTGCCTTGAGACATCTCGCTCACTTTTGCTCTTTGCATGGCCTGGGCAAGCAATTTTATGCAGCTTTTTTTGCAGCCTTAACATTCCCCACGCACAAACAACTCGAGGTAAGCATTGAATTGACATTGCCAGTAGTGACTCAGAGTTAGGTGGTTCAACCTTAAGAAACGCAGTCAATCGACGGATTTTTCTCCTTAGGCAATGGCATTCCTTTCTTCATGACCCTGAGTTGCAACCATAGTGTTGTGATGTCAAGTCTCTATAGCTCATTTTGGGAGCCCAATATTCCATGCAGTCTTGTCAGCCCATGGTTGCATCCAGTTTTGGAGGAGTTTCCAAAGGCCTCTGGGATATTTGAGAATCCAGGGCGCTATTAAGAGATGATTGCTATTATGTGTGGCAAGCGCCACCCGCGCCTTTCGGGCCTTTGGATCGGAGCTGCCCTGAGCAGGCTTGTGCCAAAGGTCCTTGAATCTATTAGCAGTGGGAAACCTCCCCTAGACCCCAATGGCTTTCCTTGGACAAGTTCTCCGCAATCATTCATGGACCTCCAGGATTAGGGCCATATTTTCACAGAGACACCTCGGGAAACCAGATTATAAGACCGGACGATGCCTGGAGGCTCTTATATCTCCTAACGCCAGAGTATAATGGTCTTTATTACAATAGTCTTCCTTTTTCACCGTGGCCAACTGTCGGACAAACGGTCGAGAAAAATTGTGCACTACGATTTCGCGCACATAAATCATATCCAAGACACCGTTTCGCCTACACTTATTGGACTTAGAAATTATAAGATAGTACGTGTTTGAATGACCGAAGATTTTCGCTACGTGACCCTAGTCATCCTCAAGGAACCTCCTATGTGCAATCCCGACGATAACGAAATAGCGGCGCGCGATATTCGAATATGCCTCTGTCTCTATCCCAGCACGCGTCGCGTGAGGCGTCGTTAGAAATTTTCCGCTAGGTTCTAGCGAATCACGAAGGAAAGCCACCTTCTGAGCCAATATATGATCACGAATAGCTTGCGGGTTGCGACGGCAGTGATGAATGCTATATAGAAGAACAAAACATAACCCCAGCCGTGAAATCAGTCATCTCAATGAAAGGGAAGCTTATTAACATGAACAAAACAATCACGCCAATTCGGCTCCTACGTTGCCCGGAATTCAAATCATGGAGTGGATTGAGAACAATACGTAATATGGCTTAACGACGAAGCCGTGACCACGTATTAGGAGTTAATAGTTTATCAGATCGTAGATATTAGCGTACCATACCAGTAAGTCAAGTTTCCGGCTAGAGCCTTATACGTTTTAAATTAATTAAGATGATTAAGCGCTACTCATTGGCAGTCTAGCTAATACTACCGTTTTGGTAGATCCTTAATAGAGAAGAGTAGGTCATTCCCTATATTTCCTACATTTAAGCATTCTGCTCAGTCTAGTGGACATACAGCACAATAAAGTTTTGATTAACCTATACTTCCAATCCAAAGATTTTACGTCCTCTTCGATGGCCACTCTCTTACTGGCTTCCAATTGTTGAGTGCAGAAACGGCCGAGGTCGAAAAGGGATCTCGGCTTCGTTCTGCCAGTGGCCCGGCCTGAGAAAGGTTTAAAGCTAGAGTCTGAAGCGTCTCTAAGACATTTTGAGGATTAAAATGAAGACTGACAACGAGATATAAAAATTACTTCTAACGACCTAATTCAAAAAGAAAAAAAATAAAAAACATACAACAGCAGGGATTCGCTGGTGGTCACCCACCCAACTACTAACCTGCCGGCGTGTGGCTTAAGTACGGCTGAGCGGACGGGAAGCCCTGTTCTCCACACCCTATGGTCGTATGTACGGAATTGTGAAGTTGAATCATTCATACATCAGATTTGATGTATCAGTGTGGCTAGAACTAGGACATAGGCTACCATGTCGGGAGATCCTTGTAGCGCGCAATTGATTGCGCTGGTAGATCAACCTTGACCCACCACTAAGATTCTATAGCCAGCGCGCAAGTAATTGCGCGCGCCGAATCATACCTAAAATTCACAACGGGGTGGAGTCGCCAGAATTTTGGAATTCTTTCTTTTGATTGTAAGGAATTAATCTGCATCTCACATCAGCCTTGCTGAATTAAAACAACGAGTAGATGTCATGGACCCACAAGTGACAGAATTTCTTGCGTTCGCTTTGACTAGGTGATTATGTTGAGGCACGAATATTTGATGATAACCCTCCTCGAATTTCCTGAGAGACACTCAATCTTGATCTTGGTTGTTAAGTTTCGATTTGCCACCAGCCTGATCTAAACGTCTGAGGTCCGGACGCTGAGCAGGAAGCGCAGATATGCAAAGAGAAAGCTTACGCCATCGATGTTAGCGACCGTCACCTATAGATCTACAGCTGACTTAGCCCGATGCCAAATTCAGGCAAAGGCTTAGCAGACAGTGCAGATGGCAGCATGTGATTTCTGTCTCTCGAGGCTCGGTAGAAAGATAGTAATACGCTATTTAAGGCCGTGGTTTCCTGATGGATAACTCTAAGATTTCCAACTTTCTACACATCAACACTTCAGTGTTTGCGCGACACATATTACAATAAGTTTGCTTCTGGATACTACGTTCAGAAACCGTGGCCTTGAGTCCTTGATTGGTAGCTTGGAATTAAAAACAAGATTCTCGACTCAAAGACTCGTCTACAATATCTTGGACGATTCGTCAAGGTATCATCGGTTCATCACCCAACGCGGGCGTGATAAGCTGACCAGTCTCATTAAAATTTGATCTCTACCCTCTTGTCGTTCTAATTGGAAATCGAATCATCACATCCCAAGAAGCACCATGTGTCTCGCTCTGGAATTCCTCTTCAAAGACAAGAACAATGGCCCGAAAGCCCCTGCTGGATCCGCACCACGCTCTCGTCCAGCTATGGCTTCTCAATCTCATCAAGAACCTTCGCCATCTTATCAGACTAAGCCTGTCGTGCGTTGAGTGATGAAATTTAGGTGAGCATGAATTTCATTCCTTCGCTCTTGAAGTTTGAGCGACCCTTGAATGTTAGTAATGCAATATGAGTCGCACTCATGATTCATTTGCGGGGGTTATTTTCTGGTACAAAATGAGTGATTTCTTCACAATTTTTTTGTTTCAGCTATGAAATTTCCTGCATCTTTGTCTTTCCAAAAACCCCCAATAGTATTTGATGCTCCAACTGCCGGATTTGCCGGATCTGCTTAATGTCTCAGTGTCTCAACACGTTCCGCTGTTGATTAGCGGTTTATTTTCAGAACTAGTTGAAGTATGTGCAAGTGATTACTGGCAACAAAAAATGGGATTGTTATCTAGCTTTAAGGTGAAGAGTAGGATTTAGTCAGAAATCAAGAAATAAGGTCGTCAGCGTATCAGCGATGTTGATCTACAGAACGCGTTATCGAAAACTTCTGCGAAACTGTAGGTACGGGTGCCATTGAAAAACTTTCTCATCCACATGAGGATAATCTCAGCCTGGTTGTGGATGCCAAATGTAACCGAACTAGAATTAGTGTTTTTACCCAATGGCGTTGTGCGGAATTCCCTGTACTAGCGGTATTGTCTCATTACCCTATCACGCACTACTAATGCATTAGCGTTCGACAACTCTAGGACTCAGCTTTTCCAACTCTCGAACTCAACTGCATCCTGATCCCGGTAACGTCTAATCAGAGAATTTGCGCGCTGGAAATACGATAATTTGCGCGCCGATCGTGATGCGCCATATGTTTCATGATTACTCGCAATTTCTTCCCTCCCGCCGATCACACAATGTTTATTGGTGATTGCCGTACTTGGACGTGGCCCTGGAGCAGTTACACTTACGCAGTGAATGGACGATCGTTGCAGCACATGCGACATACACGGTGACAACGACAGCTATTTTGGTGCGCAAATACCTCACAGCCCTATGAACAGCCCCATTACTGAATCCGCGATTCGATGAAACTTCTTGCTGTGGCTTTGCCCTGAACGATCTTCGACCGCCGGTCTACATGGCAACTTTTTCTAGTTCCGAAGCGTGTATTATGTCAATGCTGTGGTTCATGTAAGAGGGTAGTTGGGGAGAGACATAATTTGAGGCAGTTGTCCCGAACTCAGACATCTATCATTCAATTCAGTCAAGACTTGTGCTATTTCCAGCAAACATGAAGATCTAAGCGATTTCATTCCCCTCTTCTTATTGTAACCAACTACCTTGTCGATATGTCTTACCCTGCTAGTGAATCTTACAGTCAAGGCGCCGAGGGCTGTTACTCCGATCAGCAGTACCAGTCCCAGGGCTCGGGTCATGTGCAGGTTAGTCATTACCTTCACTCAAGCATTGTATGCAATGAGGCAAATTCAGTCGCAGAAACATGAGCTGGATTCTAGAATAAAAGAACATGCTGACCATGAAAATGAATGGCAGCGCGATTACTATGATGGACCAAAATGTAGCCATGGGCAAACCAGGCTCCTCGGCCAACAATGAGCAAGGCCTGTGTGAATGTGGCTCAGGAACAGGACAGAAACTAGCACCAACTCAGCTTCGGAATGTTTCGCCTCCGACATATGACTCACAGCAAGAGTATGGTGAGAATGCCTCTTACTACCAGCAAGATCTCCCAGTTGGAGAGTCAAGTGCTCGTCAGAGTCCTGAGCAAACAGATGGCGAAAAAGGTCTCTGGACCTACTGTTGCGGGCGGTGCTGCTGGAGGCCATGCATCCCATCAGATGGGCGGTGGAAAGCTAGCCACTGCAGGAGATGCACTTCTAGGAGCTGTCGGTATGAATATGGCAACTCATCAGCTGTATGTGAAGACCTTGAAACTATCCAATCACCATGAAAATGAAGGCTGACAGTTCCAAGCCAACAACATCGGACGCAACAGTAACAACTCGCCCCGAATGTTATTGTTGTCCCTGCTCAAACGCCCGTATATGGGAATGGGCTCGGTGGACGCCTTGGTTTAAGTGGTGGACTTGGCGTTGGTAGGGTTCATCGCAGACTCGCCCGTCGTAGAATCGGCATGTACTAGATGACTTGAATCGCCATCTCATCCTTTGAATCTTTTGAAGGAGATCAGCCTCATGCCTTTCTTGATTGGTTTTTTCTGTATTTATGATATTTCGGGCACTCGGATGCTGTATAAGGTCATGTTTAGCTTTTGTCTTTCGTTTGAAATATATGAAAACCTGTATGATTAGATGACCTGCTCGTACAGAGTTCTTTACGGAAATTTATCCCTGCTTTTTGTGCTGCTATCGCTAGAAACAACGTCAACATCGATTTTTACATTCAGTTATAGAAGCACGGTTTTCGACAGCAGATGAATTGATCGCAAAAGGGTAATGTTGGAAATGGCGGCAAAAACGTATTTAAATAATTTCTCATTCCTCGCGAAACACTTTGCTATCAAATGTTCTGGCGGCGGGCGAAGGAAGGCTCTGTTCTCCGTAGCCTTTCGTTGTATGTGCAAGATCCTAGATCCCCACCGATGACTCTCATGGAAGCGATCAAAATCTTTGCTCTAATATTGCTATACCACCTTCTAAATACCTTTTAAACACCTAGTCTACTAGCTTCATGAGTAATTGTACTCTTTCATATGTTTTTCAGAAAAAGGTATCCGCCTACGACTGGCGTATCTGTCCAGGACATGCAAGCGCGGGAGTGGTTTACGCCTCACACTTCACTTGAACCGCAAATTTCGCGACTAAAAGTCTTTCAACCCAGCGAAGTTAAGGTCATAATTGTAGGAAATTGCTCGCTATTTTCATTTTAATTTCACAACAGTCTACGTAGTAGTGAGCTTTGAGACCACCGTTCGATGCGCTTGACCTGACCAGTTGCTCGCCAACGGAAGGTGAGTTTTAGAAATCTCAATCAAAGCCCCTGAATATGTACACAGCTGTGGATAGACGCATGCGACGAGTGCCATCATTACAGAACTGGATTGTGGTCCGTGAAGAAGATTGAGGTAACAAGCGTGAAGAAATAGCATGGGAACGATAGAGGCAAGCGAACTCCTACGACCCGAAAGCCAAGCCAGGCTAAGGACGGAATAGGCCACAAAGTGACATGACGCGGGGCGAAGCCATGTCTATTTAAGAAAATCAAGCGTAACAGCCGTCCTGTTCGACCGTTCCCTCATCTATCATGGAATCCCACTCACCGGCTCCAGCCCTGTACATCACAGGGCTGGCATCGCAATATCCTCCGTATCTACTAGGGCCCGAGGAACTTGAAAAGTTTACAGCGCGCTTTTACGACATAAGCCGCCCAGGGCAAGAAATCCATTTTCGATTGCTCCGCCACAGGAACAAATCTAATGTAAGGCAGAATCAAAAAGCTGCTCCAGGTCAATCGCACAACGGGTATCGAGACCAGATCCGCAATTCACTCTTTAGAAACGGGATTTGTAACGCAGCCACACGCCCCCTCAATCAGCGAGATCGATAAATTCTTCCGCCAAGCCGGGGTCGACCTCACCGTTCAAGCGTGTGAAAAGGCCCTCGAAGAAGCACATCTCGCTCCCCAGCAGATCACCCACACGATTGGGGTGACCTGCACCAACCAGGGTAACCCAGGGTATGACCTACTAGTAGCCCGCAAGTTGAACCTTGCACCCCATGTCGATCGCATGCTTCTCCACGGCGTCGGGTGCGCAGGCGGGCTGTCCATCTTACGCGCCGCCGCGCAAATAGCTGGCGGGGCAAGTCTGCGGCGGAGACCAGCCCGTATCTTGGCTTTTGCCTGTGAGCTGTGCACCCCCAATCTACGCCATTATCTGGCATTGGCAGAAAAGTGCACAGAATCAGATCCAGTCAACATTGCAGGGGCTTTGTTCTCCGACGCCGCGGCGGCGTTTGTTCTTTGCAATGAGTACGCTATGGCTGAGAATGAGCAGGACACTCATGTGTTTGAGCTTTTGGAATGGGGCTATGATTTGATTCCGGATACAATCGAGCATATGTCATTCCACGCGGATATAGATGGTTTGTTGGTCGTCATTTGCTTACAAATTACACTTGAAACTAATCGTCCACGCCAATCTTTGGTATTGCATGTGTAGGCTATCGAGCTATCCTCAGTCGAGATGTACCCGAATACACCAAGCACGCTATCGGGCCGATGTTTGAGAGACTTCTTCCTTCATATGAAGAACAAATCAGTTCTCGGTCAAGGGCAGAGGGAATTCAAGTATTTGAGTCGCTAGGAGTCCGCGATTTCGACTGGGCTTTGCACCCCGGTGGTAAAGCAATCATAGATGGTGCAGCCCAGGTCTTACAGTTGTCCGAGGGGCAACTCCAGGCAAGTCGGGAGGTATACCGCACTCGGGGAAACTCATCAAGTGCGTCAGTCTTGAACGTCTTGGATCGACTTCGTTCACGGAGTAGAAAGACCCATGTTGTTGCTACCTCGTTTGGTCCTGGTCTGTCAATAGAAATGGCGCTGTTGAGGAGGTGTTGAATTGAACGATCGTTGAACTTAAACGTGATGGACTACCTACTCGTATCGCAATCCTAGATTCGAAAAGTGAACTTCAGCGAGAGAAAGATATTGTTAAACATTCAATTGAAATTAACCTTCCTCTCCCTTATCTAGGATGGGAACTAGATAGCCACGGAAAACTTTAAGAACAGCATGTTGATCGTAATACAGATTCTAGATGATTGATTTAGATTGTTATCTAGAAGGGAGACTTCTTCTCGGCAGGGCAAGCGTAAACAGTCACGACATTGGTGACAGGGATAGTCACCACTGGGATCTGATCAGCGCCCAGGGAGGGGGGAGCAGTGACCTGCGGAGCAGTGGTGTTGGTGTTGCTTGCCTCGGATCCAGAGCCAGAACCAGAGCCAGAGCCAGAGTTGGAACCAGAGTTGGAACCAGAGCTGGCCTGAGCACCCACTCCGGCAGTTTGCGCAGGAGCAGGAGCTGGAGTAGAAGTAACTGGATGCACGCTGGTGCTAGCAACGAGTGTCTCGGTCGTCACGGAAGTTGTCTTCTGGTGAGCGGGGCAGTCAGTGACGGTGGTAGGGCAAGCAGTCACTGTCACAACTCGGGTAGTCAAGATGGTCTCGGTGGTGTACTGGGGGCCTTGGCCACCGTTGGAAGCCGATGGAGCACCAGTGACCACAGCACCACCGGGGCCAGTAGTAGTGGCATCTGCGACAGGGCACACCGTGGTGGAAACAAGGACCGTCTCGGTGGTCACGTAGGTGCTTTTGGCCGGGCAGTTGGTCACTGTGGCGGCACAGGCAGTGACAGTCGAGGTACGGGTGGTGAAGACAGTAGACGTGGTGAACTCAGAGCCAGAATCTGAGCCATTGTTACCAGATCCAGATCCTGAGCCGTTGCCGTTACCTGAGCCAGAGCCAGAGTCAGACCCGTTGCCAGACCCATTGTTACCAGACCCAGAGCCAGATCCATTGTCAGATCCATTGTCACCAGATCCAGACCCATTGCCAGACCCGTTGCCAGATCCGTTGCCAGATCCGTTGCCAGATCCGTTGCCAGATCCGTTGCCAGATCCGTTGCCAGACCCGTTGCCAGAGCCATTGTCAGAGCCATTGTCAGAGCCATTGTCAGAGCCATTGTCAGAGCCATTGTCAGAGCCATTGTCAGAGCCATTGTCAGAGCCAGATCCTGATCCACTACCGTTGCCAGCGCCTCCACTAGGCTGAGGACCAATTGTAGAAGTAACAGTAGGAATACCAGACGAGCCGACAGCAGCAGAGCTAGACGGCTTAATAGGTCTGCGAGAGATAGTAGTCGAAGGACGAGGATGAGGACGCGAAGTAACAGTCACAAGGTGTGATGAGGACGAAACAGAAGGAGGCTGGGACGAAGCACTCGAATGAGGTAAAGGAGTTGAAGACTTCGATGCGCTCTGGCTAGGTGCAAGCGGAGTGGACGATGGGGCCGCACTACTCGAGCAGGTGGAAACGGTAGTGAGAATCTCAACGTTATCTAGATCCATTACGAAAGGCGGGCTCTCCTTGGTAATGGGGTCCGGTCTGCACACGGTCGAAATGTAAATATCCTGACTTGGGTCAGAGGCAATGAAGGGACCGGAGACAGTTAGCCAGTCTGTGCCTGCTTCAGTGATGGTGATATCTTTCACGGCCACGGGGTTGCCGTTGGTGGAAATGTACGCGAGACATTCGCCTGTAGTGAACGAAGGGTTGACGCGCCATTTCGCGGCTACTTTGTAAGAATGTCCTCTCACGAGGCCATTGATGCTCTGGCCGATTTCGTTATTGGGGATGCCGACGGGGTTCTCCCTGTACACTGTTAGTATCTGAGTTTTCTAGAACATAATGGGGGATCCGTACAAGTAGTAACGGCCGTCAGCTGCGCTAGAGCTGCTCACAACATTCAGTTCGCCTGAGACTCTCCAATGGCTCAGTCCATCTTCAAAGGAAGGGTTCTGAACGAGATTGATCTGCTTTACGGAGCAGGAAGCGGTAGCTGAACCGGCAAAGAAGAGAGGCAGGAGAGCCTGCCATGATTGTTTGACTAGAAATGAAGTCAGCAATTACACAACATATGAAGACCTAGCCACACTGACACTGCATTATAATAGGTGAACAAAAGAACGTAAATTCAAAGATTATAGTATCAAAAAGAGTGTATAGTTCAACGAACGGACCCAAACAACGTTTGGGAAAAAAAAAGAACGACAGCCACGGAGTAGAGGCGAAAAAGGGTTTCCCACTTCTACAAAGTCTCCGCGTCTTATAACAAAATAAATCCATGAAAGTGCCAAGAACAATGCCAAGTCTTATCATCTTCCATCATCTCCGGAGAGAGCCGTCGGTCTAATTGACCCAGCAGTGAATCCACGAGCCAGTCATCTTGAAGCCGCTGAAACATCCAGACAAGCGAACAGGCTAATTATCGTTACGGACAATTGGGAGGGAATATTCAGAGTCTTGGACCCTGGTAAGACGCCACGGTCAATAGCGTGAGCGTAGAGCACGTCCGGGTACCTGACAACACGTGGGGCGCTGGCTACAGACCCTTGGATAACCTTGGGGAAATGAGCACTTGGCACGGTGCTCCCCGATCGATTTAATTATATGGTCCTCTCTACTTGTGATCTGAAATAGATCCAGGATCTAGATTTGAAGAAATTGTCATATTCTCTTTCCAGGGTTGGAATGGTGTAGATCTCGGGAAGGCCCGCTGGCATAGTATACCCGCACTCTGGGGATTAAATACTCCGGACACAAGCCAAGATTGCTCGATTGTTCGGAAATTACCCTGTGAGACATGTCATCTTAGGATCGTGCGGAAAGTCTTGGAAGTTCCGGAGCCGAACGCTGGCACTGGCGTGATCGGAGCCTCGTCGGTTCGCGCCGCCTCTGGCGCTTTGCCTTTTTGGGAAATCCGAACAGCCTCAAAGGGACCAGTTCCCCTGCCAAGATCCGCTTTTCCTTTTCTTTTCGAGTCATCTTTCAGCCACGCCCAAGTTGGTGAGTTGGCGATTATGCGGGCTTTGTGATTAGGGGGGTACAGCATGGCTGGGAAAGGTCAAGGATGGGGTTGGTTATCGTTTCCATGAACAGCAAAGTCATTGGCGAGGTAGTCCTAAGTAGTCGACGACTATTAAGTAAAGGGCCCGAGTTGACGGATAGCATGACGTCGTATCCCCAAAAAAAAGAAGCGGTGGTAAACAAATAGGCAGAAGAAGGATAGAAGCAGTGGACGAAATCGAGTGTGGTGGGGGCAATGTGGAACAAAATTACGCTGAGGGTGGCCAATATGGGGTAGTGTCAGGCCTGGAGCGTTCCTCTTGATCGAGTTATATTTGTTAATTAATGAATCGATCTCTCATATTTACATTCACTTCGTGCAGTGGATGACATTGAATGTAGGTCTCTGGTGGTCACGTGTTGTCAATCACACCTGAGAATAGAACGTATAAGCCCCCGGCACCTCAAGCATTTGGATGCTCGTCGAGCGGCAAGTTCACCTCTCCTTTCAACCACGAATGCAAAAATAAGCAAAAGTACTCAACACCAAAACGAAAGTCATGTCTTCATTTCAATCATCAGTCATCAAGTGAAGTCCTAGTCAAGAGTATCAGGAACCAAAAAGAAGCTCATCGGAATCCACCACTGGGGAAGTATCGTGGGCCAGCATATCCATGAGTAATGACACTCTGGATGTCGATATTGCCATCACTGCGGGGACTCCACAATTTGATGAGAATGAAGCGGCCCGACCTGGAATGGTTGAATTAGTACAGCACAAGTAAGAAGGGAGAATGAGACACGGGACATACGGAGGTGGATCGAACTTGATGCTGACCATGCTCTTTTCCCTCTCGATGAAGAAGCGGGCATGTGGCTTCATTACTTCCGCGCCCGCAGTCCCATTCCCAGTCCCGCTAGATCCAGACGTTGTATATTGTTGGGGAGGAAGCGGGTCGACTAGGCTTGGAGGTTGGCGGCGACGTGAAGTAGGGTCAGAATATTGTCGGCGCGTAGTTCCGATGCGGCGCTGTAGTTCAAGGCGCCGGCGGTGGAAATTGCTCATCGTGGTATCGTCATTGTCGTCATCGTCGCTGATGCTCTCATCGGTATCTGAGCACAGAAGGTCATCTTCTTGAATTCGCTCAAGCTCGGTGATGGAGGGTACGTCCTCATCTTCACGGTCAATAAAGACGTTATCCTCGGATATTTCATCATAATCTGTGGTAACGCGGAACTCGGCCTGTGGATTATTTGCGTTTCGGTCTGTGGGTTCGTCATCCTCTGGAGCGGCGTTCGGATTAGGTCCCATGAGCACTGTTCGCTCCAGTGATTGAAGCGGGGATCGGAAGCCCTGTAGCCACTCTTGGGATGGTTGTCCAGTACGACGAGCGCGGCGACGACGACGTGTGTTGGAGTATTGAATCTGGTATTGGGCGGTGCGGGCGAGGAGCTCATCGGATGTCATGGAGACAAAAACCATGCCTTCTTGAATAGGCGAATCAAATCCGGTGCGAGGCGCTTTGATGACAATCTTTTTCAAGCAGAAGGGTGCCTCGCCCCGATGTCGCAGGACCAGGTTGCACCGATCAGACCCAGTACAGTAGACGGTTTGGTCATTCCGGAGGACATTCTCCGGGAATGAATTTTCTGAGCCTGGGTCCCAGTTTCCTCCATCACAGCTAGCAATCTCCATCTTGAGAGCACCCGGAACAACCTGCCCGTACTGTCCATAGTTGAACCCACGCATACCCTCACGATTGTCATCCGTCTCCAACTTCCGCCGCTTTTGCCGTCCGCGGCCATCGCGGCCGGTCTGATCAGGCTGAGGCATGAGGGATGGAGTTGGGAGGGTCTCGTTGAGAGTCGAGATCCCTCGGAGGTCAGGTCGGAAAGAACGGCGTCGGAGGGTTCTGCTGATCGGTGGGTAGGACTCCTGGTTCGTAAGCGGGCTTGGAGACGAACGTCGATGCCGATTGCGTTCCGCTCGGAGCTGATCAATAAGTGAGGTGTGTCTAGAGTCTATGTCGGTTCGTAATTGCTGGATTCGGCGTTCGGCTGCGGCATCCACTTGAGCCACGTTAGTGCGGTTGACACGAGGTAGGTCAAGATTGTGCTCTTCGATATGTTGATTTAACGTCTCTAATGCACGATTTGTGTCGTCTGCATTAGCTCGATTGCTTTCGGACTGGATTAAATTGCGAAGGTAGTCAAGGTGTCCTATGGGTGGTGGCGGCCTAAGAGTGGAGCGTGGACTATCGCGCGGGGTGTCGTCGTTTGTATCGGAGGCGGTGTTAATGTCCAGCAGCTGATCAAGACTTGCAGAGGCTTGATCTCCCCTGAACCGTAACTCTGATAGGAGTGTATCCAACACCGGGTCGTCCTGGTTCGTGAAGGTATTGCCTTGCGAGGTCAACGCTTCGATGAGTTGTTGGGTACGGGGATAGCGTTCGCTGAGCCCGGATGGTTCGGTGGAGCCACTGGGACGAGATGGACGACGGGAAGAGGCAGGTGGATAGTCGTAGTTCCCTGACTGTGCTCGATGGGTCAGTCCACAAGGTTCGGGCAGAAACAAACGTCATGAAACATACCATGGCGGTGGGTAAGTCTAGTCAGGTACCGCTTGGACGACGATTACCTGTTGACAGAGGTGACCGTAGAGACTAGTATCACATCAAAGACGAACAAGACCCAAAGAAGGGCCAGGAAAGATCAAACAAGCTGAGATAACGAAATGATTGAAGTCGTAGACGTCTTCAGGAACTGGTTATCGCGAATGCACGTGATGCGCATTAGATCATCGCTCGTGTGGGGAGAGCTTGAGCCTCTTCACTTCATCACCTTCACTTCGCAGTCGAGATGGCAGAACCAGCTGGGAATGGGAACGCGATTAGCGCTGGTATGTCTCAAGAAACATTTGGGAGGAAGAAGGCTAATAAGTATCCAGACGAGATCGCCTTGTACGACCGACAGATCCGGCTCTGGGGAGTCCACGCTCAAGAGAAGTATGTCTTTTCAGAGTGCGAGAGGAACACTTCTAACAACCTCACAGAATTCGTTCAGCGAGTATCCTACTCGTCACTGTGAAAGCTCTCGCGAACGAAGTAGCCAAGAACCTGGTCCTCGCCGGTATTGGCTCGCTTACAATAATCGACCATGAACCCGTAACCGAAGCCGATCTCGATGCGCAATTCTTCCTGGAGGAGGCGCACAGAAACGAGGATATCATCAAAGAGGGGAAGAACGTAAGTCACGCATTCGGTCTCGACAAACCGGCCCTAACCAACCCAGCGCGCCGAAGTCGCCGGTCCCCAAATCCATAAGATGAACCCGCGCGTGAAACTGCACATCGACACCTCAGATATTCGCACCAAGCAGCCAAACTTCTTCGCCCAATTTGATGTCACAATCGCCACAGAATTAGATTATGAGACCAACAACACCATCAACGCGGCCTGCCGTCTAGCCAACAAACCATTCTACGCCGCCGGTCTCCACGGTTTCTACGGCTACGTCTTCGCCGATCTAATAACTCACGACTTCGTCATCGAGCGCAGTAAATCCAACGTCCCGTCCGCGACCCAAGAAACCCAAACCCGCAGCATCGTCAAAGTCACGACCAAGAAGGAAGGCGACAAGACGATTGAACTAGTCACAAAGCGCGAAACATACTCCCCGCTCCTCTTGGCCAATACATCCCCTTACCAGAAGAATATACCCGTCTCCCCGGCGCCGCAAGCAAGTAACGCCCCTCCTCTCCTGTCTACGCGCACTATGGGAATTCGAAAAACTCTCCGGAGGCCGCAAACCTACCTTCAACCACGCAGACCTGGAAAGCTTCACCAAGCTCGCGCGCGAAGTTCACCAGGAACTCAAGCTCGACATGGCATCACTGGATAGTGCATTCTTGCGCAACTTCCTCCAGAATCTAGGCTGTGAACTTAGTCCCGTTGCGGCATTCCTGGGTGGATCGCTAGCGCAAGACGTCATTAATGTTCTCTCTGCAAGAGAGCAGCCATTGCAGAACTTGCTCCTCTTCGACGGGGACAAGTCAATTGGCCCGATTTATTCGCTTCATCCATTCTTCCCGCCTGAGATGGGTATGGAGAGTCTCGGGGCTGTGCCGCCTGTTGGAAATCCAATTCCGATGGGTGGGAATGGGGATACTGCTGGTCACGTCGATGTGGAACCTACGGTCATTGAGTGAATTGCTAGAGAAAACTAGACGCGCCAGGTATAGGGTCGGCGTTAGATTGTTTTGATTTACGAGTTTCACCTGAGATAGAGCCTGAGGGCCATGAATCATGTTCGTGTACGATATTAGCAGAATGCACCTTATTACAAGTCAATCACTTCCGGGTTTTCTTATGACTTATAGTCTGAGAGAAAAAGAGGTGTATATGTCCATTGGAATTACATACTCATATACCACAGCAAACAGAACCCAACGCCGGGAATAACAATGCAAATGGCGGAAGAGATTACAATCTAATAATACCCTAATGGTGGGCGGTCTCCTTGGCCATTTCTTCATCGGTGGCTTTTTTCGGTCCCATCGAGGACTCGGCTTCTTCCTCCTCATCGCTGATCAGTCCTTGTAGTTCGAAGGTCTCGGCGTCCTGAATACGCTGGGTCTCGGATTGAGTGCGCGCTCGTCCGTTCATAGATCGGCCGTTGGCGTGGGCGTATTTGCTTTCTTGAGTGTCTGTTGGCTCGCCTTCGGGCCAGGCGTGGACGGCGTAGATGTGGAGTAGGACGTTAACGACTAGATGGGGTCAGTGATTGTCTTTTTATGGGGTGGTGCATTAACGTACAGAGGAAGAGCATGAAGGCAATACTGTAGAGGATCAGGATGTATGAGACGTGGGTGATTCCCGCATCGGCGAGAAGCTGCATTTGTTCCTCGGTGGCGCCCATGAAGAGGAAGCCAGAGGCGTAGAGCAACTGTGTGAGTTAGTTGACGCTCCTTAAAGGAGGGGCAAGGCACATACAAATGGTGTCAGGTACTGGAAGCTGTTAGGGTCGGTTCCACTCATGCTGACCGCAGGCTTATCCCGCAGGACAAACGAGATCTCAATGATACGAGTCAGACCAGCCGCCATCAGAGTGTATCCGAAGATCGAGTGGATCATGGTACTGATCATCAGAGTCTGCGCATGCGCCGACATGGCATACCCCGTGAGGCCAATAACAATAGCAGGGATGAGGTTGCGCTTAGGACGACCATTGCGACTCCGGCTCAACCAAATACCCAACAGACCAGCGCACCACCAGACAATTCCCATAGTAGTGTGCTGCAGATCGTTATGCACCCACGGACCACCCCAGCGGTGCTCAGTAAAGGTGTTCACACATCCCCAGGCCGCAATAATAAGCGAATCGAAGAACTCTTGACTCCTTCCAGTCCGACGCAACCAGAACTGTCCGACCAGCAAGAGAATCGTCAACAGAATTCCATACCCGATAAAGGCACTGCCCATGATAAAGTGCGCCGCACACTGTCCAAGATGATCACCCTGACAGAAGCCGAGCGCGGCAATACCACCGAAGAGCATCTGCACCCAGCTGACAACCGGCATGATCTTGCCCAGAACGCCATGGGCCATGACAAAGATCCAGCGGATTCTCGCTTGTCCCGCCTTCTCAAGATGCAACTTGAGGTAGCAGCCCAGCGCGACCTGCGCCACCAAACCAAGCATCAACCAGTTCGCAAACTTGGCATGGGCGTTCGGCCCAAACTGACGACCCTTATGCGCATGACCGAGGAAATAAGCGACAACGGCGATAACGGTTCCGACGATTTGAACAGGGACGTGCCAGCGCGAACGAACGATCTATGCCGCATAGCATTAGCATCCCATCATAGACTCCAACTACAAGAAAAGAGACTTACACCCAGAACCATTCCAGTCGGAAAAATAATACCAAATGAAAGACCCATCAAAATCATATGCACCCATAGCGTGGAGTCCTGTACGGTCAAGTCAGCGGGGTCCGCATGGGGGAGATCAGGAATGAGAAGAACACGTACGATAGGATCTTGAGAAGTCGTGGACCCCTCGGGAACAGCCTCATGGCCTCCATGGGCGTAGACCACACTGGCAAAAGCCAGCGCAGCCAGAGGAAGGAGGCGGAATTGCATGGTGGTGATGGTTGAAAGAAAGAAGGGGAGGAAAAGAGAACGGGGAAGGTAACGGGGCCGATCTTGTGCCAATCCGGAGGTTCCGATTAACACTGAATTTGGCCACTTTTCAACATCAATATTATTGTACTCTCTTTTTCTCTTTTTTTTTGTCACTTCCCATGTCCTGGCATTGACAGTGGCATGTTTATTGACTTTTCAACTTCCGCTCATTTTGTCACTTCTCTGATTCAGACGTGAATCCGTTCCTGGAAATTACTCAGCATCTTTGATTGACGTACGCGTATACAAGAACGCGAGACCCACCATGGACGGGCGGGCCTCTCGACTGGTTTCATTCTACCTTATACAAGTATAGGCAACTACATGACTAACATGGAACAGAATTCACTCCGCGAGTCCATCGCGCAAATTGAAGGTGAAAAGTTCCAAATGGAAGTCGAAGTCGAGGAGATTCGTTCTAAGCTGCAGTACTTGCTTCTCCAAATGACAAGCTGTCTGGAGCTTGACTAACTCACGGCGGATACTTAGACTTGATCCGGCGATTATTGTCAAGAGACATATTCGGCTTCTGCACGAGTACAATGAGATCAAGGATACGGCGCAGGGTCTACTGGGGCTGATTGCTGATGCGAGGGGTGTGCGGCAGATTGAGGTGGAGAGGGAATTTGGGGTGAAGGAGGGGGACTAGGATAATTTATGATTAGAGGTACATGAAACCCTCGGTATCTGGCCTGGGAATCCATTGCAGTCAAAGAGGGAATTGAGTATTTCTTTATCAGTCACCATTGATGAATTAAGAATGGTGGAAGCTATGTTATCGATTCAGAGTCGTTTACGATGCAAGAGTTCGATAGTAACATTCAATTTTTATGCGACTTTTCTCATTCAATGGCAACAAGTTCGCTCTATCAGAACATGAGAAGAGAATTAATTAATACAATGAATAGAGATCGTGAGATGGGAAATGGTAGAGGGTAGAGAGTATGAGATAGTCAAGGATGGCTTAGGGTATGTATGCAAAACTCTTGGCAAACGATAGGAAAGAGGCGGTGACCGGGGGAAATCAGGTATTGAAGTAATCGAAGTATGGCAAGACACAGCACCACAGTGGGAAGAGGAGAGTTGAAAAAGTTGAAAAAAGGGGGAGGTCGTTTATGTGGCGGAAAAAAAAATCAGTGAGTCTTGCCCAAACTCTGCAAGTTGACGAGCTCGTAGTAACGGCCCTTGTTACGAAGCAGTTCGGTGTGAGTGCCGCTCTCGACGATCTTGCCCTGATCGAAGACGTAGATAATGTCGGCCTTTTGAATTGTACTGAGGCGGTGGGCAACTGCGATGGTGGTGCGACCGCGAGCGGCGGCATCAAGCGCGGCTTGAACGACCTTCTCGGACTCGGAGTCGAGGGCGGAGGTGGCTTCGTCGAGGAGGAGAACCTTGGGATTACGCAGGAGAGCGCGGGCGATTGCTACACGCTGCTTCTGACCACCAGACAACATACCACCCTTGCTGCCGACGACGGTGTGGAAGCCTTCAGGAAGAGACATGATGAAGTCATAGATGTTGGCGTCTTTGCAGGCTTTGACAAGCTCGTCTTCAGGGACATCGTCGGCTTCAATGCCGAGGAGGATGTTGTCCTTGATGGTACCTTGGTAGAGAGTGGGCTCCTGGCTGACCAGCGCCAGGTGACTGCGATAGGAGTTGAGGTTGAGGTCGGCGATATTGTGGCCATCGACGTAGACACCACCAGAGAGGGCATCATAGAAGCGCTCGAGGAGAGCAATGGTTGTACTCTTTCCGCAGCCACTGGGTCCTACCAAGGCAATGTACTGTCCAGGCTTGACGCTGAGATTCAGGCCGCGAAGGACGGGTTGCTCGGGGCGAGTAGGGTAGCGGAAGTGGACATCCTTGAACTCAACATGACCCTCCATGTGCTCAACACTTGTGCCCTCGGTGGACCAGGTATCAATAACCGGACGACGGTCAAACAACTTCCGGAACTCATTGGCAGCGTTCTTGGCCTTACCCATATCGGGGGAGAAGGAGAAGACTGTTCCGGCAGACTGGGCACCGAACAGGATCTCACTGAAGCAGACAAAGAATTGGAACATAGTGTACTCGTGGTGACCGAGCAGGGTACCTCCATACCAGAAACCGAGGGCAACACAGAAGAAGACCAAGGCCTGGGACATGGCATATAGCAGGGATGACTTGAAAACCGAGATAAGACTGGCGCGGCCTTGATTCTCCAGCTGGCCATGATAAACACCCCAGACATCCGTCTCGCGGGTGAGAGATGCGACGGTACGGATAGCCGAGGTAGCCTCACAAGCATAGCTCGCAGAGCCCTCGTAGGCGACCTTGGAGCGGGATTGGAAGGCGGCAAGCATGTAGAAACGGTAGAAACCGCAACCGAGAAGGATTGGCACAACAGAGATACACACGAGAGCCAATTTCCAGCCGAAGGAAAGCGAGATGATAATGGCCGCAAGCAGGGTGGTCGAGGTCATAAGAATCGTTCCCAAAGTCTGTCCACTAATACCAGAAAGGTGCTTGGTCTCGGTCGACAAGAACGAAGTCAAAGCACCAGTGCTGTTCTCCTCCTTGTCAAAGAAGTTGATGTCCTGGCGAAGCATAGTGCGGAAAGCCTGGCTACGGGCCTTGCGGATGAGACGTTCAGAGCAATAGGCGAAAGCAATACCGTGGGAGGAGAAGGTGATGAACTGGACGATACCAACCACCAAGAACATCAGAGACCAGAAATTGGCGTCTGATCGGAGTTTGGCGTATTGATCCTTGGGAAGAGACAATGCGCTGATGGCCTTGGCGTACAAGAAAGCCTGAGTGGGCTGGCCACCACCGGCAAGGATGGAGAAACACAGACCAATGACCAGCCATTTCCATTCCGCCCGGTTGAAGGAAGCAATGAACTTGATCAGTGTCCAAAGGGAGTACTTGTTCTTGGAGTCACCGCTCCGGCGGGACAGAATAACACTCGATACAGACTTGCGAGAATCGGCGCGGCGAATGTCTTCCTCGAATAATCCGGAGGCACGGATGTCCTCGCTATCCTTCATCAGGGTGGCAGCACTGGCAACAGACTGAACGCGAGCGACTTCCTTCTTCTCGAGAGCCTCGTCGGATTCAGAGTCACCTTCCTCCACCAGGGCATCCGCTTCCTTCTCCTCGTTAATCCGCTGGGCCTCAACAAGCTTGGAGTAGGGACCATCGGTCTCAAGCAAGACATCGTGGGTACCCTGCTCCACAATGGCACCGTTGACAAAGACGACGATGTTGTGGGCAGTCTTAATAGTGGACAAACGATGAGCAATAACAATGGTAGTACGGCCCTCGGCAGCACGGTCCAGAGCAGCCTGCACAACTCCCTCAGACTTAGTGTCCAAAGCGGAGGTGGCCTCATCCAATAAAAGAATCTTGGGATCAGAGACAACAGCACGTGCAATAGCAATACGCTGCTTTTGACCACCAGAAAGCAAGAAGCCGCGCTGACCAACATTAGTCTCGTAACCCTCAGGAAGAGCAACGATGAATTCGTGGGCATTAGCCATCTTGGCGGCATTCTCGATCAGCTCCTGGATACGTTTTTCAGGCTCATTCTCGAAGCGGGTTCCAATAAGACCATGGCGAATGTTGTTGTAGATGGTAGTACCAAACAGAACGGGCTCCTGGCTGACCAGGGAAATCTGCTGACGCAACCAACGCAGGTTGAGGTCCTGGATATCGTGACCGTCGAGGTAGACATTACCGCCAACGGGAAGATAGAAACGCTCAACCAAGCCGACCACAGTACTCTTTCCAGAACCAGAGGGTCCAACAAGAGCAGTGGTCTTGCCGGCGGGGATCATGAGCGAGACATCTTTCATGACAGTGACTTCTGGGCGAGACGGGTAGATGTGCTTGACGTTTCTGAATTCGATATCACCCTCGACATGGTCAAGGACGAGACCCTCGTCGGAAGTAGGATCCAACGGTGAAATACGGTCAATAGTGCTGAAAATCTTGGCAGCAGCAGCGACGGCATTAGTGAAAGCCTGTCCGTTAGGACTGACATTGCCCAGACTAAATGAACCAATCAGGATAGCCATCAGGATAGTCAAAACCTGACCGACATTGACCTTGCCCTCGACCAGGAACTGGGATCCCATCCAGAAGCCCAGACCATAGTTGAGGAACATGATGCCGAACATAGCACCAACCATGACACCAAGAGCCATCTGCAGGCGCATGCCCCATCGTTCGGCAACGCGCAAGTGAGCCTCGTACTGCTTGGCCAGCTTGTCCTGAGTGCCGAAGGCAGTCGCATTGCGAATGGAACTGATGACTTCTTCGGCAACAGTGCCACCGGCACCGTATGCATCCAGGGAGAGTTTGCCGTACTTGATAATGAACCGGGATCCACCACCCATGATGACGACCAGCGCCACAATAGTGGAGGTACAGATACCGGCAAGACGTGCGTACTTGATGTATGCCACGATGAATGCAGTGACAAACGTGGCGACGGCGGTCAGGGTCAGGCCGACTTTTTCGGAGATACCGTCCTGGATCAGGTTGGTGTCGGCAGTGATGCGGGTGGTCACCTCACCGGCGCCGAGCTTGTCGAAGTAGGCGATGTTCTGGCGCAGGATAGCCTCGAGGTAGTGCTCACGGATTTTCTGAGTGATGTGTTCTCCGGTGTAGATGAAGCCTATGGTGCTGATGTAGACGGTCACGAGCTCGGCAATACCCAGGTAAACGAAATAGAGGACGTTCTTGCATAGATCAGAGTAGAAAACATTGTACGGGGTGGTACCATATTCGATGCCTGAGAAAGAGGTGGTCAAAGAACCAAAGAGAATCTGCAGTTGTTAGCGCAATACAAGTCCATCTAGATCACACTACTTACAGTGAACAGGGGCAAGGCAGCACCTGCAGCAATAGCACATATTGCGCTGACCGAGAGAATCAATATATCCATCTTCGAGGCATATCGGTAAAGCCCGAAGAAGGAGATTTTCACATGTGGCGCATCCAGCTGCTTCTTGAGGATCTCTTTTTCATGTTCCGGCAAATGCGCGAACATCGCATCGTCATCTAATGACAAAGCGGTGTTGCTGCCTTTCTTGCTTTCATCTTTATCGTCTTTGGGCGCACTGGCAGAGAGAGTCGATCCGGAGTCTATGGTACGGTCGGGCTTTTCAGTGTCGTGCAAGTCATCGTGAAGTGTATCCGGGCTGGCGAGCACCTCGGAAGGGAGCTTTTCGAGCGGAATGGCAGCTTCTTCGGGTTGCTGCATCGCGGCGGTTGCGCGCGTTGGCTAGTTGTCGGATAACAGGCCCACTTGTGGAGGTGCCTTTACCCCATGCAAAATCCAGTTGGGGTATAGAGAGCGTGAGAAGTTGAAGGGAAGGTTAAGGTGTGAAGATTAATTTAGGTAGGTAGAGAACGACGGGAAGGGGGAATAGGCAAAAGTAAAACGCCCCGAATATAAAGGGATGGAAGGAGGTAATTAAGATGAGCTTTTAGCCAGCTGTCAAAGGATAAGAAATAAGCGATCGGACCAACTACCGGAAAATAGTCTACAGGGGAGGTAAATCGACTAGATTTTGAATGGAAAGAAAACGGGGTTCAAGAGGTGGGCCGGGTGCTCCAGACTCCGGCATGTTTATGCATAAGCCTCGAACATTCTCTCCTGTCTCTCCAGGGCATGCAGGGGATCTCACTCCTACCTCTCTAGCCCCTGATAAACACCCGTGGCCATCTTGTGGTACGCGAAAAGTTTTGGAGCACGCCTTATGAGTCTCAGTACGGAGTACATGGTCCAGTCCATATTTTGAAGGTCACAAAAATTAGGCTCTGGGTGATACACGGTATGATCCAGGATCGTCCGACTTGGGCTACCCTGGATGACACACTATGATGCGAGTCCGAATACGAAGGTGGGTTGCTTGACTCACAGAGTCGGTTCCTCACTTGACGCGGCCTCGGATCCTTCTACTTGAGCCTAGCAGACAAAATGATAGCAGCGTACCATGGAAGCCTAGTAATTGATGGCCCACTGCGAGTCATTAAGCGATCCTCCACTCACAGCCACTAAATTTGATCCATGAACATCGTTATGCTCACCTTTTGGGGCCCGTGCTCGGTGAGTCGGTGGATTATCAAGTCCGTTCCCGATGCTATTCTGCCTGATCCAGATCTCGATGCTCGAGTCCGTCTGTAAGCACCCCTTTGGGTTAATGTTGCGGTGACCAGGGTAATCGCAGGGTCATCATGGATTCCACCCAGTAAATCAAAGACTCAAAAAACTTGATCTGACGTACCTCTGCGACCTCCCCAACGCGATAGAGTTATGCTCGCCTCGGAATGCACGACGTGGCGGACGTGACCAATACCGGACGAATTTGGTCCGTCCTGCGGGCTCTATTCCCGATCTGGTATCTTCAGCCTGAAGATTGGATCCTCGTTTTTGAGGCATTCAGATTTCTTGCAAGTCGTATTATGTCATCGTTTCGCGCCTTAGGCCCAGTAGTATCACATGATCCAGCCGAAGCGAAGCCAAGCCCTTGTCCGCACACAAACCATCCGCTCTCCAAGGTCGAACTTCTCTCCATCCAACCAGCTCGCCGTCGCGATCAAGCCATCAAGATGCCGGTTAGTGACACCACAATTTCCCGACCTCGTCGACAAGAGAATTATCCCCGCTGACTCCTCCTGCGTCCACAGAGCCACAAGACTTTCCGCACCAAGCAAAAGCTTGCCAAAGCTCAGCGTCAGAACCGCCCCATCCCCCAGTGGATTCGTCTGCGCACCGGCAACACCATCAGGTAAATCACGCCTCGCTTTCGCTCTCGAAATGTTGGACCGGAGGAAATCAGAACGCTGGACATCCCGAACCCAACCGATCCAACATGTCGAGCAGGAATGAAAAAAAAGAAAAAAATATTACCCGCACGGACAAATCGACTAATGGGCATCCCACAGATACAACGCCAAGCGACGACACTGGCGCAAGACCCGCCTGGGTATCTAAGCGCATTCCAGGCCCGTCTATGTACCCATCCACGCCCTCAGATTCCGAATCGCCGATGTGGTGTTCGATATGAAGCTAGTTATGACGTGACGCCCACCCCGAAAAGAATCTTCCAACCCTCGACTTGTGCGCTAGTGATGGACTACGCGAGTCTGCAATTGTTTCTCGGGTGATTCGACAAGCCGATATTCGACTTGAACGTTCATTTCCTGTGATTTTCCAAGGGAATGACGCCCTACCGAGTGGCGGTGCATATGATATTATGAATGTTTGGTGGAATGGTCACGGGTATTGGGGCAAGCATTCGCCGGAGATCAGGTTTCCGTTGGCGGGAGGGTTTTCTTTTACAAAAATCTGATGGAATCGAATTGACGTCCCTTTTGTCTTGCATTCTACTTGCACGAGTACAGCTGTGGCTCGCTTGTTCGCGATTTCCAACTACTTTCACGTCGGCACTGTAGACTGTAGATTGTCAGATTGTGCTATGTGGTATATGGATGGGCTTGAGCTCAGGGTCGCTTTCCCACAGGAGCCATAGCCTGTGCGACCCCTCCTCGGATGAAGGGTTGAGCGCGCCAGGCAAACCCTCTGGACCCGGACTTTACACCATGTAACCAGTGGTCAATGTAGCATCAAATGACGGCCCTTATGGTGCTTCGCCAACCGCCGGATCCCAAAGTACTCAATTGTAGATACATCAGCATCGGACCACGCCTGCCGACATAGTGCCATAGCCATCCAGATATCACCAACGACGTCACCCACCAAATTCATCAACTCCAAAGAGTCCAGCCATTCATCTCCCTTCAATCTAACACTCTCCCTTCAATATAAAACCATAGGTCGGCTTACGAACGATACCCAAGATTAGTGATTCAAATCTCAAACTTGAGGCATGGCATCCGAGTCTCAAAATTGAGAACATCGCACGTAAGATATATCTCAACCCTGAACGAGGAACACCCACTGAAACAAGGGACACCCAGAACAAATCTGAGGGCCGACCGTGCCGGGCTTGTATCAGGAACAGAACATACCTGATATCCAGACATGTTCGGCTTGGTAAAAGGCTCATTTAGAATATATCCCCGGATCAGCCCTGGAGTGCCGGTCTAGGCTTGATTTATAATGCCATAATGAAAACCAAAATTATAGTGTCCTGTCCTCTATGCTGATACGCACTTAGAGAGAATCGAACTTGAGGCTATCTTACGATAGATAGCTGGACAATCGCATTCGATGGCACACTCTCCCGCTTTTAGATCGATTTTTGTTCCGAAGAAATGGGAGAATGGCGCCACAATCAGTGTCATGAGGGAAACTTTCGCCTGTTTTTTGTCTTCTTTTGTTTCCAGGAGACCATGCCATGCACTTGCACTTGCACGTTATCGAGATAATTGAATATCTATAGTGCTTAATTCACAGCTTCATTTAGCGGTGATGGACCTTTTTCGCAAAGGTCAATACATGCTGACTCTCCAAATGATGTATGTTCTTGGGCTCTGAGGGGCCCATGGGACTTCACCGGGATCTGTTAATGCGTAAGACACCGGACATCTTGGAATCTCTATTTTGATGGTATGAACGGTCATTAAAGCTCATCGCACCAAGCACATGAAATAGCAAAGGCTAACAGGCGTGTATCAAAATCTACAGATACTACACAGACGATAAAAAGCTATCAAGTAGCAAGACATGACTTCTCCAGCCGAATCCTAAGAGATACATGATTTTGGAGAATGAGCCATGGCAGCTCGCAGGTCTCAGAGCAGAAAGGGAAAGAAGAAGCCGCTGAGCCAAACACCATAAACAAGATATCCAGTTTCAGGACCCTACTCCATTTATAGAGAACAACTTGGGGTTGTCAGTTGGAAGAGTGGATTTTCATTCTTTGGGGAATATTGGAATATCGTCAAAAAGGAAACATAATCGGGGCAGCAATCAGGATACGGACACTTAGCGGCTGAAAGAGAAGTCAGTTACAAGATCAAGAGAATGAAAGATTTAAAGGATGTCTTACTCCTCGGCCCACTCGTTCTCGCGACGAATTTGGTCCTCCTCCTCGGGGGTGAAGTCATTTTGAATGTTGAAGGTCTTCCGAATTTCCTCGGGCGACTTTCCCTTGATCATGTTGGCGACGGTCTTACAGCCGACGTCCAAAAGAGCCTTAATATCGAGGTAGTTCGCAGCCTGTAAGAGGCAAAGAGTCAGTCTTTGTTCCGTTTTCAGTATGCGAGGTCCAAGGCGAGGGGACTCACGAGAATGATCTCGAAGAGCATCTCCTGGTCCACCTGCATGAACTTCTGGTCCCACTCATCAATGTCGGTCGTCTTGCGGCGGTTATCGTCGTCGTCACCGGCGGTGGGGGGGATCGTTCTTGTGGTGCTCGCACCACTCAATGACCTTCTTGAGGACGGCCTCGTTAACCTGTCAGGCAGTTAGCAATCGTTGGTATTTAGAGGTGATCGAGAGGGAGACGTGCGTTAGGAATAGGGATGGCCTCGCCGGAGTCACCAAGATCCTCGAGCATGTTCTTGATCAGAATGGAGCGCTCAGCAACCGCGCGCTCTGTTCAGTGTTAGTTCTGAGCGATCACACTAGCTACCTCGATGCGACATACCGACGGTGATTTCGACTCCATCGGAGCTGGTGAGGGTAATAGGAGCAGACATGATGGTGGTCTTCAGGTCCAGTCTAGATAAGTTTGAGGCGTCAGAGTTGCGTGGAGCTTTAGACGGTGGGGAGGGGCCAAGCGGGCGGGGTCGGAGTTACGCGAACGGTCTGGCAGAACTCACTATAAAAGACACGAGATGGAGTGCAACGACAGATGTCCAAAGAGGTGGAAGACACAAAGGTGTTGAGAAGACAGTGAAGGAGAGGAGGTGAACCAAGAGCAAAGGCGGTGGATGTCGAGGCTCTGCGATCTTTGAAGTTCGGCGCCCGAAGAGAAACCGAACAGTCAAAGCAGATTGGTGCCTATTGCTACCTAGTCCATGTGTCATTATTGTCCGGGAATGTTCTAGCTCAGTTTCTCTTTGATGGGGTCTAGTTCATAATTATGTATTCGACCGTACATTTCGGTTCATACCAATGCTCAAATACAGTGCCGTACAGTGCCGAATTAGGGAAAGTAGATTGTAGGCTATCCACGGATGCGCTTTTCTCTTCTTCTGTATTATAGAAATCCAATAATAAACACAAATCCACCCGAAGCTAGCACTATATGAACACATAATTCGATCTCGTCTCATGGACTTGACAGGTCGGCATGATAGGAGGTACAGTGTACAAGTGTACAGGGCAAATGAGACTAGTCGCGAGTGATATCATCGCAAGTAACCAACGCGTCTTTTTTTTTTTCCCTGTCCAATCTGACCCCTTCCACTCTTTCCCTGACATCTTTTCTTTCGTTGATTTTCAAGCATGTTATGCCCTTAGAATCATGTGGCGACGTACCTATCTGTTCCTGCTGCTGCTGCGTGTTTACTTCGCGCTGTCGCCCAGCTATCTGCACCCTGATGAGAACTTCCAAGGCCCCGAGGTCTTCGCCGGTAAGTCTGGGATGCGCTCCTCTTGCGATCTTGATGAGTACCTATTCGCGACGCGCTTGGCCTTCTTTCTTGGCGATCGCCATTAGCGCGCGCGCCGCGACAGTTCATGGATCGCGAAAGTCGCGACAGCCTCATCCGAAGAGCCCGCTAACCCGATCACTACCTTTAGGCCGCATATTCTCCTATCCGTCGAGCCTACCGTGGGAATTTACATCTGAACAACCCATTCGAAGCGTCTTCCCACTATGGCCAATCTACGAGATGCCGATGAGCCTTCTGAAATGGTTCTACACGGAGATCGGGTCGGGCAACCCACCGCCACAACTAGTGTATTATGTTCTGCGCGGGGAATGTTCCTGCTGAGCTTTGTGCTGGAGGACTGGGCCGTGTATGAACTGGTGCCGTCACCCCGCCACCGTCGTGCGACTGTGGTCCTGGTCGCCTCGTCGTATGTCACCTGGACGTATCAGACGCACACCTTCTCCAATTCCCTCGAGACGCTGTTGGTGGCCTGGGGGCTGGTTCTGATTCGTCGCATTACTGAGAACAAGGTCCGTTCCGTTATGCAGCTATGAGATTTGTCCAACTGACTTGCTGCAGAAACGATCGTCGTTCTTTTCCTATGCTGTACTCTCGTTCATCGCTGTCGCTGGGGTCTTTAATCGCATTACCTTCCCGGCCTTTTTACTCTTCCCGGGGTTACAATTACTGCCCTACTTCCAGCGCAAGTAAGTGTTACCATGCTTATAGGGTCAAATATGCACACACTGATCATAACAGACCAACATCACTCCTCGCTTTCATCGGCTTTGGGGCCCTGTTCGCTTCAATAGCGATATACATCGACACGACCTTCTACAGACCCTCCACCTCCTTCCTCGAGAATATACGGAAGCCGATCGTTACTCCTCTAAACAACATACTCTACAACACCGACGCATCCAACCTCGCAATTCATGGCCTCCACCCCCACCACCAACACTTCCTAGCAAACCTCTTCCAACTGCTCGGCCCAGCCTATATCGCCATGATTCTGTCCCTCTTTAGCTGGCCGATCGTGCCCACCTGGATGCGCAACGCGCGGGCCCTTTCCGCCGTCTCAGCAACAGCCATCCTTTCCATCTTCCCCACCAAGAACCCCGCTTCCTCATTCCCTGCGTCCCCTCCTCCTCAGCTGTATGCGCATGCACCGCTCGCGCATCTTTCTAGCAACATGGCTTATCTTCAACGCAGCCATGGGCTTCCTCATGGGAATCTATCACCAAGGCGGGATCATCCCAGCTCAACTCGCAATGCGCAGCATCGTTGAGTCAAACACCCTATCCCAAGGCATAAAAACAATGCCCGACGCCTCTGTCTTCTGGTGGAAAACATACTCTCCACCGCAGTGGCTTCTCGGTGCAGATACCAATGCCACTCACATCGACACCTTTGATCTAATGGGCATTCCAGGCCTTGAAATGATCACCGCTCTAGACAAGGCCGTCCCTCTCTGCCCCACAACTTCTCCAGTGTACCTCGTCGCGCCGACATCAGCTTCATTCCTGGATGAATACATTTCCCCTTCATCCCTCTCAGAACCACATTCCCCTAATCTTCAGCTCTACCGCCTATGGACACATCGCAAACATCTTAACCTCGATGACCTCGACTTTGGCGACGATGGTATTCTGAACACTTTGAATCGTGTCGTTGGACGTCGCGGATTAGGTGTATGGTCTGTTCGACGTGCGTGTACGTGAGGCAGCAGAGGTGTAGCTTAAAGCATTCTTTTCGCCCGGGCCTGGGCTTGGGTATTATGACATTTATCGGCGGGATTGATACCTTTTGTATTCTTTATTTCTATTGCATTGAGATACATAGTTTCAGATTTGGCTCATCTGGATGGGTGCATGAGTTCGATCCAGATACTTTCAATGTCTACCTCCATTTCACATTACGTGATAAATGACTATCTTCCAAATCTAATCTCATGAATGGCTTATCATTGAAGTTAATTTCCCGGCTTATGATACCTGTGACTTCTTTTCATGGGGATTCGAGGTTGTGGTGCTTATTATGGAATGGTGGTCCTGCTGACCCCAGAATATATCCACGATCTGCGGGACTAAAGATTACGAGTTCGCCACTATACTCATGCATTGAACGAAGATAAGACAAACCCCACATAATCATTTGATGAGAAATAAAGTAAATCCGTGAATAATTATAATCAGTAATTGGAGTTCTATTTCAGGAGTCACGCGAAACATAGGGTACATGGCGTCTTTGTTCTTCCTATGACTACCTTATCCGTCAACCCTGGGATAACACTCCAGAGATAAAATGAACCATTCGAAGGAAATTTCACAGATGCTAAGATTTCAAGGTTCATATGGAGATATGCATACATATACGTATCGTGATCAACATACGTGTACTAATCCATCCCCGGTCACTTGTCAAGATCTGATGATCGCGACGCACTGACCCCAGACCCTGCCACTGGGTAAATGCTAATCAAAGCATCTGGAATGTCGGGTCTCGGGTCTCTAATATCTGTTTCTGATCTTCCACAATTTCCAAACTTGGCGTGGGTGAAGATCAATCTACGAGAAGAAAACCACAGCGAAAACGTCCCATTTTGCCCATTAAGTTAAGTACATGACAAGTCGTTTCGAGGAGGAGCCGAAGCCAGACGCATTGATATCCATGCATCCATGCCTAGCAAGAAGAAACCGAGGGGGTTCGGGATCGAAGAAAGAGGGGAAGGGGGATCTGCCGGAATAGCAGCATGCTTGGTATTCATCAGAACATAAGAGAAAAAAAAGAAGAAGAGATGGGTAACGGTGTGAACGTTTACTCTTCCTCCTCGTCGGGCTGATCAAAGAGGAAATTGGCGGCAAGTTCCTCGTTTTTATCGCAGGCGAAATACGCCTGGATGACTGAGTCGCGGGGAAAGCCAAGACGGCAGAGCTGAAAGTGTTAGCTTTAATTAGAAGTTAGGGCTGTGAAAAGGGGGACGTACACGCTCGATGGCATCCCGTTCTTCCTCTGTGACTGAGATGGCTTGCGTGCCTGGGGGCAGCTGGCCTTCCTCATCCTCACCGAGATCCTCACTCAACAGCTGCAGGAACTGCTCCGAGTTCTGACCAATCATCGCGGCAATCTGAGGGTTGCCTGCTGCGACCTGCTGCAGAATGGGCTCAAGCATGTGCGGTTGCTGCTGGACGAGCTGGCGAAGCTGCTGGAAGTGGGGGTTGTTGCGCAGGAAATCCAAGTTGCCCAGAGCTTCACCCCCACGACCACCGCGGCCACCACCATCGCCGGCCTGAGCAGCTGCTTCAAACATGTTGAAACCACCATCCTCACCAGCACTAGCGAGCGCAGCGGCAGCGGCGGCAGCATCATCGTTGTCAGATTCAGCGCCACGTGCCGGAGTCTGCTCATGTTGCGGCTCCTGCGCAGGTTGTTCGGGAATACCCTAGCGAATGTTAGGGGAAAAAACTAAATGTGCGAGAGCTTGGAAAAACAAAACCTACGCTTAGGAGGTATTCAATCGCACGGTCCGGATTGAAGAATGCAGCTCTCATAGCACGCTCGGCATCGGCTCTGGCGAATCCCATGTTCTCCATCTGGTTGATTGCGTTCTCGGCGTCAGTGCCCATGGTCAACGCGGAAGGGTCGCCGAAAGCGGGCTGATCGCCCGCACCTGCGCCAGCCGGAGTAGGTGTCGCAGGAACCGCGGGGGTGGAAGCAGCGGCAGGGGCAGCAGGAGCAGGAGCAGCGGGGGTGGAAGCGGGGGCTCTGGCAGCCGGGGTGGAGGGAGCCTTCGAGGCGGAGGCGGCAGGCTTAGGACCCTAGTTCGATGAGTATAATGCCAAGATTGATCTAGTATGGAAATTCGTACCTTGGCGGGCAAGCAGACTAGGAAATCCTTCTCTTGAATGCTGTAAGACTCGACCGTCTTGTCATCCTGCAAAATCTTGCCTGTCCAGAAAGCAGGTTAGCTGCAGCTCCTTGACCAAGCTCCCCATCTCCGTATCTCGTGGTGACGCACCAGAATAGATGACCTTCATTCGCTCCGCGTCATATTCGCCCTTTTCCTGAGCAATCTTTGCCTTCACTTCTCGAACCTGGGGCACAAAATTGATCAGCCCCGCACCAGTGGCGGCGGGTTTATTTCAGCGATAAATCATCACATACAGTCTCAGAAGGCTCGACATCGATCACGAACTTCTCCTGCTTCAGATCCTGTAAAGAAAGAGCGAGTGTCAGCGGCGTTCGTCTGACACAAAAGGTGTTGATTAAGGGTGTTAGGATGGTAGGTTGACGAATGACGGACCTTGAAGGTGAGCTTCATTTTGCCGAGTGCCGCCGCGGGGGAGTAGATAGAGGGCGGTAGAAACTAAAGGATGGCGAGATGGAAGTAGAGATTCAAAGAGGGAGAGCAAGAATCAAGAGGGGCGCCGAGCAGAAGTGACGATGATGCAGCAAACGAGGTGCCTAAGGCTGGCAGTTGCCTCACCGCCCCACATTTGATGACCGATTCTCCTCATCCTGTTCACGCCTGGAGTACACACTTGAGAATTGTCTTTTCTAGAATCCCTTTCGTCATCACAGGAACAATGCTACCATCAGGGATATGAGAGTGGGGTCGATTTTCATGACTTCCCCTGTCATATTCATTATGGTGTGCCGTCATCAAGTCCCAAGGTCTGCAAGGTCACACCCTTGTGCAAATAGCAGGCTGCCAAAGCATAAGGATCGGCAAAGATGATATCCTTCTGACATTCAATAAAGGTCGCTGTAGGGTTAGCCTCGCTTACAGCATATCAGAGCTCGATCTGAGATTGCAACGCAGCCACTCGATCAAGCATGAGCACGGACAAGCTCTTCCGCACACGGGACAGGCCTTATGAAGAATCGATCTGGAATCCGTACGCAGGTTGACAAATTTGAAATAGCCGATCTTCGTAGTGATTAGCGTGCCATTATATGGGATCCGATTGGCAGCTCCAAGGAATAGAACAAGACACTTCTACTTCGCATCTACCATGTTCTCATAGGGACCCAGTCATCGATCACCGATAGCCACCAATCCATAGCCACCCCCTAGGAATCCAAGATCCCTTCTCAAGGCGACCTGCGAACTACATTCCACGTAGAAAACCCAGGGAAATGGAAAAATCTACCGGGATGATATATCACATCCCGGAGATCGGACAACGTTCCGCTCTGATGGATCGAATAGATAGTCCCAGCTAGCGGCTCGATTGACAGATTTATAAGAAACTCAGGGCCTGGCCTGTCTATGGATTTCGTGGGAGCCAATCTCCACTTATGTACCTGTACACCGGCACTGCGATATATCATTTCTTGACGTGCAGTAGTTCCCAGTAGTTCCTGAGCCAGATCCCCGATTCTAACTCGGATCTGCCATTCCCCAGACTCTTACCACATTCTTGGGTTGACGGATCAGATCGACGTGATTAATTCTGCAGAAATATGATCTGTTGAGACGGCTCATCCGTATACTTTGAGCCACGCTGCTCCTTTCGCCCCGTTCGCAGCCCACGCGTATCATAAGTATGACTTGCCCCCGAGACCTGCAGGGGAATTTTCCTATGAGGTCAAAGGCCTCTTGCCAGCCCAGAGACGCATTCATTTCGCGTGAAGTGACTTGATATCAACTCGTTCTTTCAATTGATATCCTGTCGCTCTACTTCCATTCTTTTGAATCTTGAGACGGTTCCTTTTACTCTCTCATAATGTCTGCTATCATTTTCTATTGTATGGCTGCGGCCGCCGTCTTTTCGACCTTGATTTCTACGATTGTTAGTAGTGTCACGTATGCCACCTTACTCTCTTTATCCTCGCACGACTCCGGACTCGCTCCTCTCGCCCTGGGTGCTATCAGCTGTGGAGCGTTGATTGGTCTTAGCATTCTTTTGCACAAGGAGGTTCGAAGAAACGAACAATGGCCTGTTTGGAAGACTGGAATCTTCGGCTTCACGGGTGTCTACCTCCTCATCGCCGATGTATGTTCTGCAGGAACAATGATGGCCAGCCTGCCTTCACTTTCGGGCATATGGATCACCCGCTCGGTCTTTTGGGCCATCACACTCCTAATGCAAGGCCTATACATTGGATTCCTTCTGGTACAATTGACCCAGAAGAAACCCGAGCCAACCTGGCCGAGCTCATTATCCCAAGAGCTTAAGACACTGCCCGAAAGCCCCAGCTCGATCACATCTCCATCAGCGCCATACGATCCCCATGCCAGGGTAGCAGGATTTGACACCAGAAGATCCTCTCTCCGCAAATTCCCTCGGCGATCCAACCGTTACTCAGGTGGAACACTATGTCTCCAAAACTCGCAAGAAGCCAAAGATAGCTCATTCGACACAGGCTCGTCTATCTGCTCCCCAGAGCCATCACCAATTCAAGACCATTTCCAGATCGAACGAGACAATCAACTGCTTCTCTCTGGTGGCAGCATCCGCAGCATGCCCAGCCTTCGATCGGAAAGAATCCAGCAATCCCTCGATCACCTAGTCTCTCCTTCTCCAACAGCAAGCACATTCAACTTGGACTCTCCCGCTCAATCCACATTGAACTTGAGCCTGCCAGAGCGCGAACACAATATCCACCCTCTCTTCCGCTCCACCAGCCCATGCCCATCCCCCACTCCCACACTGGGGACCGTGGTGAAAGGCTCCCCGTCTGCCGGCCAGACTATTACCAAAAATACATTGACGCGGATGCGATCCGCGCGCTCCCTGCGCGAGCTCAATATGCGGACTCCCTCTCCGCTACCCGAGAGCAGGCCTGAGCTTGTGCGCCAGGATTCGGGGTCTGGGTTGTCCTTGAGCTACGTGAAACGGGCCGAGAAATACGAGACAAGATATAATTTGAGAGAATCGCCGGAGGAAAGGTGATTCGGGGGACTCTAGGGTGTTCGTTTATGATTGGTTTATGCATAATGATGTTTGTACAAAGGTGGTGTTTTGTGAATAAGGGAATAGGAATATCACGGAAATGGACTAGTCAAATGGATTTGCAACGTCTACAACCTACGAATACTTTAAAGCCCTAGGGACCGGAATAGTATACCGAGAGTGAATGTCTTAGGAGTCGGCCGATTGTGGTAAGCCCGATGGCTCGTATATTAGGCTCGGGGCCGTCTGTGGGATGACATGGCCGCGTTCGTCGACTTGTGGTGGGTCGGAATACCTGGGATAGGTAGTAGAGGTGTTCTAGTGCTAGTTCAAGTTCTCGTTCTCTTGAAGATATGGACATTGAATAGAATATATAATATAGAATCCAGAATCCAGAAGCCCGAATATATTAAATGATCGAGCGTTAGTATGTGCCCAGTCATGAGGGTGGGCCAACGTAGACGCGCGGGAAAAATCACCGACCAGGTAATCTGGTAATCTTCTCTTTACTCTGTACTCTACTTTCCCTCCCTTTTTCTACTTTCCACGTTCGACTTTTACTTTCTATCTACTTTCTTCGTTCATCTTTCCTACTTTTCTTGCTGATTTCGACTCTGTTCTTCTCTACACGCGTCATTGTGCCCTTGCGTCCCATCCCATTCGCGCGCCACTCCACCCGGGGCTCCAGTCAAATCCTGCGCCCCGAGTAGATCCTTCCCAACCTCTTCTACCATCTCAGCGACCCTAATCTTAATCTCTTCTTCCATCGCGGCATCTGGCCCAAGGTAAGTTTCTTTCTTGTATCTGATCCTAGGCTTCCGATTCTTCTCCTTTTACCCGCCCGCTTCCCCCCGATCTTGTTTTTCCATCCCCTGTCCCTTTCCCTACTTCCCTAGTGGATCGCGTGTCCCTCTTACTTACCTCTACACTCTACTGTTGTAACTCCATCCCATCTTGGGGGGCGCGATTGTTTCATTCTAAGACCTCATCTTCATCGCCGTTTATTTATTCCCTTGTTTTCACCATTTCTTCTCATCGCATTCTTGTTTTTTTTTTCCCGTCCAGTTCATCCAACCCCTTGTCCATTTCATCTCCGATGTTCCCACGACGCATTCCATGATTGATTTGCTCGTGTTTTGATCGGAGATTACTTCCTGTCCCGTAAACCTTTCTTCGGGTGACTGACTCCACGAAGACGACAGCGATGGTGGGTAGAAGAGGCCGAAGGGCCACCGCAGGGCCTGCCATTCACTCCAGTCCGGCCACGCGATCCTCGCGCAATGCAGCTGGTAATTATTCCTCTCTTGTGATTTCTTTCTAATTACTCATTTCCAATTTTTAGATTCGGCACCCGCGCCGATCGTCACTCCCACACGCGGTCGAGGCCGCGGTCGTGGCCGTGGCCGTGGCCGAGGGAGGGGCCGCTGGGCTGATCACTGGGCTCGTAGAGCGAGTATGCCAGAGCGAGTAAATACAGAAGACAGTCCCCCACCCAGTGAACCTGAATTGCGTTCGCATATTATCAAATTTCGAGTAGGAACACCTGCTCTTCGCAATTTGCAAAATGCATCTGCCGATGCCACCGAGGACGCTGGGACTTCTCCTGCTTCCTCCTCTAGCACTCCTGAGAACTCGCAAAATCCCGGGACTCCCGGCGTGCGTCGGTCTAAAAGGGCCATGGCTGTTCCTGAATCATCTCGTACTACTCGGCAGTCGGCCAGGTTCAAACCTTCTGACCTGGGCGATGACACTCCTGAGAAATCTATTGATGCTGATGACACCGAGGATGATGGCTATTCGCCTCACAAAGAAGCCCATGATGAGGACTTCGATCCCCAGCCTCGTATCAAGAATGGTTCTCAAACTCCTGAGCCTGCCCGGCATCAATCGGACCGCTATCAAACCGATGAAGATCACGAGATGGCTGATTCCGGCTCTGCAACGTATGTTCATGATAGTCTTGATGAACCACCCCGTGGAATGTTTTCTCCGCGTTTGGCACGCAAGCGCAAATCCATTGAAATGAAGGACGAAAGCCAGGATGCAGAGTCGTTCGGTATCTCGGAAATCGCCAACAAGAAGCCTAAGCTCGAAGAAGATGCAGAACCTACTCCCGAAAGTGCCTTGGCAAATGGCAAAGAAACTGGATCTCTTTCTGAAAACACCATTGACGGACCCGCCGAAGAGAATGCTTTCGTAGTTGCTCCCGCCCGAGGCCGAGGTCGAGGACGTGGAAGTCGTGGTGGTTGGCGAGGCCGTGGTCGGGGTCGAGGTCGTGGTCGCGGCAGTCGAGGGGGGGCCATTGGACCCATTCGATCGACTGTTGTTCGCGCACGCGGTCGAGGCCGAGGCCGGGCTCGTGCATCAGCAGCAGCCCTCCGACGCGGTGGCAAGAGAATCGAAGATGAGATTTGGGATAGCGAGAGTCGCCGACGATCGCCTTCGCCTATACCATCTACGCGGCCGATTAAAGATCGACAGGATGAGCTCGCAGCACTTTTCAAGAAGGTTGGACAGGCACAGCAGCTCGCACTTAGTGTACTGGCGGACCATTCTATGACGAAGATTGTGCGAGACAAGTTCGCCCATAAGGAATGTCCCGAATTTATACAGATCCAGAAGGAACTTGCCGACTACGAGCGCAAGGCCTTGCTTCGATACCGCGAGCAATACGACTTGAAGGTTGATAGTGCAGAAAAGGTCTACGTGGGGGAGGTCTTCAATATAACGGAGCGAGCGAGGGTGAGCTCTTCTTTGTCTGCTGTGTCAGGCTTGTCTAACCATTCTCAGTTACAAATTGGAGAAATCAAGCAGGAGATGTTCCACGCAGCCCGTGGCAAATACATGGAGCTAGTTGTGGGCCGACAGGCAGCTGAAGATGATGAACATACAGAGGTGAGCATACGTCAAGACCAATTGAAGCGGATATCGGCTAACTTCTCCAGACTGACGGTTCCGACCCTGATGCCGAAGAACCACAATACCTCTTCCGAATCGGCAAGGCTGGAATTAGAGAGGTCGAGCGCGGGTACGTTGCAGAAGCCGTTCGTATCCCCGAGGGTGCGGCTGCCCACGAACGTGGTGCCAATATGTGGGAGGACTTTATGAAGAAGGTCCAACTGGGCGAGGACCTCAACCCCCAGATGCGTGCTCTGGATGGTATAGTGGAGCAGTCAGTCCAAGAGAACATCGAGCGATCTTTGGAGTCTCTCCTTAATGCCGTCCAAGTGATCTGCGACCAAGAAAATGGCAAGATTCAAGACGCATCGCCCAAGGCGCTGTCAATGCTGGCCGATACGGCACTTGCCGAACCACCGACTCCGCATCTCCCACAGATGCGCACCGATCCTAATATGCAGCACTCCCATCGTGCACTCCTCCCCACGCCCTCTCAAGTTCAGCCTCAGCTTCCGCCTCCACCTCCCGGCATGGCGCATGGCCCCACCGATCCCCGATCTTTCATTCTTCCTCGACCTTCCCCGATTCTCTCTCAGCCTCGTCATCTCCTCCCAGCACGCGGGCAACTCGGCTTGCCGGATCCATTCTCTATGAACGGACCTCCGCAGCTGCCGCCGCCCCCGGGCTCGAATTTCCGCAGTCTGCCTCTCCCCAATTATCTTCCACCCCCTGGACACCCGCAACAACCGGGTCCTCCAGGTCCCGCCCCCATGTACTATCCACCGCCACATGGGCATGGACATGGGCCACCGCCTCCTCCACCTCGTCGATACTAAGGTGATGCACATCCATTATGCATGATCACCAGCGGAGCTACTACCGCTTTGGAAAAAAAAAGAACAATGTACCATTACCATCAGGATGAGGGAACCTGAGTATCGATTTCCCTCAGATTGTACTTTACTTCTCGTCTTTCAGCGTCGGCGTTTGTGCCCTTGGGGGTGTGTCAATGGGGGGGGGGGATATAAAGCCGGTCCTAGATACCTCGGTCATTTTGGGCCATCAATAGCAGTCTTTGTTTTTTTCCCTTCTCATCCATCCATTCCCGTATCATTTTGTTGTCATCAAGCGTAATCGCATATTCCATTAATGATACCTTCCGTAGCCAGCACAGCCACCATGTCAGTACCTCCGCGCCGCTCAAGGTCCACCGTCAACATGAGACAGGATGAGTCAAAAAAGAAAGTAAAGTACCAGTACTTGAGCTCGCATACCAATTACCACACACTCTAAGTACCAGTACATGACCATTACTGCCAGCCCCACCGCAGCGGGGCAGCTGCATCCTGAGCCATGATTGGTCATAGCTTTTGCTCTTTTTCACCTCTCATCCCACTTCTTTTAAAAGTCCATCACCGCTGTGTCCTAGATCCTCCTCACCAGGAAAAATATTCTCGCGCATTTCAGTGCGCTCTATACCATTACCACACCCCTCGACACAGTCACTTCCCTCCACTCCACCATGGCTGTTCGCGCGCAATTCGAGAACTCGAACGAGTAAGCGGCCCCAATGAAGATCAATCGAGACCTGCTAACAGATACAGGGTTGGCGTCTTCTCTCGCCTGACCAATTCCTATGCTATTGTCGCTGTTGGAGCCTCGGAGAACTTCTACAGGTATGTTCATGCCTAGATCTCTAGATTTCCTGGTGCCCTGTGCAATACTATGGCCCCAATCTCGATCTCCGAAGATTTTCAATGTCTGGAAAATTAAAGGACAAAATTCATGATTCTCTCGGATTTTCCTGATCACTAATACCCATATAGTGTCTTCGAATCTGAGCTGCAGGATATCATCCCCATCTGCCATGCTACTATCGCCGGTACACGCATCGTCGGTCGTTTAACGGTCGGGTAAGAGACTTTTCCTATTTTCCCCCCCCTCCTCCTCAAACCGCCAAACCTTCAAGAAAAAAAAGACAACCCGGGCTGTAGATGCAGCTCTAGATGCAGCTCCAAAGAAAGGGAAAAATGGAAAATAAAGATTCCCAAAAACTAACTCGATCAAAGAAACAAGAACGGTCTCCTCGTCCCCACAACAACAACCGATCAAGAACTCCAACACCTGCGCAACACCCTCCCAGACAGTGTCAAAATCCAACGCATCGAAGAGCGGCTCTCGGCCCTAGGCAACGTAATCTGCTGCAATGACCACGTCGCGATCGTGCACCCAGATCTAGAGCGGGAAACAGAAGAAATTATCGCCGACGTCCTGGGCGTCGAAGTCTTCCGCCAAACAGTGGCCGACAACGTCCTGACAGGATCCTACATGGCCCTGTCGAACCAGGGTGGAATCGTGCATCCCAAGACCTCCGTCCGGGATCAGGATGAGTTGAGTTCCTTGTTGCAGGTTCCGCTTGTGGCGGGATCCGTGAATCGTGGTTCGGCTGTTGTTGGTGCTGGCATGGTTGTTAATGATTGGCTTGCTATCACGGGCTTGGATACCACTGCTACTGAGTTGAGTGTTGTTGAGAGTGTGTTTAGGTTGGGTGAGATGGCGCCCGGTGGTGCTGGCGCTGGTGTTCATAAGGAGAGTATTGTGGAGTCTTTCTACTAGGGTTTTTTTGGGGGGGGGGCCTGGTGTGATTATTCATACTTGATGTGATTTAGTACGGGAGACGGTTTTCTTTTTCTCTGTTTATGCTTTATGAGGCTATTTTCAGTGTGTGGATTGCATCTTATGGAATCTGGCAATGATTTGATGACTTAGATTTTTGTTTTTTTACTTGCATTTGGTAATCTGTAGTTCTTAGAGGTAAATGCATGAATGTATGCCCTACTTACAATTTTACGATTCTTGATTTGAAATATCGAACTCGAAAGAACCTACCTGGCCTACCCTACTTACGAACCTTGAGCTGAAAGACCTGCACAGCTACATAGGTACCGAGAGCCAAGAAGACTGAAGACTTAGGATTGAAGAATGAACCAACTTCATGATTGCAATTATCGATCGGGGTATTGAGTTTTGCTTCAAAAAAAAAATAACAAGTCAGAAAAGGAAAATAATTGAAAGACTCAAAGCGAACTCCCCACCCAAACCAAGGTTAAAATGCTCCTGTTTTTTCAACCCCCGACCAATTCCCATTCCATTCCCATTCCCTTTTCTCGTTCTCGCTGAATGTATATGCTGTCGTGAGACCTAGACTTCACCCTCAATCTCCATCTGAGATTGCGACTGGGGTTGTGAGGACTCTTCCGGCTTCATGTTCGCGTAGCTGGGTGATTCCGGGGGGAGGGGGTGCAGGGGGAGGGGTGGGATCGTCTGCCTCTATTTCTCTGGGCTCGGGCTCGCCGGAGTCCGGTGGTGGTGGTGGCGGAGGCGGAGGGGTGGACTTTTGTCGCTTCATTGGGGAGTTGGAACCATCGCCCGAGGGGTGGAGTTGTTCTTCTTCACGTTTGCGTTTAAGAGTTGCATCCTCATCCAGTAAGGTCGAGGTGGGCTCAGTCTCGACTTCATCGTCGGACATTTTGACGTCTTCGGGCGGGTTGGCTTGGTTGCCGTTTGTCTTGGACGCCTGCTTTGCAGCCTTTTGCTTTTCGCGTTCCTTTTGCTTAGCGGCAGCCTTGTCGAAGAAGGATTTGCAGTAGCTCTTCACCGTATGTTGGTGTTTCTCGCTGATGGGGGCAGTGGGATCGGTGACACGGTTCTTCTTGTAGTCGCCTTCGACGAGTTTTTTGGATGTCTGGTGATTGTTAGGATGATTCATAGCTTGGGGAAGAAATCGAAAATCCTTAATAAAGGCGACGTACGTCTTTGGCGAACCGTTTGAGATGGTCCTTCGGGATTTTGTGCCTGTATTGGTCACTGACCGACTTGATGTGAGGGAATAACTAGGCATCTTTAGCTTCGTGTCTGCAAGATGACCGCAGTATACACTTACAGTATTCTCATAGACCTTCATCTGCTTCTCAATAGAGAGCTTCTTCCACCAATCACCCTCTTTTTTCTTCTTCTCTGGCTGTTCCGACGGTTGGGGGGGGTATCGGGTGTCTCAGTCTTTTGCTCGGATGGGGTTTTTTTCTTGTGCACTCGCATTGATGATGCCGTCAATAATGTCTTGCAAGCCCTTACTCTTCTTCGGGACCTGAGGTTCAACGGGTGTTGCAGGGGCCGTCGGACGGTCCCATGTGGTGTCACCCTTGGCCGTATAATAGTAGGTTCTGCCATTGGCCTCTGCCGGGAACCATCCCGGCGGCAAAGGTTGTTGTTGACGACTACGTCGATTTTGTTGTCGGTCCCGCTGATTGGGTGGTTGGCGGTTGCGAGACCGCTGTTGAGATGGACCCCGCGGCGCTTCGAATGTAGGAGAAGGCGAACGGGTGGCAGAGCGTTGACGTTCGCGTCCAGGATCGCGACGTTCGAAGGGGTTGTGCTGCTTGGGCTGGTCACCCGGCTTCATGCGGGGGATTCGATATCCCAGCTCCAAGTTGGCCCAGCTCTCCAGCAGGGCAACTGCCTTCTTTGCCACCCTTTCATCCTCGCTGGTGGTCAAGGGTTGGATCTTCGACTCAATCTTGGAGTCGTTGATCTTGTTGCGCGTGAGTCGTGGGAACTTGTCCAGGATGTCCAATATCTGCAGCATCACGTTCTGATCTTCCTTCCACATCGCGAGCTGGGAATTCAGAATTTGGTAACCGTGCATCTTCACGACACGATTTCGAACTCGTTCGTCCTCACAGCGCTGGATTCGACCCAGAAGCTTGACGGCAATCCACTTCTCCTGGCACTGCATGAGAGCGGCCATGACCTTGGTCACGCCATCTTCATCCAGGGACTTGGGCTGTACGCTGTCCACATATTCCTCGTCGTCTTCCTCGGTCTTCTTCTTCTTGGGGCGACGCGCCACCACAGTATCCCAGCCTTCAGAATCATCAATACCGAGAGCCTCGATCGTCGCGTTCGAGAGCTTAGTAGCACGCTCAGTCTGGGTGCGTCCGCCGATGAAGCCCGTGCAGTTGGGCTCGCCACAGTAGCAGGGTTGGGGATCCGCGCCATATCGATCCACATTGTAGTTAAAAACGAGCTCTTCGCCCGCTTGAACTGCCCGCTCCGCAAAAATTCCCATACGTAACTTCTCGCCCACCACCCACTTGTCGACATAGCAATTAGGATTGCAGGAGTGGTTGCAGAATCGACCCAGATTGCCTCGCCTCGTCGCATCTACGAATTCGCCCTTATTCAGGGACATGAAGTAAAAGTGTTTGATGCCCTCTTCATCGTACTGCCTCGTCCGACGCCGGAACTGCTGCTCCCCAATTACCTCTCCAACGTACTCGAAGATCAACTGGTGGGGGTCGAGATTTGTTTCCGCCCGAAGTCCGAATCCTTTCTTATCCGTTTTGATGACCGCTACCTTTGCGTATTGTTTCTTCTGGAACCGCTGATTTTGGCAATTTTGACCGCAACCGCAGTCGCCCACGCACTCAATTTTGGTCGCTCGGTTGATGCAATCAGAGTCTTCGCCACATGCCGGATTCGTTTCAGTGAACTTGTCTAGAGACCGCTGGTTAGTGGTTTCGCCAGAAGAGAGACGTGGCGGGACCATTGCGCAGGGATAAGGGGGACTTGAAGCGACCTACCCCACTCATCAGTGCAATCACACTCCATGGCATGCTCCGTGTAGCCCATATATTTGTTGGCATACCAGCAATTCTCGATTTGTTCGAAAGTAGCCAGCGCATCGGCGGTGCTGTCCGGCAAGTGAGACCAAAGCTGCGGCGGACGAGCCACGACCTTCTGAGACGAGCTGCGCGAGAGTTTTGGCGGCTGCCCCGGCTCCTGCTTGACGACAATGTCTCCGCCAATGGTCTCCTGTTCTTCCTTCATGTATGTCTCGGTGTCGGCAGATTTCCCCTCGGGCGAGCGAGAGGATGTCGCGCGAAGGCCATTTTTGGCTTCGCCGTTGACCGGAAGATGCAAGGCTGCCTCGGGGTCATGCGAGTCCGCGCTGCCATGGGCAGACATGACGACACGGACTACGAGGTAAAGTAAAGCGCGTAAGGAAAAAAAGAAGGTAGAGATCGAATGTAAGGAGAACGCTGAGTTGATTGAGATATTCCTAAACTGAGGCGCGCTCTCACCGCCCGATTTTCACCACCTTAGTCCGCCCGCGATCTCACCGCCCACGAAGCGCGTTCTGTAAGAGCAAAATGGGCCCGCGTTGTGGGGGAAGAGGAGGGTCAGTGAGTGTGTGTGTGTGTGTGTAGGTATGTATGTGTGTATGTGTGGGTGTGTACAGTCGAAGTGAACAACAGGTCATCTCGTGAATCGTCAAGTCAAGTGGCATCCATCTATCCTTCGGGATCATATCTTGGGGGCTGTTTACGACCCTCGGGAAGATGCCAGTTGATCTTTGGATCGTACACGGCCTATCGTTGTAGAAGGTAGATCTGCACATTATTCTACCTCATTCGCGTGAGTTGCGCAGAGGAAGACATCTATGTCGAAGCCGTCCAGCAAGGCCCCTTCGCCATGTTATAGCGGAGGATGCGAGGCTTCTGCTTCTGCAGGAAGTCAAACAAGCGGAAAACGATAGGGTGAGACCGAACACCAGAGCTCCTGCAGGGCCACGTCCACGGGCAGCGACGTGCCGTTGAGTGGACGTTCAGTTCGGGCGGGAAAGGATTGGCTGTGAGGATGAGAAGATGCGATGCGGAATGCAAACGGCGTCTGTGCGCGATATAGAAGTATGCTCTTTACCTTTTTGTTCTTCTGGATGGTGTGTTTTTCTTTACTGTGGTTCCCCCACGGTGATTATCCTATAGAGAGTCTAGAGAGTGTAGAATATCGGTGATAGTGAGCCTTCTCCCACATAGGTAAAAAGGCCACACTTCTCCAAACATCACTACATTGCATTAGTCCGAACGATCGAACCCCTTTCTTCTTCTCATTCCAACTGGCGTGTGGATCGAGGCTAAACCGCACCGGGGCCTAGCTTCAAACACAATCAACCTAACGTCCCGGGGCCCCTCTTCGTCCCTCTCTTGGTTCCATTCCTCCTCCCTATCCCACCTTCTCACTGGTCCATATACCCCCGACTACATCGGATCGGGTTAGATCCAGACCTCTTGCACTCCTTCCACGGTTTCCATCCGGGAAAAGCACTTGCTTCCCGCAGGATGTCCCTTGGCCCTGGGCCTGCCAGCGCCAACCGTTTCCAAAATTGTACTCCTGATGCTTTTCTTTTCTGTTCTCCCCCCACTATATCGTACTTTTAGCCGTAATTTTGGGGATCTTGCATTTCTGGAAAAGATGAAACTGCCCCCGTAATTCCTGCCTCTGGCCCTGCGGCTGTCCTAGTTTCTCTCTTTCTCTCTCGCTCTCTCTCTCGCTCTCTCGCTCTCTCTCTCTCTCTTGTTTCTCTCTGATCTTTTTTTTTTCCCCCCCTGCGCGATCCCGGCTGCTGTCTTCCTAGCCAATCCATTTCTGTTCGAGCCGGGATATATGCACTTTTTGTTTTGTCTTTTGCTGATGCGTCTCAATTGCACTCCTTGATCCTGTCATTCTTTTGTTCCGATTTGTTTTTCTCTATTCATTGCCCTTGCCCTTGCCCTTATCAGTTCCTGATCATGGACACATAAGAGTGAAACGTCCGCGTGTTGTTGATTTGGCTTTTTCGAGGGTCGAGTTTTCACCCCCCAATCCTATTAGCGGTGGATTTTTGTGATTTTGTGATTTTGAGACTTTGATATCGAATGGTCCATGGTTCGGTCTGGAGATGTCAAATCCAGCCGAGAGACCGTGGACGGAGGAGGAGAGGGTATGTAACTCCATTTGCCCACGATTGCGAGACCCGACTTAACAGATCACAGTATGCACTACTCACAGAGATCCTCAAAAAGGCCGGCATCTCATCTGGTCATCTCTTTCGCTTGATCAACGAGTTTCGTGTGTCTCCTAACTGGCACGATATCCCGCTCCCTCAAGGTAAAACCCGTTGTGATATCAAATGCGTCCAAGTAACTGACTTGATCAAAAAGGTCGCTCGCTCAACTCGTGCAAACTGGCTTTCTACACCATGCAACAAGGTCTGCCAGAAGCTAAAGGTCAAGCCCAATCTCAAGGACCAGGACAGGGACAAGGACAACCAACATCCAATCCACCCACAGCTCCAATTCAGCGTCCCGAATTGATCGGGACCTCAACGCCCATAGACCCAACGCTTCGCAAGCGACCGCTCTATCCAGCAGAGAAACCAATTGCCCCACGCGCCATTCAACCCAGACCACCAGCCAGCACCGCATCTCACAGCAGTGAAAGCTCCGCGCAACTATCACCCAGATTCGACATCTCCACCGGCGAGCCTCCGCGCAAACGAGGCCGCCCCAGCAAAGCCGAAACCGAACGCCGCAAAGCTGCCGCTGAAGCCCGCGGCGAGCCTTACCCACCACCACGCCGGTCCGGCTCAGAACGACTCAAGATCGCCTCGCCATCAAGTCCAGCAGGTCTAGGTCTAGGTCTAGGTCCAGGTCCAGGTCCAGGACATTCAATAGCACCGTATCCAGGCCCCCCACCACCAGGCTACGGAGTCCCATCTCGTCCCATTGCACCGGTTCCAGAACGCGACATCTCAACTCGCATGGGCATGCGAGAACTTCCTGAGCCTCAAGAAATGGGTCCTCTTCCTTCTCCGCACGCTTTACAACTCGGTCCTCCGGATAGTTTTCCTCCGCGTCTGAATAGCACGAGCGAACGCGGCTCTTTCAGCGCCATCCCATCAGATCGATTTTCACCGGATAGTCGACGAGACTCGTTGACTAGTCGGGGTGAACCGCCATATGAAGGCAGGTCGAGTACTACGCCTGGAGATCCGCCGAGATGAGGTGCACGTCGACAATGTTCGATGTTTACCATGAAGTCCATGAACTGATGAACAGTAGACAGCGTTCCTGTGTTTATTGTTTTTTTTCCCTCCATTTTCTATTTTCCTTCTCCCTTTTTTTTTCCCACAATTGTGTCTGCTTTATTTATACTGACTTCTTTCTGCTACGTTCCTCGCGGGTTTCCGCCCTGCCCTTGCTCTTTCGCAAGGTGCATCTTTCACATGACATTCTCCAGCACCACTACAGCTGCACTGATGTGTCCATGACTATATTCGATGATGGCTTGAAAGCCTACGCCACGACCTCTAAATTGATGCTTGGCGATTTCTGCTCTTGAGCTTTTCAGAAGTCTCTTTGAGCCCTTTTCTATACAGACGTTTCCAGCTTCCACTTCTGCTGATATTTCTTCAATTCTGATTCTCCTCCGATCCTGCTTCGCTGAGTCAGCGTGAATATGACATTCATCCTATCATGACAGGGTGGAACCTTTGAGCCTGATATTTTGCTGACCGTTTTCATTTTCTCTGCTTCAATGGTGGTTCATGCTATGCTTACCGATCTGCCGTTTTGTATTATTTAATACTACATTCACCTTTTTTTTTGGTCTCTCTATCCGATCGCAGGATATGTCTGACTGTGGTCATCCAAAGACACCCCACAGGCTTTGTCTCTATGCCTCTTGTGCTCCTTTCTTGTCGCTTTTCTGCCTGCCTCGATCCTTTCCCTTCTTGGGGTTCTGTTTAGCCTATGACGTATGGAAGATTATGGATCGAAATATCATGTACAGCGCGCATGCTATTCGAAGCTCATTCGGTAGGGAGATCACCTTTCATGTATGCTAGATATTTAGACTTCCGCCTTGGAGGGTGCCATAACCAAGCCACACATCGCCCCGAAACTTCAATTCTGGGAGGTTTCTGTGAATCCGGGATCTGTCAGATTGGGGTCCGAGTGCGAAAGGCCAAGGATATAGCCTGCTCTTTGATGCATGCATTCCAATCTGGACGATCACGAACCTGGATGTCCACCATCCCATCGCATTCCACAGTCCGAGTAGGTCTAACCCTATTGCACTTGATTGGATTGTGGAGGACCAAAACTCGGTGTTTTGAGATCAATTAACTCGCTAATGGAAAAGATATGCACATGCACTCAACCGTGCAAGGAAAGTGGAAAGCGAGAACAAGCTGTGGACCCGTGCCTTCCTTCCTTCACACGTCCCGGTAAAAATCAGGTTGTACGTATACAGTATAACGTATTTTCCTACGCCTACTTATCACGCACACGACCTAATGAGCGTCTCGACGAGTCCTCGCCTCCAGCACTCGACTCTGAAACATTTACGCCCGTCGCTTCATTCAATGATGGCTCGGGACCAGACTGACCCTGTGAGGACAGAGATGAGGCTGACGGATATGACTCGCGCCGTGGAGTCGTTCCCTCTTCAGATCTCTGTTCCTGTTCCTGTTCTTGCACCAGCTCCTGTTCCAGTCCCGCTTCATGCGATTCCTGGTCTTTCTTCTGCTCTCCCTTCTGATCCATCTGACTTCGAAGCATACTGACAGCAGCACTAAATCCGCCCGGACCCTGTGGAAGCGCAGAGAATAACTTTTTCTGTCCAATCTGCAGATCCAAAGCTTTATCTTTCACGAAACTCAACACTTCATGGGTATTGCGCACTCGTCGGTTTAGGTAAACCTTGGGTCCGGTGCCAGGGTGTGTCTTTGTTTCGATACGCTCAAGTTCACGGCGGTAGGCTGTTTCGTAGATGTCGAATTCTGCGGCGCCGGGCGATTCACTGACTATGGGCGTTGGTTCTGCAACTACGTCGACGTCGTCTGTGTTTTCGGGATCAGGCTTGGCGAAGTTGGGCGGTTCACCTTCACCATTAGTGTCGTGTTCTGTGGTGCCGGTATATGTAGACGGGCCGATGAAGAGGTACGGGAATTCTTCTTCAAGGGGATCGCGTGCGTGGCCTCTTGTTCCTTCAATGCTTCTTTTTGTTGTTGCTGAGCTGGCGCGTGAGAGGGCCGGGTGGGGTGATGCAGATTGGGAATTGGTGAAGTCTTTGCCTGCTGATCGACCGCTGCGTATTGAGCCCGAGTCTTTACGTTCGGGCTCGAAGACGCCGCTTGGCCAGGGGCTGCTGGATGGACTGTGATCTGGCCGTGAGGAGAAACTCCCTTCGCTGTATACTGAGCTTTCGGCGGCGGAATTCTCACAACCTAGCATGGGGTTGCGGCCTAAGAATTTGCGAAGGCCAGTGTTGGGGCCGCCAGGAGCATTTGCGTCGAGTCCGACGGTGGGGAAGTCTTCACTATCGTCCATTTCCATAGGTGGTTCCACGAAGTGTGCTTCATATTCGTCGCCGAGGATGCTTGTCAATGATTGTCCTTCTTTGGAAGGGTTGACAAGCCGTTTGAATTTCTTTGCGGCTTTCATCTGTATACTTGATTAGAAAAGCTTTCACAAGTATCTGTTGGCTAACGCACCAATGTCATCAGAGAGCCCATGTTCTTCGTGATAGCCTGGTTCATTTCTTCCTCGGTTGGAGGCTCGACGATTTGAGCCGTGTTCTCTTCAGAAGACAGCAGCGGATCTGCGCCGTTCGCTGTCACCCATGGATGATCCTGCAAAGTCAGTGAACACGCGGCACAGCGAGACGAACAAACTTACTCGCAACTCGCTCATTTTGATACGCTTTTCCGGATCTTTCTCCAGAATGCGACTCATCAAATCCTTAAAGTTCTCATCGGGCTCTTCTTCGCAGACCACCTGGCTCGTCCGAATGCTTGCATATAACTCAAAAATGCTCTGGTGCTCGAACGGAAGCTTTCCATATCGGAGACAATAGAGAGTGACTCCCATGGACCAAATATCAGCAGCTTTTCCCGAAACATCGCCATGTTTAACAACGCAAAGTTCCGGGGGCAGAAAGGCCGGAGACCCAGCCGACTTCGCCGTGAACATGGTCGAATTTTTCTCGAACATCTCGGAGACTCCGAAGTCGACCACCTTCAGAACATCGTCACTTGTCACGAGGCAATTATCAGGCTTGATATCTCGATGCACAATACCCTGCGCATGCAGATACTCGACCCCTAATATCAGGTCTCGAAACCAGCAACGACAATGCTCGTCGTCGTACGGGTCAGCCCGTTCTCCTAGTCCAATTTTCATCACCACGCCCTTCTTGCACATCTCCATGACCATATACAGTGAGTCTTCATTCGGATCGTCCAACACCTCAATCAGCGACACCAGGTTACTATGGTTCAGCTTTTTCATGATCGCGATCTCTTCTTTGATCAGATAAAGCGGGTTCTTTGCATTCTCGTTACCGTCTTCGGACGGGTGTCGATGAAGAGGTGAGTTGAATCCCGTCCCAGGGCGTTGTGGTCCTCTGGGTCTTCTCAAAAGATGCGATTGAGCACGTTTTCTTAACCGCGATTTCGAAAATTCTTTCACTGCCTGCAAATCATGCACATGTTAGTAATGCTTCGTAAATAAAATAAATTGGCCGCATACATATTCATTCCCAAACTGGTCAGCAGCCAGATGAACAGCCCCGAACGATCCCCGCCCAATTTCCTGCCGAATGATATATTGATTAATATGATGCTCGGACGTGCCATCGTCCTGGCTGGTCGTATATTCGGAGCGGGCGTCCAGCGTTTCCTAATGTCCTCATCAGTGGACTGTAGACTGTCACGAACAGACATTGAGGACACAAACCTTCACCGGACGCCGAGCTCGGGGGGTTTCGTCGTCGGTGTCTCTGTGGACTCTCAAACGATGCAGCCGAGCTAGCTTTTGCGTCAGCAGAGGCTTCAATTAGGATCGGGAAGCTTACGCAGTTCGCACCGGTCGCGGCATACTCGCGCCATCTTCGGATGAGATGGATTGCTCCATCGTTGTTGGAAGATTGTGAGTTGGGTTGGTGTGGGGTAGAGGGGATGGACGGTTGAAAGCGGGGGGCAAAGATCACGGTGCAGCCCGTCAGCATTCAGCCTTACGGAACCTTCTCTTTTCTTTTTTTACTTTTTAAGGCAGGTTAGACGAATAGGGGAGATGAATGCAATGTAAATCTCAAGTCTCATCAGGCAGCTTCTTTCCTTTATCGGTTGTTATCGCCAGAGGTCTTCACCGCCCGAGACCCGACTCCCCTGAACATCACCGATCTCACTTTATGAGTGTCAACACTGCCCACCATGACCGTCTATTCCTTCTACATATTTGACCGCCACGGTAAGTACTGTTGCGATGCTCATGGGGAGTCTAACTGACTTTCTGCAGCCGAGTGCATCTACAAGCGGCGCTGGCTCCCCCGCCCGACCTCGATCGTGGGGAAGTCCGGCCAGACGCCAGGTGCCGCGCCAGTCGGACTTGGACAGACGGTGAAAGCAGGAGACGACGATGCAAAGCTGGTCTTTGGAACGGTTTTTTCGCTGCGGAACATGGTGCGCAAGCTGGGAGGTGAAGAGGACAAGTAAGCTGCCTGCCTGACGCGGTGACACGCGACATGGCGATTCAATCGCTAACTATCAGCCCGCTTCTAGCTTCGTCTCCTACAGCACTAGCCAGTATAAACTGCATTACTACGAGACGCCGACCAATATTAAATTCGTCATGTTGACGGATCTCAAGAGTCCCAGTATGCGCATCGCGCTGCAGCAGATCTACATTAATCTCTATGTGGAATACGGTTCGTGGGCCTCTGATGGTGTATTGGCTATTGGCAGCTACTTACAGAGTGTCTAGTCGTCAAGAACCCTCTCTCCCCGGTCGAGCACCCCGGCGGCATCGGTGTCAACAATGAGCTTTTCGAAGAGTCCCTTGAACAATTTGTGGTTTGTTAAACCCTGGATATGGCGTATTCGCCATTTATATTGACATGTTCTGATTTGTCAGCAGACTCGAGTTCTAGCGTGATACCCTCGAAATACATTTGATGCCGCTCCGCCAATGGTACATTTGACCCTAGGAGGCAGACTGGTTGTTCAAATGACCGGATTTTTGGTCAAGGAAACAGACACATTAAGCACACCGCAATTGGCCCGTGAAACTCCGGCGCCTGCGGACCCCAGACAAGATTTGCACCGAGCCCGACACCGCCTGTTTCCATCGTGGCCGCTCAATTGAGCCCGCGTTCCCACGTGGCACGCACGCGCTCACTCGAGCAGGGACAATGCCCGGGGCATATTCCTCCTTTATATCGACCAGGGGCAGACCGTCGAGTGCAACGTGAAGGGAGAAGGCGGGATAACTCGGGAGCCAAGACGGCATGTCATTTATAATCGATAGGATAGCTTGATCCGACCAGGGTAGAACAAGGTCTGCCAGTCGAGAGCCGTCAGACAAGAATAAAAGCGCCCACTATCATGCCCCGACCGACACGGGCGTCCAATCAGCTCCGTCCATGCCGCCAAGCGTGCCTAACAGCTTTTAATTCCACCCCGGCGCGCCATGGCTTCGAGTATCTGATTTTCCAGGCGGGGTGCGGCCAAGACATTCCAAGACAATGTGCGAGTAGAGCAAAACCACCGTCCAAGCTGAAGTCTGCATTACGGGGTATTGGGTACCCGTGGCTAAAAGGAAGTGAAAGGAAACCCGGAACCTGCTCAGCTACCTGCATGCATCTCCATGTACACGGCCCGAGCTCATGCACGTCGAGCTGAGCTCAAGGGTGAGGACCACAGCTTATCTCGAGCTCTTCACCGAGCATAGCCAACCCAAATCGCGAACTTCCAAGCCGAAGGCTGCCTGGCAATGCAACTCCCCGAACTGGCGGTCAGCAAAGCACTCGGTCTAGTGGGAAAGCTTCAGTGTCATTTACTTGGTGGGGTTGAGGGGCAAAGTCACTAGTGTAGATGTACTTGTGTCTCTGGCATTTTACGTGCGAGAAGGTGGAATGAGGGATGTATCTCTACCAATTGCAGGACGTACACACAGACAAACCCGCGGAAAGTGAAAATAATCCAATCTGACAAAACAGAAAGAAAAAAAAAGTGAAAATCCCAAAATCCAAGAGCCCGCGCCATTCCGTGATTGGTACAGAGAAATGCCTCATTGCACACAAATGATTACTGGTGGATTTCTCCTCTCGTTAACCGCTTTCGCATGTGCTCGGCTCCTAGTTACGGTTACGGTTATGAGTATTGGTTACGGCCGAGGTCAATAAAGATAAGCTCTCAACACAATCCGGGGTAACTTGACCCCATTCCGTGAGACAAGACTGAATGCATCAGCCACTTGGACTCAAGAGACTGGATAGACGGTGAAGCGCGGGACTCCCCGTGCTCTCCTGGTTGTCCTGATAGGCGGTTCTTGGTGTCGGACAAAGCTAACAGTCTGAATGACGCTACAGTGAGCTTACACCGCGCGCATTGTGATGGAGTCATCGCTGTGACCCCACGCGGGCTCCACGAACAGCCCGATGGGGAGATGTGCATGATTGTCCCCGTGCTGGGGCGATCGTTGGAGCTATGTTTCAAGGTGTCAGTGGTTAAGGTGCAAGGTGCATGGTGTAAGATAAGATGTCTCAAGGTGAGAGTTGACAGAGAAAGAAATATTGGATCGCGACAGTGTTTCCATCCAAAGATCATACGGCTACGTCCAGACATAAAATTATACCAGTCGCGTCGACAGACACTGGTTTGGATATAGAGGCAGTAGTAGCGGTATAGCCATAGTTCCCCCCCCCCCCCTTCAGTCTCCGCGCCACACGGCGCAACCCGGTACGTCGGCTCTTGCTGCTGGTGCGGGGCCACGATCGAATCATATCCGTGCTCACACTGATGCAGAGGGGGGGTGCACAGCCTCAGCATTGAAAGTAAAAATATGGAAAGTCAGTCAGTGACAAGAGTGGGATAGATCCTCCCCTCCTCCGAATCTACCCTCGACGTCAGACCATACGGCATCAGGTACGTGTCCGGTGTTGGGGAGAACGTCATCGGGATTATCCTGGCAATCTCGGACCGGGGTCAGAGAATTGCTTAATCACTGTTAGCCCGCGAAGACGGAAACCAGCGGTTCCAAGGAGCGTCAAGGACCCGGTACTATCATTCTACGGGTGTACAAAATCTCTCAATTGTGTCTGCGCCACCACATCAAAGAATTAGTCCAGTCCTGGGCCCTTTCATCATGTAGGTAGGTAAGTAAGGCAAGATGCACAATGCCTTCTTTAGGTACAGTCGACTGGTTCGTTCACGAGAACGAGAAAATACTACCGAAGACGGTATGATACCGTGCACCGGGTACCGTACCGCAATGTACAGGCCTGTAGTCCCACATTTTTCCACTGTGGACTCTCTGATTCTGCGCCGCCTAAGCCTTATTAATCAAACCCCGTAGGTGGTGTAAGGTAATCCGATTCCCCATACAACTCGGCTCAGGCGTTTCCCCGTGGTATTCGAGTATTTCAACCGGTTCTGCCCTGCCCGTGTAGCATCGCCAATTTATCCCTCTCGTCTGCCACCTTTAGTCTTCTTCTTTTTTTTCCCTTCCTCTTCTTTTACACATATAAATTTGATACATACCCCTTCGCTGGGTCCTTCCCGGCGCTTTTGGCCTCGTTCGGCGTGCGCTTCCAAGCGTTTTTTTTCTATTTCATTTTATTACCACTTTGACTGTCGTCACTTTTGCTCGCTGGTTGCCTCGAAAGTCAGGCCACAAAAGCCCACACCACTTTTTTTTCCGTCGACTACCTCTCGAGTGACCTTCACCTCAAACCTCAGATTTTATCGCCCCGGTTGCACTCGGTAGCTCCCTGCTTCCGTGCGGACGCTCGTCCTCTTTCTCCGGGGTCGACGTGATCCCCCCTCTCTCCTCAAATTTCCCCCCGTCAAGCTACCGCACATGACTCCACATTCTCCTTCACCTGTTCCGTCCGCAGTCTCCTCCGCCGCCACATCAATACATTCGCATGATCGGGATGGAGATCCTTCGGTAACAAGCGCCCTAGCGGGCATGACTCTGTCCGCGCTCCCGCACAACGGGGACGCCCTCGTCTCCCCAGCTTCCCCGGCTTCCCCGGCCCCGAAAGCTCAGAAGGCCAAAATGACTACCCGTCTCTCGCGCATGTTCTCCAGCACTGGGAAACAAACGCCTACTCGAGACACCGACTCTCCACGCGAACCACTCTCTGATAGCAGCATGGAGAGTATAAATCAACATCCAAAGGACAAATCGGCAATGAGCAAGTCTCAGCCGGCAGCTATGAATCTCAATGCAAAGGAGAAGCCCTCGTCCAAACCCTCGTCTCGTGGAAATTCCAGACCCCCTTCGACTCGAACTCCCTCCCGACAACCTTCCCTCAAAGATGAGCCCAATGAAAAGGGTGCCAAGAAGAAGACTGCCGGTGGCAAGGACCAGAAAGACGGTGCCACTCCGCATAAGCGCTTCGAGGTCCTTCCCGAGGAGCTGGGCAATCACTCTCATCACCTCCGAAGTGCACGACGACAGGAAAAATTGACCGACCTCCTCCGAGACATGCTGGGGGGTGGGAGAAAGAAGGGAGATGATCAGGTCGACGAGACGCAGTTGTCGCTCATGTCGACCTGGATCGACCAGTTCAAAACCGAGCGTGACAAGTTGGCCGCTGATAAAAAGGGCGGTCCGAATGCCACTGCATCCCTGGTCGACAAATACGGCAAATGTCAGGAGATCGTCGGCCGGGGCGCGTTCGGTATCGTCCGCATCTCGCACAAGGTCGATCCTCAAGACTCCAAGTGTGAGCAGCTGTATGCTGTCAAAGAGTTCCGCCGTCGTCCCCAGGAGACTGCCAAAAAGTATCAAAAACGCTTGACCTCCGAGTTCTGTATTTCTTCTTCTCTCCGTCACCCGAATGTCATCCACACTCTCGACCTGTTGCAAGATGCAAAGGGCGATTACTGTGAAGTCATGGAATACTGTGCCGGAGGTGACCTGTACACTTTGGTCCTCGCCGCCGGTAAACTGGAAGTCGCCGAAGCAGATTGTTTCTTCAAGCAGCTAATGCGCGGCGTCGAGTACATGCACGAGATGGGTGTTGCCCACCGTGATCTCAAGCCCGAGAATCTCCTGTTGACCACCCACGGTGCACTCAAAATCACCGATTTCGGCAACGGCGAGTGCTTCCGAATGGCCTGGGAGAAGGAAGCCCATATGACCGCCGGGTTGTGTGGATCCGCACCCTACATTGCTCCTGAGGAGTACACCGAAAAGGAGTTCGACCCCCGCGCTGTCGATCTGTGGGCCGTCGGTGTGATCTACATGGCCATGCGCACGGGAAGACATCTATGGCGGGTCGCCCGCAAGGACGAAGATGAGTTCTATCAGCGATACCTTGAAGGACGCAAACATGAGGACGGATATGCGCCCATCGAGACGCTGCATCGGGTAAGCAGAATGAGGCTTGTGACTGAAACTCCAACTGATGATTCAAAGGCTCGCTGCCGCAACGTGATCTATTCCATCCTGGACCCTAACCCCTCCCGCCGCATCAACGCCTCTCAAGTCCTCAAGTCTGAGTGGGTTCGCCAGATCAAGCTGTGCAAGGCTGGCGAGGAAGGGTTCTAAAGTTCTAGGGGTCATTCTTTTTTGTCTCGGTCTTTTTTTTCTCGGGATCGTCAAGTCGGGTTGCAAACGGTACCGACTAGGAAAGGTCGGCTTGGGGGCTTGGTTACTTCTTACCCCCTTCTACACATGGGGTGGTTATTCTGTCTTTAGACCCGTTCAAAGAGGTTCTTGTCCTTGATATGATCCTTAGGAGGCCCCGCTTTTTTTTTTTCCTTTTTTTTTCTTTGCTTTGTTTTCATTCCCGGCGCATTGTTATATCCTATCAAGCCCGTGTTCATCTTAGCTCTGTTTGGTTTCTGTCATGTTTTTCACGTCAATGCAACGGAGAGTCATGACTTTTTTTTCTTTTCTGGTGGTCTGGCGTTGAGTTGGAGTTTTTACTGGTGTATTACTGTTGAGGGATGAGCAGGAAGTTGGTCCACTGCTCGGATGTCTGACCACTTTTGTCTTCGGGTTTCGTACATTTCACCCGTGCCTTTCCTGTACATAGGATTCTATTGTATGTTTTATTCCCCTCTCTGTCTCAATGACTGGAAAACAAATCCTCCATCTGAGTAAGTTGTAACTATGGAAGCATGACATCAGTCTGGAATGGGTGGCTCGGAACATCGCCCAGCCGACGGCATCCGATACAGACCCGCTCTAGCCGGAAGCTTGATCCTGTTCCGAATTGTGCTGGGATTCACATACTCCCGACCTTCCCACGACACCCGACCTGCCAGCCCTGATGCAATGCAATATCATGACCTTATGCCCGCGGACTCCGCGCCTTATCACACAAATCAACCATCAAAACCACTAGTCTCCTTCTCAGCCTTGCCAAGTCTGCTTTTCGTCCAACTGTCTTTAGGCACCTACATTCCAGTCTCGGCGACGCCATGGGTAGAGTTTGTTACTGCAGAGACACCGCCACAGGGGGGGGGCGGCGCACAGGCACCAAATTTTGATAGTTTTCTTGAATACTGTAACGACCGTATTTCAAAAAACACTGAAACCCAGGCTTGGTGTAAAATACACAAGTTGAGTCAAAACGAGGTGCGACGCACTGTTCAGCCCTAGTGACGTAGCCGCATCCGGCGCTGACTCAGCCGGGCACCGCCACACCCGTAAGGCAGACTTCCTTGGCCTGCACCGCGGGACTGTCGCCCTGGGAGCTTGACTCTGTTACTGACGCTTTGTGCTCTGTGATTCTAGACGACTCTCCGTCTACACTTTCCTTGCTGCCTCCATACCCCGGACTCGGAAACACAACTCCATCCACACCACAATTCTAACAGACTCTAGCCATGTCGTGGGCAGGTAGGCTTCAATCCAGACCTTTGACCCTGCGGGGTATCGGGATCCCCGAAAGGACGCGTACTGATTTTTTTGGAACAGGGTTCAAGAAGAACGTTGGCCGCGCTACGACGCAGGTTATGATGAAGACTGGTGCGTGGGAGCTGGAATGTTACCCCGCAGTGGGAAATGTACTGATGAGGTGAATAGGTCATGTCGAGCGCACGAATGATCGGGACTATGAGATTGAAGAGCGGTATGATATTGTTTTCTTGCGTGTGAGGTGTTCCGAACTGACCATGGGCGCAGACGATACCGGACTATGGAGGCTGCTTCGAATCGACTGCAGAAGGAGGCCAAGGGTTACTTGGATTCGCTGCGTGGTGAGTTTTGATATGCGATAGGCGGGAGATTATGCATGGATTGGAGTATGCTGACGATAATAGCTATGACTGCGTCGCAGATGCGCATTGCAGAGACAATTGATGCTTTCTATGGTGATGCTGGCACGAAGGATGGAGTGAGCCGGAGTTACAAGACGGCGGTGGAGGATCTTGATGCTGAGACGATCAAGGCTTTGGATGGACCTTACCGGTAGGATCCAATGTATGTTCTTTTCGGGAGATGTCTGCTAATTGGGGATACAGTGCAACCGTTCTCGACCCCATCTCCCGCTTCTGTGCTTACTTCCCCGACGTCAACGAGTGCATTAAGAAACGCAACCACAAACTCCTGGACTACGACTCCATGCGCGCCAAGGTTAAGCGACTCGTCGAGAAGCCCGACAAGGACGCCACAAAGTTGCCCCGCACGGAACGCGAAGCCGAGATGGCCAAGCAAGCCTACGAGCAATTGAACGAGCAACTATTCACCGAACTCCCCCAGCTTATTGACCTCCGCGTGCCTTACCTCGATCCCAGCTTCGAGGCCCTTGTCAAGATTCAGCTGCGTTTCTGTGCCGAGGCATACTCACGCATGGCCCAAGTGCAGCAATACCTCGATGCAGAGACGAGAGACCAGTACGCCCGCGGTGATCTTGATAACCGGGTAGAGGAGGTGCTACAGGAGATCCGCGATCTCAGCATAGCTGGAACGGTTTAGGTTGACTTTTGGTTATACGTTTAAAGCATAATGCCGGGTTTTCTTTTCTTGCTTTTTTTTTTCTACTCCTCGGAGTCGAGTTACTTCGCTTCGCCTGTTCTTTGTTTCCCAGTCTTGTACATGGTCAATAGGTAATTTCCGTATTCTCTCGGAGACCGAAAGGAGTTCAATATGCAATGCATTCACAGGGGGTATCATCTGGGCTAGTTCCCAAAATATCGTAACAGTCTCTATCTCTATACACAATGCCAGTCCAGTGCATCCCAATACTATATTGTGCAAACACAACCCAAGAGGCCTAGCAAAGACCAAGCCTTCACTTGCCATCCTCCCGATAAAACTCCTCCTCTAAAAGATCCAACACCGGCTCCACAGCCCTCTGCACAGCGCCAACCTCCGCGCCCCCCCATCTCACTCAACACATAATCCGCCACAGCGTTCTTCTCCCTACTGTCCGGCCTCCCAATCCCCACCCCAACCCTCAAAATCGACAAATCTCTCCCCTTCTTCACAGGAACAGACCCTTCCCCCTCAAACTCTCAAAAGAACTGATCAACCCCCCTGTGTCCCCTCAAACTCGCAACCTCAGGTCCCCCCCTCCGAACTCGCACCTTGCCCAACGGCGCTTCCAGCTCATCGTGTAATATCACCAGCGTCGCAGGGACCCCGATTGGCGAGGGTACTTCGAACCCGGTACGCGGAGGTCCAACCAATTTATCGGTCTGTGCTAACCAGGCATTCAAAGCGCGGACAAGTTTCGGACCCGAGACGTTCATGAATGATTTACTCTCGTAGGTCGTGTAGTACGAATTCAAGCCGCCGAAACGGGTGTGCAACAGGGGCGTCAGCGCATCGAGGAGAATGTGGCCTGCGCTGTGGCGTGTCCGGCGATAGGGTTTTTGATTGCCGATTGAGGCGATGAAGAGGGCGCGGCGCGGGGTTGTCATGCTGGAGGCGTGAACCCGGGGACCATAGGCCGGATAGTCGGACCTTGTTCGGGGTCTGGTTTTCACTGTGCCCGCTCCTGCTCAGGCCCGCGGAGTACCGGAGTGTCGGAACACTGCCTCTGACGTGAAATTTCCGTGAGTTTGGATCAGGCACGGGAGATCGTCTCGTGACCGGAGATCGCTACTGTATTAGGCAAGACACTGGGCTCCAGTGTTACCGAACTGTCGGGTTTGCGCTCGGACGTGGAGCCGGAGATGTGGGTTTCGTCCTGGGCTTGGTTTTGGTTTTGGTTTCTGGGTTTGTACTTAGGGGTTAGGGACCCGGTGCTGTGATATTGTCAAGTCATAGCGAGCTAGGCGAGTTATTGTCAATTCATAGCGAGTTAGAATTCCCACTGTGCAATGATATGTAACATATTAAGCTTTGCTTTGGTCAGACTGTCTTGTGTAGTTACCCATAATGGTGTTCCGTCACTGCTATTGCCTGTCTAGTATTTAATTTGACTATTCGGGTTCAGTACGGCCAGCACCACTAGCACGACTACCTCAACGGCAACTAGTCGAACCCACTTAATTATAGTCCCGGTCTAGTACACATATGCGATGATCCCGGCTGGTACTTGACAACTCATCCTGCTCCGTCGGGTCCGATACATGAATCCGACTCCGTCACCTTATACTTTCATTCCCCTTTACTGATCGTGATGAACAAAGAATCCGTATAGAACCTGGACAAGCCCCTTTCATACCCCTACATCATCTGGTCAATTTACTTCGAGAATCCCACTGATCATCCCGCGCACCACTTCAAATCCACTCGAGCCGCGACTGGCCCGGTCAGACCCCTGGTCCACTTCAGCTGTCGAACATCCCCCCCCCTCTGCCGTGGAAGGTCCATAGGCCCGGCCCTTTTATTACTGACTATCCTATTCGTGTCGACTTCTATGGTCTCCGCACCCGGTGCCCTCCTTTTCTTTTTCTTCACCCCGTTTCTCACCCGGCTCCCTGGGTTCTGATTTGTGACATATCGTCTATCACTTCCTGAATTTCGGATATTTTTCATTTTGATTTTCTCTTTCTGTGATACGCCTCCAGCTTTTCCAGTTCCACTGGTCAAACCTTCGCTCCATGACCCCGGTCCCTTTGATGTTTCTGGCTTCTCCCTTTCTGGGTTACCTTCCGGTTGACCGTTAGAGGTTGGGGATATACTTGGGGCTAATTTTAGTCGCCCTTGCCCCTGTCAGTACATGTATACAGCTGGTCCTGTTTATATTCAGTTTTCTTTCTTTTTTCGTCAGCCGTCTTAAACCCGTCATGTCATGGACGACATATTCATCCAGCCGGACCTCTGTCCCTCAGAAGAACCATCCAAGTATGAAGCAAGCCTGGATCCCGACTCAGACAGTGATGCCGACGCCGCATCAATGTAAGTACCCACATTTCCAGTATAGATCTCAAGACGTTTGTTAACCTGGAACCAGAAAATCCACCCGATCCTGCTCTACAGACAATCTCCAACCAGTACTCGAGAACGGCCGTCATTATGCAGACGACTCCTACTTCATGCCAAATGATGATACAGAACTCACCCGTCTCAACATCGTCCATCAAATCTACCTCATTCTCCTCGACGGCGACCTCACCACTGCCCCACTCACTTCCCCTTGCCCCCGAATCCTAGACATTGGCACCGGTCCAGGCGACTGGGCCATAGAAATGAGCGCCAAGCACCCAACAGCCCAAATCATCGCCTCAGACATAGGTGTCTTCGACTCAGGCCTAGGCCACCTCTCCCTTCCAAACGTCGACTTCCAGCTCGCAGACGCCCAATCCCAATGGACATACCACGAACCATTCGACCTCATCCACATCCGCGGCTTATCAGGCGCCTTCCATAATTGGCATCATATATACACGCAGGCCCTAGCCCACCTCAAACCAGGCGGATATATCGAAGTCGCCGATGTCGATCCAGCAGGCGATACCATCTCTCTACCCTCGAGTTCGGACACTTCCCACTTACGCACGTATGCGGCAGCACTTCGTGCAGCGGCTGATGAGAGCGGGTATCCGCGAGATTTGAAACATCTCGCGACGAACGCGCTCTCAGAAGCGGGTTTCGTGGATGTTCGTGTACAGGAACGATCTATTCCTATTGGATTGTGGCCTGAAGACGTGCGTGAGAAAACTCTGGGTAAGATGGGCCTGATTACGCTGCTTGAGGGGTTGGAGGCGTATGCACTGCGTACGTTGACGAAGTCTGGGCGCTGGTCGCTTGATGAGGCGACGGAATTATGTGAGAAGGTTAGGCGGGAGTGCGTTTCTGCGACGGGGCTTGTGGCGACAGTCAAGATTGTTACGGGAAGGAAGCCGATTTCTTTTGCGCAAAGGAGGGAGGAGATTATGGCGAGAGCCATGGCGAGAGCTCAGGTATTTAGTGGGGATGGATTGGGAGGGAAGTAGGGAGATGCATGGATGGGTGTTGTTATGTGTATTGCATTGGCATTGGTATAGGGTGTTTATTTTTGCATGTTGTTTAGATCATCTCATCAAACCGGAATCAGAAGATGTAAATATGGGGATATTCGAAGTGACAAGGTATCACCAGTTACTGAGAAGTGTGCTGCTCGTATGTTACATTACATTTGATCTGGTCTTCCCAAAACAGGTACTGCCGATGAAGCAACTTCCTACAGATCAATCCTTTCCCAAAGAAGAGATCATTTTCTTGCCTTTACCGGCTTCTGTTGCTTCCAGTCCTCATCGCTGATTCTTTTCGGCAGATAGACACACCTGCGTGGTGCTTTCATGATACCCATTTTTTCATTTATCATTTCCAGAGCTTTTCGCCGTAAGAGTTCATAGACCGATGTTATCTTGTGCGCAAAATCATAGAAATAAAGATCAGCGTGTCTATTGTCGAATTCTGAGTTTACTAGCCTATTATCCAGAAGCGGAACATGACTTGAATTCCGTGTTTGCGCTGGCAAGATCTCACAGATGTGAGTGATGCTGGAGTGTAGCGGAGTGCGGTAGAGCCAGATCTATTTACCTTCTCGTTTGAGATAATACCTTCTGATCGTGATTCTTTTGTCCCGTCTACTATCAGGGACATGGAGGGATTTGTATGGCTAGAATTACATTATTGTCGATCGGACAGTCTGCTCAGAAATTTCGTGACCCAGGCCTTGAATAGGAGATTTGGATGTGACGGAATTGGAGTCGTGTTTTGCAGCTAGGAGACATAAAGAGGCTGGCAAACGGCGAGAGCTCACTTGAGAAAGGATTGTGTAGATAGGAAGGTAGTAGAGTCTCTTAAACGCGAGCCTTGATTCTGTAGGAGATTGAGTATCACGCGGTTCATGCAAGCGCCTCGGACGACTTGGTCGAAGTCGTACGTGTCAGCCTTTGTTTTTCTAGAACGCCGGTGGGATAACTATCTAAGTCCTAGGGGAGCGCAAGAGTGAGGACGTTGTTTACTCTTATCCGTACTCGTCGCTTCTGTCAAGACTATCCTTGGATGTACTGGGTTGTTCCCCCTGAAGTGAACTACACCTTGACTATGTGAGTGGCAGTTGTGGATGAACCGGCTGCCATGATATTTAACTTAGATTTTGAAACGTGTCAAGTAGTTTTGCCAACGCAGGCAAGACTGTCGACATCTTTGAGGGAACCGTGACGAATCTATCATATTGAATTCAAGTGCAATCACAGAATATAGTCTATGTTCATTCAACATGGATATAATACCTAGGTAATCCGGGCATAGCCCCGGGACAATACATGAAACCAGATGCTTTTGGATACTCCCCAAACCCCATGCAAAAAAAGAAACCCATTAGAGCTGGAATTTCGTACGGACTCTGTCCGTTTTTCCCTTCCATTCCCACTCTTGTCCACTCGCCCGCTGGATACCTTTATCCACACGACGGAGTTTCAGGGTGAATCGAGGGCCCAGCTCCTGAAGACCAGTTCGAATGCCTTCTGCACCCTTCATCTCCTTCCCGTCGGCGCCCACGACTGGCTTCTCTGTCTCGCGTTTCTCGCGGAAGACGTAACGGTGGCGGCGGACGAAGATGTAATCGCGCTGATTGTGAAGTGTCACGACCTGGCGTCCTTCGAACTCAGGCTGCGGGGGGAAGAGCCGGCGGAACAGGTGCGCTGTCAGAAGACCCAAGGGTGTGCGGAAGTTATTCAGGATCAGCTCGGGCCAGTGTTCCGTAGCGCGACCATGACCGGGAAGGCGCTTGCCCTCGATCCAGTTGCTGATGCTGAAGTGGAAGGTTGGCCCAACAGGGAGGTGGACCATTGTCAGGCCGCAGGGCTTCTTCTGGTCCTCATTCAGCACGACCAAAGTGGTGAACTGGCGGTTCGAAGCGAACTTGGCAATCTCACGGATGGAGAACTTGTGCGAATGGCGGTGTGCTGAGCGACGAATGTACACGCTGTTAGGGAACAGACCAGTCAAAATATCGGCTTCGTCGTGGAGGTTCGAGTTGAGCGAGGTGGTGATGAGGATTTTCGGGGTCGGGGGAGTCTCGTCGGAGAAGAGAGTAGGGAATTTGGCAGCGAGAGCTTCAGGAGCCAAACTCAAATTTGTACTGCGTGCTGAAGCCGTAGGGCTAGTGGCTCGTTCGGTGGCAGAGGGAAGCGACGACTTTTTCCGTCCACGGCTCGAGTCTTCTTTCTCGTCCTCGTCCTCGTCAGAGTCTTCGCCATCGCTAGAGGCGATCATACTGTCGATGGACTCGGCATCAGACTCCTCAGCTTCGCTGTCATCTTCACCCTCGTCCAGCGGTCGGTTCAATTCGTCCTCTTCTTCCTTCTTGGCACGCTTGATGCGCTCGACATCCACGGCCAAACCCAGACCGTCTTCCTCGGCGTCACTATCAGCCTCATCCCAGACACGCTTGCGGTCAAGAGTCAGAGGAACATTGCGACGCAGACGCTCCTCTCTCAATTTGGGGTTCTTGGCCTCTTCCTTCTTGAAACCGTAGCGCTCATCTCGCCGCGCGGCATCTTTAGCTCTCTTGCGCTTGATGTGCATCAACTTGCGTCGCTGCTTGTTTCCAGTCTTGAAATCCATGGCCGCATCAGGCGGCGGCCCGCTTCGACCTTTCATTCCCATGGTGAATGTAGTCGAGGGTGGTGTTGTACTGGATCGTTCGACATTTCTTGTCGCAAAGAAATAAATTATCACGGAGAATTGTTGATCCGGGCTGGCGCTCCGACAACCACGCGATCTTTGATTATTGATCGCCGTTGCAGATAGGGAAAAATTATAGGGACGAGACATAAGGACCAGCGTTGTCCATTCTCAGCATTTTCGAATTGACACCTATTTGCCGATTGCCCCGTGGTGACACCGAGGGCCTGTGTGGGTGGATGACTCAATTGCTACCGCGCATTTCCCCCCGCTCTTTTCTTCCCCCTCCATCGATTCTCGCTAGGACTTTCACCTGCTCGCCCGCGCTCCAGAAGCAGAACCGCAATCCCAAGATGGCCACCGTCAAAACTAAGACCGGCCAGGAGGTCGACCGCCTCGTGCTGGACTCCATGCTCCGCCGCCGCATGTTCTACACCCCCTCCTTCGAGATCTACGGTGGTGTCTCTGGTCTTTATGACTATGGCCCTCCCGGTACTGCTTTGATCGCCAACCTGACCGACACATGGCGCAAGCACTTCGTACTCGAGGAGGATATGCTTGAGGTCGACTGCAGCATGCTCACCCCCCACGAAATTCTCAAGACTTCCGGGCATGTGGACAAGTTCGCCGATTGGATGTGCAAAGACCCCAAGACTGGCGAGATCTTCCGTGCCGATCACTTGGTTGAGGAGGTGCTCGAATCCCGCTTGAAGGGTGACAAGGAAGCTCGTGGACACAAGGTTGAGGTTGACGCCGAGAAGGAGGCTAAGAAGAAGAAGAAGTCCAAGGGCGAGACTAAGGCTGTCAAGCTTGACGATGCGCTCGTGAAGGAGTATGAAGAGTGCCTCGCCCAGATCGACAACTTCGACGGCCCCGATCTTGAGAAGATCATCATCAAGTATGACATTCGCAACCCCGCCACCGGCGGTGCCGTGCAGCCCCCCGTCGCTTTCAACCTCATGTTCCAAACCTCCATTGGTCCCAGCAGCAACATGCCCGGCTACCTTCGCCCCGAGACTGCCCAAGGCCAATTCTTGAACTTCCAAAAGCTGCTCGAGTTCAACCAGCAGGGTATGCCCTTCGCCTCTGCCTCCATTGGCAAGTCTTTCCGTAACGAGATTTCTCCTCGCGCCGGTCTTCTGCGTGTCCGTGAGTTCCTCATGGCTGAAATTGAGCACTTTGTCGATCCTGAGGGTGGCAAGAAGCACCCTCGCTTCGCCGAGGTCAAGGACATTGAGATGTCCCTGCTTGACCGCAACGTCCAGCTATCCGGTAGCACCCAGACCACCAAGATGACTATCGGCAAGGCTGTTGAAACTGGCCTCGTCGACAACGAGACTCTGGGTTACTTCCTCGCCCGTATCCAGCTCTTCCTGATCAAGATTGGTGTTGACTTCACCAAGCTCCGGTTCCGTCAGCACATGGCCAACGAGATGGCTCACTACGCCCAGGACTGCTGGGATGCGGAGCTGCACACCAGCTACGGCTGGATTGAGTGTGTCGGCTGCGCTGACCGCAGTGCTTACGATTTGACCGTGCACAAGAACAAGACCGGTGCCCCTCTCGTTGTTCGCGAGACTCGCGCTGAGCCTCTGCGCATTGAGGAGTGGCAAATTGACCTCGAGAAGAAGAAGTTCGGTCCCCGCTTCAAGAAGGACGCCAAGACCGTCGAGACTGCTATCGATGCTCTCTCCCAGGAGCTTCGCGAGAAGCTTTCCCTTGACCTGAACAACAACGGCAAGATCGAGATCGATGTTGAGGGTGTTGGCTCCGGTAAGGTTGAGCTGGACAAGGAGCTGATCAACATTGAGAAGCGCACTCGTGTTGAGAATGTTCGCGAATACACTCCCAACGTCATTGAGCCGTCCTTCGGTATCGGCCGTATTTTGTACAGCATGATTGAGCACGTCTACTGGTCTCGTGATGGTGACGAGGCTCGTGGTGTAAGTTGGTCTTGTCTCATTCTTATACTCTTTGCTAAATTCATATTCTTTAGGTTCTTTCTTTCCCCCCGGCTGTCGCTCCTACAAAGGTTCTCCTGGTTCCCCTCTCTACCAACCCTGCCTTCAAGCCTCTGGTCCAGACTCTGTCTTCCAAGCTGCGCAAGCTTGGTATTTCCAGTCGTGTGGACGACTCCTCCGCCAGTATCGGAAAGCGTTATGCCCGTAACGACGAACTGGGTACTCCCTTCGGTATCACCGTTGACTTCCAGTCCGTCAAGGACAACACTATCACCCTGCGTGACCGTGACTCGACCAAGCAGGTCCGTGCCAGTGAGGACGAGATCATGGCTGCTCTTAAGTCGCTCACCGACGGCGACGAGACCTGGGCGGATATCATCAAGCGCCTGCCAGAGTTCACTGGCCAGGAGGTTGAGTAGATCAATTAGACGGTATTGCATCTTACAAAAATATACACCATTTCATTTCACGCAGACCTACGCATATGTAGTATTTCCATCCATCTCTTCTATTCTTTCAAACAGGATCAGATTTAAGTAAAATAAAATACGGCAGTCCCGATTCGGCCAACCGCGCCAAGAATCCGGGGCAACCTCGTCATCATCCATCTGTCCACTCCTCCTTCGTCAGAGCTCTGATCGTCAACATGGCGCCCACTGTACACTCCGCCAAAATCACTCTCTCGTGTCCGCTCTTCGCGGCCGACTTTGACCCACGAGATAATGGCCGCCTGTTGGTAGGCGGCGGCGGCGGCGAGGGCCGTAGTGGAGTGGGAAACAAGATCGTGAGTGCGCAGCTTTGTTTCCGCGAGCTTTACTGATCGCGTATTAGTCGCTTCTCGATACCTCACGCCGAGATGAAATTACAGAAGCTGTGGAAATGAACTTGTCGCGCGACGAGGACTCGGTCACGTCACTCGCTGTCGCGCCTCAAAATGCGGATGAAGCGCATTCGCTGGTGGTCCTGAGCTGGTATCAATAGCTCTGTTAGGGAGCAAAAGAAAAATAACAATCAGCACATGCGCGCGTTCCGGTTCGAAGCGCCGAAAAGGGTTCAGGCCACCGCGACGGACACGCCAGAATCCGACAAGGACGCAAAGAATGACCAGAAAGATGAAGTGATCCCTGGGAAAGCTACACCATTGTCGAAAGAATCGCTCTTTCGCTCGAAGACTGGCCAGTCGGGAGATACCTACCAACGCGTGTTCAGATTGTCGCCTTGGAGGAAGCAGGCTGATGTTTCGGAGAAAAGCACGCAAAATACCAGAGTCGGAGCCATCGCTACTGGACTCGCACCTTCTGGAGAGATTGTTGTCTTCCGCGCAACAGAAACGCCCAGCGAGTCGGACGTGATCGGCCGTATCCAACTCGGTGCCAATGAGGAAGCGGACGATATTGATTTCGTGGGTCTGGAGTACGACACGGATGAAAACAAAGAACCTTCAGGTCGATTCCGCATGGCTTATACGAACGGAGTGGATGTGATGGCCGGTGACATCTTGTCTACCACACGCTCCAATGCTGCTCCCGAGCTATTCAATGTCTTCACCATTCCTTTGCCCAGTAGCGGTGCTCGCGCGGCCCGTCCCAAGTTCCGTTCCCTGCGTTTCTTGTCGCCTACGACTATCTTGATGCTTCAGAATGCTCCTGATCGCGGGGGATGCGAACTCGTCCTTCTCCAAATTCCCACAAAACAGGGTGGCGAGGCAAAGGTCTTGCGTCGGCGCAAGCTCCCTCGGGGTGTAAAGATCGGTCTTGGCCTTGATGTATGCCCACTCGGTACAAATCAAGTCGGCCAACAACAAACCATCATCGCCGTTAGCGGTAGTGACCATTCCATCTCCCTCTTCACAATCGAGTACGGGCCCAAGATGGGCTACGGCAAGCTCCTGCCCTACACAACCCTCCGTGATGTGCACCCCTTCTCCATGACGAAGCTCTGCTTCTCAACCTTTGTCGCTCCCGCCCACCCCATCACTCCGGAAGTCGGCCCACAAAAGGTCAAGCTTGCCTCTGTCAGCATGGGAAATACTGTTGTCGTGCACACACTGCCTCTCCAGCCCTTCCCACCTTCTTCCCGTACTGCACGCTACGTGCTTACCCTTCCTGGGCCCGCCGAGTTCTGGGAAGGTGTTCTGTTCAGCGTCGCCTTGCTCGTATCTTTCCTCGTCATCTGCGTTGCTCTGCTTTCCTTCGCCGAGATCCGCGGTGCCACTCCTCCATACCTGGGTGCTGCAAACTACCTTCCAAATACATGGCGCGAGAATTGGGCCGTCGACTACAAAGCACCGCCAAATGGCAAGGGCTCTTACTTCGATACTCTATTTGCACCCAAGTCCACTGAGACTGTCATTCAAGTCACTCCCGATGAACTTCACTCTCTAAAGGACATCCTCGACCGCGTCCACAGCGCCGGCGCCGCACCCGCTGATCTCGAGACCATCACACCGCACTCTGTGTCCGTGATTGTACGTTGCAACAAGCCCGGCATGAACGTAGAGGAGAGTGTGATCATTGAAACCTCTGCCTTGCATGAGGCCCACGACGCCTCGGAAGAACACCGTCTCCACGCCTGGCAGGAGATGAATGCCGCCGATCAGGAATCCTGGAAACGCCGTCTTGAAGCTGCAGGCCGCTGGACTGTCAGTGAGGGTGAATCTGTGCTGAAGGGTGTCCTGTTTAGCGAGGCATGCGGGCATTTGAAGGAGTGGGTAGCTCACGAGTTGTAAGAATGTGATGTATGAATTTGCTATACAGATTCGATGATAGACGATTCAAGCAATGTGTTATTGATATGATAGTAAACCCTCCCAAAGTGAGAGAAAGAATAGACAGAAAAGAGCAGTACTCGTCACGTAGAGTCAAGATGAAGAGATGTCCTCACCTAATCGTAGTGAATGCTTCCCAAATAGGAAATCCAAATGGCATCTTCCTGCTCTCTCTCTCTCTCTCTTATAAATAATTCCTCACTTGGCTCACTTTCTTCATCCTCTTCTCTTTCTCTCCCGGCTCCACACCCGCCTCCTGACCCGTCGACTCGTAGTGAGGTCAATTGTAAGGCCGACACTTCCCAACGCGACAGTAGGTAGCTCTGGGAGTTTCTGACTGAACACACTCTAGGCCGGCGCAATGATGAACAAAATTCTGGCGATGAAGCTAAAGGCCTATGATCCTGAAACCAAGAACTGACAGAGCCAGCTCCCCTTTCCACTCGCCTTTTTCCTCATTCATAAGTGCTTGACCAAGTTCTTCGATACTCCCCTTCTCTTACTCTCAATCTATATTCCTTGCAGCTGTGCAAAAAAAGTATAGAAGCGAAGCAGACTTGTATTGATAGTCATTCCAGATTAAGTATATTATTCATTACTCAATATCAACTCTATAATCATTATACATTTACCATGGTCCTTGGGGAACTTCCAAAACAGACCATCGTACAAACTCACTCTTCAACAGTAACATCCTCCACAGCGGATTCCGAAATGGCAAACTTGCTCAAAGCCCTCAACCTCGCCCCAAACCAATAAAGCAACCAAATGCCCACAATCCCAATAACACTCAAGCCACCAAGTAAACTTGTTCCCCTCGCCACCCCGAGATTCCCAAACAACGGATGCGCAAACAGAACACTGCCACACGCGAGCGCACTCCTAAAGAAATCATTCGCGGCGAACAAACTCGCCGCGTACTGCGGATAACTGAGCGGGATATACACGAACAAGCACTGCATGATGATAAACACGGTGGCACCATAGATGGTAATTCCAATCGTCGGGACAATCCAATGGATGGATGCCCTAGCCGTCCACGCAAAGAGGAAGAGACCGATAGTCGGGCCGACGGCAGCCACGAGCGCGGGAGTGAGACGAGCCTCTTGCAAGGGCATTCCGAATTTCCTAATGCGGGGATTCATCCAGAAATAGATGTATGAGAAATACACGGCTATGCCGAGAAGACAGGCGACAAGAATGCACAGGAAGACTAGACCGATCTCGCCGAGATTCATGCCGTAATCGACGGGGTAGACGAGGGGGAAGACTTCGAAGAAGGAGTAATAGATGCCGTAGATGATAGCAGTGTAGATCTGCACGAAGAGTACGGCCGGGTCCTTGATGGTGATTTCTAGGGGTTTTAGAAGTGCGTCGACGGTCACGTCGGAGAAGCGCATGTTGCGCTGGTCGATTTCAGACTGGGACATGAATTTGGGATTGGAGTTTAGTTTGCGGAGGCGGGAGGCCCGGCGGAGGAGGATTGTTGCCGTGCTGGTTTCTGGTAGGAAGAGGAACATGAGGATAAGGACTGGGGAGGATGCCCAGATCGATATGAAGAGGGACCAGCGCCAGCCCTTTACGGGGACTGCGAAGCCGCTTAGAAGGGGGCCGAGGGCAGCTAGGAGGATGGTTAGTTATATGTTTGGATGGAAATGGAGATGGGAGGTGGAGATGAAGATTGAGAGATTGGAGAGGATGACTTACGACCACAATAGGCGGCGGAAACCCAGGCCATCAGGGCGTAGGGAAGGGACATGAGACTGTACATGTCGCCAATGGAGGCTCCACCTGAGGCGAGACAGGGTGAACCGAAGAAACCCTGAAGGAAACGAAGTACGAGAAGGCCGCCAAAGTTGCCGACAAAGGCGGTTGGGATGGAGATAATCACAAACAGGAACATCGTGATAATGTATACTGGATTTCGGCCGATGACGGGGATCTCGCTCAATGGAGAGAAAATCAAGGGTCCAGTACCGTATCCGAGGACGTATAGTGAGAGACCAAGCGTAGCAGCGAGAGTGCTGACCCCGAAGTCGTTCATGACTCCCATCGTGGAGGAGGTGTAGATGGCGGACGTGGTGTACACGACAAAAGTGTACAGACAGATAATTGTTGCGATGAGAGCGCGCTTGGTATTCGACCAGTTATGAGGATTCTCGGGGTCATCGGTATAGTACCAGTCGACCAGGATAACGCCGTCTCGAGTGCGTTTGGGGACAATGGGCGTCGACTTGACTTTTTCGATCTCATGTCGTTCCTCTTCTTCCAGTCGTTCCCTTGTCCAGGAGAAAGAGTGCTCGGTCGACACTCGACTAAGAGCTTCGCCATGGTCGTGGTCGCCGCCAGGACTGTCGGGATTTTCTGCAATTCCAGGACTTTCTGCTTCGGGCTTTACCGTTTGAGATGAGCCTATTCGTAACGGGTCCGACTGGTGCATCACCTCGATCCAGGTCTCTGGTAATTGGAAGTCGGGCTTCTCTTCGGGATATTGGAAGTACTTGTTCTTCGTGACATACCGAACCAACTGCCCGAACGGGGCATCTCGAATGACGGTTTGCATTCTGGGAAGGGGGAATTCAATATTCACTGAGGTTACTATTTCATGTGGGTAGGGGGACTATATAGGCAATTACGAAAGTATATGGACTTCGGTGATAAAAAGCAGATTCGACACCTCTAAAACCCGATCATTAGAAATCAGATAGCGCCAAGTTCGCCTCAGAAACGCTACCAGGGCCACAGAGACGAAGATACACTTCGACAAAGTTCCAATGCGGTCAATGGTGGACTTGATTATTATTCATCACCTTTAGAAATCATGGGTAGTGGATCTCCTTCCCATGGTCAAAGCTTGTAGAGTATGGAGATCGTCGGTAGGGCACGCCATAGAAGCCCGTGGGAATTGACCCGAACCCGAGATTGATGAGAAAACAACAAATGGATCAATTACGCGAATGCGCCATCTCTGTTATGGGGCCAAATCTCTGCAGGACGAGCGCCAGAGCCCAAAGTGGCTTATTCGCTGACATATCCAATTCCATGGAAGAGTTATGATTCATCGATCGGCGACAGGATCTTATCCCCGCCTCAGATCTTCAAATATCTCCGAGCTCTTATCACCGTGTCAGCCTGATATCTGTTAAAGCCGCCTGTCCAGTCGAGTCATCTTACGAGTAAGTAACGATGTATAGCCCCTGAAAGTCAGACCTATAGCTCTCGTAAGCTCCACGATGAGTCCATCGCTTATCCAGGTGCTGGGATCCATCTAACTCGGAGCTAATTGACTTATCCAATTGCACCAGCTTTGGCAATAATCGTCAGCAGGGATGCTTCCGAGCTGAGCATGTAGCAGCTCACACATGCTAGAATCCCCTGCACGCTAGAAAGGAGCAAGATGAACAGGTGGAATCTGAACATAGCTATTCTAGCGGACTTCCCTCAACTGGTCAACGCTGATACTTTAAAGTTACTGAGATGACTAACTCCCGAATCACAAGACGATAACGTCATGAACCAATGTGCCAAATTAGACTTAAGTAATCATCACCAGCTGCAAGCTTCCTCGGTTGATTAAACACTTGTAAAAGCCATTATTCATTTCATATTGGCAGAATGAGCTCAACTCAGAAGATACCAGATCCCGAAGTACGTTTCCCATCTCCTGGAATTAGAGAATCCAGATCCTAACGCTATCAGCCATTGTCGCAAAGCGAAGAACGTCACTTCAGCAAGTACGGGAAACTGCCACGAGTAGGCCTTCGAAGCCAACAATCAAAGGTATTCATCCATCCCGGAAGTATCCCTCGATCTATAGAAGATAATCTATACTAACCTGGCCCTTTTCACAAAAATAAAAGGAACGAACGTACTTCGACTCAGGCGACTTCGCCCTCTCGGCCGCTGATCGCGAAACAGACAACGGCGCCATTAATACCGGCCGAGCCCATCCTCAACGAGATAGCATCTCGCATCCCTATGCGCCCATCCCGGCGGCTAGTAATGTGAACAAGGATGCCAATGAGGATCTGTATAGGAAGAGTACTAGTCCTGAGCGAAGCCCGCTGCTTCAGCAGACGGATGTGAATCACAAAAAGGATGCCGGTGAGAGTGATGGTTTTTTCTCGCATCGGGGTGACGACGAGGGATGGAAGTAAGTTCGGATTGAGTTCATGGTGGTCGGGTGTTTAAAGTGGAAAATATATACGGTTCAGGGCTTGCCTATATTAGGATCGGCGTTCGATTTATAGGTTCTGGAAAATGGTGGACCTTTTGTATTTGATAATGAAATTGTGAATATTCGACGAGACTTGATGGTAGGATACGAATTGGAAGTGATATAACGAGAATGTTCTTGTTACAGCACCGTTGAGCAGGTTATGTCAAAGGCGATTACTTCGTTAGGTCAAAATCACATTCTGCTCGGCGTGTCACGTAAGGAGAAGTGGAAGGCTAGAATGACACAAGTGAATTGCACTCTCAGGAACTCTTGTAGACGGTAGTGAGGCTACCATCTAAGCATAATTCGAGAACAGGTCGAGATCGAATAGACTCGACAATCCAGGCATGAGATGATCGATCATGTTGATCATCAAGCAATTGAGAACAGTGTGCTGTCAGAACAAGGAAACCAGTCTCTCATGAAACATCTACTGTTCAAAGTTATAGCCATTACAGTACTATTCAAATGCATTTCGAATAAGAAGCTCAATTTAGCTAACTTTGCTTTTGGTACCGACATAGATAAAGAGCCGGATCATCACGTCATGGGGGCATTGGGATCGGAAAAAGGTCAAGGTGAAGGTATGAGATGATCTTTTGTGCAAAGGGGATTATCATGGACGCGAAAATAGAGCAACAAAAACGCCGAATTAACCCACGCCCAGGTTCTGTATGTGGAATAGAAACAGAAACAGAAACAGAAACAGAAAGCAAGTGCAACGTGTTCAGGGGGAGGGGGGGGAGGCCCATGCAGGTTCGTTAAGAAATGGAAAAAAAAAAACAATGACAGGACTGTTTTAACCAGAGGCGCGTAAATCGGTCCCATATGTGCGCAGCAAAGCTCCTCAAATTCTCAATGTGAAGAGGGTAATGGAAAGGTGATGAAAATTACTGGCCGTTAGCCTTCTTCCACCGCAGTAATTCTGCGAGGCTAGCGAGACTGCAGCCCATCTGGAGGAATTCGTGGGCGAGGAGTTCGTCGGCGGTGGCTCGGCTGCGGACATCCACGCAGAGACATACGCTCAGGAAGGCCTTGAGTTCCTTGCTCAGCTTCTCGGGTTTCTTCAGGCGCGGGGTTCCATTTGTCGCGATGAGGTACAGTGCCTTCAGGGGCTCTTCATTCAGGTACGGCGGCTCGGATTCAATCATCTCAATGGCCATGATACCCAGCGACCAGCAGTCGACTTTGGGTCCGTACTCTTTCTGCTTGACCACCTCGGGGGCCATCCAATAAGGAGTGCCAACCATAGTGGCACGCTTGTTCTTCGACTCGGTGAGCTTGGCACAGAAACCGAAATCAGCTAGAGCTGGTTAGTGATTGTTTTTGCAGCGAGTAAATCCCGACTTACTGATCTTGACGTGGCCGACACGGTCGAGCAAAACGTTGTCACTCTTGATATCACGGTGAATGATGTTTTGGCTGTGCAGGTGGGCCAGCCCCTTGCAAGTCTGTAGACTTTGGGTGAGTATGTGTGTGATGGCTGAGAGGAAGGATTACAAACCTCGTGGCAGATTGTCGCAATCTGATTCTCTGAAATCACCGGGTTGTTATCAATGACATCGGTCAAGGCACCACCCTCCATGAACTCCATGACAACCCAGAGCTCATTGCTTGACTCCTGCAAGAATGAGTCGAGGAAGTTGACAATGTTGGCGTGCTGGCTGTCCTTCATGACGATGATCTCGTTGACAATCAACTCCTTGCGAGGCTGGCTGCGCAAGTCCATCTGTTTGATGGCTACTTGGCAGCGAGGGCCATATTGGCGGTAAAGCTCACGAGCAACGCCCGATGTTGCCTGTTCCTTAACACGCGCCACGTACACTGATCCGGAGGCACCCTGACCAATCTTGCGTTGCTTGCTGTAGGACTCGTTCGGGTTGTCTTTGGACACGACTGACCGCAGGCGATCCATGACTTCGTTCTCAGTCATCGCTGACATGCGCACCTCCTTCTTGTGCGGCTGATCGGGCTTCTTGGTTAAGGCAGCTTCAGCCTGACGGACACCATCAGGAACACCCTGCTTGGTTCCATTCTGTTTGTTGGCAATGTTGAGAGGCTTCACAGCCTGGACAGGAGCGGGCAAGCGGGTAGGAGGAGGTCCTTGGGCCTGTTGGGTCTTGGATACATTGTTTGGTTGACGGGGAGTCTGAGCACGAGGGTCGTTGGGAGGATACGCGGAACTGGGCGAGTCTGAGGTCTGCGATTGAGAGCCGGGCACTCGGGATTGACTTTGTCCATAGGGGCTTTGCGCAGGAGGAGCCGGAGCTGGACGCTGCGCGGTAAGCTGGCGAGGATCTTGACTTTGGCTGCGCGCTCCAGATCCCGGGGCTTGCGGTGCTGGACGACTTGGCTGGTAACGGCTGTTCGAAGTAGAATCTGAGCCCCCGTAGCCACCAATCTCTTGCTTGGCCAAGGGTTGCCGGGTCTTGGGCAAGGACGCGTTGTATGCTTCGTCGTCCTTCCGGCGCTCTTCCTCAACACGGCGACGTTCCTGTTCAGCCATTCGCTTCATCTCTTCCAACTGGCGCATCTTTTCAGCAGCTGTGGCATCATTGCTTGACTGGCCGGGGAGGAGTTGGCAGAGCGCACAGAACCCTCTGCGCTGTCCAGACGCTGTGTAGGCCCAGGCGGAGGAGGGCGTGGAGGAGCAATGGAGTTGCCCACAGTGTTGCTGCCGAGTGGCTTCGCTTGTCCATTAGCCGCACCACCCAAGCCGGCGTAATACTGGGGGTTCTGCTCCCGCATCTTGATATCGGAGTAGAATTCCAAGACTTCAATGACCGCCTGAGGATTTTTCTTGTAGTCCTCCTTGGTAATGGCGGACGCGGTCAGAAGTTTCTCCCATTCTGGAGGCAAGCCCACGAAAGCGCCCGTCTGGGGATCGAAGCCAACGTGAACCCGATGGCTGAAGTTGGTCGGGTTGCTGACACCACCCATGCCAGGGCAGCGCTCATAGATCTTATCGATCCAGTCGTAGATCTCGTCATCGGTTCTCACTTCGCAGGTAATCGACTTGGTCGCCACGTCACGGGAGATCATGGCGGCCTTGGAGCCTGCGTCCTTGGGATTGGCCAGGCGCACAATCTCAAAAGCCATTTTGGTATCTTCCGAGCGGGACACATTGGTGACGGTTGACAGCGGGAAGGACAGGACGCTCTTGCCCGTTTCGCTCTTCAAGAACTCGATTTTGTAGTCACGCAGAATAAGATATCGCTGGCCCCAGGTTGCCAAAAACTTGTCTTCCTTGCAGCGCACGGGTCCTTCTTTGACGATACCGACTCCACCCTGTCCACCAGTCTGGCTCCGGGCCAACGATGGAGAACTAGTGTTGGGGAACAGCGAGAGGTTGCCGCCGGGGACGGGGCCTGGGGTACTGGGCGATTGTAGAGACATTTGGCCGAACGAAGTGGCCAGATTGGGATTGTTGGTGGGAATGGTCAACTGGGGCCGATCCGTAGGGGGGCGGGGAGCCGGCCGCGTATCCATGAACTGATCAGGCGTGTACACCGTACTGCGGAGTGTTAATGGAAATTGTTCTCGGGGCGATCTCGCCGTGTCCAAAACGTCACTCACTTTCCGTACTGAGACATCTTTCCAGAAACTTCAGGACGCGAAGGAAGTGAAAGCGCGCCGAGACCTCCTGAGGCCCCTCGAAGCTAGCGGCTCTGAAGAGAAAACAGGGTCAGCTCTCACGTTCAGGGGAGCGCCCAGGTCAATCCGAGGGGGATCCCAGGGGCGGTCAAGAAAGGGATTAAGTGGGGGATTCTGAGAACGACGGACTTACGGAAATCAAAGAGCGGACCTCGCACGGCGAGGATTGCTCGAACCGAAAAGCAAAGAGTTGGGCCGAAAATTGGAGATGGTGGGGGATGAAAGGAAGATAAAGGGGGGGCGGAAGAGAAGGGGAAGATTTCAGGAGACTATCACCACCCAGATTCTCACGGACACGACGATGAAGGTGAACTAAGGGAGCCCAAATAGAGCTAGTCTCAAGGCTCGACCTGGTTCAATCTACAGAAAACACGACTCTACCAATCATGGTGGAAAGCGCGGAGTCTGGATCCACGGTCCATTCTGGAAGACCCGCGTGGTGTAGACCTACGACCACAAAGTAAGTTTCAAGGTACCATACAGACCGGGAAATGTCTTTGGCTGTCCCTTCTCCATTCCCTTTAGATGCCCGCCCCTCACACTAAGTACCTAGGTTGAATTAAGCACATCCCTGGCTAGAGTGGCTTAGTGAGTATTGTATTCTGGGGTGACTTAATGCGCTCACCACGTGACTTGATATTCAAGGTTTCCTTTTTGCCAGCGGACCTCGATTTGGCAGATTGCGTTCTAACATTCTCGACATGTTTATCGGTGCCTGTACCAAATTAATAATTGATGCCCTCCGGCGTGTTTCACAAATTTGCAAAACTTGCCCTCACTCAAACCCAATGACCATTCCAAGTGCATCTAATTATCCTATATTTTTCTCGTCCAGTTGCGCAAATTGTTCTTCCACTATTGACGTGACAAACAACATCTCGGTATCCACTTCTCCAAACTACCCATCCCTTCACCTTCAACAGCGAGCCCAAATTATGGCAACGTAGCTACACGTCATATTGTCTACATCTAATTCCTCGGGACTGAAGGGCTGTCTTCATAATGCCGAGGTCTCACAAGCTCCAACGTTCGCGCCATTGCCTTGGAGCAGCCGTGGTTATATTTGCTGGGGTTGCATCGAGGACTGTCGGCGTCCCGTCTATTGACGAGAGACCCGAGTTCTTCAAGCTGAGCCGTCTTTTTATTATTTCATAGGGGCTCCCGCCTGTTGCGCCACAGGGTGGGAATTTTGATTTCCATTCTTGCCTCACTACAAAAGCGAAGCCTGGAATCCCAGCGCTCACTGAGTAGTCACTGAACAACCACTTGGCATCTAAAAGCACCCATTAAGCCTGAACCCAAGCCTATTTACAAGAGCGACAGTTAGAATGGGACAGCCTCACACCGCAGGGAGATGTATTCATAATTGATCTGCTCGTATCCTCCAGGGTATCGTACATTATGCTATTATATTACTCGCCAAACGGATGATTGAATTTCAGCAGCTCGTTCAGACCTCCGACCCATCCTTCGTGCGCTTCTTCGCCACTACTTCTCCGCATAACGCTAGGCACGCCACCCTGCCACTCGTTCCGTCCATGCCTCATCTCTTCATTCCACACTCGGACCTCCATACCGACAGCCATACCTTGACCTAGATTGACTCCATCGAGACTCACTTCCAATTCTCGTCCGCGATTCTTCTCGCTCAGTCGAAGCGTGATGGGTGTGCTGGAGGGTAGAACGAGGGGTCGGAAACTGAGACTGCGCGCACAGATGGGAGTTAACAAGATCGATGGAACCAAAGGATGCACGATACTGCCGCCACTACTGAGACTGTAGGCCGTACTTCCCGTAGGGGTGGAAATGATAATTCCGTCGACCACGGCCTCGGTCAGGAAGCGGCCGCCCACCCAGATATCCACGACTGCCAGATGAGGTTCTTTACCGCGATGGATGAGCAACTCGTTCATCACGTATACCCCCTCGCCATGGTCGGTTTTGCCCCGAATCGGAGTCGTCTCACGGCCGTCTCCTGTGAATAGCCCAACCTTGAGTCGGTTGCGCATCAAAATGGGAGCTCCGCGAGTCGAGCCCATGGACTTGCCCCGAACAGAGGACCATCCAGTCGGCCCTAGCTGTGCATTTGCATCTTGCGTATCCTGATTCTCGGGTACACTGGTCGTCTCCAACAAGGAAGTTCGGTCTCCAGCTCCAGCCCCCGACATGTAGACTTCTCGGAATGCCCGCTTAAACTCGGAGAATTTCCATTCGCTCAGGAAGCCGAGGGTACCCATGCTGAACGACAGCACAGGGGGCACATTGGAGCATGTCGCAAATAGCGAGCTTGCGTGCAGAATTGTGCCATCTCCACCTAACGTGACGGTGAGGTCAATCTTGTCGTGATATGCCGTTGGCGTGTCCTCCAAGGATGCAGTATAAACAGGGTATGAAAGAGCCGAGTGGACTTCCGCGGCAGTTTTTGGTTCGAGTACGACGGCGACAGAAGGGTACGTGGATGTGATGTGACTGGATGCCTGAAGTCAGTCATGCGCTAGCACCAGCTTCTAGTAGAGACCATACTTGGCGAATTCAATGAGCGAGTTAGTCACTGCTGGGGCGCAGTCCTTGCGCACCAGTAGAACATTTCGAGGCGGCGCGGGCCATTGTAATGATAACAGCTCACCCTGGGTTTCTATAACAGAAAGTCAGCGTCGAATTGGCCGTCATGCACAAGCACTGTACCTTGGTATTTGGGGATGAGCCGCTGAGCCAGCCCAGCGACATCACGGATCTCGTGACGCGGAGCAGATGAGGAAAAGCAGCGCAAGAACGGACCAGGGAACCTGCGAATAATGTACAGCATGCTTGATTGACCGAGACGACGGTCATAAATTGTCAAATCCGCCCATCGGGATTAAAGAAGATGGAGCTCGGCCAGACTTGACGAACTCCGCCGACTCTAGCCCCACCGCCTCGACAGCTCTGACGTTATTGGGTTTAGACCTGTCCACGAGATCATTAACTTTGACTTTCCCAGCTTTGCATTTTGCTTTGTCCCCTTGCACTGTCTCCTTATTATTTTTATTCTTTCTTTTACCCCCACACGTTCGAAACTTACCCTCCTTTCAGTGCAGGGCTGCAACCGAGGCCACACTGTCGATCCCGCATCCGCCGTCTCCCGACTCTGTGACTCTTGGTGGGCTGTTACTGCTCCCCAGGTGCGCTGGTCCCCCAATCCAGCTCAGTCAGGACAATCCTCGTTAGAAGCGAAGCACGCGACCATGGATTCAACCGAATCTCGCCTGCGCAGGCCTTCGAATGATGAAACTAGCCAGCTTTTGAAGCATTCGAGTAAACCTCCCACCGAGCCAGGACTCAAACATGGCATTACCATGCAGATACTCCGATCGCTTCTGCTTGCTGCTTGGTTCAACGGATGCTGTATCGTCGTCTTCGTGACCCAACTGATCGGCTCCCCGCTATACTTGATCAACAAGAATTTCTTCTACTCTTACATGGCCTATACAAAACAGTGCTTCGGATTGATGATAACAGCCCTCACCCAATGGGGTGCTCCGACTCTGTGTCGAGTCAGCGGCGACGAGAGTGTACGAGGTCAGCTCCATCTGTCGGAAGATGGCCTGCTACAGACCACTTTTCCAGAACGTATAGTCGTGATCGCAAATCACCAGGTCTACACCGACTGGATCTATCTGTGGTGGATTGCATACACCAATGTTATGCACGGTCGTATTTACATCATTTTGAAGGAGTCGCTCAAATACATCCCGGTCATTGGCCAGGGCATGATGTTCTACGGGTTTATCTTCATGGCCCGGAAATGGCAATCGGACAAGCCTCGGCTCCAGTATCGTCTAGAGAAGCTCAAAGGCCAACACAGTGGCTCACACTCTGGCAAGCCACAATATGATCCAATGTGGCTGCTGATCTTTCCGGAGGGCACCAATCTCTCAATGAACACCAAACGCAAGAGCGATGCATTCGGTGCAAAGCAACACCTCGCTTCCTTCAAGCACATGATCCTTCCTCGATCGACCGGGCTATTCTTCTGTCTACAACAATTGCGAGGCACCGTAGACTGGATCTACGACTCTACTATTGCTTATGAAGGCCCTCCGTAAGTTGAAACTGGCTCATAGCTCGCTTTCCACTAACCTTCTTCTAGTAAGGGAAGCTATCCTGACAAATACTTCACTCTCCGTTCGACCTACGGACAGGGACGTCCTCCAACCTCGGTCAACATGCACTGGAGACGCTTCGCTATTTCAGATATTCCTCTCGACGACCAAAAGGAGTTCGAGGCCTGGTTGATCGCCCGATGGGCGGAGAAAGACCAGCTCATGGACCATTATTTTGGAACGGGCAGATTTCCCTCCGAATTGGCTGGTTCTATTGAAGCCAAATCAGCTACTCCGGAACAAAAACTCACAATTTCAGCTGGCTATATCGAGTCTCATGTTCGATTGCACCACTGGGCGGAGCTTGGCAAAATCTTCATGGTTCTGGCTGGACTCGGGTGTCTGTGTCGTTTTATGAACAGCTGGTTCGGCTGATTGACATGACACGTAATTAATGTTGGGATTTGGCAGCATAACGAGAGACGAAGATACCTAGAAGCATGTGCAATTCTCAAAAATATCGTTATTACATTTATGAATTAAAATGAGGTTCCCAGGTATGGCTCGAGAATTGTAAAGCTAGTGTGGCGCACCGTGGCGGTGCTCTCCAGCCACTGCGTTCACCAATTCTCAACTGAACCAGTACCGCGACTGCGACACCTCCGAATCACTTGCGCGTCTACGGTGCGACACAGGGGAATTCCAGCCTCGAATATCAGTACAAGACACATACCCTTCAATACCATTGCTGGGCCTCGCTTGATCATGAGTTGAGAGCCCTCCACGATTCTTTCATCCAGTCGCATCCCGGTGACCCTCTTCATCCTCGCTCACTCCCGGCGCAAGTCGCAATCATGGCGTCCCTCGAAAATGGCCACGCCAATGGCTTGAATGGAGACGCATTGCCTCCAACAGCCTCAATGGCTTCTTTTCGTTTCTCCGATATCCCTGACGCCATTGATATTCCCGCCTCCAGCTTCGACAGCGAAGTCGAAGTCAGCCTCCTCGACCTCCCCGAAGATCCGACCGAGCTTTGCACACTATTGGAAAATGAGAGAGCTGCCAAGAATTTCTGGGTTATCATCGCCTTGGCTTATGCTAAGCGAAAGCAAATCGATCATGCCATTGATATTTTGAATAAGGGCCTGGCCTCCGTGGCCCACGGGGCCACGAAAGAGAAACTTGGTCTTTTGGGCTGGGTTTGCTGGCTGCTGATGCTGAAGAGTCGTCAGGCCCCGAGAGTCGCGCCTGAAGGTGAACTTTACTCAGAAGCAAAGACTAAGGATCACTACCTGCAGCTCGCGACCTCGACCTTGAACGAGGCGTCGCGTCTGAACCCGGCATACCCGCCTCTGTTCCTAGCGCGTGGTGTCCTCTGTCTTCTTCGCGCCTCTTTATATCCTCCTCGGGCTGCTCGCCCAGGTGCCATTGATACCTCAGAAAGAGCGGAGGCTCTGCGTCAGGCATTGAAGTGCTTTGATGAATCTTCAAAAGCGTTCGGCGGCCGCAATATCATGGCTATTCTGGGCCGTGCTCGTGCACACTACATGCTGGGAAGATACGCGGAGGCTCTTGATGGCTACCAAAAGGTTCTGTTGAAGGTGCCTCACCTCACCGACCCCGATCCTCGAATTGGTCTTGGCTGCTGCTTGTGGCAGCTGGGCTTCAAGGACCAGGCCAAGACTGCGTGGGAGCGATCGCTCGCGCTTGTACGTTCCATTTCCATGTCCTGTCATGAGTTTTGCTAATTAAAATATTCCAACAGAACCCCGAATCTAAGGTCGCCAACATCCTCCTCGCCGTGTATTACCTCTACGATAGCTCCCGTCGGTCCACCACAGATCCTATGTTCGGCTCGCTCTACAAGGTGGCCATGACTCAGTATACACAGAAGGCTTTCAAGCTGGACAAGGAATATCCTATGACCTGCGCCCTGTTCGGTAGCTACTTCCTCTTGCGCAAGCAATACCCGACGGTTGAGACCCTTGCCCGCAAGGCTATCGAACACACAGACGTGATGCCCATTGCTAGTGATGGCTGGTATCTTCTTGGCCGCAAGGCTCATTACGAAAGTGATGTTACAAAAGCAGCGGAGTTCTACAACCGCTCCGACCAAGCTCGTGGTGGTGGTGATAAGGGTTACCTGCCCGCCAAATTCGGCGCCGTGCAGATGCAGGTGACAAACAAGGACTTTGACGGTGCCAAGTTCCGTTTGGAGAAAATTGTTCAGCAGTCTAGGAACCCAGAAGCCATGATCCTGTTGGCAGCGCTGCATGCCGAGGAAATCTTTGCTCTCCAGAAATCGGGTAGCAAGGACGACAAGTCATCCGAGATCAAGCGCGCAATTGGTCTTTTGGAGTCTGTTCGCTCGATGTGGAAGGATGAGAAGCTGAAATTGACACCAGACGAGTCTGTTCTGGTGTATCTCTCGCTCGTCTCTATGAGAGCAGCGCTCCGGATAAAAGCATGCAGTGCCTTACCCAGCTGGAAGAACTTCAAATTGCCGGTATTCCTGAGAGCGCTCGTCCGGATATTGACAACGCGGATGATTTGAAGGCTGCTCTTCGTGAAAGCCTGCCGCCGCAGCTTCTCAACAACATGGGCTGCTTCCTCTACCAGAATGAGAAGATTGCCCTTGCTCGTGGCATGTTCCAGTCTGCACTCAACGCATGTGTTCAGTCAGAGGAGAGAGAAGACGGATCTGACAACGACGCCCTTGTCACGACCATCAGCTACAACTTGGGACGCACGTATGAAGCAGCAGACATGTGGGACGAAGCTAAAAAGGTCTATGAGGGGCTTCTGGAACGTCACAGCAACTACACCGAGGCCAATGCACGACTTACCTACATTGCTCTGCGCCAAAGCCCCACGGACGAGGGCCCGAAGAAGATGGGCAAGCTGTACGAAACGGACTCGTCCAACTTGGAGGTTCGTGCTTTGTTCGGCTGGTATCTCAGCAAGTCCAAGAAGCGTGTGGTCAACCTCGCCGAGGATCAGGAACAACGCCACTTCAAACATACCCTGCAGTACCACGATAAGCATGACCGTTATGCCTTGACGGGAATGGGCAATGTGCATCTCCTCGCGGCCCGTGACATGCGTCGCGAGACAGAGGCGGAGAAGGAGAAGCGCCGCACTACTTATCGACGGGCCGTTGAATTCTTCGACAAGGCCTTACAGCTGGACCCCAAGAATGCCTACGCGGCGCAGGGTATTGCTATCGCTCTCGTTGATGACAAGAAGGATTATAGCTCCGCCGTGCAGATCTTCTCCAAGATCCGCGACACGCTCAAAGACGCCAGCGTCTACCTCAATTTGGGCCATGTCTACGCTGAGCTTCGCCAATTCTCGCGATCTATCGAGCACTACGAGACCGCCCTGGCCAAGGACCGCTCGCGTGATGTTCAGATCCTGGCCTGTCTCGGCCGTGTGTGGTGGCTCAAGGGCAAGCAAGAGATGAACCTGGCTGCAATGAAGACCGCTCTGGATTACGCCCAGCGTGCCCGAGAAGTTTCTCCAAATCAACTTCATCTGCAGTTCAACGTCGCTTTTGTGCAGAACCAGATCGCCTCTCTGGCTTACAGCCTGCAACCCACGCAAAAGAGCCTTCAAGATGTGCAGGAGGCCGCCGAAGGTCTCAAGGAGGCTATTGAGACCTTCGACCGTATCTCTAAGGAGAAGAACCCCCCTTACCCCAGCCAAGCTCTGGAGCAGCGTGCCAACATGGGTCGCACAATCAGCAAACAGCTGGACCGAACCATGCAGAGCCAGAAGGAGTACGAGGAGAAGAACGCCGCCAAGCTCCAACAGGCCCGCGAAGCCCGCGAGGCCGCACAGAAGAAGCGCGAGGAGGAGCTTCGCAAGGCACATGAAGTCGAGATGGAGCGCAAGAGGCGTATTGCCGAAGAGCGCCAGCAAATGCTCGAAGAGACTCAGCGGATTGCTGCTCAACGCGCCGAGGCCGAGCGTGCCCGTGAACAAGCAGAGCTCACAGACGACTCCCAGGGTGACAAGGTCAAGCGCACGAAGAAGAAGCAGGCCTCCAAGCGCAAGAAGAAGGGCGGCGACGACTTTATCGCTGATGATGAGGATCAGGCCGAGCACAGCGCCGAGCCAGAAAGCGATACCGAGACCGCACCCAAGAAGCGCCGTCGTCTTGAGCGGAGGTCTGGCGGTAAGGCTACCGCTCCCAAGGCGTCATCGAACAAATTCAAGAGCAGTGAGCGCGTCGTCGATTCAGACGAGGAAGAAGATGCTCCGACTCCAGGCGAAGGGCAGGATGATCTATTCGGCGACGAGCCGATGGCGGAGGAAGCTCCCCGTCGACGCGAAAAGGCATCCCGTCGTATTGCGGATGATGACGACGAGGAAGAGGAAGAGGAAGAGCCCAAGGCCGTAGAGGATGAAGAGGAACTTTTCGGGGAAAAGGGAGACACGGAGATGCAGGACTGATTGCTACATTACCACACCTTTGATTCTTACTTTTTTGCGGCGTTGGAATGGCAAACTCGGTGATCTGCAATGAACACTTTGTGCTTCAAACCCTTGTGTAATTAGCCTATAGTTTGAATTGGATATTTAGACCTTGTGCACAGAACAAAATGTATGGTAAACACCCGGACAATTGGAAGTGATGTATCAGCATTTGGCCAGATGCCAACGATAACGCGGTTCGTGTCCCACGTCGCACAAATCAGCCCCCCCATTCGCCATCTAGGTACGGTACCAAGCTCTTACATACACCGTACACGCCTTCAGCTCCCAAAACATCCACGAAACATGACGCCTCAAATATGCAGATATTGCATCGAGGCCAATCTGACAAGTAATTTTCTCATTCGGCATGCGAGATAACGCTCCGAGCTTAGCCCTGCCGCGGCCGGGAATCGGCGCAAACTAGGTCCCGCGACGGCGCATTAGTGCATTAGTGCGTTGTACTCGGCTCGGGCTAAGGTATGCAGTAGACTTAGGGCTTATCATTTATTGCCTATGTATTCGTACTGGTGACATTGGAGGTTTGGAGTATGTATGTTATTGGAGGTAAGGTAACTGGTATGACTTGGCGTGTGTCTGGGAGTCGTAGTTAAACTAGCGCACGTTTGAACAAGTAGTCATTCTCTTTTCCAGTCGCATACACACACGTCACTGGAGAATAAACCTCTACATTGAGAAATAAGATTCAAACGCTCTAGTGCTCCACGAACAGCCCAGGCTACCGTGTCCCCTAATCAAGATCGTCGTCACATCTACCTACCCCGGCCGAAATAGAAGAGTCAGAATCAACGCCGGATACGAAATCGAGAACTATTCTTCCACCTCACAAAGACTAGTTCTCTTCACTGTGTACCTGCAAATGCAAAGTATAAAAATTCACCCCCTAATCAGGGATTATTCAACATTCTAACCCTTTCAGACCACGGAACGACACCCTTGTCTGGCTCCAGTACGACTTTATAGAGCCAGCTAGCCCGACTCGGAGGGTCCGATAGTTTGGATTCTTCTTTTTCGCTTGGAGATGAATGTAAACAGTGGAATGCCGTAGGCGTGACTAATGTTGCATGGAATTGGTGCTGGTAACTTTATCCGTTTTAAGGTTGAAGGGCGGTGGAGCTTAAACATGACTTTGGGAGAGTTTATAGTGGCGTTCCGAGAAGGAAAGTTTACGATATAGATGAGATTAGACTTTGCAATTGAATTGTTCGCATAAACTATATCATATCTTATGTTCTTATCTTCCTGATTGTTGTCCTATATTTGACGCGGTGGTTAGGTAAATGCATGACATCAGCGCAACCATCCATTGCGGCACTGCTTTTCGCATCTGTAAGTGATCGTCAATGAAATCTTCCGAGAACTTCTCTCTACTCTCAACCTATTACCACCCTATTCTCTGCTAGAAATACCCACGGAATCCATTGATATCCGGAACAGACCCTCAGAGCTCCCTACACAAACTCCGAGCTTATGAGCTTGTCTGCATGGTTTACTCCCATTGGGCTATCCGCGTCTTGTTCCTATGGTGGAAACCATGTCATCGCCCGTGAAGCTTCGTGGTTCGCGGGATCTCTGCCTGTATGCAGCAGCGTAGCTATTGGATGTGCAATCACGTCAGATCTTCCTTTTTTGATTTCTTTTTGATCTGTCCCGTTTGATGAAACGGTGAATCGCGAGAAACATTTAAAAGATGTGAGTGTCCTAGACGGTCAGTTCCTTCCCGTGGTGCAGTTCCGTATTCTCGGACATACCTCCTTCCAATAGGTGAGTTCCGCTATTGTATACGTTGATGTCAGTGCTCAATGCTGACTGTGAATAGTTTCCCACGAGGCATACCTCACCATGCGTTACTCTTATACTTGCGCCGCTCTTTTCGCGGCCACCGCTTTTGCCGGTGCTACTAGCCTCCGCTCAAATGAGATTGGTATGACCGGTGGCACTGGCGCCGGCGTTCTGGCCCTCGGCAATGGGGATGTGACTGGCGTCAAGAACGCTCATCTTTCCGACGATCATGTTGTTGTTGCTACCTTGGTTGGAAGCGACGGCCATGTTGCTGGTGTCAAGAACGCTAAGCGTGATGAAGTTGGCGAGGACACCGAGAACACCACCCGGAATAAGGCCGACCAGGCGAGGGCGAGCTCGAGCTCGAGGAAAAGGGACACACGGTCGAGAACGACAACGACCTGATCGACGTCGGGATCCTGGGTAACGACAACGGCTCTGGAAACTCCAACGGTGGCAGTGGCAGCAGCATCAAGCGCGACGAGAACACACAGGACGACTTCATTGGTCCCATTAAGGTTGGCACCCCGGTCCTCGATATCACCAATCTCTAGACCACCTTTGAATCTTCAAGAGTGATATAGAGGAATAAGATGGTATTTACCTTAGCCGCCGGCTCTGCCGCACAACATTGATATGATTCAGTAATCACCTGGAGGCTTTTCTTTTTTTCTCCCTTTTCTTTGTGTTCTTGGAGGACTGGGCTTGGGAAACATCAAATTGATAAGGAAACCATATGTCCTCTGAAGCAACAATGGAACAGTGTGAAATATATTAACAGGCATTAAGCTACTGAACTATAAGTGTAGATCACCGTTAGATGGAGCGACTATGGAGGCGCGATCGTGGCAATCAATCGATAGCGTGTAGCCTAGAGGAGGGTCCGGCAACCGTCGGCTACTACGATGAGGCCCACGAGGTCCACGCGTATAACATCTCCATAAATAGGTTCCTTCGATTTGGGAACATTGCCGATACCCGGTTTCGTAATGGAAACAGAATTGAAAAGAAGAGTTGGGAATAGAAATGGAAATGTCTATGGAAATAGAACTGAAATTGGAACAGGTAGGATTCGTAACACACGTAGATTTGGCGCCCTGCAAGCATGACACCACACCAACGGAGATCGCCTCTCCTGATTGATTCAATTTTGGAGGAAGAACTTTGCTGTCTCGGGGCAATCGAAGCATCGGGGCATCTCTACACGGGTGAAGCGACACCGGCCGCATAGCCCACTCTCGCCATCGCCATTGATTCTCACCTATGTCCAGGCTTTGCTCCTCCCCGTGCCAATTTGAGGAAATGCCGGTGAACTCGTTCGTGAAATTATTCTTGTAGATCGCGTGCCGTGCGAACCCATTCAATCTCAAGCCCCGTTGTCCGTGCGTTCTGGGACGCGTGCCTCGTCTCGGAGAACGCAGATTTCTCAGATTTCCTGAGATTTCCCAGATTTCTCAGATCGGAGGGCCCTGCGCTACATTGCGGGTGTGCAGGCGCAGGCGCATTTGCATCTGCACGTTCATTTGTGCCTCGGGGGAGAGCATCCCCGTACCTGCATGAGGCGCAGGAATCGTAGAAACTGTAGGAATCGCAGGAAGCGCAGGAAGCGGCCATGTGAATATTAGGGCTTACGGGGTCCGGGCCTCAGACCCCCAAACCACGCCATAGGATTGAGATCGAGGTCATTGGAAACACGGAATAACTCCAACTTCAAACATCAACAGCAAAATTCGGGGCTTTTTGGCTCCCTGTGGGGCCCGGGCTCATGACGACAGGAGAGGATGCCCGAGGACAGACTTACGGACCTTCTCAAACGGTTAGGTTCAGAATTCGATCGTCGAGACGATGTCTTCACGGGGGGGGGTTAAACAGTGGAGCCCGGTCCTGGGCGTCACCGAGTGTTCTAGACGAGGGGATCGTCAGGAGAACGGAGCCAACGCCCAGCGCTGTACCAGCACTTACTGTGTGATGTGCACGCCGTATACTCTGTACGAGATGTAGAGTCGGTGATTCGACTGGGGGGGGTCCTCCCTTGTTTCGATCAACTCGCCCGGGTCCCACTTAGTCCCCCTCGCGCACACGAGGGAACGGCTGAGCATGACGATGGTCGGCTTGAATCCGTAGGGCTTTGGACTCCTCTTTGGCTGGCATCTCTATCTTACCATTCAGTCGGACTCGACTCGTCTGTTATCAGTAAGCCTCCCCCGAGGCTACATGCTACACGCTACGTCCTATCCGCGACATGTTACGAGCTACACGTTGCAAACTACAAACTACAAGCTACAAGCTACAAGCCACAAGCTCAAAAGCTCCAGACTCAATCTTCGGACTCCGAGTCTGAGACACGCCTCAGTGTTCTCCCATCGGTGCGTTCCGAGGGCAATTGCACCTGCATCAACAGGGGTGGACAGGGGGGAAGAGAACAGGCAAGGGCCAGAGAAAATAAAGACCGGCCGCCTCCGACCCGATAAGAGCATAGATCACGTTCGCTTGTCTTCTAGATTAGGAGAGACGGACAGAGATCATCCCCACTGAGAAGATTCGATCGAAGCCCTACAGAGGAGGCACCAAGCACTAAGTTTAGTTACGGGGCCCCCTGGCGAAAACGAGATATTTCGAGACCAAAGCCGTTAGCAGCCGAGGCTGCGCTAGTGGCGCGGGGGAAGAGCACTCAGACGAATCGTCGGGAATAGGATATAGTGCGGTAGTATTCGACTGCATATTTCACATTCCTCGCTATACCCCTTAGCCCTGAATCCCATCCTCAACCTTGGGATTCCATGGGATCGGATCCATGGAACGTCAGAAAATGGGTTCACCTGTAAGGTACCTGGGCCCCGTACCTAGGCCCGTACAAAATGTACTCACTGTATGGGCTGGTAACGCACGCTGATTGTTACTGAACCGGGTTAAGCGGAACCCCACGTTCAAACACACGTTCAGGCAGGCCCCAGGCCCCTGGTGCATGGTACGCACTAAAACTCGTTGACTCCGTTCCAAATTGGGTATCGAGAACCATGGAACGGGAGAATTGGGCGGATCTGTCAACTCATTTGATTATTATCCGTATTGATCTATCTCGAAGCTCTCGGGGATCAGTAGCATCGAAAATCGATGGAGATAGGGGAGGGGGTCGAGATCTAGCCTCAGCTAAGCTTAGCTTTTGACAGAAGCCAATTCTGCGTCGGTGGTGCAACGGGAGCTGGAGACACTAGGACACCGGGACATTTGGGGCTTGGACTGGACAATCCATCGCCCCTGAACGGCTCCACCCGTGTATCGCGTCTGGTATCGTAACTCTCGTTTTAGTTATAGGTCGCTTGCTCCCCCATTCTGTCCTCTAACCGTCGCTGTCGCGGTGCATGCTCTTCCTGATTATCATGAAACAGGTGCTGTCGTCCCATCTCACTACTTAACTTGGGGGCAGTTCTTCATCATGCATCCCCAGCCAACTTTCTCGCCTGGCATGACTGGCCAGTGGGAGGAGGACGGGCACAGCGACCCTCCGTCCACCCGTTCATCAAATGATCCCCCCGACCATATGTCTCATGTTCGGTCGAGGTCCACGGCACACGCGGATAGTCCCAGGCGGCTGTCCGTGTTTAGTGGCCGCTCCCGCAGTAATACGACCACGTCCACCTCGTCTCGTCGTTCGCCCGGTTCCTCCATGACCAGCGATAGCTCCGTCCCGTCGCAGGATGAGCGGACTACTTCCGCTCTCGGCATGCGTTCGGAGAAGGATCGTTCACGCTCGTTTCTCGCTCGTGGAAGCCGCATTCTTCGCCGTCAGGGCAGCAAGATCAATATCGTCGCCACGCTGGACGAGGAAGACGAATTTGATCGGGAGGCCCAGCAACCCAAGATGGATAAATCTGATAAGTTTGGCCGTCGTGCCCGGCGCATTGACAATCGTAAGTAGTGGATGATTGAGGCGCATCACAATGAAGTTTCGAATTTCAAGTTGACTGATCATATGTAGATGAACGCATGAAGAGCCTCATCTCCGACCCATTCGACTTCCACCATTTGACCCATACGAGCCCCTCCCAGTTTCAGGGATTGGAATTGACCCGTGAGAACGATCTCGTCACTGAATTTTCTGTCATTCGCGCCTCTCAACGGCCCGAAGCTGTCCTGAAGGGCATCCGTGCCGACGACATCCACTTCCGCAATTTCTCTACTGAAGACTTGGCCGCATATGGCACCGCCACCACGGTTGATGCGCCTGCTCCTCAGAGTCCGCCACATTCGCCTGCGGCGTCGGGCTCGATCAGTCCCACCAGTCATGCTCAAAGGGAATCTCGCACCTTTGAGAACTTCTCACGCCCGGCTTCGAGATACCCCCGATCATGCCCGACAACGCCCCCGCCCCCGCCCCAAAGCGTCCCGGAAAATGAATCGGAAAATGATGAGCCCGCGCCTCGTGCAATTGACGAGATTTTGGGTTTGTTCGTCGGGTCAGATTTTCCCTGACTACATGGAGTCCAATCCCTCCACACGACTGGAATTCGGCCCGGACCTGATTACTCAACAGCCGCGGGCACACTCCATGAGCAGCCACTATAGCCTGGATGATGTACCAGAGGAGGAGGAAGCCACTCGATTGTGGGAGGACAGCCCCGGGGGAAGCACTGATTACGCCCACTCCCGTTCCACATCGCAGGTCAGTCCAGGGACGGTTGAGCCTCGCTCATGCAGTATGCCTCCCAAGGAACCGCTTTCGATTTTTGTGGCCGAGGAACTATCGCGAAAATTCTCCGAAGCTCTTGGTTCGCCGACTCTCCCTCAAACCCTTCCCGCCTCATCCCCTACTGCTCATGGGGAGATCACTCCCCCAGGCAGGTCGGGCGTTCGCCAATTTTCGTATGGGGATGAACTATACGATTCGTGGGACGCAGATATCGACTACTGCTATGAGCATGCAGCCGAATCCACTTCCGACTTTGATTGGTCACGCACTTCTCTCGAAGAAGCTCAGCGTCCCAAAATCGGCGTGGCTTGTAGTGACGAGTCCTTACTCGGAGCTCCCAGGACTCGCCCTCTGCAGCCCAGTCGACTGAGCACCTCCACACTTCCCACGACGGATCTGGATCCTAGTCCAGCACGTTCATCAACACTGCACTCGGCTGCCACTCCTTCTACCACTGAATTCGAGCGGGATTTCATGACCGGACGCACGGGCGAGTACTTCCAGCCTGTTACTTCCTCAATCTTGCCGTCCACCCTGTCCAAGCAGATCAATCAGGAGACTCTGTACGAGGACTACATCACAACCGATGCGCAATCAGACCAACACTTTCCTTTCCATCAGGGAATGATAGCCTCTGATAACCCCGTGTCCCCGGAGCAGCTTCTCGCCCATCAGCAAATGCAACTCCCAGGAAAGCTTGATGCTCTCCCGTGCAGCCTCCATCGTCCGCAAACACCGGTCTTCCGTATCCACCACCAGTGTGCCGGAGCTGATTCACAGTCTTTCTAACAGCCGCGAGCTGATGCCCACCGATCGGTTGACCGCCAGTGAAACTCTCAGTCGGCCCCCTTCTTCTCACCATCGCCAGACCAAGAGTCTTGAGGCTCATCTGCTGTTCCAGGCGGGCAGCAACAATCTCTCCACCTCCGACCTGAGTCTCTCCTCTTCGACCCATGACCGGGCCAAGTCCATCTCGGAGGTAGAGGTCCACCCTGCCGATTTCCCTCTCCCTTCGGTCCCATCTAAGAACGCAAACCGCCCGAAGAAGACTCGCAAATCATCCTATTCTCTGTTCCCCACAGCCCACTGAGGCTCCTCTGCTCTATCCGCAAAAATATCTTGTTTGCACACTTCTGCCGTCCCGCTCGCTTCCTCGGATAGAGCCATCACGAATCCACGATCTTTTTCCTATATCTGTCAGCCTTGTTGCATATTTTGTGATACGTTCTCATTGTTTTCATTTTTTTTTCGATGCATTTCTGGGCGATTTTCTGGGTTTGGTGTCTGGCCCTGGGACAAAAAGCACTGGAAAAGAGGGTTGGGAAGGGATGGATTGGAACATTCGCTATCTGTTTCTTTCGTTGTGACCATAGAAAGCCATGGGTGAATACCGTGGTGTTTGAATCTGATTGAGCCATAAGTCAAGACCCTGTTCCTAGAAACATCAAGCTGTATAGCGCATCACGTATAGATCTGGTATCGTACTTTGTGTAAAACGGGATCGAGGTGGAGTGCATCCCTGGCTGGTCATATGACCTCCAAGGCTATATCTTATCTCAGCTTCACCTTTGACCACCTCAACTCAAACCCACCATGGCATCCCCTCCGTCCCAAGCGCTGGCCAAGCGATCGGGGGCGAGCTTATGGCGCCGCCTCCAGCGCCCAAGAGAATCAAACGCCCTGCCACCGTCCTCGATGAAGATGTCTACACATCCGCCCTCTCCCACATCATCGCCCGCGACTTTTTCCCAGGCTTGCTAGAGACTCAGGCCAAGCAGGAATACCTCGACGCTCTCGAGTCAAAGGATAAAGAATGGATCACAAGTTCCAAGAAAAGGCTCGCCAGTGTCATGCGCACTCCAACGCCAGGATCCAATGCGCGCCGAAAGACAGACGCTGGGTCTGTCGCTGGGACGCCACAGCATGTGCCCGGCCGAGCAGATCAAACTCCCCATGGTTGGGGAGGAGATACCCTTATGTCTGTTGCTTCGACTGCTACAGATAGAAATGACCTGGAGATTCCTGATGTTTCGAACATGGGACTGCTCGCGTTCCAGGCGAAGTACACCAGCGAAGACAACGAATCATTCAATAAGGTTCTGGACAAGCAAAACACGAAGAAGAGGGAGAAGTACGCCTGGCTATGGAATCAGAATAAGGTTCCGTCTGCGCGACAAATCGCCCATCATCAGCGTGAAGCCAAGCGCATCGCCGCGCAGGGTGGCAACCCCCAGACGGCTCTCATCAGGAAAGACGACGCACCAGCTGTAAAGACCGACCTCGGGGCACGCCCTGCTAGGCCAGATGCCTGGAATTCTCGCCCTGACAACACGCTCATGTTCCTCTCCATCCTCAGTCGAGGAGACGCACGAAACTCTGCAACAAAAAGCCGAAGCAGCCTCCCGCGCAGGTCCAAAGCGCACACTATACCAAAACACACGCCTCCTAGACGCCGACGCTGCAGCCGCCGCAGATGCAACAAACAAAGTCCCGCCCTCTCCATCTCTCTCCGCCATCCAAGATGCCATCGCCGGCCGCCCGCGTCTTGGCGAGTCCGAAGCAGCATCCGCACTCGCAGGCAGTGAAACTCCCCGCGTCAACGGCTACGCGTTCGTCGATGAAGATGAACCTGAACCTCAAACCGAGCCCGCTGGCTCTCTCGACGCAGACTGGCGCCTGCTGGGATCCAGCGACTCCACTCCAAATCCATTCCAGATCGGCGAAACACGCAAACGCGAAGCACTACACCACCGCATGGTTGATCGCGTTGCGCGGAATAAACGCACCGAGAAGGTTGCGCGGACTACCAAGACGCCTATCGCGACACCACGCTTCGCTAGTAGCCCGCGCATTGATTTTGGGCTGCGGTCTGGCCCAACGCCTGGCTCCTCGGCTGGTTCAAAGATGTTGACTCCAGCTGCGCAGAAGCTACTGAACCAGGTCGGGAGTACGCCGAGAGCTTCGGGGTCGACATCGAAGTCGGGGTTAGGGAATATGTGGACTCCGACACCGCGACGGAAGTGATTATGCATAATGACTATGATTTTATACCGAATACCACGGGGGCGTTTGTTACTTTCCATGCACGATAGATGAGTAAATGTTTCATTGTTAGCTATCAAATACAATTTTGAACATAAGAAGAAGAAAGACCCTTGAGATCCACGACTTTCCTGACACTTTCCCTTAATAAAAATGACAGTCTTAAATCAACCCCACACTCACCCACCTTCCAAAACCAACCTCACATCCTGATAATGACCTTACCCGTATGCTTAGCAGCATACAAATAATCAAAAGCATCCTGACTCTCCTCGAAAGAGAAAACTCTTGGATCCAAAAGTGGTCTCAGCGAAACCTCCTTTTCATTCAAGAAGTCGCACAAATTCTTCTGATCGATCTTCGATCCAACCGAGATACCCCTACAAAGTCCTTGTTAGCACTAATTTTTTCGTATCAAGTGAAAAGTATTAAAAAAGAAAGAAAGAAAGAAAGAAAGAAAGACCACATAGTCAAACAAGAAATGTACAGCAAACCATCAAAGAAGAAAAAAGAAAAAGAAACAGAAAACCACCTACCGAATTGTCACACTCTTCCTCAGAGTCGGCCCCATCAGATCAGGAACCTGTGCGGCCTCAAATCCGCCCAAAAATCCAACAATAGATACAAGACCTCTTCTCGCGAGACTCGCGAGACTTTTGGAGATCGTCGTCACGCCTACATTTTCAATGACGATGTCTACGCCGCGCTTTGTGAGGCGGTGGACTTCTTCGTCCCAATTTGGATGGGTGGTGTAGTTGATTGTAGAGATGGAGCCCGATGGTCCGATAGAGTGGGCGTGGGAGAGTTTCTTGTCGGAGGAGGATGTGATGATCGGGTGGATGCCTGTTGCTAGACACAGGATGAGAGCGAAGATGCTTACACCGCCGGTTCCTGGGATTTGGGTATAGGTCAGTATAAAAGGGGTTGTATTTGGTAGGGTTATAAAGGTCTGGATTGTGATGGGATGGGATGAGAGACCTTGTAGGAGAGCTGTGCCGTGGGATCGGGGCATTGCGAGGGCATTCCAGGCGGTGGTTCCAGCACAGGGTATACATGAAGCCTAGCTTTATGGATTAGCTACTGAATATTCAACCCAAATTCCTATGGATCATATAGAGTACATACTTCCTCCCAGGATAAATACTTGGGGAGATGGAGCAGGACATCCTGCTCGAAGACTGCGAATTGTCGCAATACCCCGTCCACATCACCACCTAGTGCTCTCATCTCATCCTCGGTGCCGGTGAGATTATTCAGATCGAAGATTGGGGCAACGTGATCGCCAATCTTGAATTGGTTGACTTCGGGCCCGATCTCGATGACCTGGGCGGCGCAGTCGGAGGCGGGGATGCCGTGAGGGATGACATTCACGGGATACTTTCCATCCATCATGGCTACGTCTCGATAGTTAAGGGAGACGGCGTGGATGCGCAGGAGGACTTCGCTTGGTTTGAGGGCGGGGATCGTTTCTGTTACCGGGATGAGGGTCTGGCGGCCGGGATTTGTGCTACGGCGGTAGGCTTTGTAGGTCGTCATGGTGATAGATGAATGAATGATGGATGAAGTGATAGTTTGGTGGGTTGTTCGATTCTTAGATATGTAGACCTGGTGATTTGGGAGGTTTCTTATAGTTCTCTTAAAGTTTGAGATTTCTCTTGAATCATAGCCGTGTATTCTTATAGTCAGAATTATTAATATATTCGCGAGGTAGCTGATAAATCCATGGTGGGATAGGTGGGATGCCCTATTCTCATCGTGTACTATTACTTTCGGTGATAACCGATCTACTTCACCTTTCCTGGTGTGTCCGGCATCCCACATTTGATCCCACCGGCACTTGAGCCTCCCGCTTTTGTTAGGATCTTGATCGACGAGCGGTCTCCCCAGTTTATGTTTCTTGGAAATTGCTATAGAGAATCCTTGACATTATGAATAGATGACTTGCGGAAATCGAATTCATTGCTAGATAACTTAATACAACCGTGGCGAGATTTGAAAAGGTATCGTACCTAACAAGCAGTTACCTCGGGGTTAATCTGTCAGAAATGCTCTAAAGTCTTCCAATAAGCCTTGAAATATGTATAGCCCACTTGAAAATCGTGCAAACATATTGCAACACGATCTTCGTATTCAAGTCCCGAGAAAGTGATTGAGTATAACTCCGGGAATCTCCCATCGGGACGAACAGGAACAACAACCCGAAATCCTCCCGGCCCGATCTCGGTCCACCTTTCAACTTCAGCTTGAATCGCATTCCAATATACTCCATGTTATTCTACCAATATACTTCATGTTACTCTCATTCCCATAATCAACTCAAAATTATACACAGCAGGTACTTGCCTTCCGAACAGATCTCAATCCTACCACTAACCCAGTCTCAGGTATCGACGACCTTACCTGGCTGACATCGATATCAGATCGTGTCTCATGCAAGAGTGAACCACCATCTGCATTCTGCAACATGAGCATCGACTCAAACACCAGCCCGCAAGGCTCAGAGTCAACAGCTGAATCTGGTGCTCCTTGCTCGGTGACTGCTACGCAAGACTCTTCAGATGCAGGTTCAAAAGTATTGGATGAGAAACCACAGAGTCAATCGGGACCTGCGTCTCTCCTTACATCGCTATGGTCACCGTTCAGTTCGATGTTGCATATCTCATCACCGAATAAGATAGAGGAATCAACTGGGACACATCAAGACCCTACTCAGACTTCAACGATTGATCAATCTCAACCAGCCGACTCGCCGAAAGAGCCAGCGTCAGAGCCAGCGCCAGAGCCAAAGCCAGAGCTGGAGTCAGAACCAGAACCTTACTATACACCAAAGACTACGCCAACTTTCAAACGCCTTGCGAAACTTCGTCTCAGTGGAACGAGAGAAAAGCAGCTGATTCGCGCCGCCTCTCGTGCTCACAATGATCCCCCGCCTCCACCAGGCTTAGGTCTGTGCTGTGGTAGCTCCTGTGATCCCTGTGTGAATGAGCTTTGGAGACAGGAGAGGGATACATGGAGAGAGAGATGGGGGGGACCACGCCATCGAAGATAGTGAGAAAGACAAAGAAAAGAAGAATTTAGAGTGGTGATTGAATACCCGGTACCGTCCTGTAGACTCCCATACAAAGACAAAGAACAGATACACATAGACATAAATATCGACATGAAATCATTCGCTATGGATCTGTACAGACACTCATCATAACACTACCTACACAGCCCACCAGATACCCCAAATCCCAGCCAACAGATAAACACTCCCCCAAATACCCATCTTCGCTCCAAGATTCAGGAAATATGCGGCCCCGAGATAACTACACGTAATATCCCCATTCGCATCCCGGTAACCGTAACTCGAGTTCGCCCATGCTCCAGTGGGACAATTGAATCCAAGAGACATTGGACAATCTTTCACCAAAGTATGACAAACGTCCAAACAGGGCAGAATCTCCTTGTATGGACCCGGTTTGATCTTCGTATCGATCAATTGATTCCTCGAGGAGTTCGTCGCGACAGATTGTCGATACGGGCTATCGGCGGGAAGCGATGTGCCGTTGATAAAATCTTGTCCAGCGTTGCGAACCATGAGGTAGGAGGCGTTATTGCTGAAGTCGGCGCAGCGGGGGATACTGACGCTGCAGAGCCATTGTTTGTAGGCACTCGCGCAGTCGTCACAGCCAACTGTTAGAGAGAACATTGATTCTTGGGAGGCGTTGCATTGAATTTGTTGGAGGGAGTAGCTGAAGTTTGTGTAGTAATTTTGAGCGTTGACGTCGTAGATCTCACGGAGGGAGGCCACGTTGAGTTTAGGGTTCGAAGGGACGGCGTACGCTACTTCCGAGCAGAATGTTAGGTTGAATAGGACGGCGCAATTGTCGTCTGCGTGGTGGTAATGGTCAGTGATGAATCTGTTTATACGCTGGCATAGGTGTACAAACCAGCTTTGGTGGTAAAATTCATCGGCATCCATACTTTTCCACCGCCGCCGATAACGCCGTTGCCGGTTAGCGTTGAGTTGCCCACCATCGCAAGAATACCATTGTAGGTGGAACTTCGGTTGAGGCCGGTTATGTAAAACTGCTCTTTGGGCTGGTTCCCTAGTCCTCGACTGGTCATACCTACTTCGACCGAGTTGCTGATTCGTCCCACTTGCGACAACTCGTCTAACGCGCAAAAAGACCGCTCCAGACCGGCAAGCGCTGTGTTGTTGATATTGTGCGCGAACATAGTAAATGGGGGTATCATGTTCATCCACTGCTCATAATTCGTGGTGTTGGGATTAGATTGCGTTAAATTGTTCGTGACCAAAAGTGCGGCGGAGTGATCTGCGTCGACAAAGTAAAGAAACGGGTCGTAGTCGTCCACCGAATGGAAGAAAGCGTCAATGGAGGCTGCGATCTGGTATTTGTAGGAGCCCGAGTATGCCGTGGAGTTTGGCGCTGTGACTCCAATATAGACATCGCTGTCTGTCTCAACTGTAATGCCGATATAACCACCCGATGCAGTGGTCTTATTCTGTTGTGAGTCATTCTTCCCAGGCCCAGGTTCCTCCAGATCCTCCGCGAGAGAGACGTACATCTCTAACTGGGGAAACGAGCCTGAGTCAGCAGTGCCGTTCGCGGTCGGTTTACTGCACGTTGTCAGAGACAGATAGACCGTTGTCGAGCGCTTCTCCAGATTCCGTCTCCGCAAATCATGTTCAATCTTTGTCGACTCATCTAGACTTCGCGAACTCAAGTCCGCCGGGAGACCCTTGCCAGCCACACCATGCTTGCCATTCACCACACTTGAAGTAATATACCAATACTGTGTGGCTCCAGCTTCAATGGTCGCGGTCTGGAAGTCATTGTTGGCTAGAGATATGCCTGACGCGGGGTATCGTCGCACCAGGTCCAGCCCGTTCGACTCCCCATTCTCATCCACGCTGTCTCGGAGCTCGAGCCCATTGAACGAGTCCAGCGCAAAAGGCAATCCTGCTCCATCGCTGACGACCGGCCCGCCGACGTTCAGGGACTCGACTTCGATGCCCAGAGAAGAACCACCATCTGCAATGGCAGTGGATAGACTAGCGAGAATGAGGAGGAGTGTGGTAGTGACTGTTGCAGTCAGGGAGTACTGCAGGTTTATGGAGAGTGATCGCATGGAAAGTCAATAAGCGAGAGGAACAGCGCATAGGAGTTTTCGGGAGGCTCGGCGCAACCGGATAGATCCAAGGATCAAGGACGAGCGGTGAACTTGCACACCAGCTGAGAACCTTTCCCTAAGTGTAATAAGACCTTCAGCGGCATGTAGTCGGCTAGTGAGATGTTTTGGAGAAAGAGGGCGGTGCTATCGCGGACCCCTTATCGAGTTGCTGCCTTGATGCCTTGCTCCACTTGACGCGTGTCAGTCTCGATCATTTTCGTTATCTTATTTTCGTATCCATGTGCTTGTACCACATTGAGGACTCCTGAGCAATATTTCAAACGTAGCGGTGTATTTTCAAACCAGGTTAAGCTAATGAAAGTGTAACAAAATACAGATATAATTGACTGGCAGAACGCTCACAGAGCCGCCATCAATTCAAAATGAATAATATCAACACATGGCGGATGAGAATAATCACAGCAAAATGAAACAAGACAAAAGAACCAAAGAAACATAAAAATGACGGGAAAATTTAAACCAGCTTCTGCCAGCGAGCAAGGGCCATACTGACGACGACAATGGCTCCCATCACGCCCAGAATGCCGAAGAACCAGGCAAGTCCAGGGGTGTCTTTACCGGGGACATTGACATTCATACCGAAAAGACCACAGATCAAATTCATAGGAACCAAAATGGTAGCAATGAGAGTGACCTTGCTGAGGACCTTGTTGACGTGGTTTCCCAACGCAATGTTGGTCACGTTCAGCTGAGCAAGATAGTTGGTATGCGAACGGCTGAGCATCTTCTCGAAGTGGGCCAAGTTGGACATCATGGTGACGACGTGATCCTGAATATCACCCAAGTACAGACCAATGTCACCACGAGGAGTCATCGCGTACTGCTCGTTGCAGCGCTTAGAAAATCCACGGATGACATCTGCCTTGCCGCCGAGAAGGCGCATCAAACTCATGACCTTCTTGCGCAAGCCACCGATCCGAGGGAGGAACGACTCAAAGTCATCCACTCGAGCGATGAAGACGTGGTCTTCGATCGCTTCAGATTCAACCTCCACATCGCGAATCACGGGACCAAAGCTATCGACGATGTCATCGATCATAGCATAACAGATCCAGTCACTGCTGAGGGATACATAATCACGCAGCTTTCCAATACGCTTGCGCACATTGGAGGCATGGGGGTTGTCCACAAAGGAAAAGGTCAAGACGCCGTCGCGGAAAACGACCATGTAGAAGTTGACCGGCTCCAGGAACTCCTCGCTGGTCTTGTCCATCTGATAGAAGGTACGGAAACAGACAAAGTAGTACTGTTTGAACAATTCGACCTTCTCACGGGCTTCCTGAGTCTGAATATCCTCCTGAGTCAGAGGGTGAATGTTGAACGCCCGGGAGATGGCACCAAGCTCATCGTCAGTAGGGTTAACCACATCGAGCCACCACACACCTCCCTCGGGACCAAGCTGGAACAGATCACGGAAGGTGTCACCAGGAAGAACCAGATCTCCCAGGTCAGCAGCGTGCACTGTAGTTTGAGACTCGGATGAGAAGAATCCAAAGCGAGTGGGCTCGTTGGTGTTCTGGAGGGTCTCCACCAACTCCTTCTCATCCATCACCTTACCGTTCTCAACTGGTTCATCGAAATCACCAAACGTTTGAGACGTTTCAGTCGAGTCGGACTTCTTGAATTCGTCCACATCGGACCCCTTGAGGCCCGGCCGAAGATCGTAAAAGACCCGAGGCTTCTTGCTTTGCGAACTCAGGCTGTGCTTGCGGCGGTTGCCTGCCGTAGCAGCTCTGGTTTTCTGATTCAAAGCGACAAATTCCTCCAATTCCTCGTAGTCGATGACTGGAATGCGACCAGGCTCTTCGTACGTGTGGATGCACGCCTCTTCAGGTGCGACGACAGAGGGATCACCGATCTGGGGTCGGATGGCGCTAGCGTTGCTGAATGTTGGGCGCCGACACTGGGTACCACCTGAAACGGTGCGCTGCAGCAGCGCCTCTAGATCAGGAGGAGCATGGCTGTCCAGCGTGTTAGCCCGCTCACGGCGACGGGGGTCGGCGAAAGCTTCCACAGAGTTGGGCGGCGAAGACGAATGAGCCGACACAGATGAGGCTCGGTCGGCGTTGACGAGGTCCTGGTGGCCACAACTGATACGACGCGGAGTATGGTAGTTGGCATTTGGGTCGACCGAGAAGCGTCGGCCCACATTCATTTCATCATCATCCACGATGGCTTGTTCAAAATCTCGAAAGACCGGAGCGGCCTCTCTAAGAGCGTCCTGTGCCTGAAGCAGGTCAGGACGGTCCTGCATTCTCCACCATACCCCTGCGGTACGGTGTCTTGTCGGTTCAGAGGCTCCTGTTGCGGGGCCTCAATGCGTGGCGCGTTCATATATTGACGGTGATCATCCAGCTCGGGGACGGGAGTGCTGTACCGTGTCAGGCACAGCTCCTTCTCGGAGCGTGGCGTGTCGGACATCTTGATTTGAGATTATCTGTTTATGACGCTAGATTGGCAGTTTTTCTTTGGAGATGGTAATGGTCTTTTAAAGTTGCACTTGGCAGCACGACAACCGCAGACGCAGGTCGGTAAGAGGTCCGTTTAGTGACGACCCTCCATCCATAGGCCAGACCCTTCACGAGGGCCTGGAGTTACCGACAAACGTCTGGCTGCCAAAGTTGGAGGTGGGAGTAAAACAAGTTAGGGGGGGTCTGGTGTCGCCCCCGCAGAAGACCCGGAACTTAGGGCCCGCAAGAGGGTTGAAGAGGGAGGACTGAGTGTAGCGAAGGCCCGCCAACTTGAATATGTGAGACGGCGGGGAGCGCGGCTGCTCCAGAGCTGCTGTTTGGACGCGAAGGTCGCGAACGAGAGGGAGGTCGAGCTGAGAGGCGCAGATTCTTCAACGGACGAGGAACTGCGGCTATCTCAAATGACCGATAGAAAGAGGGATGCTTCTCACTTAAAGAGATAGCGAGAAGGCTTTGGAAAGAGGTGTAGAATCAAAAAGAAGAAGAAAAAAAAATTAACCTCGTGGGGTTTGGAGTGGAATGGAAGAGGCGGGAACCGTGAGACGTAGTGGCAAGAGACTGCAAAGGACGCTAAGATGCTTGCGGTGCCACTTTTTGCCGTTGGTGGACACCCAGTTTGAACTTGGAGAAAATCTAGCCCGTCCACCTTAGAACAGGTGAAGACGATGAATTGCAATCAAGAAGGTAGGAAAACCCTGATCCTACGGGCATAGATAGTTTCATTCTGATATTACCTCCAACCTTCACTCTGAACTGAAAATTTTTTCGTAAGCGGGTCAAGTTGCAGTCAGCGGCCCCCCCCGGCACAGTGATTTAACCTATCCGGTCCATACTTTATTTAGCCTTAATGAATGGCCGTGAGGCATTTATTGCCGAATCTATCGACACGATCACGGTCTTTTTTTTTTCCAAGTGGGGACTTGGGTCTCGTGGCCGTGTCCAAAGTCTTTTTTACTCTCCGGTGGTCCTGGCGTCGCATGTCGGATTCCCCTATTTGCACTAGTCCCAGACCACGAAGAGAGAAAAAAGGAAACAGAGGACCTTAGGGCTGTTATTGACCTTCCCAAAGGGCCTAGTCTAGGTATCTGGTGAATGGGTGCCTAAGCTAATGGGTTAGGCGAGTGTCTGTACGGGTCCATGAAGTAGGGCTAGTGTCATCATCAACGGTGACAATCTAAAGTCCAAGCTTCCATTAATCAGATGTCCAAAGTCAAATGGGAGCCAAGATCTCCCAGAGTGACATGCATGGGCAGCACATAAAATGATCTTATGAAGAAAGTCCAATCATGGAGTGTTAGTTGATCAGCTCCACTTGATCCCCGACGTCGGACCAGCCCAATTTTTTTGGTGCGCCAAGAGTTCCGCATTCGATCGAGTCATAACTCGCAACTCGGTCAGAACCCTTGAACTGAACCTTTTGAGTCCAATCTCCCAAGTTGAGGACATACAAAGTCAAGTTCTGTTTAAGATGGAGTCCTTCGTCATTCGAACCCCTTGCTCCTCGGCCAACATTGGCCCCGGCTTCGATGTGATCGGCCTGGCCCTGTCCCTCCACATGGAACTCCACGTCAGCGTCGACTCCTCCAAGACCTCGTCCGAACTTCCATTGAACTGCGCCATCACCTATGAGGACCTTAGCAAGAGCGCCGAGCAGATCTCGCTTGATCCCGAGGTCAATCTGATCACCCGCGTAGCTTTGTATTTGCTGCGATGCCACGACCAGCGTGCCTTCCCCGTTGAGACCAAAGTACATATTATCAACCCCATTCCGCTGGGTCGGGGTTTGGGATCGTCGGGTACCGCAGTGGTGGCCGGTGTCATGCTGGGCAATGAGGTCGGCAAGTTGGGTTTGAGCAAGGAGCGTCTGCTCGACTACTGCTTGATGATTGGTATGCTAGCATCCTGCAACAGAAGGGCATTATGCATTGGAAGTCTGCGACTAACAGTTTTTACAGAGCGACACCCCGATAATGTGGCTGCCTCACTGTTTGGAGGCTTTGTCGGTACCTACCTCAATGAGCTGAAGCCCGAGGACGTTGCGCGGAAAGAGATTCCGCTTAGTGAAGTGTTGCCCGCTCCGGCTGGTGGCATTGATACCGGTTTCAAGCCCCCGGAGCCCCCTCTGGGAATTGGTCACTACCGCAAGTTTAACTGGGCTCCCGAAATCAAGGCCATTGCCATCATTCCCGACTTCGTCGTGCCCACCGCCAATGCTCGCAACGTGCTCCCGGAGACCTACTCCAGAGCCGATGTCGTATGTCACCTCCACTCCGAACCCTCGCAACGAAGCTGACAGATCACTAGGTCTTCAACCTCCAACGCGCAGCCCTGCTTCCCGCGGCGTTGGGAACTTCCCCGCCGGACCCTGACATGATCTTCCTGGCCATGCAGGATAAGGTGCATCAACCATACCGCAAGACTTTGATCCCCGGTCTGACCGAGATTCTGCAATCCATGACCCCGGCCACCCAGCCAGGTCTGCTGGGTATTTGTCTTTCCGGGGCGGGTCCAACCATCCTGGCCCTGGCCACCGATCGATTCACCGAGATCGCAGACCGCATCATCGCTCAGTTCGCTACTAATAACATCACCTGCCAGTGGAAGCTCCTCGAGCCCGCACAGGCTGGTACCACCGTGAGCCCTAACTAAAATGGGGACTAACGGTTCCAACTGCGTCATTTGGGGCGTCCCCGCGGCCTATGACGCGCGCAAAACCATCAGCGCACCAACCGCCTCGAGCCTTGGAAGCACGACATGAGAATGAGCGAAGAGTTCTTATCGGTACTCCTGTTTTGGTAATATTTTTCTCCACGGCACACCATGGCCAATATGTTGACGCACGCCTCCCTGGGTTCACCGCTGGTTTGCCGGTCGGGGTGCAGCGTGCACACACCTAAGACACGGTTGCATTCACCTTGATCTGCACATCGGGTGACCAAGAACTTGACTTAAATTCCTGTGAGCTGTGCTCGTTGAAACGATACGGGTGTGGACTATTATAAAGATAGACATAGATGAATCATGAACATATATCCACTTGCATAATCAGTTGACCGTAAAAAACTTTACGTCCAATTGACCGAGTCTCCGGACATATTTTCGGTTCACCTGGCAATGTTGGATGAAACCGTCTTAAGAGTTGTAGTGAGAATGTAAAGCTCGTAGATGCAGACACTCCAGGCGGAGGCGGTGGGCAGATGACAACATTGCGATAAGCGGCCGCTCCCCAGACTTTCAAGCGCGACGTGATCCCACATCAGCCATTACGTTTTCAACACAATGGACGAGCTACTTGCACCTCTTCAGAATGCCTTTGAGGGCCAGATTGTACGTTCCCACCTGCTGTCATCGCAAGCCACATCCTGGATCCGCCATTGCTAACACATTCTAGGACTTTCACGGTCAACGTCTGGCAGAGATCCTGACTACAGTCTTGTTGATCATCTTCGGGGTATGACATAGCGGACTCTACTTTAACGCTTTCGCTCGCTCAACCATCTATAGGCCATCAGTTTTGTCGTCGGATACATCTACAAGGACATTCACCTCACGCTATGGATCGGTCTCGGTGGCACACTATTCACAGCCCTCGCCGTTGTCCCTCCGTGGCCCATCTACAACCAGAACCCAGAGCGGTGGTTAAACTCTGCAGGCAGGAAGGCAGGCGCGCCCAAAGTACTCGTGGATGGGGTCAAAGTGGCTTGAAAGAGATCGAGGGTGGGATATACGAGGTCCAATACTTAGCATTTCGTGATTTACAACCACAAGCACGGGCATGGAAAATCTATCGGGCTATGAGGCCTTTGATTAATTCATGGCAAATGAGTACCTTAACGCCAGAAAAGAAAGCATAAGTAAATCATGTGTCCTCCGCGCATCCCCGAGGAATCGTAGCCATTGCGCTTGGGCGACTGCAACTGGACTTCCAGTGTTTAATACTTGGTGGTCTTCTTTCAACCTCGTGCTTTTTTGCTTTACCGGCCGTATTTCTGGAATTCCCAGTCTCGGTTGTCAAGTGGGCAGACCTGGCGGGTCTTCAGCCATCGCGAGATGCAGTGGAAGTGGAATGCGTGCTGAATGAGAATACCTGTTAGACTGGGTTTCTCAAGGAGTAGTTTCCCTTACGTTGCAGATACCCCAGGCGACGGTGCACTCCTCCGTCGTTGATGAGCCTTGGTTGGCTTGACACTCGATGCCTGTCGCTGGTTTAGTGTCGTGAATAGCTGATAGATATGAATGAGAAGCGACATACACAAGTCCATAATGTGGTTTCGGCAAATGGCACAGTTATCTACCACGATATCCCAAGCCCAGAGGGCCACGGCGTTCCACTGGGAGAAGGTCAGTCTCACGATTTGGAGTGGCTCCCAAGGTAGATTCGTACTTTTTTGACCTCAAACTTCTTCTTGCCATCGCTGGAGTCCTTGACAACCGCCTTGCCTTTGGACGAGGCACTCGCAGTAGAGTCCTTCATCTCTACGTCGGCCATGATGTTGCGTGTTTGGGTTGAAGATGGGTGGTGGGTTGGGGTAATGAGCGGTCGAGAAGGTCAAGGCCGGAGGACCTCGGGAGCAGCAGGCACGGGTGTTACCTTGACACCTTGGGGTAATCGAAGGAAGAAATAGCAACGATGATGACGAAAATAACCAGAGCCTCAAAGAGCTTCGTGATCTCAACCCCACTGAGCTGTGGCGGAGGGTCTTAGTCATTACCCCCGCCTAACCTTCCGTCACTTACCTCCCAATCCCTTCACTCTTCACACTTCAAGTTAGACATGTCCCGACTGCTTTCACTTTGACGTCCTAAGGCGTTCATTTTCTGTTTCTTTTACCTTCCCTTTCCCTGCCCGGCGTTGCAATATCTAATAACAGCTGCTGAGCAGTGAATGGACTGGCCTCCTCTATCATTACTCATTACCTGACTTTCAGCGTCTGCTCTCTTTCCATTACTCCTCCCAGGCTGCCTATTTATCAAGCCACCGGTCGACATGTCGACACAATCCCCTCAACCTCTTACCCCGCGGGGTCCACGCAACAACCGCCGTTCTCAGAAGAAGAACACAACTCCGCAAGTTCCCAAGACCGCCATGCTCACCACACCTCCTTCCTCTCCGCCCAGACATATGAGTCCTGCTGGTGTTGCTGCGACAGATCTTTCGAATAATGTGCATTCTAAAAAGAAGCCCCCGCGTTCAGGCAAGAAACCGAACCAAGGTGCGGGCCATCGCGCATCGCCTGCGCCGAATGGACATCGCCACACCTCTTCCCAGCCTAGCAACGGCACCCCTATGAAGGACAACGCGGCATATGCAGGCCCAACTTTTCACGCATCACCTGCCCCATCGGCTCTGCCGATCCCAAGTTTTTTCTCCAAATCCTTCCCTGAGTCAGACCTTGCGCCCACTCTCGAAACGGATAGCGAAGATGCGGAAACCGAGCAGGATCTGGATGTCACACCCTCTAAACCACGAGCACGACCTCCGCCTCCTCAGCCCTCTCGAGCTACTGCCAATGCAACCGAGCCAAGTCCTCTCGACTTCCTTTTCAAGGCAGCTGTGCAGGCGCGGAACTCGAACGCCATGCACAGCCCGGAGCCCACCGCCCGGATGCGCTCTCCGCAGACCGATTCGAAAGGGCCCTATCCCAAGCCTCACACAGCTCCGGGTGACGTCTTCGCATTCGAGATGGGATCGCCCCACCAGGCGCGTCCGCGTATTGACCCTGGATTCGCTCCTTCCTATGAGGATCGCATGGATGCCTTCCGATCGTCCAGTTCGCCCTCTCAATCTTCCAATTCGATTGACGCCGAACGCCGGGCTAAGAACGAAGAGTTGAAACGCATGCTGCTCAACCCGCCTCCCCAGAAACCGCCTGGCTCCATATCTCCGCCGGCCTCGAGTCAAATTGGGCCCTATGCGCCTCGCCCGAACATCAATTCCAACGTCCCTCATTATGCGACTCCCACGCGCACTCACTCTGGTCCATCAGTGCCTCTTTCCCATGGCTACCAAGGCCCGCAACAGCCCGTTCTCAACGGCGCTGGTCGTCCTACGGTATCATACACATACGCCAATTTCGAACAATATCGCAACTCCGGCTCACCCTTGAGTCGCGAAGTCCCTCCCAATGCGAACCCGTCTACTCGATCGTCTCCATCTCCTTATGGGTATCCTTTGCCTGATGCACATGTTAACATGCAGCAGCCAAATTTTGCGTCTCCGCGGCCTCAATATGGAACCGCCTCGTTTGATATGCCCACGAAATCTCCGTCGCCTTCCAGATCCATGGATGCCAACACCAACCAGATGGCAGATGCGCTGAAGCGCATGTTGAATATCAGTGCGGCCCCGTCCCCAAGTTCGACCTCAGGTATCCCGCCGGCCGGATACCATCGTTCCTTTGCTGCTTAGTATTTTTTTTCCATGGCTTCCAATGATCTCTACGCGATCTTTTCCCGACTCTCGGACTCAGACTTGCGGTCTCTTTTATGTTTTTGCATTTGATTCATCGGGACATCCTGGACTGGTTCAAGGTTATTTCCCTCGGGTTTTGGTCTCCTTTTATCTCGACAGGGTGCTTGGTTTGGTGGTCCTTTTCGTGATACCCAGGATCTTACTTCTCGATACTGTTGAGGCTTCTTTAGAGGCCTCTGGTTGCATCGTTCGGAGTCGGGGTCTTTCCAAGTACTTGCGCCTGGTTGGTTTTCAGGTCCAGCCGAGGATGGCTCATCATGTTTACTTTTGTTACTTCGTCTCTTGCGAGAGAATATCCTTCTTTCAGCTGATATGTTTCTTTTATTTTTGTTTTGCTTTTGGTCAATGATGCATTGGGTCCTGATCACCGCCTGTGGTTGGGATCTGCCTCTGTTGCCGGTTTTCTCCTGTTACAATCCCCCTTGGTCCCAGGGTGAACTCGGGATCTGTCTATTTATGCGAGGTGTGAATACCATACCGTCCACTCGTTTCATCTGTGCTACTTCAAGATGCATGTAAACGTTCATTACAATTCAGAGGGTAGCATGAAGTACTCAGAACCACCAGTTTCGCCGAGGTTGTACCTTAAAGACGGAAACTAGATGGAACCAAGGACCAGGGCCAGGACCGAGACCAGGACCAGATCTAGCATGGCAAATCACCACCACGGAGGCAGCCACCGGCCACTAGCCACGGGGCTAGCCACGGGGCTAGCCACGCCGGGCGTTCGAGAAACGGTGCTCAGTCAAAGTGTAATTTCCAGGACACAGTTCGGTTCCCCGGCGCTGATCCTCATTTAAAAAAAAAAAAGGTACCCTGGGTCTATCAGGTCCAAGGGTCCAAGAGTTCACGCCCGTAAGTTGGCAGGATCTGTGTGTCCCCAGAATAGACGAAAACATTACGTGGGTGCAGCATGTGGTATACGCACTTCCCCTTAATCTGGTCGTGACGCCACTTGAATGTTCCGACCCACTCTCTGCCTGGCCCACGGCGTCTTTGCTAATTTTATGACACCTTTCCTGTTCTACGTACGAGTTCGGAGTACATAGGGCCTAGCATTCGGAGATTATGCCACTAGCAGAGGGGGTCCGCTGAGTGGTGGTACTTGATCACTTCAGTGTCCAGTTTCCACTTCTCCTAGCTTGGGGATAGAACACGCTAGAATCCCATCTTGACACTTTTACTCGCGTTGTCGATCGTGTCTCGGACTTGATGAAGCTTAATCCGGCAGATGAGAGTGGGCGCCACTGGCAGGCGTGGCTGATTCTGCCATTCCCAGGGCGAATGTGTTTAGTTCTCGCCCAGTCTGTAGTCCGTGGACGTAGGGATGACGGATGATGAAAGGACAATAGGACCGCGATCAGTAATCGCCGCCTGCTTTAAGAATAAAGAACGTGATAAGACATAGTCCATTAGGAGCAAGCATGCTGCACACGGTAAACGCTGGCGACATCATGATCTGCATGCCTTGAAGAGAAGAGAAGCTGGATGCGGCCAGGGGGGGGGAGGCGGATCCTTCAAATCACGGGGAAGTTCTATCATATTTTTCCCTTCCTTCCTGACTAACCATCTCCTCATTACTTGATACAACCTGCTAAACATACCTAGTCTGGTTATGATTCAGTTCTGTTCTCTTTGATCCCCGTTTCCCAAGCCCAGCCATGGCGAATATGTGAGTTGCTCTCCCTTTCCCCTCTCCCCGGTCCCCCATACTGATCCTCCCCTCAGGCTCAGTTCGACATGGCGCTCCTTTTGGCATACCATGACATCCTACGACCGTCATGCCTCCCATGATTCTCCCTATCGCACTGGCCAACACGTGCCGCTCAGTCAAAGCCGCCATGAACCTCTCACCTCCATCGCTACTAGCGCCGCCGAATCTCGCCCCGACCTCTCCAACCCCTACGATGACGAGTCCACCAAGGGCCTGGCTACCGCACAATCTACCGAATTTAACGGTTCCCCGACGGAACTGGGTTCTTTAAACCGTCCTTACTCCCCCGGCATGAGATCACTCGCGTCGCAAAAGCGAGGTTCCCACGAGCAAGCTGATGGCCCCGAGATTCAGATGCAAAGCTTCCACGACGGCGCGCCGCCGCCTCCTCCGGTCGCACACTCCTGGCGAAAGATTGAGCGCTGGCTCGAGCACAACTATGAGGAGCTGCTGGACAATCTCGGCGAGGGGTGCACTCAAAATGATATAAACGAATTGGAACATGAATTGGATTGCAGCCTGCCCTTGGAAGTGCGCGAGTCCTTGATGATTCATGACGGTCAGGAGCGGGGTGGTTTGCCCACCGGTGTCCTCTTCAGTTGTATGCTGTTGGACTGTGAGGAGATTGTCCAGGAGCGCAGGACCTGGAAGACTGTCAATGATGAATTCCTCAGCAACTCCATGATTAACAGCGCCCCTGTTTCTAGCTCCGCCGCTGGCTCTTCGGCGGCTGCGGCCTCCCAACAGAACAACCATGGGTGGCGGAATGAGCTGCTTGATCGCCAGGACTCTCAACCCCCCCGGTGCCGTGCAAAAGGCCTATGCTCACCACGGTTGGATCCCAGTTGCCCGTGACTGGGGCGGCAACCACCTCGCGATTGACCTGGCTCCCGGTCCTGCTGGCAAATGGGGCCAGGTCATCATCTTCGGCCGTGACTACGATTGCAAGTATGTGGTTGCTCGGTCCTGGGCTGCTTTCTTGGCCACCTTTGCGGATGATCTCTGCAGCGGCAAGGTCATCGTGGACGAAGAGACAAACGAGCTGCAGTTGAAGGAGTTCAAGTCGCAGAGTGTCAACCCTCCGTACCTGGAAATTCTGCGGTGGAGGACCGACCAGAAGTACGGCCGTCGCCCACAGCGCCGACGTCCCAACGGGCCTGGTGGAAATGCTCCTGGTAACCGCAGCAGCAAGGACTCTCCATACGGTAGCCCAACTGGGGCTGAAGAGCGTGGTCGGTCGCCAAACCGTTTCCCCAATCGCGGACCTGCCCAGAGCCCCAAGAACCCGTTCGGCATGTCGAGCCCGCTTGCTCGCGTGACCGAGGAAACCTCCAGCCCCATCGGCACTGCGGGACCCACCATCTCAGAAGATGCCCGGGAGCCCGGCGTCAAGGACGAGACGGAAGATCTGCTGGAGGTGGCTACTCCCCAGATCTCCAACAAGGAGAACGAAGGTTTTGAGAAGACAGAAACAAAGTCAACAGACACGGACAAGACCGGGACCGACGATGCGGCAGGACCCTCGAATGTCATCGACTCGGAGGTCCTGGGAGAGATGAAGAACGTGGCCATTTAGAGCATTTCCGTTTCCTCTCGAGTCCCAGCATTTGTTTTTTCCTTTCAAGGGCATCAGGCGTCAATGATGGACTTCTCTACGTATTCCTGCTTCCGTGTATAGAATTCCCCTTTGTTGTTTTGGTCCGGGCTTCGCGGCATTTGTTGTAACTCTAGGGAGCCTCTTCTTTTTCCATTGCTTTGACTCGCCTGCTTCTGTGTGCTCACGGTCTCCATTTGATATTTGCCTGTAATTCTATGATGATGCAGTATTAGTACTTCCTTTCTCTTTGTGTCTGGCTACAATTCATTTCCAATCTGCCCGGTTGCTATCTCTCTTTTGTAATATGCTAGTATACGTTGATGCTGATTGTGATGGTTCATATGCAAGACTGTCATAACAAGTCGTCAATTCACTCCCAGTCGTCATCGTCGTCATTGTGGTTCCGGCGAGTATTTCCGCTGCGAATTGCTTTCGCAGGACGTCGTCTCCGCACTGTATCATCATCACTGCCACTCTCCTCCACGTCATCATCCTCGCTTGAGAATTTGGCCTCTGTAAGAACCTTTTTATACAACAGCCTTTTCTCCAGCGTTTGCACATTGAATGCCTCCGTCCCCTCCGCACCGAACTTCCCCAGGCCCTCAAACCCAACCACCCGATCAACTCCAACTCCATCCTTGAACCCAATCACGCAAGGTAACACGCGAATCCCAAGCTTCTCCGCCAGGAACGGCGTCGACCGCACGTCTACTCGCGCAAACCGTACCTCATAGTGCCGACTGGCTAGCTCCTCCAACCGCGCATCCATCACCCCGCACCGGGCAAAATCATCGTGCGCGAAATGTATGATGCATCGTGGAGCGTCTGTCGTCAGGTTCAGCACAGACTGGTCTCCATCGAGTGTGGGGTATGTGCTGTCCCGTAGGCCGGTGCCATGATTTGTGTTGGACTTGTCGCGATTTGTCTTGTGGGAGGCTAGTTCTGCGTTGAGTTGTTGAATGCGTTGGTCGCGGTAGCTCAGATCGTCTTCGTTTTCGAGGGCGGCGAAGAGGGCATCGTCATCGGATTCGTGGCCGTCTGGCATTCTCGTGGTGGGGAAATTGCGGAGAGTAGTCAGGTCGATTGCAGTTGGCGATTTGTTTTCAGTCCCTTGGAATTGAGTTTTAAAGGAGTGCGTCGAGGTGTTGAGGAGGGGAGGTTCCGTCTCTGATCTTCAACCTACTACTCCACTGTCGACCATATACTACCTTTAAGGTGTCTATGGACATCGAGGTCTACAAATCCTAGAAATATGCTTATGAATTGTGATTCTGGATACGGTCCCGATCGGTCTGATTTTTGATTTCTCAGTTTAAATTAGAGCCACCGAAAGGAGTAGATTGTCGTACAACAAAAGTACGGAACAGCAATTAAACGCTGACTCAGCAGAGGGCCCAGGGGGCAGCTGAGTCAGCGTGCCGCTTCCGGGCAAAAGTTCTTTTTCTCCCTTAGGTGTTTTCTATTGCGCGTCGTGTACGCTCCGCTTCCTTTTGCCCTTTGAACCCACACCAACTTCACCATGGCCGACGATAAGAAGAGAGAAGAGTACACCGTCGAGATGGACAAGCTCGACAAGGGCAACAAGGAATTCGAGGCGGCGCCGCCTCCGCAACCCCGGACCCCTCCGAGTGCTGTCGCTGGCCACCCGGCCCTGCCAGTTCTGGCCTACTGTGGTTCCTCCATTCTGATGACCGTCATGAACAAGTATGTTCTGTCGGGCTTGGATTTCAACTTGAACTTCCTGCTGCTCATGGTCCAGGTACGTGGCTACTTGAATTATCAAAAGGTTCTGGACACTCATCTCATTCTCCGCTGTAGTCTCTGGTCTGTATCACCGCCATTCAAACATGCAAGACCATGGGTCTCATCACCTACCGTGACTTTAGTGCCGACGAGGCCAAAAAGTGTAAGCCCGGCCCTTTTCTTCCCCCGTCATCGGCACCGAGACTGGGATCTAATGTGTTTTTGCTCAACAGGGTTCCCCATCACTCTTCTCCTGATTGGCATGATCTACACCGGTTCCAAGGCCCTCCAGTTCCTTTCGATCCCCGTGTACACGATCTTCAAGAACTTGACCATCATCCTCATCGCCTATGGTGAGGTTCTGTGGTTTGGCGGCTCCGTGACTGGAATGACCCTTTTCTCTTTCGGTCTTATGGTCGTCAGCTCCATTATTGCCGCCTGGGCTGATATCAAGCACGCCCTAGAGAGCAGTGGTGATACTTCCAGCCAAGTGTCGACCTTGAACGCCGGTTACGTCTGGATGATGATCAATTGCCTGTGCACTTCGTCTTACGTTCTGGGCATGCGCAAGCGCATTAAGCTGACCAACTTCAAAGACTTTGACAGTATGTTTTGTTCTACCCTACTGCTAAGAGTGAAGTCTAATCTACTATAGCCATGTTCTACAACAACCTGCTATCCATCCCCGTCCTGATCGTCTTCACTCTGCTCGTCGAGGACTGGTCCGCGGCCAACCTGGCCCGCAACTTCCCCGAGGCCAATCGCAACGGCATCTTCTTCGCTATGATCCTGTCCGGTCTTTCTACCGTCTTCATCTCCTATACCTCCGCCTGGTGTGTGCGTGTGACCTCGTCGACCACCTACTCGATGGTCGGCGCCCTCAACAAGCTGCCCATCGCCGTCTCCGGCCTGGTCTTCTTCGATGCACCTGTCACCTTCCCCAGTGTGTCGGCTATCTTCGTCGGCTTTGTCAGCGGCATTGTCTATGCTGTGGCCAAGATTAAGCAGAACGCCATGCCCAAGACAGGCATCCTGCCCACCTCCAACCCGCTGGTCAGCGCCAGCAGCCAGAGCATGCGTGATTCCCTGCGGTCCTAGGGCCCTCGACAAAATAGATGAAATGATTTTTATTTTCAATAGATCCTGGCTCTGTCAGGATCCGCGCATCATTGTCTCTCTCATTGATGCCTTGGGGATCCCATTCTTGCATGTGTATGATTCATGTTTCATTTGCAGCCTGCCGGTGCTCTTGGGTCGCTACTTCTTTGGTGTTGGTGGCTTTTCTTTTTCATCTTTCCATCTTCCATCTAGGTGAGGGCTTGCCATCTTGGTCTGCAGTATGATTTTATAGTAATATTTCTTTCTTTGTGTGTGTGGAAAGGGCATAGCCTGGTCTTGAGTTTTAATTGTAAATAGCTATGCCTTGAATAGACCCATGTCAAAAAATATGCTTGACTTCCAACGTAAGATAGTATTACTTTAGGTTCGAGTACTACCCATTCCATTCTTTTTGACACCAGTCAGAATCCTTGACTCACGTCTCTGGTTCTGTGATATCAAGTTGGTCGTGAATGGACTCCCGCTCCGGATCTTCGATTGACCGTCTCCGAATTTCAGACCTCCATTCTCTTCAATTCAATATTTTAGCCTTACCCCTACACATATCCAATATTTCAATCACACCATGCCTCGTAAGAAGCAAAAGGGTCCCCAGCCTCGGTCCATTCGACCCGGTCCTCACAAGCCAGGCTCATCCTCTCAGCCCAAGACCAAGGGAACCAAGCAGGATTCGACACCTGCCAAAGATACACAGAAAAAGGGCCCGGTGCAGGCGAATCAACAACCTATCGTACCATTTCTGCGAGGAGATCGCATTTTGTTAATCGGAGAAGGTCAGTTCTATAGATTTTTTTCTATTTTTTCTTCCCGCTATGGTGGTTTCTTGCTTGCATCGAGATGTGTATCAAATGCCCATGTTTGAAAATCTACGTGCATTGACTGTCATTGATGCCGCGCGTTCAATTATCACATCAGTCCTGCACAGCATACACTTTTTAATATCAAGGGACTTGAACTCACAAAAAATAGGTGACTTCTCCTTCGCCCGCTCACTAGCAAAGCAATATAAATGCCGCAAATTGCTAGCAACCTGTTACGATTCCCAGGAAACTCTCTTCGAGAAATATCCCCAAGCAGAGCAAAACATTCAAGACATTCTGCACTCCAAGCCCAGATCAAAGAGTACAGAAGATTCCGAACTCCCTAAAGAGGACAAGAAGGAATCTCCTGCTCCCAAAGTTCTGTTCTCAATCGACGCCCGCAAACTCGGCTCCCAAGGCGGCGGCGGTAAAGAGGTCAGAAATGGCTATCCTCGTCGTGAACGCAAGATTCCAGCATGGAGAGCCCCGCGTCAGACTCCCGCACGCCCGCCGAAGCCGAGTGGACCGTGGGATGTGATCTGTTTCAATTTCCCGCATGTGGGTGGCATTTCGACGGATGTGAATCGCCAGGTGAGGTTTAATCAGGAGCTTTTGGTGGCGTTTTTCAAGGCTTGTGGGCCTTTGCTTTCCAGTGCTCCGGCGCCGGTTGATGAGGATGATGAAGATTACGAGTGGGACGGGGATGAAGAGGAAGAGGGAGAGGAAGAGGACGAGGATGAGGAGGAAGAGGGGGATGCACAGACTTCTGGAAAGGCTACGAGGACTGGACCCGGTCAGGTCCTTGTTTCTCTTTTCGAGGCAGAGCCGTACACGCTTTGGAATATTAAGGATTTGGCTCGGCACGCGGGGTTGCAGGTGGTTACAAGTTTCAAGTTCCCGTGGAGTTCCTACGAGGGGTATTCACATGCTCGGACTCTGGGCGAGGTAGAGGGGAAGAACGGGGGAAGAGGTGGATGGCGTGGTGAGGACCGTGAAGCGAGGATGTATGTGTTTGAGGCGAAGCAGGAGGCTCCGCGGAAGGGGAAGAAGAAGAGGGCGAGGGATGCGGAGAGTGATAGCGAGTAGCTATATCTTCTTGATACCCACGTACAAATTTGATTTCACAATATGTACACTTTCTTCATTTCATTCTCGTTGAAGACTTCGCCAGTCGTTGGGTCCTTGACTTGGCCGGTCTCGACAGATCCAACATTCTTACTGATTTCTATAAGTCGAGATTTGCCGTAGACCCGGCCATTGGGTAGGACGATTGCGTCGCCCTCGACGTAGCTCTTGGAATGGTGCGCGTATGGCATCTTCCGGGCTAATTCGTTGAGCTCTGTAGAACAGATTGGACACACGGAAGTAGACGTGGACTGGGAATTGGAGCTGGATGAGGTGTATGCTGAGTGGCAGAGTGGGGTCTTGAGTGCTGACAACCCTGCTGACAGCGCAATGTGTAAGAGTGGCTGTGAGGGCAATGAGAGAAGCTCATGGTGAGTCTGCACGAATAAATCCGAGAGATACTTCCACCGGTCGGGGGAAAATAGTGTCTAAATCAAAGGTGAGTCGTGTCGATCATAGTGAGACGATATTAGGCCGGTTTACCTTATACTTCTCTGATCGCGAATCCTGGGTAAATACCAGTAACCCAGCAACCTGATTGACTTCATCTTTCTGGGATTCGGCATTGAGAGTTAGGTACTTTCTGGCGTGGGTGATCGCCTCCACTTTCTTGTGTATGTCCTTTGTTCGGACCATCTCAATGTACTGCTGCAGCCGCAGCTCGAATTCGAGGTTATGCTACGGATTCGTGAGCAACGTGAAGCACCTGAGTCAGTAAGAGTTGATCGAACATACCTGGCTCTTCTTCAACGCGGCTTTGTTCTCTCCACACCACTGCAACGCCTCCTTAGTCTCCCCACGACGCAAGCTCTCAACAACCCGCTGACACTGGGTAAAAACACCCAGGTCTACCAGATCTTCAATCTCTCGATCCTTTGCCAGCTGCTTCGCGCTTTCCGAATACCCAGACCGCAACATATGATCCACGAGTAACCGATCTAGCCGCACGCGCGACCATTGATCATACTTGACATCAGCCAAGCTCGGGATCTTATGTAGTGTCTCGAGATGTTGAATTCGCTTGCGCGACTGGGTGTGTATTTTCTTCTCTTCTTCTTGCAGGCTTTGCATCTTCCGCTTCAGGCCTTGCATGCGGGAGATCATGGCGTCCAGTGCGGCGAGGGTTTGGTCGGGTGTGTGGGTGTTCGATAAGGAGGCGTTGGCGGCTTCTTTGAGCGCGGGGATGACATATTCTTTTTCTCTTTCTACGGATCGCTGTACCGTTTTGAAATTCCGGCGGGCTAGTTCATGGGGAAGGCGGAGGAGTGGTTGGTCCTATAAGCGGGTTAGTGCAGCTCCGGTGATGGGAAGGTGAGCTTCGTACGAGAATGAGGTGACTCTCTGGATTGAGCTTGATGGAGGTCAGCTCGGCTGCCATTTCGACAATTACACTCGAAAGAAGTTCAGGAAAGTTCAGGGAACAGTGAACTGCTTCGTTCCAGAAGAATGATGTCGGGGTAAGTGAGAGGTTCCGGCGATGACGAAGAGGGGAATGCGGAGACCGATGGTCACGAGATTGCGACCCTACGATTACGATTCACAAGGCAACTTGACTTGACATCTTTTACTTTCTCCCAAGGTTACATGAAAACGAGATTTCAATAAGATGTTGTTCGAAGCAACTAGAAAATAAATTCTTCAAACCGACAGATTCCCTTTTGACCCAAGACTCCGGAAAATTCAAAATATGGTACAGGAAACGGACCAATAGGTCTTCCTGAGCATCTTTACTCGCTGTCATCGCTGTCCTCAGTCTTGGACTTCCGGCGCTCCTTCTTCTCCTTCTTCTCCTTCTTCTTCTTCTTGCGCTCGGCCTTCTCCTCGGCGGTCTCGCCGTCGTGCTTGCGCTTCTTCTTGTCATCGGGAGAATCGGCCTCGGCCTTGGACTCCTCCTCAGCCGGGGCAGGAACAGGCTCGGGCTTAGCCTCGGGCTGCTCACCATCCTCCAGAGGAGCATTGTAGTCCTTGTACTCGCTCTTCCACTTGGAGGGGGTGGCCTCGTTGGTGCGGCCGTACTTGTCAAGCTTGCCGGCAGACTTGAGCTTCTTCTTTTCAAGGGCAGTAGGTCCCAATCCCCAGCGGCGGGGGTACAGATCGCGCTCCATGATGCAACGCTTGACCTTGGCAACGACACCGTGGTCACAAGTGGAGAGCTCGACGGTGGACATCTGAGCAATACCGATGGCAATAGCCTCACCCTTGGTGGTCATGAGGACAACCTCCTCGTGGACCTCAATACCAGCCTCTAAGATATAAATATTAGATTCATGTCATCGTATTCAGGGGGTTGGGAGAATTGACGAACCGAAACGCAGGAGACCAGGAATCATCAGCTTGGCACCGTAGCAGACGGCGTTGACGGCACTGTCCTTGACGACAATACGCTTGTAGGAGGTGAGCAAGCTCTCCAGGGGACTGATGACCTTGCGCAGGTACGATTCATCGCGCTGGTTGTCGTAGACCCACTGGGCGTCCATAACATCGTGCAAGGTAACCATGCCCTTGGACTCGTCCATGGCTCCAGAACGCACACGACGAAGCTCCTGCATGTGAGCGCCGACACCGAGCAGAAGGCCCAGGTGAACACAGAGGGTACGGATGTAGGTACCAGCCTCACAGCTGACCCAGAAGACACCGAGGTGGCGTTCGTTATCGAACTCGTACAGGTTGCTCTCGTGGATGGTACGGATACGGAGCTGGCGCTTGACGGCAGAGATCAGGGGAGGACGCTGGAACAGAGCACCGGTGAGGGTCTCGAGAGCGCGCTTGAACTGAGCCTCGCCACCGGGGATCTTGTCGTGCAGGCGGATGACACAGACGTACTCCTTACCAGCACCCTGCTGGGACTTGACCAGGCGGGTAGCACGGTCAATGCAGACAATCAGACAGCCAGTGACCTTGGGGTCAAGGGTACCGCTGTGACCAGTCTTCTCGGACCTAAAGAGAGTCAATTGGTCAGAATTGGCTCATTTGGGGTGACGGCCTGGATAAGATGGAATTTACCTGAGAATGCGCTTCATCCAAGCCACGACCTCGTGACTGGAAGGGTTGGAGGGCTTGTCCAGGTTGATGACACCGGAGCTGATGTAGGACTTGAGGTCACGCTTGAGGGGCGAGGCACCAGCAGGAATCGGGGTGAAGTGACCGGTGCGAACGAGCACTACGCAAATACGCCATTAGCCTTGAGCCGAAGATAAAGATCCTGGCAAGAACATACACTTCTCGTAGTTCTTGAGCAAAAGAGGCCAATCCTCAGAGGAAACGGTCGGGTTGACCGCCTCGGGCTTGATGGTGTAGTCCATCTCCTGGTTATTGACGGCCATCTTGAGGGTTGTTGGTTGTCGTCGGAGTCTCCAAGAGGCCAAAAATTTGTTCGAGGAAATTTTGCGAGTGCGGCAGCTCCAGTGCCTGATCTAGTTTAGCGCCCGCATGGTCTCACGTGACCGGTGGCAAGAGACGTTCGTTGATACTGATATCTTACATTTACACTATGAGTGATTTGGTTCGTTGTATTAAATGTTGTAACGAATGCATTATTCAAGCGTGCACCTGTTCGTTTGGTGAATCGGGCTATCTCATCGAGCATGGTTCGTCATATTTTACATAGGGTGGCTGGAAATGCTCGCTTCCAAAACTAAACTTCCAGAATTAGAAGCACTAGAAAGGCAGGAAGAATAATCAACGCCATCATGCTGCTTGAGGTGTCTCCTGCAGATCCTCATCCTGATCTGAGGCCATTCGATATCACATGTCTCACTAACCAAGTCGTCTTCCGGAACCTCGAGTGCCCCACGACCCCAGATCCTGTGACGATGTCCAGCCGCGGGCCCCCGAGTTAGACGTGTCGGGCTGGGGATCAGTTGGTCGTGACGGACGATAAGCTCTACCATAGGTGCGGCGTGCCGTATCTGGCGTGTGTCTGAAGATGTATCGCTGCACGAAACGCGGGGTGAAGATGTAGTTTTTTCCGCCGCCGAAAGTTGGATAGATACGCGTAAGGAAGTCGTACAGATGAGAGGCAAGAATACCTGTGAATTCTGTCTTGACAGAACCCCAGCCGTAGGTAACCAGAGTCATCGTGAGCATGGCCCAGGGGAGCCACAACACGGGGATCTCGATGATGAAGAACTTGACCTTCTTGCCCCGGTTGTCTTGGGCGTAGGTGTGCGCGAATGCCATGATCAATGCTATCAAGGTTTAGTGTATGCGCATCAAGGCGCAAGGCGACTGAGCTCACCGCGAGTGAAGAAGGTACTACCGAGCCAGAGACCTGCAGAAACCTTGAAAGGAGTTAGCATTGGAGATTGGACAGAGGAGCTACCACAGCAGAGGAGTTCAATGGAAAATTGAATGGCATTGGGAATAGATAGATGATGATTTATGTAGAATGTAGGGCACCATAACCACCGGCACGAACTTATAGAATCGCGACAGTTATCTCAAAGGTAGTCCCACCACGCCCACACCGCACACAGCACCAATTATATTTTGCGAATGAGGTGCTGCGCGGGATGCAGGGGTAATCTTCCTCGCTTCCAGGAACCGCTTCAGCTAGTATATGGCTGGGCGGGCAGATAATGCGAGGTGACAAGAACAAGAACGCGAAACAAGAAACAAGGCTCTGCCGGAGCTCCGGGTGCAAGCCACTTACCAATATGGTGGAAGCTACAAAGATCACGTAGATGAAAAAGTCTCCAACCTGGCTGAACCGGGTCGATCCGATTTCCAGCGCACTGCCGTAGTGGTACACTGTCGGCCATTAGCCACCGTAGATCAGACGCCGCACCGAAGCACCATACTGAAGTAGAGATCGAAGAGAAAATCGAGCCTTCTTCCGGTTAGTAGAAAAAGGTGTGACCAGTCGCCAGATCTCCGGAAGTCGCGTGAACAGATTGCCCTTCAGAAACGCAACATTATAGAAACTGAGGGTATCACTGTAAACGAGGAGAGACTCGACCAGAGTCAATGCAGTGATGGTCCTGAAGAAGACACACGTCAGTCAACACTGCACCGGCACCGGCACCGGGAACGAGACGAAGCGACGCACCGAGACACCGGAGGTGCCTCCCAGAACACATCCATTTTGTGGGAAGGAAAGAGATAGCTGGAAGGTTAGAAAGATTGAAAATTACACGGCCTGGAAGGGGGAAGAAGAAGGAAAGAGAAGCGAGGAAGCGGGAAGAAATAAATGGTGTGCAACGCTACGGCACGAGTTTATCCGAATCCCGGCGGCTCCAGGACTCTTGGCGCGGCTCTGTTTTCGCACGTTCTCACTGCACATAACGAGATCATTGTGCATTTTATGCCTAAGTTATCTTCAAGATTTGTAGAATCGATATCGAGGTATTCACTGTATCAATTTGCCGGTTTTCGCAGTTCCCCGAACAGCCAGGCCGCCGTCAGGACCTTCAATCCATACGTCCCAGGCGCTACTGTCATCCTTAGATCTACCACAGACTGTCAATTCTTCATCCACGAAGAGAGGCGCTAGATTTTTGTAGTCAAATCTGTTCACGCGGAGACCTGAACTGCTAAGGTGATGCTGTAGCACACTCAGAAGCAGAGTCAAGGTCAACGGGCCGTGTACGAGAAGGTTCTTGTACCCCTCCTGGTTCTGCGTGTAATTCGGATCCAGATGAATCAAATGAGCATTGAATGTCAATGCTGAAAAGCGGAACAATAACGACTTAGTGGGTAGAATCGAATGGCGGAAGGTAGCGTCCGAAGGAGCTTTGATCGCAAGGAACGAGTCAGCATTTTCTCCCAATGATTAGAATTGAATTAATACCGACATACCTTTGACAATACGACTTGATTTAGAGAATTGCTTCTGATCCATCTGAATCTGCTCCGCAGTTTTGCGTCGCATGAATATCAAGTCCCGGTTCTCAATTACTGATGACTGCCCGGCGTCTGCTTCATTTTCTGTCCATATGCGATTGCAGGTATGAGCTTCGGGCTCTCCCTCTGGTACTGTTCCCATGCGCCGCTCAATGGTGACTATGACTTTCTCTTCACCTTCCCGTCCCTTGACAGTCACATTGCGCATGGACTCGATGCAGACCGCCCGACTACCATCTAGAAGAGGGGCTCCGGTGGGGAACCGGAGATTTCCTCCTGCCCATAGTCGTCGATTGAAAGGGTGTCCTGGTGTATGAAGCACGTCTGTGCCGTCTGGTAATAATTGCGACAAAGTAACCTGGGGAGGGAAGTAGATCAAGTGGTGGGCGATTGGTAGCGGCGACGGTTTCGTGACTGAAGGTAATCTCGTTTGTACACCGTGGCCATCAGGTGCTCGTGGTAAAAGGTCGCATAGCGTCAAATCCAGCATGTGCGAAGGTTGAGGATGTAGATAGTCGTACATCAATGGGAGCTTGCGCGTGGTCAGCTCACGCTGGAGGCGCTCTGCGAGTGAGGAATGAGCTCGGCATTGTGTGCGATTCAACGAGCGCAACGGTCGGGCACTTGTCAGTGTGATGGACGACCTTCCTCGCGACATCTTGGAGCAAAGACCTGACGCCAAATGGTGAACGGATTGATCACGGAGTTTGCCTTGTTTGTTTGGGGCACACCGCTCGGGGACGATCTCAATGGCGTCCGGGACTCAGAAACAATTAATTGTGTACGGGAAACTAGAACTCCTGAGACTCAGAGTTCAATCACGATATGAATATGACACTGGATCGCCTGAAAGTGGCCTTCCTCGGCCCCCGCGCGTCTTTCTCGCATCAGGTAGGCATGGAATGCTGTAAGCCCACGACTTGACAAGGATGCCCGTTTGCTGACTACTGTCGTAAGGCCGCAGCCGAGTCCTTTGGTCGTACGTCGGCCGATTTGCTTCCTCATATCACCTTTGCCGATGCCTTTGCTGCCCTTCAACAGCAAGAAGTCGACTACGCCATCATCCCTTGCGAGAATTCTACCAACGGATCTGTTGTTCAGACTTTCGATCTTCTTGCGGACCGCAATGACCTCTACAAAGACGTGAAAGTGTGTGGAGAGCACTATTTAACCGTACATCAATGTCTCTTAGTCCGCAAGGGCTCATACCCGTCTGGCTGGGAGGGCTACGACGGATCCATCACCAAATTATATACACACCCGCAAGCATGGGGTCAATGCGAGTTGGTGCTATCGAAATATTTCAAAGGTGTGGAGAAGACAAGATGTCTCGTCCACGTCAAAGGGGGCCGAGATTGTCTCGAAGGAGATGGAAGAGCGCAGCGCAGCCATTGCCAGCCGATTTGCGGCGGAATTCCACGGCGTGGATGTGTTGAAGGAGAACATTGAGGATCGAGCGGACAACACTACCCGCTTCTTGATTTTGAAAAATGTGCGTGCTGAGCGAACAGCTCAACTAGAGCTGGACCAGTCCGCCACTGTCACCACTCACAAGACTCTGATCTCATTCGCGATCGATCACTCTCTTCCTGGCGCCTTGGCAGATGCGCTGTTGATCTTCAAGGCTCACGGTCTGAACCTCACTAGTATTAACACAAGGCCTAGTTTGAAACGGGCTTGGCAATACATCTTCTTTGTGGAATGTGGACGGACGCCATCCGATGAGAACAAAGACGCCGTCCTCAAGGCGCTGAATGATCTTCGGGCTGTCACCGACTTCTGCAGGGACTTGGGAACCTGGCAGGATCAACTTGGAGTCAGACTTTAAATGAATCTCGCAATGATGTGATGAAGATAAAAAGCCTGTTGTGCTTCGATACATTATTAATATCTTTTTCTACAGGATAGACTTCTTGGGAATACATTTCGGGACCTCTTTTAGCATGACAAACTACTATTCGGTTTTCGTGATCTAGCGAGATCTCGGCAAGGGCAGGTTCCAACCTCGCCCTACGTAGATGATACCAGATCAAACAGATGGCTCAGGAATAAATGGCAAGCAAAGCAAACCATGTCGGTCAAATTTTCAGAACATAACAAGCAAAGATAGAAGATAATGAGCGAAGAATCAATGATGGTCATCCAGGGTAAAGCCACAAGGTGGTCACGCAAATCGAATTGTCCAATGCCACCTGAGGCAAGGTATTGGCAGGCGGCAATGAGTGACTAGATGTTGCAAAGAATCGCATCCAACCTTTCAAATTGCAATGTACACCTCGTGTTCAGCTCAGATACTGAGGAGACCCCCAGTGAACATATCACGGAACTTAGAGCTTGGATGACCCTGGGAACCCAATGTTAGATGCAATCTGATTGATGAAATCTCGCAAAACATACCTCTGAGAAGCGTCACGGGGCTTGGAACAGGCATTTGAACGGATTCCTCTACGGATTCCTGGGTTCCAGTCTCGGAGCCGCCTTCATGATCCACAGGGCGAGCCGTCAGAACACTCGCCGAAGGAGCTTCTGGCCGTTCATCCTCGCTCTCTGCGAGGGCGCTCAACCGTCAATCTGCAAGACTGTTAGGACTATTCTCAACATTAACCGGGAAGTAGAAGTTCTCACCATCGTAGAACTCATCGTCGTCGCTATAATCGGCAAGCTGTTCAAAGTTCACCTTGTATCGGAGAATGGCACCGATACCACCGAAGCCCTTAACGAACTGATTTCCTTCACCGGACCGGTCAGAAACAAACTCGAGGGTGGCACCGAAGTCCTTGTAGGCCTCAGCGAGCCACTCAAGGAAGGAGTTTGACTCGACAACCTCCATCTCGGTACCGGTCTCTTTGTCCATGAACAGCTCACGGTTGCTCTCCTGAGCCTTTGTGGTGTTGATGATCACCTCCGCACCAGCGGAGTCCTTCAGAACCCACCGAGTAACATCCAGGTTCTCGTACACAATCAGGGTCTCGGCAGCACCGAGCTCCAAGGCCTTGAGAGTATCCTCAACACCGTAGCAGACTCTGCCGGTGTCCTGACTAATCTCTTGGAAGTATTGACCGATCAGCTTCTTTTCCTGGATGAACTTGACACTGCTGAGAGTCTCGGCAGCCAATTCGATGGCCTGGTTGAAACCGTTCTCGCCACCATACGACACGTCGACAACTTTGATGATCTTGGCCTGAAGACGGCCGTCGAACAGGTCGGACTGGGCGAGGTCGTTCTTGAAATCGGCGGAACCAGCCAGCACGAGACCAGCAACGTTAACCTTGTCGTTGGTAATATAGTTCTGTACGGCCAATTCGGCAATTTTGCGGACGTAGTTGTGACGCTTTTCCTCACGCAGACGGGCGAAACGCAACGCGGATTGACCACCACGACCCTATAGAGAGTTTGTTAGACCTAAATTTAGAGTGAATACGAAGGATACGAAAACTTACGTGCTTCTTGGGCAAGTCGACGGAGAGACGCTGAAGAATTTCACGGGTGTTACCACTCAGGGTACCGAAAAGAGCACCGTTACCGTCCATGATGATGAAGCCGAATTTCTGGTCAGACTCCAGCAGCTCACTCAGAGACTCGGTGTGGAATTTGTTGTCACAAAGGTAGAGCGAGGTGTTGATGGGCTTGAAGGGCTCGAAATCGATGTTAATCTTGCGCTCCTTACCCTCTGAAGTGATAATTTCACCACAGTATACAACCAGTCCATTCGGGGGGGACCTTGTTATACAACTTTAGACGCTGCTGGGTGGAGGTAATGGCGGACAAGACGGAGAGTCGGTTGACACGAGACTTGATGTTGGAGGCGGTACCCTAGGATTGATTAGCCGGGCGATTTGGGTGCGGAATCGACAAAGGAGAGCGTACGTATTCTTCAGCCAGCATCTTGGCCGCACGAGAGATCTGATCCTTGGGCGCTATCACCGAAGAGTTAGTGTCATGGATTCGAGCGACAAGACGGCGGGCAGAAGCGTACGAATGATGAGAGAAATCATGGAGGTTCCATTTCCGCGGGCGGATTCAAGACGCTTGATCAGCTTCTTGACCTTCCAAATCTCAATGTTTTTCTCGGCTTCACCCGGGGTTTGCTCCTTGGAACTCATATTGGGCGACTCGAAGGTGGACTGCAGCGAAGGGAGAATAAAGAGGCCTTTGCCTGTCGACGCCTAACCGGAGTCAAAATGGGAGACCCGAAACAAAGACGGGATTCTGTCCTAACACCTATAGTTGGAATTAGTTGGCGAACTCCGGAATCACACTGTACAGTGAGCATGAAAGGAAATGGGGCGCACACCTTCCTGATTGACGTAAAGTACGGCAGCAAAAATCCTTAGGCACCGTGGGGTCGAGGGGCTCCGTGGGCTGAGGTAAGCCAGGGCATGCCGTGAATCGGTATTCGGTACTTCAATTTGTACCAAATTTTGGTGAATCTACAAGTATCCTCTACATCTAGCAGCCATCATCACTACTTTTTTCCCCCTCTCTGCGGAATGTAGCGTCGATCGACAGATGCGCATAGTAACGCACGAAAAGATCTATGGCCCTTTTTCTACGCTTATTCTCCTATACTTCATCACCTCGAGGTTATCACTCAAGTTTCGTTCCCACTTCTTCTCTGTGAGACGGGGGGGAAAAAGAAAGACATGGACTCGAAGATAGCCAGACTTCCACCAGGATAGGATTGTACTTAAAACACCGGTTTCTCGCAACGGCCTCAACCGAATTGCAAGGTTGGGCGCTATGACACACGAAAAGTGTGAATTCTTGGCCTATGGCTTATCTGCGCCGGGACTATCACCCCACACGGTGAGCTAAGGAGCTTCGGCGATTCAGCGTCTTATCTTTTTGAGCTATCTCCAGGCAAATAAAAGGGTCTCTGATCGCGTGTCTCTTCATTTGCACTGAATTCTGTTTGGTCCTGATATCCCGATATCGTCAATACGCGACGCGTGTAGGCAGATTTTCTCTGACAACGATGTCGTCCAGGAACGCGGACGAGCATCAAGAGGGCGACTCTCGACAGTCAACGATGTGGAGAGGCGCGCCCAGCTCCTGGGACTACGGCCGTGTGAGCGCAGCGCACCCGATCGACGAAGAGGACAGCAGAGGCCGACCAAGGTATCTTTGCCAGACCCGCCTTGGGCGATGGGAAATTTTGAGGGAGAAATTCTATTGACGCCCAAATAGGTCATCGTCTTTCGGCCGTCTTCGACAGGTCGGAGGCCCTAACAGCATCGACAACTTTGCCCGCTCATGGCAGAGAGCAGCTGCCTTCCCCGAAGTCTTTCCACGTCGCTCCTCGTTCGTTGAGGCAGACATCGACGATGAATGCGCTATTGCCACCGGATCCGACTCCGCAGCCAGAGCTTCTCGACCACACCGTGATTCCGATCTAGATCAACCTCTGCTACTGTCTGATGAGTCTGGTGGGGAGGAAGAGGTTACACCCTACTGGCATGGTTCCCAAAGGTCCAGGAAGCCACTCCCGAGCACCGGGCTCCTGGCGTCGTCGCCGGACAGAAACAATTTCACTGCGTATGGCTCGATATCCTCGCGCGTAAGTGAATCGACTCGTCAAAATGCGATCCAGCTCCATAAAGAGCATCTCAGTCGGACTGATGCCTCTGTGGATCCCGATCGAGAGCCCCTGATCCTCAAGCATGTTCAACACGAAGATGGCACGGAAGAGGACATCGTGGTTGGGCAATCTACCGTTCCACAGACTGTTTTCAACTCCGTCAACGTACTGATCGGGATTGGGCTGCTGAGTCTTCCATTGGCAATGAAGCATGCCGGTTGGGTACTTGGGTTATCGTTTCTGATCTTTTCCGCGGTGACGACGGGCTATACGGCCAAGATTCTGGCCAAGTGTCTGGACGTGGATCGCTCTCTTGTTTCATACAGTGACATTAGCTATCTGGCATTCGGGCAATATGCTCGCTTCATCACCAGTCTCCTGTTTTGTATGGAACTGCTTGGAGCTTGTGTGGCTCTCGTGGTGCTTTTTGCAGATAGTCTGTACGTCCTGATTCCAGGGTTCAATATTCTCCAGTGGAAGATAGTCTGTGGAATCGTTCTGTTGCCCTTGAATTTCATGCCTTTGCGCTTTCTCAGTGTCACTAGCATTCTCGGCATCGTCTCGTGCACATCAAGTGAGTTTGTCCAATTTCCGCCCATCATCTGATTGAGCGTTACTAATTTACAAAGTTGTCCTTCTCATTTGCGTCGATGGATTGATGAAGCCACAGTCACCTGGCTCTCTTCGCCAACCTGCCACCACATTCCTCTTCCCTGAGAACTGGGCTACCCTTCCTCTAAGTTTCGGTCTCATCATGTGTAAGAGATAACCCTTCATGGAAAGAAAAGACACAGAAATTAACCTCCGGACTCTAGCACCCTGGGGCGGGCACTCCGTGTTCCCCAACGTGTATAAAGACATGAGGCATCCTCATAAATATGAGAAGAGTCTCTGGTCCACATATCTATTTACAGTAAGGAAATCGATCTTCACCGAAGAAAAACTAGAACTGAACTAGGAGTCAATAGTTTTCTCTTGACTGCTCCATGGCGATCCTCGGCTGGCTCATGTTTGGAGACATGGTTCGAGACGAGATCACGGCGAACGTCCTCGCCATCGACGAGTATCCGCAGGCACTATCCGTCTGTATCATCATCTTCATCTCCATCATCCCGCTGACAAAAGTACCTTTGAAGTAAGTTGGTTCGACCTCTCTCCAAAAGCATAACTAACGCTGCTATAGCGCCCGGCCCATCGTATCGACGTTCGAAGTCCTCTGTGGAGTGGCAAAGGGCCGTGAACCCCTCGGAGCGCGTCCGGAAAAGATTCAAGAAATGGCGCGTTTGGTGATTCGTGTTTTCACAGTCGCGCTTATTGTCGTATTGGCCATAGTCTTCCCCTCCTTCGACAGGATTATGGCTTTCTTGGGCTCGTTCTTGTGCTTCACCATTTGCATCATTTTCCCGCTTGCCTTCTATCTAAAAATTTTTGGGAAAGAGATCAGTCGAAGAGAGCGCATCCTCGACTGGGCTTTGCTGATATTTTCATCGATACTGGCGACGATCGGAACCGTGTGGGCATTCTTGCCTCGTGAAATGATCTCGGGAACATCTTAGCCATGTGCATAAATTGACCACTTATGACATCAGCCCTTGTTGAGGATAACCGCGAAGTTGTTCCTCTTCACGCCGGGATTGAGCATGTCTTTTTTGAACATCCTGGGCTTGGGGTTCCCAGTATAATGCCATAATTGATAAATGAGCTTGTTGGTTCGTTTGCTTTCCACTAGGTGAAAACCTAAGCTCGCAAAAATCTCGAGGAGCCTCTCTTCCGTAAGGTAGCGTGAGTTATCGATGCAAGCTACCGGCAACACAAAGAAGAGGGTCGGTGTGAAAGTGATGGAGCAAAGAGGTGTCAGGAATTTGACTAAGCGCTTGAGCATGTCGCCGCGGCCTATGGCATCCGGGACATAGTTGAGAACCAAAGACAGACTGATGATATTGAAACGGTCTTCATCCGTAGATGGTAGAGGACGCTCCATGAAGTCCTGCTTGAGAATGCCGGGTTCTTGCGAGTTCAGATCAATTCGCGTCACATCCAACGCCGGGGTCCTTGAGCAGGCATTTTTCGTACTCAATGCGCCGACTTCAAGAACACGCAATTTGGGAAGAGATGGGTCCCATTTGTCTAGCTGTGGCTTGATCCAATCAACCAGTATCTTGCTAGAGTCACCACCGCGGTCCGAGGACTGGCCGAGCTTGCTGGCAATCTGATAACTTTCCAGTCCGCCATTGGCATGGATCTGGGCATCGATGCTGCTGACCCGAGCCTCATCACCGGCCTTCGTAGCCTGTGCCCGCGCCTTAAGCAACTGGTGATGCGAGCGAATGAGGGTACGGGTAGCCTTCGAGGACAGAGCCGCTTGCTTAGACTTGACCGTCGGCGGTCGTCCAGTAGATAGGAGACCGGGCCGTTTGGACCGGCTTTTGGGAGCCATTTGGAAAGTATTGAAGTCTTTCAAACTAGACAAAAGGATAGAGAAATTCTATGCTCTATATAGCTGATCCGGTACACTTGACGAAAAAAGATGAACAAAAATTGCAATTGTTACCCTCAGCCATAAAAAAAAAAAAGACGATGTACTCCAAAACCACGGAATCGAGAAAAAAGCGGCCCCACATGCCCCGTGACCTGCGCTTACTCATCTCCAAGATCACCTGACCCACACAGCGCTAGGGTTTTCGCTTAGCGAAGCCACTCTGAATTGTTCGACTCACGACACTGCGACAATCATCACGACAGCGGACGACAGCCATGGCCCCTACTACCAAGCAAGGTACGTTCCGATCGATGCGACATTGCTACACTGCCTCTACTCCATTGCAAACGGTGCGAGAAATGTGGTCTGGAGGATGGGACTACAAAGTTCAGAAAGAAAATTCATTTTGAAGACGCCGCGCAAAAGAGAGGGGAGTGATGGGGACATCAAGCAAAGGCAGAACAATCGACCTTTTCTCAACGATATTGAATTTTGTTCATTCCTCCGGATTTCACATTCGCCCGCACCGACTCGCAATTTCTTGAAGTGGCAAGGCAATTTTTCATGATTCGCGAAAACTAACGAATATTCTCATCTACAGCTAAGGCTGCCGCCAAGGCAGTTGTTAAGGGATCTTCCGTACGTTCTACCACCGATTGATGACCGATTCTCGCTCCCGGGTCCGGTCAAAATTCGCCATCGCACAATATACTGACATTTTGGGAAATAGCTTCACAAGTCCCGCAAGGTCCGCACCTCGACCACCTTCCACCGCCCCAAGACTCTCCAGCTGTCTCGGTCGCCCAAGTACCCCCGTGTCTCCATTCCCCGTCAGCCCCAGCTCGATGCCCAGAAGATCATCCTCTACCCTCTCAACACCGAGAGCGCCATGAAGAAGATCGAGGAGAACAACACTCTTGTCTTCATCGTTGACGTCAAGGCCAACAAGCGCCAGATCAAGGGTGCTATCAAGAAGCTGTACGATGTTGATACCGTCAAGGTCAACACTCTGGTCCGGTATGGCAATATTTCGATCCACCCCACGACTGTCGTCCAAAGTGCAATTTACTAACTTGGCTAATATAGCCCCGACGGCTCCAAGAAGGCCTTCGCCCGCCTCACCCCTGACGTCGATGCTCTTGACATCGCCGCCACCAAGCTGGCTATCGTTTAAAAGGGCAGAAATGGATTTCTTTGGTTTTAGGCGAACGATGTTTTCCACCGTGGTGATTCTCAATACCAGCCAGTGCCTTGGCTGTATGTGCAGCAACGAGGGCTGAATGATACAAAAAAGAAACATTTCTTGACACGATTTAAACTTGTTCATGAACCTCCGTTTAGGGTCAGATGGCGTAGTACCTGGGTTAATGCGAGCACCGTGCACAAGGGCTAGCAAGTACCTGTAGTAGTAATAACTAGGATTAGCATTCTGACTGCGAGGACACGTCTTGACACACCTGCACTTCAAGTATGGACGACATTGGCTCGCGGTACTTTTGATTAGGACATTGAACTGCTATGCTGCTCCCCACTCCTAATTACTAAGTCTACAAAGAAAGAGGTATACAGGAGATCATTGATTTTTGGCTCTAGTGTACAAAGGACTTCTTAACAGTCCCATCAATCCCAACCCAGATAATGCAGCATATGGGTATGAATGATCTCGTATCATCCCAGCCACAGTTTTGACATATTATATCAAAACGACGGGCACTATCGACACCGTGGTCAAGCTATGGTTCTATCCATAGCCCCAGCCATCGGCAACACTATTGCCGACGTAAATCGAGATCGAGATCGTAAATCAAAGAATAAATTTAGTGGCCACCACGAAGCACATCCAGATGCTTCAAGATGGACATCTGGGTGTCGAACCAGCGCTCAACGCAGTTCTGGGCGCATGCCTCCTCAGCGCGGTCAAGGGTGCCGGAGGTAATGGGCTTGCCACGGATGCACTTGGTGAAACAGACGTCATTCAGGGAGTGAACGGCTGGTGGGTAGAGTCAGTATACATCATTTCAGTGAGGTCGCAAAAGCATAGAGCATTGCTTCTGGATGAAACACATACCCTGCTGGATGCTGGACTTCTGCGCCTCATTGGTAAGGACGGTGTTGAGCTCTTTCTTGTCGGCGTCGCTAAGACTGGAGATATCGACTTGAGTCTGAGAATCCATGGTTGCGAGTTTTCAATGATGGGAAAGATAGAAGGAGAATGGTGAAGCTACGTGCAATTCGACGCAAAATCGAAGGCGGTGGAATCCGGCACAAAAATGACGCGGTGATCATCGCAGTTGTCCCTCGCAAGGTTTCTCTCCAGCGCACCTTGAACTCCGCAAAGTCCTCAAATCACTCGTTTTTAACGGCGTTGCTTCCCGTTTTCTTCTTTTCGCTGTTTCAGTCTTCACACCGCGCTCGCCCATCATGCCGCCCATTCGCACATCCCGTAATCGCAAACCGCCGCCGGCCGGCTTCGACGATATTGAAGACACCCTGCTTGAGTTCAGTAATAAGATGAAAGATGCTGAGAATGCTTCAAGTGAGGGGAAGAAGAAATATGAAGTTCTTTGGCCTATCTTCCAGATCAGCCATCAACGTACGCTCCCCTTTCCCCACTATTGTCTCCCCCGCGAGCGGCGCTTTCATGTTACTAAGTCTCTGCCTCTAGGTTCACGATACATTTACGATCTCTATTATGAAAAGGAAGCCATTTCAAAGCAGCTTTACGACTGGCTTCTCAAGAATAACTATGCGGACGCCAACTTAATCGCCAAGTGGAAAAAGCAAGGCTATGAAAAGGTATGCTGCGTTTCTTTTTCCTTTTTCGCACATTATTCCCTTTCGTTGAGTTTAAGCTACCGGCGTTGACATCTTGCTGACTTTGTTTTCCCTTCTAGCTGTGCTGTCTTCGCTGCGTCCAAACAAAAGAGACCAATTTCAATTCCACCTGCATCTGCCGCGTGCCCAAAGCCCAACTGAAGGAAGACCAAACCATCCAGTGTGTTAGCTGTGGCTGCCGAGGTTGTTCGAGCAGCGACTAGAACCGCGAGTTGAGATGATGAGTGGTTGATATGGGCAAATGACGAGCCAGGTCTGGTCGGGCGTTCAGGTCATGCTGGTGTTCTTTGATAATTAGTTGGATGATACACAATCTGATACCCTTTTGAAACAACATTCAGACAAGTAATGATCTTCAAATTGCTACCTAATCGAAAGCGCCTCCGATTGTGTCCAGACCTAGGTAAACCCATAAAAGATAGAAATTCCAATCCCGATATCCCGAATCATGAAACCATCGCTTGCTCATGTACATCTTAGCATCGTCATTAAGGTCGTAACCAGGCCATCCGGGCAAAAGAGAGTTAAAAGTCAGAATCGGCGCCTCGGCACAGTCCCAAGAAACTCCCGAAAGAAAAGCACCGCCCAATCCTAACCTGGCGACATCCGAGAATTCCAACTCCGCGACCCAAAAGCAAAAAAAGAAAAACGCAGAAAAAATAAGAAGGAGACTATAGGGTAACAAACGGGACACATGCCTGGGGAAAGATGAAACAGCCAGAACTCAATGAGGAGAGGGGAAAGACAAAAACAAAAAAACAAAACTAGGACGCTAGGGTTGATAGCCCACAGGAATCAGCGCAAAGCAGAGGATACAAGGCATCTAGCCGATCCAGAAGACCAAAAAGTCGACGCAAAGTTTTCGAACTTAGAACAGAGTAGTGTTGCTGCGGCTGGTCAAGTGAGGCCGAGCGTGAAGGGGCTTGGGCTTCAGAGTGTCGTCTTTGGAGGCACCACCAATCTTTTGGAAGCCCTGTAAGAGATCAACCCCATCCACCTCGCCACTGTCATTGCTCTCATCAAATAGATGAAATGAGAAGAAGTCGTCCTGGCTAGTATCCCCAAGTCGACCAATACCAGGGAGTTTAGAGGGGGATTCGGGGAACACAGCTGACTTTGACCGACTCAGAGGGGGCATACCCATCCGACTGTTGACGTTGACCGACGTGATATCAGCAAGGGCAGTGCTCCCACTATCAGTCCGAGGACGCTTGACAGAGCGCTTTTCAGGTGAACCATACGTGGCAGATGAAACGTGCTCATCATGCGAATCCGCAAAAACGTCGAAAGTTGTATGGAAATGGTCCTGAGGTGTATAGGATGAATCCTGGAGATTGAACGCAGGGCTCCAGGGCAGATCATCGTCCGCAAGGCCCAGGTGTTTGATGGGAGAGTTGACCATCTGCTGGATCTTTCGGCGATGATTACGAAGGTTGGTGTTTGGAGACACCGAGGGCGGCGGCTTGGCTGGCTTTTTGAACTTGATGATTGGCGTCAACGGAGGGGGTAGCATACTGACAAACTCTCCCCTTAATGGAGAAGAGCCTACAAGAATTCCGGCCTCCTTTCTGTGACCTGGCTGTCCCGGGCTGATATCGTGAGATGAGCTGCGTATCCGTGCAATCTCTTCCTCAGCACGGCCTCGTTTGATGCGCGGCGGCTCGATATCCAAGTCAGAGGTCAAGATATGCCCCGCCTTATTTGGCCTCAAGGCAGATGACTCCAAGGAGGAGAAGTAACCACTGTCATTCATAGTAACAGACTTGCGCTTTCGAGGACGCTGGGCGGGCGTTGGGCCAGCCTGAGTTGGTGTGGGAGGTGTTCCTTGGCGCGCAAAGCGAGGAGGAGCAATGGGAGGCGAGGATCGGAGAGTTGGTGGCGGAGGGGAGGATCGGAGGGGTGCTGTTTGATGCGATAGCAACTGGGTATTCTCATCAGGAGCATCTTCTTGCAGAGCGGGATCAGATGCAGGCAAAGTGGCATCAGACGACAGGTCATCATTGCGAGTGAGTTTTGGTGGAGGCGCGTGCCGAGCGGGAGGGACCATCCAGGTTGTGGTGCTTGCACTCTGCGGCTGGGGAATCAGGTCGCGCTGCGGGACCGCAGGGAGGGGCAAGCTAGACATCGTGGCACGTCGGACTTGCTTGTCCTTCAAGAACTGCATCTCCATGCCGGGCTCGATAGCCCAGTAGTTACCCTTGCCAGGGTCATCCTTAGGGCGCTCCTGCTTAATGAATGCCTTGTTGAGACTCAAATTATGTCGAATGCTGTTCTGCCAGCCAGGATCGCTGTTCTTGTAGTAGGAAAACGTGTCGGAGATCCACTTGTAGATCTGGGCTAACGTCAACCGTCGGTTGGACGCGCGCAAAATGGACATGCCGATCAACGTCGCGTAACTATACGGCGGCTTGGTGCCGTCATCTTCGATGGATGGCATCTCGTGTGGTTCGGGGAGGTGAGAGATGGGAGCGTCTTCGCGCTTTTGCTTCTTCACATATCGCTCTTTCAAGGGTGCGGCTTCCATGAGAGTGCGTTTCATCGGAGCTTTGGCGTCAAAAGTAGGTTCAGGGAAGTCGGCGAAACTGCCATTGGATGGATCTTCCGGGTTTTGATTCTCTTTGGTAGACTCTGGGTTGACACTGGAGAAGGTGGTGAAGAGGGCCGACTGTGGCATGGAGGACTGAGTGTAGATGGGGAAAGACGGCTTCTTGGTAGGAGAGTCGGTGGTGAACATGGGAGGAGCGGGAGCAGAGATTGGGACGAAACCAAGTTTTCTACCGGGATGCGAGCCCTGGGCTGATAGGCCTTTGGTCGGCGATGGCCTGTGCACGGTAGGGTGGAATGGATTTTCAATGGGCTGCAATGGTAGCGGTGAGGGTTGAAGACGAGGCTGCGATTTGATCGCCGAGTGTGCAGATGGGGCCAGGGCCGGGGAATTGTGAGCGCCGAGCGCTGAACGCGTCGATCCCATGGTCTGACAGCAGAGTAGCAGGCAGTCACGTCACTAATCCGCAGTAGGGACTATATGACGCGTCGGAATCACACAGGCAGGCGCGACGTTGGTTCCGATGTGCTGCAATGGGTTCACCAGAGCCGAGCCGACAGTGATAGTGACAGGACTGGACTGGACGAAAAGATGTCCAGTTGGGCCAATTGCAATCCAGAGAAGGGATTCTAGTCAGCTAGCCTCAGGCCGTCATGCAGCTGAACTAGTTGAGATGGCGAACGTTGGGCCACAAAGCGCTAAAGAGACGACTGACACGTCCGATATGACCCAGGCAGGTCGAAGTTGGGGATGTCGCCGTGGTGATGATTTCCCACGAGATGGCTGCAAGATGTTTTAAATGCCCGAGGGATGGTAAATTGGCCAGAAAGCCCAGATGAACAGATGCGCAGATGGGCAGATACGAGTGATGAAAGGCCGAATGGGCCGGGAGCCTGACGTCTAGCAAAGATAATGGGGGAATTTGGTGAGGACAAGATCAGACACGGGAAGGTTCTGGACGTCGCGCCCTTTTGTCCTTTTTTTTAGGCTTCCTTCCTGTCCCCTCGGAGTAAAGACGATGCAGGTTTCCTTTGGAAGTGGGGGAAAAGAGGAGAGTAGACGGGCGCAGATGGCGAGGGTGCAGGGCAGGTATGGCCCATGGTCCATACCCGTCCGGTATGGTATGCACGCGCGCGCGTCACGCGTCTTTTGGTTGGTTTCGAGGTAATAATACGGTCACGGATGACAGTACGACGGTTTCCCAGACGTACGAAGGGATTGGCGCTCCTTGCTCGAGGCATTGGTGATGCGCGGATCTGCTCTTAGTTCAGAATAGTGGACTATGGCTGAAGTATGCGCTCCACTCCGTACTTGCATCTACTTCCCGACTCGATCTTGATCTTGCCAATCTATAAATCTCTTTTTGGACCTTCCCTTGCACTCGACTCTCTTTACCCCATGCGCTAGATTATTATGCTATAACCCAATTCCACCCCCGTCCTATAATTGTTCTATAATTAAATTTGATCGACTCCCCTGATCATCCGCGCTGTGGTATGCGGATGTAACTCTGAGACAGCGGTTGCGTCTCACCCCTTGTTCATCCCAGCCTTCAATAGGCCTATGCGCACCTTGATCTCCTCGACTGAGGTTCATCTCGAGGTTAGTGGCATAGGTACTGCACGAGACTTGCGAATCATCTGCATATAATCTGTAGTCTATAGTCTTAAGCTGTGTAGAATCTTCCCAATGGATGGATGCCCTTGCATGCTCTTTTCAGGAACCCGTTCATGTACATTGTATGCGACAAAAAAAGATACGTCCCTCGAATCTTGAAAAGAGACCTTTTTGTCTAAATCGAAAGAAAAAGTTTGACACAACGCCACGCCCATGCATCGAACAATGAAAAGCATAATGCTCAGTCCCTCCAGCTCCCTTCTAAGAGTCCCTGGAGGTGGATGCACGCCAACTTTTGTCGGAGGAAAAAGAAAAGATGAAGAAGAAGTGGAAACAGAAGAAGCAAAAAGGCAAATGTATAGAAAATAGTGAGGAACCGGCCCAAGGGATATCTAAAACGACAATGATGGTTGTTCACGGGACATCTAGTCCAAGAACGTGAACATGCTTGTATGGATGATATTGAGAGCGCGATCCGCATCCCGCTCTTCAATGACGCAAGAGATGTTGATTTCGCTTGCACCTGCAGGGGGGAAAAAGACGTGCTGGTCAGCTTCATCCTTGAAGGGCAGAACGTGAGGGGTGGTGGAGTGTTGAGGATCGACCCATTGACTCACCTTGCGAAATCATCTCAATGTTCACATGGTTCTCCCCGAGCGTGGTGAACATACGTCCCGCCACACCAACCATATTCTTCATCTGTTTGCCCACCAAGCTGAGAATGGCCATCTCCGGGATAATGTCAACCATTCCGTACTTGCCCAGATCATTGAGGGCGCCCTTCAGGTCATCATCAATGACCTGATATTCATCCCTGCCATTTCCATTCAACAGGGGCACCTCCGAATGCAGAGCCATCGACACGTGGACCTCGCTGGTCGAGATCAGATCGATAGACAGGCGCCATTTGTCCAACACGGAGAAGATACCGGCAAAGAACCCGTGGGACAGCGATCGCTTGTTCGAGTGGACGTTAATTACAAGAATCTTGTGCTTAATGGTCACGGCTGTGGGCCGCTTCGGCTTCTGCATGAAACTGGGGCTGCGCGTGCGGAAGAGGCGAGGATCGTGGCCAGGTGTGGTCCGTTCGAGCTCAGCAGTCGAGTCGGGGAAGATGATGGTGCCTGGGCTCTTCGGGTTCATGACGTTTTTGATGCGGATGGGGATTTTGGCGCGGATGACCTGCTCCATGGTGAAGGGGTGAATCACTTCGGATCCGTAGAAGGTCAATTCGGCGGCTTCGGCGGGCGTGATGGCGTGGAGAAGGCGGGCTGTGGGCACTTTGCGAGGGTCTGCAGTGAAGATTCCATCCACTTCCTTCCAGACTTGGAGCTCCCTCGCATGCGTACCGACAGCAATGAGGGCGGCGCATAGGTCGGTATAGCCACGGCCGATCTGGTCGAGCAATCCACCAGGGATGGTACCAAAATAGCCCGTCATCACAGGGACCCGATGGCCACACTCCTCGACCTTCTTGCCCAGGATGGCAGCCAATTTATTGTAAAAGTCCTGATCAAGACCCTGCGCACCAATGGGGAAATTGATAATCTCGGACAAATCCACATACTGTGAGTCTACCCCGCGGTCCTGCAGCAAGGCGGCCATAAGCCGACAGCTCAGCTTCTCACCCGTACTCATTACCTTGTCCACACAACGGGCACTGATCTCCCCGAGGGTCTGGGCGGCCTCGAGGACCTTGAGGACCCGTTCGCATTCCCCATTGATGTCGGCCACCAATTGATCCTTCAGATCCACTGATTTCAACTGTTCCGCGGCGACTTGGACGTGCTCCAGGCGAACGGCCTCGACGAATTGTTCATACTCCCGTGAATGAGGGTTCTCGGCATCCCGGGCTGCCCGCAGTAACCTAGTAGACAACGCGTTAGAAGATCAGGGATCGAAGTCGACTTTGACGCTTATATATGACTCACCGGTTAGTGGTGCCTTCGGCTTTTGTAGAACTGCTTCGGGCGGAGCAGACCACGGCGACTCGATTGTCCACGAGGCTCGGTCTGTGTGAGGACATTGCTTGTTAGCACAGAGTCACAGGCTATTCCGTCACAGTGGAGCGGGGCGATAACGTACTGGACAACCTGTTCAATTATGTTCAAAGCAAACTTGCCGACGCTGGTGCCGCCAAATTTTTGAACGACCCAGTTGCTATGGACCCCATAGGCCTGAGGATGATCCTGAAGCGACATGGCCGATGATAGAACCCGGGTAAAGAGACAGATGAAGTTCACAACATGCAGATGGAGGGGAAGTAGCGAAAGCGGAGGAGTGGGCCGGCTGTGGCATCCTCATATTTTTATTTCTTTTTCCGGGTGAGTCAGTCAGATTTCATCAAATTGAGTTTTTCCGCCTTCCACTCCAGGCACGCGATATCGGAGATGCTCCGCCAATCACGCCATCGGGGCCGGCTTCCCAAAGCGGAAATGACGTAGATAGACCTGTCCTTGCCCTCGTTCTCTTCCACGTGCTCGTGCCTGAGGCAGAGATGTTGTACTGGACGTGTAGGCGACTTGAGACCTTGGGGCGCCCGGGGGGGGGGGAATCTCCGTTGATTAGCGGGTGCGATCGAATCTGCCATGGCCCGCAATAGAGTGTGGTACCTGACAGATCCAGGAGTAGAGGTACATTGATCCCACGCCATAGAAGCAGGGGAGGCGTTCTGGTCCCAACCGTTTCACAATTTTAGAATTTCGCTTCTATAGGAAGGATCTCTCTGGCTACATGCTTGCAGTGATGGTGCAGGGTTGAATTGAAGGCTCTGGTGATCTGCATGAGTGCTCTGGGATACCCTTTTTTATGTCCAACACCGAGACCTCCCAAGATATATTTCGCCGTAACTTATACCTCGGGCAATTTGAGATATCCCAGAATCACATAATCCACATGCCTAGGGATATTCCAGGGCAAATAGACCCACGGCAGTGGCAGTGCACTTGCACGAAATGACGCTGGCTTTCACCCAGTAGATGAAGCCAGTGTGCTGCGGCAGGGTGTACTTCCCCGGTGACTCGAGCGAAGGTGGGTCCGCGACCGCGCCGAAATATCCTTTTCGTCCAACTCTACAGATCGGCATCTTGGAGCAACAGTTCAAGATTAGTCTGGTTTCTGTGCACGAATAGTGACCATTGGTGACAGGTGACACGTCGAAACTCATATTTTACTTCCTAGCAAGAGTATCCGTTTTGCGAATGGCAGCATCGACCATCGTTGCCTAGATCAAATGGCCGACCACGATACACCAAGCTGCCCATTTTGCCCGTTCACTGATTCGGATGCCACGTTTGTCTCAGCGCATATCGATTACTGTCATCCCGAGGCTGCTGCCGGCTCAGCCGTCCAGGATTCAGACGCCCTCGATGCCAGTCTATCGCCATTATCGCCACCTGTAGAGGATGCCACAGATAAATATGTGGACTGTCCTCAAGGCTGTGGAGAAATAGTCACGGCCGCTGAACTCTCGAATCATCTGGACTTGCATATCGCAGAAGGGATGGCGCTGGATGACGATGGCGCTGGCCAGAGTCTCTTTCCGGAAAATCTAGTCTCCAGCGAACACGACCTCTCAGACGAGGACGAATCGTTAGCCCCCGCGGAGACTCGAAAGGGCGGCAAGCGAAGCAACGATCGATGGTTGGCCAAAGCGGGTTCCTCTAAGTCAGGCCGTGCGCGGAGTCCCTCAAGTACAGTGGGCCCAGATGGCGCGAAGAGGCTCGGAGTCAGTGTCCATTTTTCGAGCTGCAATCTGTAATGGAACATTGGCTAACACCGAGATCATTAGCGCGCCGAGCTGGGCCCTCATGCGCATGAGAAGAATATGCCTTCGTGGCTAAAGAAGATGCTGGAGAAAGGTGGTCGAACCACAAAACAAACCCAGATCACACCGGATGGGAAGCTCGCAAGACACTCGCGAGTCGAGAATGAGACAGAACACCTCATACCAGTCATTGCGAATCTCTGCGAGCAAGACAAGTCTGTTGAACGCGCTTTTCTTTGTAGCCCCATGGTCCGCCACGTCTGCAAAATGCCTCGCGAGGGCGGGTTCTGTGGCTATCGCAATATACAAATGCTAATTTCTTACGTTACGAAAGCTCGAGCTCCAGGCCATGAACATTTTCCGAGGGGTGTCCCCACGATCCTCGAGATACAAGATATGATCGAGCAAGCCTGGGATATGGGATTCAACAGCACTGGAAGAACCGAAACTGGAGGAATCAAAGGCACTCGAAAATTCATCGGAACACCCGAGGTGGAGCTCTCCAGACAAAGAATTGGATATTTGCTGACCATCGCACAGGCACAAGCTCTCTTTATGAGTCTTGGTATCCAGTCAGGCTCACTCCATCAACAAGGCTTTGTATGCAACTAACTCCATCTAGCTGTGACGCGAGTAGCTTGGCAGAGTCAAAAGACATGCGAGCCTGCGACGCCCTGTATATTGATGTAGCTGCCTATTTCCGAGCAGTATGTTCGCTCGATGCCACGGAGAAGGTTTTCAAGACCGATCTGCCGCCAATATACTTCCAACACCAAGGTAAGACCCTGTGAATTTCTTCCACCAACCTCAGAGACTGTACCTAACCTCAGACATAGGCCATTCAATGACTATCGTGGGCTTTGAGATTCGCGATAACGGCAGTGCCAATCTGCTGGTTTTCGATCCGATGTTCAAGACGTCTCCTGGAGTCCAGCGTCTCATCGGGTCATCAGCCAGGTCTGACAACCCGGCTCGTCTACTCAAAGCTTACCGGCGGGGATCTTCTTATTTGCAAAAGTACAAACTTTTCGAGCTCCTCAAGTAAGTCACAATGAATCTCCGGAGGTTTCGAGGTACTCATGATTGTAGGTTGTGCAAACACGATCCAGCTCGAACTACCAAGTCATGAGATCAAAGAACAGCATGTCATTGAAGTAAGCGAGCATATTAAAGGATTAGATACATACTTTGTTTTGGTCATTTCACAAGCATTAAAGTACATAGCTTGAGTACATAGCTTGAGTACATAGCTTGAGTACATAGCTTGAGTACTTAGCTTGAGTACATTATGATTTTCTTTCATATTGATAGTTACGACTTGAAGTGGGTATACCCTGGATCAGCCACTGCGATAAGATAACCGGGGGGGCAATGTTAGTCCGGGATATTATTTCGTCTGGGGAATCCCGTCTTCTTTGTCCCTTCCCTCAGATCTAACCCTTGTTGTCTTTCGTTTCTTTGACGCTGTCACAAATAATGCGACGCGCCCCGAATGTAATTGTCACCGGCACCCCCGGAGTGGGCAAGACCGTGCACTGCGAGCAGCTGGCGCAGGATCTCGGGCTCAAGCACCTGTCCGTGAACCAGGTCGCCAAGGACCGCGATTGTTACGAAGAATACGACGAAGAGCGCAAGAGCTGGGTCGTTGATGACGATAAAGTATGTTTGCCGGATTGCGACTGTGGTGTGACACTCGTGCAGCATGGGCGGGAGTTTTTTTTTTCCCTGCCCGCATTGCTTTGGTGGGGTCAAACGGTCTCGAAGTTCTAGAGTGTCTTGCGCAGAAGCTGACTCGATCTGGGATATAGCTGCTAGATGCCATCGAGGACGAGGTGCTACAGGGTGGGTATCTCATTGATTGGCACGCCTGCGACATGTTCCCCAAGTCCTGGATCGATCTTGTCGTTGTTCTCCGCTGTCCGCAGACATCAGTCCTCTACGACCGTCTTTCTTCGAGGTATGGCATGTTACTTTCTCACATTCATGCAGATCTAACCAGTGCATTCCTAGGGGCTACCACGAAGAGAAATTACAAGAGAATCTCGACGCCGAGATCTTCGGTGTCCTACTCGAAGAAGCACGCGAATCGTACGACGAGGAAATTGTCGTGGAGCTGAACAGCGAACAGGACTCCGACGTCGAGGCCAATTGCGCGAGGATCTCACAATGGGTACAAAACTGGAAGGACCAGCACGCGGAATGAACTCAAGCCTTTGTCTTTCTCTATGATCTGCTGTATCTATCTATACCCAACGCCACCATTTTACTGTTGTCCTTCGGCCAGCCAGTGCTGGAACTTGACCAGAGCCTTGTACCGATGGGAAACCCGGTTCTGATAGGTCATTAGTTCTGGTCGCAACGCTGGTGTGGATCCAAAAGCGATTGTTTACCTTTGCCTCTTTGTCCATCTCGGCGTAGGTCTTTCCCTCGTACTCGAAGATGGGATCCCAACCTGAAAGGCCCCAAATTAGTAGATGAAGTTGCCGCAAAAGATTCCTAGACACATACCGAAGTTGGTCGGGCCTCGCGGCCGCACAATAGTTCCCTGCGTAGAATTAATTTCGAGCCCGCAGTCGATTCTTCATAGAGGCTTGACTCACTTCGGTACGTCCCTGGAACAGAATGGGCTCGGCTCCAGGACCCCGGCAAAAGGCAAAGGTGCATACGGCTTCGGCGGACCGATTGTCGAACCCATCAAGCATCTTGTTCAGCCCTTCGAGACCCAAGGATTCCATGAAGGATTTACTAATTTGGAACTTAGCTGCCGAGGGAAGGCGCCGTGACGGGGAGAACTTCCTTACATGTAGGGTCCGGGCAGGCCCTTCAGAGCGTGGAATTCCAGCGCAGTATCTTCTGTCAAGGCCGGGCCATTGATCTAAATTTTTTCCAGAATGAGCTTCAACTTGCGGAAGCGACTTCAATCGAACATACAGTCTCGGCAGCCCGACGGGCCTTTTCTTTCGCGATATCTTCGATCGTGCCTTGGATTTCCGGCACATCCACGGCCTGACTGTCGACCTCGATGACGTTCCCAAGAATGGCGCGTACCTCGGTGAGCTTGTTCCTGTTGCCAGTGATGAAATTGACTTTGGTCAGGGTCATGATGGCGTTTTGGAGGTGTTGCCGGGAGTTGTAAGATGAGTTGAGTTGGCTCCACCGCATTCCCCACGGGAGGATACCGCTCAACCCGTGCATTGATTTACACACTACACACAGCTAGACTGTAAACTATTTCATTGAACAGAGTCATATGCAGCACTGTATTGCAAAACCCGAGTCCACTCAGGCATATGGTCGTGGTGAGATTTCACCGGTCGTAATCCGTAGCTCACAGAAAAATTCAACGTCTAATATACAGATCTACTCCTCCAGAACCCCGTTATCGATTTCGAGCTTCTCTTGTTGCGCCATCGCCTGCGCCGACACAATTTCCGCCAGTCGTTTCAGACGCGGCGTCTGAAGCCCTGATAGGTAGTTAGTAAGAGGCATGCGAGGAAGCGTAGGTGGAAAAAATGTCGTCACGTACAAGATGGAGTGTATGTCTCCAGGGCCGTGATGACCCTGGGCTCGGCGATCTCATAGGGACCGCTGTCTTCCATATCCACCGGAGTCAGCAAAAGAACGTCACTCTTCTCCGTGACCCGGGAAGCAACGGCCTTCATAATCTCGCCGTTAATAGGCTGTTCGTAGTCCGCGACGAGGTACTGGTTGAGAAGCTTCTGAATTTGGTTCGGGGAGAGCCTGAACAAATTGTTCGTCAATATCGTACCACACACAACGGACGTTAATTCGACTTACATCCAGCAGATATCTTGAATGATTTCAATATCATTCAAAGTAGCCTTCTTAAGCTGAAGAAGCTTAGTCGCTTGCTGTGAGGGTGTAAGTAAAGACGTAAGACCTCAAAGAATATTTGGGCCGGAAAACTATACCATCAGATGCTCCAGCTGTAGCGTTCCCTCTGGCATGTCATGGCTCTTGCACCACTCCTCAATACGGGTAATGTTGTAATTGATCTGGAGACCCCGCTTCCACGACAGGAAGTTTCGTCGCATGAGAAGGTCATTAAACGCCGTCACACCGACCAGCCGCAGAAGCTCTGTAACAGTCTGCGTGATGATGGTGTCCTCCAGGTAAAACGCCTTCATTGCTCTATACACGCCATTCAGAAGGCTCAGCAGATTGTCCATGCTATATGCTGGGTTGTTGTTCGAGGGCAAAAGCTTGCCGAGAAAACGGTTCGTCTCGCTAGTAACGAAACCAGGTAGTGATTGCGACTCAATGATAGCCGGGACAATCATTTTGTACAGTTTCTTCTTCAACACCTTCATCCATGTGTGGTAGATGTTGAACTCCAAGCTCTCCAGATCATGCTTCACAATTTCCAAAAGACGATCATACTCGTAGTTATCGGTCTTCTGGGCTTCGTACCAATCCTCAGCCAGGAACACAAACGACAACATTTCGTGCACGTTCGATAGCCAGAAAGCGCCAGGGTTGACAGCGTCATCACCATCATGCTGCATGACTTCTTGCTGGATCGACTGCATGACGTTGGCCAGGAAGCGCTCGGATTCCTTCACGAAACCGTTGTTCCACATCTCGGAGGTAACCAGATTGATCAAGTACGCAGGGAACAAGACTTCCTTTTCGGTCGGAGGTGGGGTAGAGCTGGGAAGGGGAATCTTCAGATTGCGAATGAGGCCCATGGTGACCTCCTCATTCAAGTCTTCCTCTTCGGACAACAAGTTCTCGAGCTCTGCCTCGACCGAATCCAGACCTGGGGCGATCGCTGCGCCTGAGCGAGCCGCACCAGGACCAGGGATAGCCATCGATACTGGGCGTGGGTTGTAAGCCCCACTGAAGCGATCGGTATCGATCTTTTCTGCACCGGCGCTGCGTCGCTTGGGCTTGGGCTTCTTGGAAGATACCAAGTTGATCAAGCTGCTGGCGGCAGCCGGAGCTGCACTACCATTGGGCAAATCGCCATTGAACCCATTGACCGGCACGGATCGCTTGGCAACCTCCAGCTGTTCCTCCAATTCCGAGACGCGTTGACGAAGAGCAGACTTTTCCTTCTCATGGTCGCCGTCGAGCACCTTGAGGCGCTCTAGCTCCTCATTGGTCACACGAAGTGCCTCGCGGGAGACTCTCTCCTCCTCTTGGAGACGCTTGATGGTGGCCTGAGCTTCAGCGTGACTTTGTTGGATCTTACTCATCTCCTCCTCAACGGCCTCTAGGCGCGCTGCTGTGATCCCGGCCTGATTGGCCTCGGCCTGGAGTTCTTTGGCACGGGCTTCCAGGGTGTTGTGTCTGGTCCGCCATGATTTCAGCTGAGTTTCGTAATTCTCGAGCTGGGAGACCAAGGACTTGTTTTCACGCTTCAGTGACTCCAAGTACTGTGTAAGCTCCACGACTTTGTTCTCAAGCTTGTAGGAGATCTGCTTCAGATCACGTGCTTCCTCACGCAGGGACTTGTAGATCTTCCTAGCCTGCTTACGTCGCCACAAGTTCTGAACAATGACCACTTTGTGGCGATACTGTCGCCAAGAACGTAGTTGACGCCATGAGCGGAAAGCCCGTTGAATGACCTTGGCGGCATTACCATTGATAGAGTCCATGATGTTTCGTCGGCAAAGGAAACCCTTCGTAACGGACTGGAACAGGATGAAATTCCGTCGAATCTCGTTGTACCGTTTCCTGTCCTTCGACCCGCGCCAGACTCTTTGAATCGTGGTAGCAGCCTTTGTTCGACGAATCTCCTGGGCCTGCTGCCTTGCTAAAAATCCACGAATAAAGGCTTGCGTGGTGAGAATAGATTCGCGTGCCTCCAGATAGCGGCGGCGGTAGTACTTGCATCGCAGGTTCTTCTGGATCATAATGGCACACTCGTTCAGTCTCGACGTGCGTAGGTTCTCTAAGAAGGCGAGCATGCCAGCCCGGAAGAAGATCTTGGTGAGACCCAGCTGGTACTTGTCCTGTTTTTGGTGGCTGGCATCACCCAGTGCCTTGCGAAGAATGGCATGACACATGTCTCGGATTTCCGAGGTCCACTGGGAAGAATGGCAAAGCATGTAGTAGCGAATAGCAAATTCCTCGTATGTCCACCGAGTGGGATATCCTGCAGTACTGATTCTCACAGTCTCGAGGACACCGCAAGCTCTCAGCTGACTGAGGACCATTGGCCCCTCGAACTTCCAGGCTTCCTTGGCTTCATTGGGCTTAATGCAACGGATGTAATGCACCTCTGTAGAATTGATCGTGCCCATCAGCTCGATCAAAGAGGACTTGAAAATCCCTCCAAGCGTGGGCTTACGGTTGACGGCAACACCAATGCGACGGCCCGGGGCTGCTGCAACCGCTTTGGATGAAACCGCTGCCGAGTCCTTGTCGCGCACTGCAGCGGCAGTGTCAAGTATCTCTTTGATGAACCCATTGGATGAGTTACGCAAGACCTCCAGGTGCTCGTCGGGAACGGTGTCGCGGTTCTTTTCGATAAAGCCGTCGGACTCGTACGTGACATCAACAGCATAATGGCAAACAGTAAACGCAGACTTGCCGAAGCGAGGCTTCTTGTAAAATTTCTGCTTATCGGCAGCAAAGTGATGATGAAGCTTGGTGACAAATTGCTCATCAGAGCCCATGGGAAGGCGCGACTCTTCATCAAGCAGCGCCAGAATTCCAAGCTTTGCCTCGATCAAGTCTATACACGGCTGATTGTCCGAGAAATCAATGAAGGTCCAGTCAATTTCTTCACGAACGTATTCTTCTTGCTCGAGTTTGAAGACGTGCTGGTTGAATTCCTGCTGCAGCTTTTCGTTCGCGTAGTTGATACAGAACTGCTCAAAGGAGTTCTTGGCGAAGTGCTCGAAACCATAGATATCCAGCACGCCAATGAAGGTAACAACCCTGCCGAGGACCTCATCAGTAGCCAATCCACGGTTAATCTTGTCCACCAGCCAGTCGAAAAGACTAGAGTAGATGAACTTAGCAACTGAGTCTCGGACCACAAGGGCTTGCTGCTGGGTGAGATTGGAAGTAATCTTTTCGCCTCGAGTGATGAGCTGTTTCTTGACAATCCACTTGGCAAACTCGGTGGCATCAATTCCAAGCATATCACAAGCACGCACAAGCGACGGCTCCGATGACGACAGTGACGATTCTGTGCGAGTCGCAGTAATCTTCACGTTACCGAGTTGCAGCAAAGCGGCAAGAATCCGGAAAATTTCAGTCTGATCATGCTGAGACACCCCGATGGTGGCCAGCGATTTCCTGGTCGCATCGAATTCGGCCTTGTCGTCAACACCTTCAATGATTGGGGTACCACCCTGGTTGAGATACTCGAAGTCTTCGACCGGCAACAGACCTAGCTCCTGCTTCTCCTCGTCGGTGGCACCAGCCACTAGTTGGTAGAAAATGTGGTAGTTGCGCTCCTTCAGAGGCTGGAACACAAGTCTCGAGCGCTCAAGCAAGTAGGTCCGGATCTTGGCACCGATGATGTTGGTCTTATCGTCGAACATGATCTCGATGTATTTACCGAATCGGGACGAATTGTCATTTCGGGTGGTTTTGGCATTGCCAAACGCTTCCATGACCGGGTTCGTAGCGAGAATCTGTTCTTCCGTCTCACTGATCGCGTCCGCTCGGCTCGTCGTGTATTTTCCAGGTTGATCCGAGGACTCACGAGTCGCAAAGTACCGCATGATGTATTTGGCACTCACGGTCTTACCAGCTCCTGATTCACCAGAGACAACGATTGTCTGGTTCTTTCCATCGCGAAGCATGTCGCTATTTGTGTGTATCTGTTAGCAGATATTTCATCAAGAGACATAGCTAAGAACGAAAGGTAGCGCTTACGCAAAAGCCTCCTCTGCAATGGCAAACAGATGTGGTGCCTGCGATGCACGCTGCTTGCCAGCGTAGACCTGCACCATTTGCGGCACATAGAGGGAGTCTACACGCGCGAATGGGTTGGTTGCGATCAGGACAATACCACTGTAAGTATATATCTCTTTCTGGGCATAGCGGAGCTTTATAGCCTGCAGGACTTCAAAGCCGTCAGCTGAGGGAACAAGGTAATGGGCTGTTTGCGGGACGAACCAGCAGGCTCATTCAAATGGGACAGATTGGTCAGGTCCTCGCTTGCCTCTAACATGGCAGGGTTCATCAATGGCGGCAGATTCGAGTTGTTATCGACCTGCAGCTCGGCCTGCGTGGTCTCCACGGTTTTTGTCTGTTTATATCATGACTCCGATCAGTATTTGTCCAGTCTTTTGCTCCAGCCCAGCGGCGCTATGGGCAAAGAGACTCACCTCGCCATTCTCAAGCTCAAATACCAGCTGCACCTTCTCTCCATCCACCAGCTTCTCCTTGACCTCGGAGGCCACCCAGCCCTCTGTCGGGTCGGGTTGCCAGGCCCTTGTGCCGACCTCATAGATATGCGCCATGGAACCGGTGTCCGACAGCAGTGTCGAATGTAATCAAGGATCGAAGAGAAAGACGTAGGGCAGGAAAGCGTCTAAAGAATGCCGGATGGAAGGTTCGGGGGAATCGGGTACAAGGGGATAGGGTAAATCAATCACAGTCGCAAACGAGCAGTCCAAAGACAAGGGGTCTCACGGTGACCCCTCATCGGCTCATACTTCGAAAGAAGGGGAAAAGAAGGGAAAAGAAAAGAAAGTCTTTGAAGGTTGTGAGGAGGAATCACTTGTAACAGCTGGCTATTTAGCGAGAGAGCCCCTGAGCTTTTGGGAAGCAGTTGGGGGTGCCGCGCCACACCCCACAGCCCTGTCACCGCCATCCGTTTCAGCTCTGCTCTGCTTCTGCTTCTGCTTGTGCTCGTGTTTGTGCTTCTACTACACATATGCGTCTAGTGGATGAGTTTCCGAAAGTCGAAAACCGACATTATCATGGGGCAATTGTAAGATTTAGCACCATTATCTGGGTATCCCTACCTATCGCAGGTGTCCGAATATACAGAATGATACAGAAAGATACCTACCACCTCCCAGCAAGACATGGTCCGTCAAAGTGGCCCTGGTCTAGCTTCTTGTTAATATATTCGATGTGAGAAGCTTTCGTGGATACTATGGGTATCGCTCTGGATTCAGCAGCTCTTCTGAGTTTCTAATCAAGCAAATAGCATAGGTTCATCACACCTACAGACTACCATAGAAGCACAGGCTACACCTACTCCTGAATGAATCAACGAAAAAAAAAAAACAAGGTCGTGTCTATCGCCAGTGCCCTCTCGACAACCCAGGGGCTGGAGGCGAATATTACACACTGATTATGCCGATTGATTGGGAAGTATTAGGTAGACAGGGGACATGGAAAAATTTCACGCAGTGCAGGGAGACAAAGGCATCAGTGAGAAAAAGAAAACGTAGCAAAATAACATCAACGAGTAATTCCATGAAGCATTGAGGTCTGGGGCCGGAGCGGCTAAACTTTTTTTCTTTCTTAGTTTTGCTTGCACTCGGCAGCCTCCTTCTTGGGCTTGGAGCTTCCGTCCTGGAGGGCAGTTAGCTTTTGAACAGAGGAAAACGAGATAAGGTTAGATGAATGTACCTCTTCATCCGAGTCATCCTCAACGTCACGGTCAGATCCTCGCTCGTCATCATCCTCGTCCTCATCCTCGTCCTCGTCCTCGTCCTCGTCTTCATCCTCGAACTCATCGGGCATCTCATCGCCCAGCTCTTCGAACTGAAGAGCCTCACCGGTAAACCAGTCGATCGCACGGGGGATCAGCTTCTCCTTAATGTCCTCGCCCAATTGGTAGTCCAGTTCCAGACGCTCTTCAATATCGCTGGCGACGGACTCGTCGTCATCGGTGGGGGGGTTGCGGGGAGAGAAAAAGTTGAAGAAGGATTCGGTAGGCACGCTGATCTTGACAACGCGGGTCTGCTTGGTGTCTAATGAAGCTCGTTAGTAATAAAGAGAAACATGAGAAGGATCCCACATACTCTTGTTGCGCTGCTTCTTGCTCTCGAGGCGAAGAGTCAAGTCCTGGTCGGCCTTCCACTCGATCTTGGAACCCTCGGCGTGATCGTAGATGAAGTCACCGCCGTATCCGTTCTCGTCCTTGTAGTAGTAGGTCTTGGAAATAGTCTTGTTGGTGAAGAACTCGTTCTCGGAGAACTCGAAAATGAGGCGGAATCCGGGTCGGTCAAGGTACTCCATACGAATGTCAGTGAGGTGCTTGAGGGCCTCCTCATCCCGCTCGGTGATCATCTCTGCAAGAGAGATCTGGTTCTTCATGGCAGACAGCCAGAACTCGGGGATACCGCTCGTGGACTCGCTCTCGTCCTTCTTCTCTTCCTCGATCTCCTTGGTCTCTTCTTCCTCTTCTTCCTCATCCTCCTTTCCGGCCTCTACCTCGCTTTCGGTCGGCTCGACACCACCGTTCACGATCGTGGATCGACGTTGGTACAGCGGGGTAAACTTGGCAAAGTACTTCTTCTCGAGCTCCAGCACCTCTTCCTGGAACTGAGCCTCGAGCTTGGCGTGCTCCTTCTGGATTCCCTTTAAGCCGGCGACACGGCGGCGGACAACTGGGGGGAGAGATTCGATGTAGCCCGATGAGCGACCAACGAGCTGACCCAGCTTGCCCTGGATCATGGAGACAAGAGCCGGGTTGCGGGCGAAGAGCGAAGCGGCAGCAGCGGTATCCAGATTTTCTGCAGGGTAGCGGTCAGCGATGAGGCGACCATAAGAAGAGGGTTAGGAAGGTTTTGGGGAGAGGAACCCTCCAGGAAAGTCACATACCTTCCTTGATGCTGGAAACACCAGGCTGCTGGGCGTGGGAGGAGATCGGGGCGTTGTTAGCCGGCGTGTTTTGCGGGGTCCTTTTTTCAGTCAGTGTTTTTTCAAGCGGTCTAAGAAGGAAAAGTCTTACGGAGCGACCGGGAAATCGGCCTTCTTATTCCTGATGGGCTCAGACATGATGGTATGGGGTGGGGGAATGGTGGAAGAGAGAAGGGGAGGGTGAAGAAGAGTTTGGAGTTTTTGGGGGAGGAAGATGGTCTGGAAGATGGTGGGATCCTTAGCGCCGGTGGCCGGAGGGGCTTGGCGGGACGCGACTTTTGTGGTTGAGCAGCAAAATTGTCTCCCAACATATTCGCCCCCCTTTGACCTTTCTATATACTCGCTTTCCCTTTGTACATGAATCGCTTGATTTCTTCCTCCCCCCCAACCCCCTCTTCCTCTTTCCTTATCTCGATGTCGTTGGTCAATTTGATTCTATCTTCCTTCTTTCATTTCCCTTCTTTTCCCCTGAGGTGGATCTCCTGGATCATTCCACGCGGTCGCGATCCGTTGCCATCCAATGTTAAATTTAGAAACATGCCGGTTTGCGTCTATCTGCATGAAATAAGATCGCATATTTGATCTCAGCCGAGCCGACAGACAACGGGCAGTGTTGTCTTGTCGGGTTTTATACATATTTCCGGCTGCATCATAGCCTAAGGATGTAGTATTGACAATAATATGTCTATACTGAGCCTTCTCGATTTCCTCTTTATAATAATGACCAGAACTTCCAAAAGAAAGTAGAGAAATGAAAAACAAGTGTTTCGGGTGGCGTCAGAGACGTGAAGGAGTTTCTTATTCTCTTGCCTGAGCCTATTCGAGGCTCGAAACTCCACGATAAGATCACGTGATGATAATAGAATGTCATTTGGGGAAGATCCGCCCCTCACAGATTGCACCGCAGCGGACAGCCTTTTTGTCTTATCGCGTTTTCCCTTCCCTGCTTCTTGGCCCAAGGTGATGCATATCTGGACCCTCGTCCTCGCATAATCAGCTGCTCTTAGTCGAAGCGGAGCTTTCAACGCCAATATCTCATTCCCACACGCGAACCGCGGATTGCAGATTGCAGATTGCAGAATTATTTCACCATGGGTAGCCAGCCGCACTCTCCGCTGGGGGCTGGTCCAATGGACCTCTCGATACCCCGGCCGAATCTCCGGCGTGCCTCCCTGAGAAGCAGGTTGGACATCGTAACCCTCGTCGTCGAACACAATGCTGATCTTTTCTAGCATGAGCGTGGTATCTGACGTTGAGATGGCCCGTAATGAAGTACGTGAATTTACATTGCTTACCTACAGTACCTTGCGATTGATCTTGTATTAGGTTTTCGACGGTCCAATCTCAGAGAGCATCCCTTCAAGTGTTGTTTCCTTCTCCCACCGTCGCAAAAGAGCCGGGTCCACCGTCAGTTTCACCTATTTTCAGGATGAGGAAGACTTTGCGGAATGGTCCAACGAAGACGCGGTGGAAGTGGACAGTGATGTCGACGATGCGTCGGGGACTGAGCTCGAAGAACCTGATATTGAATCAGCCCGAGCGTCCTTCGTCTCCAAAAGATTATCACAATCGAGAGATTCGGCCGAGCGCCCTCTTCTTTCTCGGATTATTTCCTCGAGCTCTTATGGCCGAGACCGAAGGCATGGGAGTAGACTCAATCAAAAAGTATACATTGCATCCGAAGACTTGACGGCAGTGTTCGCGGGCTTCTCCACCAGCCGGGTTGGGTTTGCTCTTTATCTGGCGTTGTGCGTCCTGACTGGCGGCTTCGCATACCTTCTCTATCGCTGGCTCCCTCGATGGCGAGTGAAACTTATTGGGAAGGCGGCGCCTCTCGGAAAATGTGAATGGATTGCGATTGAGGTGAGTGTATCGTGTATGATGTGCTTGGTAGTTGTTGAAGTTGTATCTCACGCGTTGCACAGGACCAATGGAATCATTTCACCATTCACAAAGTTGGCAGCCAACCATACGGACGCCAGCTATCTACAGTCTTCGTGGATGCCCCAGGCCACACATACGATGAAGATCGCGATCCCACCATCGTGTCTCTACGTTTTCTTGACTACCGATATTTACGATTTTGCTACCACCCGTTGAGGATAAATTTGCCATGATCAATGGCTGGAAGGATCCTTCCTGGATCAATGCGAAAGCAATGCGGGCCGGGCTTGATGCTGACGAGCGTGACAGTAGAGAACAGCTCTTTGGCCAAAACGTCATTGACATCCAGCAAAAGACTGTCCCCCAGTTGCTGGTCGATGAGGTATGAACAAACAGGTTTGCTTGTATGTCGCACACTCTAACCGAGCCTAGGCCTTTCACCCCTTCTACATTTTTCAAGTCGCGAGTCTCGTCCTGTGGTCCATGGATGAATATTACTATTACGCAATTTGCATCTTCCTCATCTCCGCATTTAGTATTGCGGCTACTGTCCTGGAGACGAAATCGGTTCGTTCAAGCTCTGTTCCAATTGAATTCTTTTTGGAAATTAACACCCGGCTAGACCATGCGTCGGCTAAGAGAAATCTCATTGTTTGACTGTGATGTTCGTGTTCTCAGAAATGGTTTCTGTGAGTCCTACCCTTTCATTTGCTTGCCTTGTTCAAACGTGTGGGATACTGGCTGACTGTCTCTGTTATAGGGCGCTCGGTTTCTTCCCAAGATTTGGTACCCGGAGATGTTTTTGAATTCTCTGATCCATCCTTGAACCAGGTGCCATGTGACTGTATCCTGCTGTCGGGTGATTGTATCGTGAATGAAAGCATGCTCACTGGTCAGTATATTGAGTGCGAGCCTATTCATTGGACTAGCCACTAATTCCAAGCAGGCGAGTCCGTTCCCGTGTCCAAGACGCCGTTCATAGATGACGCTCTCCAATACCTCGACCTCAGCGCTCCTTCTATCCACCCTCATGTTGCTAAACACTTCTTGTTCAGTGGCACGAAGGTCATTCGGGCTAGGCGACCCCAAAATGTGGACGAGGATGAAGCCGTTGCATTGGCCATAGTAGTCAGGACCGGGTTTTTGACCACCAAGGGTGCATTGGTTCGTTCAATGCTTTTCCCGAAGCCATCCGGCTTCAAGTTCTATCGTGATTCCTTCAGGTATATTGCAGTCATGGGAGTTGTTGCGCTTCTAGGCTTCGTCGCTTCGTTTATCAACTTCGTTCGATTGGGTGTAAGTTGCCCCATAAGACGCAATTTCACTCGTACTGACAATCTCCAGCTTGCATGGCATCTCATCATAGTTCGAGCGCTTGATCTGATAACAATCGTTGTCCCACCGGCGCTCCCAGCAACTCTCACCATCGGTACCAATTTTGCATTGTCTCGTCTTAAGAAGCAGAGCATCTTCTGCATTAGCCCACAGAAGTGTGTAAACTCCTACCGTGAGTGCTTTATTTCTGCTAATCGTCGTGTATAACAGAGTGAACGTGGGTGGTAAATTGGACGTTGTCTGTTTTGATAAGACCGGGACTCTCACAGAGGACGGTCTGGATGTTCTCGGTGCACGCACGGTTAGCAGCAGCCAGAGGTCTGTCCCCTTTATCAAAACGGACTTGATCAGTTGTGTCTGATTTTCATAGATTCTCCGAGTTGTTGTCCGAGAAATCATCGGGTCTTCTTCTCCCTCCGTCTTCCGCAGATTCCCCGTTTGACCTTGTGAAACAACGAAAGATTATCTACACCATGGCGACATGTCACTCTCTCCGAGTCGTGGACGGTGAACTCCTAGGGGATCCCCTTGACGTCAAGATGTTCGAATTCACCGGCTGGTCATACGAAGAAGGAGGCAGCCATGCTTCTGAGCAGACAAGCCCCAACTTCGACACAATCAACCCCTCTGTTGCAAAGCCACCTGTGACCCATGTTGGGGAAAGTCAGCAAAATGGTCTAAATGTATGTTGCTACTTGCACCGGCCTAATCATCAGCTAATCGCTTCCTCTGCAGACTCCCGTTGAACTTGGAGTCCTTCGTAACTTTGAATTCGTTTCACAGCTTCGCCGCGCGAGTGTGGTTGTACGACAGTATAGTGACAAGGGAGTAAGCTGCTTTGTCAAGGGTGCCCCCGAGAGCATCAAGGACATTTGTTTACCTGGAACTCGTTAGTGCCTTTCTTCTCGCAATTTCTGCTAATTTTGCTAAAATCTTGCAGTTCCGTCTGACTACGATGAATTCTTGAACTATTACACCCATAAGGGTTATCGAGTAATTGCATGTGCTACGAAATACCAGCCAAAGTTGAGCTGGATGAAAGTTCAGAAGTTGACGCGCGCCGATGTCGAAAGCGATCTCGAGTTTTTGGGCTTCATCATCTTTGAGAACAAATTGAAGCCTACCACCGCCAGCGTTATTTCCGAGCTCAATGAAGCCGGAATTCGCAATGTCATGTGCACGGGTGACAATATCTTGACTGCAATCAGTGTGGCTCGCGAGTGCAAGATGATCAGCCCCGACGAGGCATGCTTCATGCCGCACATGGTGGAAGGTAAAATCCGCGAACTCAATGAAACTTGTGTGACCGAAGCTAATCATGTCTGAAGCTCCTGGCCTTGTTGCCAAAACCTCTCTTATCTGGGAATGCGTGGATAACCCAGATCTGAGATTGGATCCAAGAACGCTCCTTGTAAGATTACACTATCCTAGCTCGACGTGTGCTGTCAAAAGACTAAAAAAGAAAATGCAGCCTCTCGAGACAGACTCGGAATCCGACCCATCTATTCCAGGAAATACTTTTCGTGAGCGGAAATATTGCCTCGCTGTGACTGGTGACGTATTCCGTTGGATGATTGATTATGGAAACGAGGATGTATTGAGCAAGGTAAGTTGGCATCATGTCTCTCCAACGTCTTTTTAGGCATGTCATTTACGAGCTTGTTACATCCTAGGTCCTGGTCATTGGAAGGGTATTTGCCCGAATGTCGCCGGATGAAAAGCATGAACTGGTCGAAAAGCTTCAATCAATTGACTATTGCTGCGGATTTTGCGGTGACGGTGCCAATGACTGTGGTGCATTGAAAGCTGCGGATGTTGGAATTTCATTATCCGACGCTGAAGCATCCGTTGCTGCACCCTTCACTAGTCGGCTTTTTGAGATATCTTGCGTGCCAAAATTAATCCGGTGAGTTTTCCTTTCACTATGGCTTGCTGGTGTTGATAATTTAACCAATTACACAGAGAGGGTCGAGCCGCTTTGACGACAAGCTTCTGCTGCTTCAAATTCATGAGTCTCTACTCTGCCATCCAATTTACCTCGGTCAGCTTTCTCTACACGTCCGGTTCCAACCTCGGTGATTTCCAGGTAAGCAGAGGAGAATTTATTCCAAAGGTGTTCTGGAAGATAGCTAACCCAAATTCTCAGTTTCTGTTCATTGACCTAGCCCTTATCATGCCGATTGCCATCTTTAGTGAGTAGCGATTTACCTCCTGCCAGGGTGGGCACCTTAGATCTGACTAGCTTTTCAAACAGTGGGTTGGACCGGTCCCAGTTCCAAACTTTCTCAGAAGCGACCGACTGCAGATCTTGTGTCTCGAAAAGTCTTGACGCCTCTGCTAGGACAAATTACGATTGTGATTTTGTCCCAACTCGCAATCTTTCAAACTGTCCAGTCTCAACCTTGGTAAGATTTATTATAATTGATCGCTGTCCTGACGAGGTTACTCATGGTTTTTTGATTCAGGTTTCAACCTCCCCAGCTAGACCTGGATAAGAGCAATATCGTTAATTCAGAGAACACGGCCCTATTTTTGTTCTCCTGCTTCCAGTACATTTTGACTAGCATCGTGCTGAGCGTGGGGCGGCCTTTCCGACAACCGATGACCTCTAATGGTAAGTCAGAACTACACTCAAAGTGTCCAATGCTAATGGAGTTGCTTCAGTGCCGTTTCTGTGTACAATGATCATCGATCTCTTGATCGCTGGCTTTATGCTCTTCCGACCTTCCAAGTGGGTGGCGGATGTTATGCAACTTACATGGATGTCAGACGGGTATCGCCTCTGGATCTTGTTGTTCGCATTCGCAGCATTTGCGCTATCCTGGACAGCTGAGGTTGTTGCCTTCCCACGCCTCGCGCGCTTTTTGGGGCATGCTCGGGCTTGTCTTCAAACGAACTTCCGCAAGAAGCGTCGCCAGTACAAAGTGCTCCTGGAGGAGATGCGTCTGTAGGGACTGGTGAATGTTGGGATCGACACTGTATTAAAAGATATAATTGTGGATATAGAAAGAAAATCCCTTTTGCGTACTGTTGTATTGGCAATTATCAGAACTGGTATGATACATTTCAACCGCCCAAGCAGCAAGTCCCGCTGAAGGGCAAAATTTGAAACAGAACGTGACATGCAAGAGCTCAAAGGCTTCTTTCGGCTCGATTTCAGGAACATTTGGGATTGAGGGGTTTTGCGAGTCCAACATCTAGTGATCCCACGGGTGCTTCCAGCCCAGCAGGGCCGGGCCGTCCTTCTTTGCACGGTACATGAGCTATACAAAGCAAGGTCAGCGCCAATGCCTGGTGTATGGGTGTGAGAGGGGTTATTCATACGAAGAACCACATGCTGGCGCCCAGGCCGGTGGCAATGAATCGGTAGAGTGGTCGCGCCGGGTGGACGTGGATTGGGTGGGAAGAGGGGCCTGCCATGGCTGGAAGAAAATGTCAGTTGAGACTTATTATTGAAAGTAGAATCACTCACTGTCGGTGAGGGTTGCTCGCTTCACGAAGTGGCAGATTGCTGGAAGCGGATTCCACGGCGCCCCGAAGTTATCGAGACGAGCACGTGACCAAATGACGGTGCCTTCTGCTTTGCCTTGCTCTTCCGTGCGACTCAATCTCGCAAGATCTGGCGGGCCGGGCATCTTTCTCTCTGCATTTACTGAAGTATCGTTGGGCTCTTTGTCGAGCTTCTGTTCTGAACGCTTTTGTTTAGAAGACCACCTTGAACGGCCGAGTCTAGTATCCCGTCTAGGTAGCTTTTCCTGCACCGCGCCTGTACCCTCCACTACCTCGTTCGCTCGATCTGTCGTTCACTCTTACTCTGAGCCCGTTCTATTATGCGACTTTTGCCTCGGCCTTTTGTCGTCTAAACTAATCGAGACGGATTGAACCTGACGCCATCATACGCCTTGCGCCTTTCAAGCCCATGTACTTCGATTGAGACCCCAAGCTTTCGAATGCCAAGAAGCTATTCAGCCATAATTTGCGCTGCAAGTCTTGATATTCCGTGACCTTTGACCGACTCCGGGGGACCCTTTTGAACAAAATGGCCATCGCATCTCTTGAGAATGATGATCAAGGCCAACCTCGATTTCCGGGCTGCTCTAACATCCGCGATTTCGCGTTTATCGACAAACTCGGCGAAGGAACCTTTGGGTTTGTCTGCGTCGGATACAGTGAGCTACCATCGGCTGACTTGTTGATAGTATGGTCTACAAAGCTCGGTCGAAGAAAGACAACTCGGTCATGGCCCTGAAGAAGATTCTCATGCACCATGAAAAGGAGGGTGTAAGTATTCGTTTCATTGATTTGAAGCACTGTTATTAAATAGCCTTTGGACAGTTTCCCATCACTGCAATTCGAGAAATTAAGCTCTTGAAGGCACTTTCTCATCCAAATATCTTGCAGCTTAGGGAGATGGCCGTTGAGCGGAGCAAGGGTAAGATCAAACTCGGCAATTCGACTTTATGATAACCTTCCTGACATGCAACATAGGCGAAGGGCGGAAAAAACCGAACATGTATATGGTCATGCCGTACATGGAGCACGACCTGTCGGGACTTCTGGAGAACCCAGATGTCCATTTCACCGAACCCCAGATCAAATGTTACTTGATGCAGCTTCTTGAAGGGCTGCGTTATCTGCATGCCGTAAGAACGCTCCATTGTCGTGAAAAAGCCCCCTCTAATTCTATTACAGAACTGTATTCTGCATCGTGATATGAAGGGTATGTTGAATTGCGAGCATCAACTGACCGAAATACCAGCTAACTGGCTCTGGGGCTAGCTGCCAATCTTCTTATCAGCAATGAGGGAATTCTCCAGATCGCGGACTTTGGACTCGCGCGACCATTCGATGAACCTCCTCCGCAGCCTGGAAAGGGCGGAGGAGAAGCCAAGCGAGAGTACACCGCGCTTGTTGTCACCAGATGGTACCGACCACCCGAACTCCTTCTTCAACTACGACGATACACAACAGCCATCGACATGTGGGGAGCCGGGTAAGTCGTTGCATAGTTTTTCTCCTCGGCCCTTTCTCTAATGACCACAGTTGTGTATTCGGTGAAATGTTCAAAGGAAAGCCTATCCTTTCCGGTAACACTGATCTCGATCAAGCGAGACTCATCTTCAACCTCGTGGGTACACCCACTGAGGAGAACATGCCTGGGTGGAGTTTGCTACCCAGTCTCGAAGGCGTGAAGGACTGGGGTTCCAAGCGCGGAAACCTAGGCGAGGTTTTTAAAGAGTAAGAGACCCTCGACATTTTGTTGAGACTGCTCTGAGGGAAACAATGTCAAGCGAGAATCAACGCGACTAATACATCAAACAGGCTAAGCCCAACAGCTCTCTCGCTACTGTCCGAACTTCTCCGGCTGGATTGGCGTAAACGGATCAACGCCATTGATGCTCTAAAACACCCTTACTTCACTACACCTCCGCTACCTGCGCGTCCCGGCGACATCCCCGCTTTCAAGATTCTCACGAATTTGACAAGAAGAAGGCACCGCAGCGACCACCTATGCCCCCTGCACCTGCGGGTGGCTCTGCCAATACCGCTTCCAACGGAGGATGGGCTAGCTCTGGATCTCGAGGTCCCGATTCCCGCAGTCGCATCCCGGGTGCGGCCCGTGGAGGTTGGCCGAATGCCTCAGGTTCTGGAAATGGCAACACGCACCGGGGCGGATCATTCCCGCCTTCGCGAGACAATGGACTTCCTCCGCGGCCTCCTGTATCGGCTCGCCCACCATGGGATGGGTCACAGACAGGCAGGTCGGAAGGGAGAGACGACCAACGACGTGATCGACCCAATCAGGGCCGCTCCAGTGGGAGATTTGCAAGCAATATCGACTCGTACGTTCCTAATTACGGCAACCCTCACGAGCGTGTGCGCGATGCTGGTGATCCAACCGCCCAATCGAACCCAGAATGGCGCAATGTAAATCGCCGTGACCATCGCCGTGACGCTCCTCGACGACGCAGCCGAAGTCCCAGCTTCCGAGACTCGAGCAGAGGGTGAATCCTCGAAGTGTATGGCTCTGGTTTTGCATTCAGTGATTCTCATTGCTACCAGATATTTCCGGACTGCCCGGTCCAAATTCTGGTTCTGTAACATCTCAAACCAAGGTAATCAGTCTGCTCATGCTCACCACCCAGGGTGTTATGGATATTCTGGGTTCGTGGAAGTAAAGTTTCCCTACGCTAAGCTGCCGCTCTCGTTTCTCAGAAACTACAAGAAACTGAAAACACATCAGGTAATCACAATTCTCTAGCTCCAATAACCTATGCCAAATACAAGTATGCTGTGTCGTCTTTGAAATTCTTGCACATACAGCGTTTTTGAGAGACCTCGTTGAAAGGGTCTCATGAATTCGTCAAAAATGAACCTTTTGGGTTCAGGTACGTAAAGTTGATTACAGTAGAGCAACCGTTGCTCATCTAGTACAAAATGCGGGTCATGATCCGGGCTAGAGGGTGTTAGAATCGACGTGTGTGACCATTGGGGAAGAAAATCTCACAAGGAAGGTTCTCGAGTCTCTCGTACAGATCTTTAATGTTAGCGGAGTCCACGTCGCTAATATCAGCCATCAGGTAGGCAACCTGGACTAGTCAGCACCTTCATCCAAGCCAATGATAGTTTGAAACCTACATCGCCTCTACTGTCGGTCATCTGCTTGTCGACATTGTGGTCGCCAATGATTTCATTCACCTTCCGCAACACACCGGGAATGTTCTTGTGGATGTAGACAACCTGGAAATGGTCAGTCTCAATCTCGCTCTTCCAGGGATGCTTCCACCAGCAAATCCCAGGTTGCAGAATGAGGGATACTTACACGGGCGTGGTTGGGTTCCTCCATGGTCAGGGAGCGGAGGGTGACTTCAGGCAGGTTAACAGCACCCAGAGTGGTGCCCTCGTTGACGTAGCGAGTCAGAGCCTGGGCAACTTCCACACCAATCGCGCTCTGGGCCTCCTCCGTGCTGCCTCCAATGTGGGGGGGTAAGGATGAGGTTCTTGAGGGAGCGCAGATCAGCCCCCCAGGTGTTGAGGTCATTGTTGAAGTAGTCTCCATTACCGGCGGGTTCGTTGGGGTACACATCCAGCGCAGCACCAGCAACCTTGCCGCTTCGCATGGCATCAATGAGCGCGGGAATGTCCACCACAGTTCCACGGCTGGCATTGATCAGGTAGCTTCCGGTCTTCATCTGTTCAAACTGCTTCTGACCAAACATGCCCTTGGTCTCGGCGAGCTCGGGAACGTGACAGGTGACGAAGTCGGCCTCAGCCAGCAGGGCTTCCAGGGTCTCGACTTGACGGGCTGTACCAAGGGCCATCAGGTTGAGCACATCGTAAAAGATAACCGACATGCCCATGGACTCTGCCAATACGGACAGTTGGGCGCCGATGTGACCATACCCAACGATACCTGAGAGACCCAGTTAGCGATTAGTGAGCCAAGGCAGATACATCCAAGTACAAAAGCCTACCCAGTGTCTTGCCACGAATCTCCCAGCACTTGCTGCTCACTTTGTTCCAGGTTCCATTGTGCATTTCGTTTGAGCGGTCACCCAGCTGGCGCGCAAGGACAATGATCTCTCCAATGACCAGCTCTGCAACACTGCGAGAGTTGCTGAAGGGCGAATTGAAGACCGCAATACCATGGTTGGCGGCATACTGGAGGTCGACCTGGTTGGTACCGATGCAGAAGCATCCGATGACGATCAGGTTCTTCGCCTCCTTCAGAACCCGCTCGGAGAGCTTGGTCTTGGAGCGGATACCGATGACGTGAACGTCACTATTTTCACCACAGGTCAGTGACGGCCTATTTGCTTAGTATGGAAGGATGCCCAACCGAATCTTCTCGATGAGCTGGTCTTCGGGGAGCGAAGACTTGAGGAATTCCACTTGGTAGCCTTGCGCAGATAGGATGTCCCGGCCAGCCTGGTTCACATTCTCCAGCAGCAGAACCTTGATGTCCTCGGTCGCGAAAGGCTTGAGGTGCTTCGCATTCAACACGGGGATGATCCGTTGGAGAGCGGAACCGGAACTGGAAGGGGAGTGGAATGAAGCTGTGGGCGAGGTGGAGAGGTATTGAGCCTGAGCAGCCAACTCGTCCTTGCGAGGGCGGATATCTTGAGCAGTTGCCATGGCGGAAGGTTTGCAGAGGGAAGAGTGAAGTAGCTAGCAGACTTGACTCACTGGACTTCCATGAATCATTGTTCATTATATAAGCTTCACCGAGAATCTCCGGAATCGGACCGCTTTCTTAAAAACAGACGGATCCGGCCCGAATCGTCCTAATCATTCTTATTCAGCCTCTTATTATCTAATTAAAATCGCACATTGACTCATATGGAGTGAGAAGCCTCAGGCAGGTCAATTGCGTGATAGAGGAGGGGCGGGAGAAGTCTCGGAGGGGCATCGCGGGGTCTTCTTTTTTTTTACATTTTCCATGTTCCATTTTCCCCATCCCACCTTACCCGTTGCCCAATTTCCTTTATCCGCTTCCCTAGTAAATGAATACAGGGTCATTCGGTCACTCGGCCACTAAAGTCACTAATATCATTCGGTGCCCCTCGTGAACTGATGTGGGGCACTATGATCTACATCTCCATATAACCTGGGCACTAGTTTTGCATTGGATGTGTACTAGCTATGGCTATGGCTATGGCTGTAGCTATGGCTGTAGCTATGGCTGTAGCTATGGCTATAGTCATGATGATCGTTGGGTATATTTTTTCAGAAGGTGATTGAACTATAGATGAGGTATTGTTTGGGTTGTGCTCCCCGCATCTAGACCTTGAGATCCTGCATCTTCTTAGTCGCCTCGTCGGCTCCGACGGGCTTGCCCTTGGTGGCCTTGGCCTTCTGGGAGGTGGAGTCCTTGGGAAGATCCTTGGTGTAAGGAAGGAACTCCGGGCGCCGGGGATGTACTTGCGCAGCACCTCGGGAACTTCGATACCCTGTGCAACGAGTCAGTATATGTATGGACAAGAGGGCGGGGCCAAAGACTGACATCTTCCCGCTGATAGTTTTCCAGAACACAGCAGAGCGTCCGCTCAGTGGCGCAAAGAGTAGCGTTGAGTGCGTGAACGTAAGTCTTCTTCAGGTCGGTGGCTTTCTTGGCACCGAAGCGAATATCAAGCGCCCGTGATTGGTAGTCGGTGCAGTTGGAGCACGACACGAGCTCCTTGTACTCCTGCTGGAAGGGGAACCACGCCTCCAAGTCGTACTTCTTGGCAGCGGCATTGTTCAGTGCACCGGAAACAATGGCCACAACCTGGTAAGGGAGTCCCAAAGACTTGTAGAACTCCTCCGAGGTAGCCATCATGTCCTCGAAAGCTTGCCACGACTCGTCGGGCTTGGTGAGAACGAATTGTTCGATCTGTGTGATATTAGATACTGTGATAAAAGTCAAAGAAAGTGTGAGTATAGCATACCTTCTCGAACTGGTGGACACGGAAGATACCCCCAAGCATCCTTGCCGTGTGCGCCAGCCTCCTTGCGGTAGCATGTGCTGTATCCGGCGTACCTGTCCCCCTCTGATTAGCTTCGTACTCAAAGCTTGCTAGTGTATGTCTCACTTGATGGGCAGGTCCTTCTCCTGCAGCCATTCGCTGTCATGAAGGGCAGACAGGGGTTGCTCCGAGGTGGCAATGAGATACTTGTCCGTCGACTTGTCATCACTCTCGGTGACCTTATACAGTTCCTCGTCGAATTGCTCAAGCTGTGCGGTCTTCGCCATCAAATCCTTGAGCATGAATTGCGGGGGTTGGTTGGGCTTGTAGCCCTTGTTGAAGAGGAACTCTAGGCCGTAGTTGATCAGGGCCAAGTTGAGGAAGAGACCGTATCCGGTCAAGCAGTAACCACGGTGACCGACGATCTTGACACCGCGCTCCGGATCGTAACCATCCAAGCGAGTCAAGACTTCGTGATGGGAGAGACAGCCGGGTCGTTCCATGGCAACGTTCTCGGGGGCCCATGTTCTGATGATCTGGTTGTCATCCTATATTCCGAATAGTTGCAATTAGCAAGATGGAAATGATGGTGCTGGATGGCATTGCTCACCTCATTGTTGCTCACGGGGACCGAATCGTGCACGTAGTTGCCAATCGGCCGAATCTTGCGGTCACGCTCCAATTCCTTCTGAGCGGCGATGTCTTCGGCCTCCTTTTTGCGTTTCTCAATATCGGCTTTCTGGTTGACCAGATCACTGGCGTCCTCCTTGGCCTGCTCCCTTGGTGTGAATGTGTGCTCCGAATGAAACGCGGATGGTTGGGTACCTTCTTCTTCTTTCCAATCTCTTTCTGAACGGCGTTAAGCTCGGACCCGATTTGAGTGGCCGCGTACCGTGCTACTCTTAATTAGAATTGTCCCTGGTGGTGGTTGTATCGATATCAACGTACCTCGGCGGGCTTCTTCATACAGGGCGATCACTTCCTCAACAACTTCCTCGGGCGCAAACCGCCTGCGCTGGCTCTCCTTGATCTTGTTAATATCACCACCACGCTCGGTGATGAAATCGTTAAGGTCGAGCATACTGAAGTAACGAACTCGAGAAATGACAGTGAGTTAGAGCCGGGAACGTAAGTTGTGGAGGGGTAAAATGCAAAAAGTGCGCACGGCGGGGCATTACTTAATCCCACACGACCTCCCAAGGGGGTTCCCCAGCTCGGTCTCTATACGAGACTCACACTCAATTAGTTGACGAGTCGAGGCCGGCGAAGCCCATTCATTATTCTATGCACGCTGCAATACCACAAAAAAAGAAAACAGATCCCCTAGCCCGACCTGAAAAGAGAAACCCTGATGATTCATGCAGCCGATCCCAATATTCCACCAAATCCAGAAGATAATCGAAAGAACGAGACCAGAGAGCAGATATAAAAAAAGAAAAAAGAGAATATCACCGAGGACAAGGTCTTTGCCCAATAACAAATTGAACATGGTTACTGGATACCTGTATGGCGACTATCGCATCGTAACTGGTCAAAAAGAAACAGAGTCAGCAATGGCACAATGGGCTAGAAGTATGCCGGAATTGATGATAATTGTCATTCGAACAAATCTAAGAGAGGGAAAAGCTCATCTTGATCGAGTGAAACCCAATTTTTAGATCGCGGAATTCGAAAATACCAACAATGCATGCTCATGCTCGTTCATATCTCGGAAAGGGAGAAAATTATGAAGTTCCACATACCATAGGGTACAGCTGGTTGTCTCATAGTCGAACGTAGAAATTCACATAACAGCGCACTTGTTGCCGCCGGTAGGTTCAGACGGGTTCTGGGACTTCTCGATCTCTCCTATCATCAGATCGAAGGCCCTGGAGACATTGAAATCTAGGAAAGCACTAGCTTCGGTGAATGCACATTTCACTTCTTCTGCTAATTGCCGGCCCTCATCGAGAGAGACTTGTCGTTGTTCTGGCTTGAGATCGCTCTTGTTGCCGACTATCACCAGTGGTACTTCGTCTGCTCCCTACGAGAAGGTTAGCCATCGGAAGGGCTTCGAAGGTGGCTAGAATATGACTTGCCAGGTGGTTCAGGATCTTATCCCGAATAACTCGCACCATTTCAAACGACTGTCGCGAGGTGACCGAATACACGATGACATAGCCATGGATTCCAATGAAGTGTTTCGAGTTCAAGATACTGTACTCGTCCTATCGCGAAAGACATCAGCCGGGTACTTTTCTTCGCAAGAGGCGAATACAAACCTGCCCAGCAGTATCTACAATCTCAGTGGCGTAGTCTTGGCCATTGTACTTGATAATCCGACTGAAAGTATTCTCGATTGTCGGGTAGTAGCTTTCCACAAAATGATGCTCGACAAAACGGACGGTGAGAGAAGATTTGCCTTGAAATTTGCGTTAAATCACCGAGATGGCATGGTTGAAAATAGGATAGGGAAAGATCCCTACCGACGGAGCGACTGCCGACAATCGCGATCTTTCTCTGCTTTGGGGCGGCGGGCATATTGGATGGGAGAGAGTGAGCACGGCTAGATAATCAAAGCGGGGTGGGTAAAGATGGAGTGGAATAACTGGTGAATTGAAGGGAAACCAGCCTAGGGTAGAGTGAGGAGTTGTTGCGGTCGGGTGGCAAAGTTCCATGAAGCATCCGGAGCTCTGCCCTTGCAAACGCTGCAAACGATTACGCGCCGAGGCCTCGGCCGATCTTGTTCAATTCGATGATACTTTTTTCAACTGTATTTCTATTTACTCGTTTTCACATACTTAATGCATGAAGATGCAATATGCGAAGGAATATCGGTCGAACAATTACCGTACATTATCCCATTTCCCCAAACACCATAATTTCCCAAGCAGGAGGACGGACACAAGAAATACACTTTGTACGTATTCACCCTCAGAATACCATAAACACTCATGAACACACTCTCAGCCACATTCACTCTGTTGAACCTGGCTGACAAGGCTCTGGAGACGAACAAGGAAACCACTCGCCTTTCCCTGGGTCTGGAGCGGGTTCAATTCCTGTTCGATCTTTCGATGGTACTGCAAGAACTCATCGACGGTAGACATAACCATTACTAGCCCGTTGGACTGCATGGGCTTCCGAATTTGTCTTCGGGCATCCATATCGAGGGAAAGCACCAGAAGTAGCACTGCTAGGTAACCCACTGTGACATTATGATGCACTTCCAAAACGGAATTAGCCTAGAGGTACCCGTCAGTTTCCATTGCGCAAACGACTGCAGAGCATTACCTTGGAAGTTGAATCAACATTATCTACGAAGAGAAGCAATAGTCGATCAAGAAGAGACTTGCTACCGCGCGTAGCTTTAAGGAACATGGTGCGGGATGCTCCACTTTGTTCAGTCAGGTTGATGAGGGCCCCTAAAGCCAATATCACCGTGTCCAGAGGGTTATTCTCCTCTGAGAGAGAATCCTCGGTCAAATCACCAAAGTTAGTAATCACAACCTCAGCTAGCTGTCCAATCATCGCAGATGTTGCAAAGCTATCGCACAGCATTGGATCATTGTTGGTGATGTTCAAGATTACCCGGATATATAGCCTCTGTATTTGCTGGCCGGTTGTGTCTGAATCGTTCTTCAAGTAGAGTAATTCGTGCATGTCTTTCAGCAAAGTAAGAATGTCTCGGTTCGCTTGCTGAGGGGCCCCCCCCCGAGATAGTATGCATCTCTAGAATAGATAATCCAAGCTGCAACACTTGGGCGTTTTGGACAGCAGATGAACTGCGAGTATCATCCTCAGAACTTCGAAAAAGTAGAAGATCCACCAATTGCTTCAACAAGAGTGTAGGAAGTGCACTGGGCATGTCGCCCTTCTCCTGGAAGGCCGAGAGGGTGATCTTGAGACACTTTAAAACCAAAAAGCTGGGAGAGAGCTGCATGGAAGTGGATTCCGGAAGCAATACCGAATTGATTTCAGAGGCAGTCTTTCGGACAAAGGCCTGAATAGGTCGAGATAGGTGGCTCTCCTGATTTTGCATCATGAGAATAATATTATCTTGGACGCTGAGTAAGATAGAAGATAAGTTCAGAAGCTTCGGCCATGCAGCCGCCGCGAGAATGTACGGTAGCGACCTACCCTGAAAGGCAAGGGCAAAGGCGCAAAGAATGACCGTGGCAGGGACAATTTCGAAGTCAGGAGAAAGACAGTCCACAAGTCTCTTATCGAAACCACAGTCAAAGAATTGCCGGACTTGCTTGGAATCCAACAATTTCTCGCAGAGTTGGGACAAGGCACTGCTTCGGCCAGATACCGAATTGAGCGGATCCTCAATATCCTCAAAAATCGACTCGACGGCTCCCCGATGGCGAGCGTTCCCGCCAGCCTGACGCAATTCGTAGATGCTACGGACAGTGCCGTCGTCATCGTCGTCGTTGACATCATCATCCGCGAATAGACGTGCACTAGGCATGTGCCTGCTGGATTCACGCGGTGAATTCAACGTGTCAAGCTGCTCTAGGTCGGTGGGGAGGGCCTGACCCACAAGGTCGTCCAAAAAGGAACGTTGGCGTGCATATGTTACTTTGGAGCCTCGAAGATGAGGGGATACGGGAACAGTAGAGTCCTGCCCATAGCCCTGTGCTTGGCTTTGAACTGGGACAATTCGTGATACAGTATCCTTTGGTTGACTTGAGCTGCGGCGATCAAAGGACGAGGGCAGTGGACTGTCGAGGGGGATTTGAGGGGCCATTTCATCATCTGACTGTCCCGTGGTAGCCAGTGAATCAATCAGTCTCCTTCGACCGGTAGGGGTGCTTTCAGCAGTTGTTCGAGCCACCTGACGGGGACTAGGAGACGCAGGATCGCTGGAGACCTGCCTTTCATTCTCAACAGAATCTGCATTGTGAGCTTGCCGCATCAGTTGGCGATCATCGAGGAAAGAGGCCTCTGCCTCTGTGGACTCGACGGGCCGTTCGGATGCAGGGACTGCTGTTAATGTCTGATTATGGAGCAGTTTATCCCCTTGCATTCGCCCGACTAGCCTTTTGTGGTCCCGTACGGCCTTCCTCGTCCATGGAGAGCCATTCTCACTTAAGGGGTCACTTCCACCAGGGCCCTGGCGCTTTCGCTTTCGCTCACTGATACCTTGCTGGACTCCATCGTCTGATGATGGTAAATCGTAGATGCTATCTTCAGTGGAGGTTCGCGGTTCTTTGAGGGCGGAAGCCAGAGAAGCGCTTGGACGTGTTGATCGCTTTGCCCGGTTCTCGGTGCCTTTGGGTTTATGCTCCAATAGCCGAGAGTCACGCACTCTTCTCACAGGAGCTGTAGTCCCTTTGGTCGTCGAAGTGCTTGCGGCTGTGGTTTTGGGAGGAGGTTGATTCGTGGATGCACCGTATGTAGCCAGTCTTCGGTTTCGGGATTGCGAGTGATCCATTTTATCCTTTAAATGTGTCGCAAGTGCGTCGCATTGCATTCGTGTCAATGAAAGGCGAAAGGCGATCAGTTCCAGGGTTTACAAAGACCGACCCAGTGAGAAAGGCAGTGTCAATGGAGACATACCGAACAACACGGCGACTTTCTCCCGGAGGAGGAATTGGAGGGGGATTGAAGTGGCAAGGATTTCAAGACTTCGTGCCTGCTTTGTCTCGAGACATCAAAAAAATGGTGAGGGCCCAGGTATTAGAGGGACGGGTTGAAGCTCAAGCTTATTCAGCGGTGATGCAACCCCTTCAACTGCGGAGGGCGCGTGCTTCCAGAGTGCGGATAGTACGATAGCACGATAAGCGTGACTGCCGTCTTTCTTTCCCCCACAGTGCACAGACGTCTATCCCGAACACTGCTCTCATCGCGCCATGGCTGGCAAAGATCCCATCCCATCTCCTGCCCAGGGTGTAGGTCCAATTTATCGACCGGATGGCGAGAAACCCACTGCGACGGTCTCCAAAGAGGTCTCTTATGAGAATGTCCATGTACTTTCCCAGACACCACAGCTGATTGCTCTCTTAACGTAAGACCGTGTCTTCATTGAAGCGGTTGACTTATATCTGACTGCAAACCTAGGATGATCCGCGACCAACGGACAACGCGTGCGGACTTCATCTTTTACTCCAACCGAATCATTCGCTTGTTGGTAGAGGAGGGGCTGAACCATCTTCCCGTAGTGGAACAGTCTGTGACGACTCCGGTCGGAAGGGCTTACTTGGGCGTGAAGTTTGAGGGCAAAATTTGTGGTGTTTCCATTATGAGAGCCGGAGAGGCCATGGAGCAGGGCCTACGAGATTGTTGTCGGTCAGTTCGCATTGGCAAGATCCTGATTCAGCGGGACGAGGAAACTTGCATGCCCAAACTTTTCTACGACAAGCTGCCCACCGACATTGCTGACCGATGGGTGCTCCTTCTGGACCCCATGTTTGCCACGGGTGAGTTCAAGCCCTTTAGAGCCCCCAAATCCTCCGCTGACTTGGTATCAGGCGGCTCCGCTACACTAGCTGTCGAGGTATTGAAGCAAAAGGGCGTGCCTGAGCACCGAATCCTATTTCTCAATTTGATTGCCAGCCCCTCTGGCGTAGCAGAATTCGCCGAAAGGTTCCCGAAACTTCGGGTCGTCACGGCCTTCATTGACCAGGGACTGGACGACAAAAAGTACTCTATCCTTCTTAATTCTGCAGACTTTGAACCACACTGATACGTTCATAGGTACATCATTCCTGGTTTGGGTGATTTTGGTGACCGATACTATACATTGTAGTCTTACGACGAGTATGGCGGCGACGGGCAATTGTCCAAGTCCCGCGTTCATTCTTCTCTGGTGAAGTTTACAGAAAGATGGGTAGCACCGGTCTAGCATTCAACCCTATTGGGAGTCCCATAAAATCCTCCTTCGGCCGGTTTCCAAATCTATCGAGACCCATCCGGAGACTTAATCATGAAACCCATGTGGTGCTGTATAGAGACCGACTGAAAGCAGAGGTAGAACAAATAAGATCGTATTGGTGGATGCGCCGTGTGTATCTGAACGAGCTCCTCAAATTGGTACAATGCCCATGCGCCATTCGCCGCCCCCTCCCCTTCTCCTTCCCTGGTATATGGTCAATAATCGTCCTCCTCGTAGTTTTCACCATGTCCGATATCTGCCGATGCATGGGGCTTGCTGTTCCCGGCCTGGGCACTCGCGCTCCCGTCGTACTGGTTGGCTGTATCCTTGGCCACGGCGTCGCACGCATCCACCCAGTCCGAGTAAACGTCCACTCCAGCGGAGAGGTCTAGCAGATAGTCAATTACAAGTCGTCGAAGATGTTCTCAATAGGTTTTTGACTCACAGTTAATACCCGTCTGGAACTTTTGGCCGCAGACTTTACAGGAGAGGTCTCCAAGACCCAACTTTTTATCCAGCTTAACTACCACCGAGTTCTCGTGGTTGCAGAAGAGACAAGAGAAAGTAGTCGCAAGGGGCTCCCGCTGCTAAGGTCAGTACGGTGGAGGGGCGCAATGAGTGGGCAATGTTCGCACCTTTCGGGGCCCCTGGGGCTGCCTGCTGGACTTCTTGCGCTTTCCCTGTGGAGTAAAAGGGGTCAGTCATATTCGTCTGGAGCCTCTGAAGGAAAGCTTCTGGAGAGAGACGTACCATGTTCCTGTTTTGATGGCCGAGGCTCAGTAACGAAGAGTGACAAGGTCGTTGTGAGGGGCTGGCTCGTGCGGAGAATGGATATCGGAAGAATGGGGACTCCACCCCAGCATCGTCATTCCACAGGGCTTGACATCGAGACGGTTGCCGGGTTTATGAGCGCGTAATTTTGTTGCTACATGGCTCGTATGACTCGGACTGGGTCGTCATGAACGTTTACAGGGTTTATTGCTTCAATTGAGCAATTCGACAGATACATGAATAGCCGGTGGCGTGTGAAGATCAGAGATACAGCGGTACCAGGGAGTTCGATATGAAATTACTTCCATCAAGCCCGGCGTAGAAGGAGCGAGGCAACGAAAACCACTATCAGTAATCATATCAGACACCCCATGAATTCACGTCCAACTTGGCCGAGTTTACAGACTGCGCTCCGCATTTATGCCTCAGGCCATAATAGCTCAATGTGGCATAGCGCTGTTACGGAATTTCGTGTGTGTGTCACGTGATGTTATTACATCAGCGAGGTAGGGCCCGCACACTTCGCTTAGCCGAGTTTTCTGTGGGTTTTGGATTTCAACCCTCCTAGTCGACCCGAGCGAGAATCTCGAAACCCGAAGCGCCGTGGTGCGATACCTTTGTCTGTCTTTCAACAACACCCAGATAGACCCGACTCGCAATCATGGCTGTTGGAAAGTAAGCGCTACCCTTTCTACTCGTTGTCTCGTTGTCTCGTTGTCTCGCCTGTTATCTTCGCTTCCCCCTCGCCTTGTCTTTGGAAATCAGCATCCCGTCGAAAATCTGCGGCTAATTCTCAACTTCGCTCCCAGGAACAAGCGCCTCTCCAAGGGCAAGAAGGGCATTAAGAAGCGCACTGTCGACCCCTTCACCCGCAAGGATGAGTACTCCGTGAAGGTCAGTATTCCAATCGTTTCTTTCCTCTGCCCTAGACACAATTGCTAACCAGTTCACAGGCCCCCTCCACCTTCCAGACCCGCGAGTAGGAAATTTACCTGGCCCCTCGGTGTGAGAATCGGTTGTGTGCTGACATCTTTCCAACAGCGTCGGTAAGACTCTGGTCAACCGCACCAGCGGTCTGAAGAACGCCAATGACTCCCTGAAGGGCCGTATCTTCGAGGTCTCCCTCGCTGATCTGCAGAACGACGAGGACCACGCTTTCCGCAAGGTCAAGCTCCGTGTGGATGAGATCCAGGGCAAGAACTGCCTGACCAACTTCCACGGCTTGGACTTCACCACCGACAAGCTGCGCTCCCTGGTCCGCAAGTGGCAGTCTCTCATCGAGGCCAATGTCACCGTGAAGACCACCGATGACTACCTTCTCCGTCTGTTCGCCATCGCCTTCACCAAGAGACGCCCCAACCAGATCAAGAAGACCACCTACGCTCGCTCGTCTCAAATTCGTGCCATCCGCAAGAAGATGACTGAGATCATTCAGCGCGAGGCCGCCACCTGCACCCTGTCTCAGCTCACCCACAAGCTCATCCCCGAGGTTATTGGTCGTGAGATCGAGAAGTCGACCCAGGGCATCTACCCCCTCCAGAATGTACGTATCTTGCCACAGTCTTCTACATGACTCAACTCCCCTGAGGATCGCGTATTAATCCGCTGTGTCTCAGGTTCACATTCGCAAGGTCAAGCTCCTGAAGTCGCCTAAGTTTGATCTCGGTGCTCTCCTCGCCCTCCACGGCGAGTCGGCCACTGATGACAAGGGTCAAAAGGTTGAGCGCGAGTTCAAGGACACTGTTCTTGAGTCTGTTTAAGGGTATTTCATTTGGAAGTGGTGTCAAATACTGGTCAACCATGGCAGTCGTTGTCTTCTGATATAGGAAAACAAAAAAGTTCATGACATGTATGGCATATTTGCATCGTGGCGAGGGGCGGTTGTATCTGTAGATGACCAGTGTAGACAGAGCAGCCTAAGTCCAATGTAGTCTCCAAAGCACCTGCGATCTAGCCGTAGCAACGCGAGAATGTTCACCCGGTTGTACTGACTATCCATGTTCCGGGCGACTTGGTTTCGTTTCAGGCACAACCCATATGCTCCATGCATCGTCGCTACTCACCATCGATGTGCAATCATTGCATCTTCGGCTCATCATAGGTGCCCTCCTGAAATGACTAAGTGGAGCCATCAAATTGGTTCTGATCTCGGATTTGAGGTGGGGATCTAGTGGGTGAACTTGGTACATTTTCTAGTGGATGCTCTCCCTACTTTCCGGGATTTTGCTGGTACACTGTTCTCCAATTGATCTCCCCGAATTCGGCTTAACAGGGACATAGTCGGTGTCAAAGAGCTGCACTTTGCTAGGACATAGTCCATCAATTCCTCTCGGAAGAACACAACAGGGGCGGCTGCTACGTAGAGGCTGCCTTTATTCTCAGAGCTTCTCTACCACTGTCGGGTCAGGACATGAAGTTTCCAATCAGCTCGTGTCCTTTTGCCATTGTGATATTGGTATACCATCACGATCTCGGTGGGTAATCTAGCATTGCGTACTTCATCTAGAGCCGATGCTGGGAAATATCGATCTCCAAATATACCCATGCTTGCAAGACGTCCAATTCTCTTGCACATATGACCTAGAACATGGCGCAAGTTGGGTGAGATCTAAATTCGTGATCGTGTTTGGAGAGTAGATCTGTTGTTCCAATGGCCTCCGAATAATACCCACATGTGTCTGCCTTTGGCTTGCATCAAAATTCGACAGAACCATGATAGCCTTGCATTCCCTACGTATTGAGTCAGGTATACCTAAAGAATCCTTCTCACCTGGGTCATTTGGCAGCATATTCGCCTCCTTGTAAAAGAACCAGGAAGACAATCGCGACCACTTCGGTTGATCATTTAGCCTTACATTGTATATCAACCGATGGGGCAATCAGCTAACACATACTTGCTAGTTCCTGGCTGCCAGATTGGTGTGCCGTGATAGTGTCTGCATAAGCGCAAGATAATTCTAGTCAGTTGCATACTTCAAGATTACGCTAAGTCTGAGTTGGAGACGGTTGACTCGATTATGATCACCCTTGAAGACTTTAAAGATACTCTCGGTGAAGACATATCCCTTATTTTCTTACGTGAATTTACCAGTACTGGTACGAGGAATCTCAACCGACATAGTATAAGGTAATACTTTTCAAATTTATTATAACCACAACCTTTGTCTCCCCAGAAGAAAAGTATTATTACTATACAGGTAGAAGAGCGATGAAAATAAATGCTAAGATTAGCGGGGATCTGCACTTAGGAAATATACGAAGTCCTAGCACGATACATCTCCAATAAGGATCGTATAGTAGTCGATTCGCAAAAATTAGTCTATATATTCATTAGGAATACTAATCCCCTACTTCGAAAAGATCTTTTACCTAATCGATAGGCCTTCTACCCTTACCCTAATAACAGAGATTCTTTATCGGCCATAGAAATTAAGATAAATAGTGAGAGAACTAAAGATATAATACTTGGTTAAGAATAGGTTAAAGGTATAGACGTCAGATATAATCTCCCATTACAATAAATAATATCAAATTATATATTTAAACAAATAGACATCTATAAAACTAGTAGCTCACGAAAAATAATTAAAATATGAAGTGATCCCCAAAAGGTTCGTCAATCTAAGCTATGTACGGATCAAAACTTTCATCACATTATTCAATTTAAGACGATAATGCGATAGATTTAATAATTATGCATAGAAGATTAAATTTGAGAAATTTTATAATATATAGAATCTATCCAGGGGTCAAAACAAATAGCTTCAGGTATTGTTTCTAAGATGAACCTATTGAAAGGCTCCAAGCGAATATTGTAGACTCAACAGAGTTATGTCTATTAAGTTTCTTAGGTGATACATATTCTGTTATAGTTTAATTACCCTAGTATTAGAAGTTTCGATAAATAATTGGTTCGGGACCCTATATTAGTACTGAGAGATAGCAGGATAAGAATACTCGAGGATTTAGAATATTGTGAGAGTAAGAAATGATTGAGTACAAAGGAAGATTACGGGGTAGTACGGAATGTACCTCGCAGAATCAAGCGAAATATTATTTTTTAGGCAAAAATAAGGATCGACGAAGGAATATTCCTTTGAAATCAGTCTCTAAATTAAAGTAGAATACTATCCCTAATCTATATATCTTTCCTCACCTAAATAACAGGCCTTCTACTATAAGTACGTAGATTCTTTTTTATATTTAGACTATTTTACCCTTTTTAGAGTATCGTAATTATAAAAAATTTACGTTTTCAGGGTACAAGGCCTATTGGTTAGGTAAGGGAGATATCCAGACTAAAGATATTATACTAGCCAAGTAAGACTAATTCTTACGAAGTCTAGATTTTTCGATTACTACCTAATTTAAATACGGATCGAGTCAGAGACTCGCATCTTATAGTAGGATAGTCTTCACCGCTACTTCATAGTATCCCTTCATAAGGCCTATCGGTTAGGTTAGTGAAGATATCTAACTAGAGATAGTATATTGAGATTCTGGAGGTGGGAAAGTGTGTTCCATTCAGTGAGTGTACGAAGGAGTAGATATATAGCACCCGTACGGACTAATATAGGTCCGTATAGTAAAAAAGGTTAGGTAACGTAACTATTTTCCCCTAATAAGAAGGCCCTAATATTATATCCTCCCCTATTAAATAGGATTATATCCTTGTAATCTCGGGTACGCATAGGATCGGATATAAGAGTCCTATTTAGTTTTTTTAATATAGTATAAATAAAAATTATTAATAAAAGAAATATATTAAGGATAGGAGGAATATTTATTCCTTACTATGACTAAATTTTTCTAATAGGTACTAAAATCTTATTATAATAATAGTATACGGACCTAGATATATTAGCAAGGGAACGAATATATATAGAGTTATTATATTAACTACTTATATAGGATATAAATAAATTAGTATATTATTATAAGAGAGGGTCTAAATAAATACGTTAATCGCGAGCGGTTAGCACTATATATATTTTATTAATAATTAAGCTTAGCTAATTAAATATATCTAAGATAAATTATATCTATAATGATAATATTATCTACTATAATAAAATTGTAAAGGAATACCAAGGACTAGCGGTGAAGGTTTACCCCACAGTGTAATAAGCAAGTCTCGGACCCGATTCGTACTTAAAATGAGAGGGTTTCTAGATAACTTAGACTTAGTAAGAAATAGTCTTATTTCTTTTAATATTAGATATAAACCTAGATATCCTCTCTTACTTAACCGATAGGCCTTCTACCCTAAATATATAGATTCTTTATAATTCTAGTTCTTCTTTTATTGGTTACCTAAGGAATTATATTTAATAATAACTATATCTTTCGTTCTCGCATTATTACCGAAAGCGATAATACGCTTATATTATATAAGGCTATTATTATATTTTAGTATAGAGATATTATTTAACCTCGGAACTAAATTAACCTAAGTTAATTTCTCCTAACCTATTATAATATAAATTATTTCTAGGAGACTTACGCGGATATTAAGTGACTTATAAGGAACCCTCAACTAATAGCTAAATTATTAAAGACTAAATTATATATCTTAATAAGAAAATCTATCTTCTTAAATATATTTAGGAGCTTAAAGGGGACTAAACTTTATTGATTTTAATAAAGGCTTAGCTATATAATAATAATAAATTAGCTATAAATAATAATAAGAAAGGTATTAAGATTAAAGATATCCCTTTCTTTTTAAAGGATTTTATTTTATAAAAATATTCGGAATAAATTCCTAACCTTAAATATTAATTTAAAGCTAACCTAAAATAGTACCTTACTAACTAAAAAAAGATATTTATCAATATTATAATAATAAAATATAACTATCGCTAAAGATAGCTATAATATATAGATATAAAGCCTATAGAGAAATAATAAGACCTTAAAAGCTTATAGATAGTTTTTAAAGACTAAATAATTACCCTCCTATATAATATAGCTACCTTATAAGCTAATATAAATATTAGCCTTAGCTAGGTATATTAAAGGCTATAAGATAACCTAAATTAATATTATATATATTTAGATAGTCTAAAATAATATTTTAAATAAAAGAGCGAAAAGAATAATATAATATTTTATTACTCTAAGCTTAACCTAGCCCTTCGCTATTCTATAAGTAAATATCTCCTTAAAGAATAATTATTAAAAATCTATAATATAATAATAAGTAAAGCGGGACATTTCTAGAACTTACTCTAAATAGCTAAGAAATATTATTAATTTACTAATAAAATCTAAGAGTACTAATACCTACTAAGATACCTTATATAATTTAAATAAATATATAACTAAAAAAGAGATAATACCCTCTAAAGATATAAAGACTAATAATCCTTAAAGACTTAGCTAAGTTCCTTATATTTTTAAGGAAGCTATAGCTATTATAACCTAAATAATATATATAGATTAACCCTAAACTAAGACTAAAATATATTATACTTGAGATTAGGACCCTAATATTATAAGTACTATGAATTGAAATATATTATCCTAAATTATATTAAAGATAGACTAAATATATATTTTATTTATATTTAATTCTTAAGTAACTTAGAAAAAAGGAATAAATAAAGTAAATCCTATATCTATAACTTTAGACCCTAAGATAGGAACTACCTTATACTTCTATATCCTAATTTAAGTATAAAATACCTTTATTATATATATAGACTTAGATAGTTATACTAAAATTAATTTAGTTAGGTACTATCTTAGCTATCGTTAC